GGCATTCAGCTGTCAAGGAGACTTCATAATTGGCCTATTAGGCGGATGTTGATTTAAAGATGCCCTAATAAAGACTTCCTCCCTTTGACCCTGAATTGTATCTTTTTCTGGACATTTGGAAATTTAAAAAAAAATTAATAATGTATCTCAATAAATTTAATTAATCAAATTATTTGATTTAACTCCCCATATATTTCTTTCATTTTGGATAACACATAAATATTTTAATGTCTTTTACTTTTTTCCTACTCTTTCCTTCCTTCTCAGATTACACTCCTATCTCTTATTAATGTATACTTATAAAATTATACACTTCCAATAGTCAATGATCTGCCATCCTTAAATATTAAAATATACTTTTGAACTAAATATTACTGAAAATTGGGTGATTTTGAAATTTATTCATTTTATTGAGACCAAGAGGTGTTTATTTATTAATTAATATTAATTTAACTTATTCTATCCTTAACTTTTCCAAATAATCGTCAATTTGATAGAGGTAACTTCAGTAACTATCATGTACGAAGAATAATATGTCATACTATTGTGATAGTATGACATATTATTCTTGGAATATCTTAATAATACTTTCATTAACTTACAAAAACAGTTTTTATTTGATAAAATTGATATGCAGATAAGGTTTATGAATAAATTGACTTTCATTTCTTAAGACTCAATCGAATTGAATATCTAATCGGAGGAGTTTTGCACCCGTTATCATTTAATCACGAAATAAACATCAGCATAAATCTTTTCGAAATTAGATGGGATCTAGAATCTAGTAATGCTACTTAAATCGACTTCTAAATTATTCCTCTTTGAGTAGAAAAAATAACTTCCAATAGGCATTTTTAAGAATAATTGACCGCATCCACAAAGCTAGAACCGTTTATTTCGTCCAGCAAACTTCCTTAAATTATCTGAAAGCTATCGGCTATACAAGTCCTCTCACCTTCACATGTTCCATGATAATTATTAGGAATCAGTATTTTTTATATTTAGGTAATATTGCTTTAAAAGGGTTGTTAGTTTATTTCTAACGTAAAGTATTTAGTCATATTTGAAATGTAGATATATTGGATCTAAGTCAAATTTCGTGTAATCAGGTAAACACCTTAATTTTCAATGCTTTCATCACATTAGGATAATAAACAACTCTATTAGCAGCCCTATTGAAACAGATTCCTTTTCCCATTTTATTATTGATATTTTTTTAATATTTTCAATTTTTGTTTTAAATCAAAATAATCTCATCAATATTAATTAGATTAAAATGAAAGTAGAACACATTATTAGGAAATGAATCTGCTTTTATTATATAATAGTTCTGATCATTACAACTATTCCATACTAAGCGCAAGACCTCTCTTATTCATTTTTTCTAATTAATTAAGGGCTCTATATAATGAAATGAGCATAAAAATGCATTCCGAAAGAAGACCGTAAAATATTTTTATATTATTATTATTATAAATATAAAAACGGTAATAATGAAGAGAATTTTATTAACAGTTCTAATTTCTGTGTCATTGGGATTACCTGTTTAGCCAAAATTAGATGAGTAGAAAGTGGATGAGTTAAAAAATGGAAAACTGTCTAAATTTATATTAACATTCGCATAATTATCAAGCATGTTGGAACGACCTTTAGGTAATATATGTAATTAAGTTTTTAGTTGATTTGGATTTTGCAGTTCAAGATTTGAGTGAAGATTTAAAAGAAATGTAAGAGGAAGTCTCCTAAGACTTTTTTTAAAGATCAGCATAACATAAAAAAATAATTGATGATTTAGATGTTTTATTGGGAAATGCTTAAATAGAGATTAGTAACAGCATTAACCTTGTGGAAAATGTACTTAAAAACTAACTTGTATGTTTTCATATATATTAAATAGGTCTAATTGAATAACAAGCAGTCATCCTTACAAGACTTCGTGAGTTAAAATAGAGTGGCCATTCAAAGGGAAGATTTGATGCATTAAACTAATAGCAAATAATATGAGGAAAAGAGTACGTGAAGTCTCAGTATTTTTTTAGTTACTGATCATTAGACAGCATTGAAGATTCTAGACAAAGCATTGGACATTGTATAAAAGTTCATTTCAGGAGAATTGGATATTAATTAAAGAGTATGTGATTATAGTATTTACTTAGGACCCAACTCAAAGAGATGTATAAGAACTCACTGGATGCCTCAATAAGAGATATGGAAATTATCCTTTAGTAGCTGCATTAATAGAAAGTGTACCAACTTTTGAGAATATGAAACAACTTAAGAAGATAAGGCAAAAGCTTGTGAAAGTGAAATAGGCTGTCTAAGATCAATATAATGAAGACTTGTTTCATGATAAAACTCAAACATCTTTGTATGAAAAAAGAAAGGCTTAATTAGAGAAAGAACACTCAATCTTTCAATAATAAATTGCAGATAACATGTTCTCAATCAATACAATTTAATGTAACTTTATTAGTTAATTATTAATTAGAAAAGATAAAAGTGGAAGAGGACTTTTAAGACATGAGAAGGGATGATGTTAAAAGATATGCTCAATAAAGATAAGATGAAAACGAAGCATTTGCTTATGAGATTGCAATATTTTAGGATCTAAAAAATATGTATTTAACTGAATAATAGCTTGGTGAATAAGCAATAAAGTACTCTTTCATATTAATCATTAGCTTCATCAATACAAAATAATTTTCTGATTTAATTAGAAGTAATTTAGACATAGCACTTAGAAATAAATGATGAAGTCATTCAATAATTATATATTAATCATTTTCTTCAAAATAATTTAATAATATTTCTGGATTGTGTTGTATTATCAAAGCATAAGGATGATATGAATCTGATGGTTTTGTGCTTCCTAAATGCTTCCATGATATCAAAAATTTTGCTTCATTTAGAGTGTGTCCTGTATGTGATAGGATTTTTTCAGGTTAATTCTTTCCAAATTAACCTCCCTTTTTGAGATCCTATTATGAACATTTTGAAGTTCTTAATTGGAGGGATTTTTTTTTTTAAGCAGCTAAACTTTAAACTTATTCACTTTTTATTTCTTCTTTTTTTAAGTAGCCACTACCTCTTTTTGTTTACCTAGGTTGAGGATAGCTTTTTTAAATGTTATGAGAGGATTCTAAAATTGCTGGAAATTATTTTTCACATTTTATCATTCTTTCTTCAATCATTTTAATTAAATATTGAATTTTTCATTAGTTTTCTCTAGGTTAATAAGAAATTATATGTGCATCTAATTTTAACTTTTTAAATGAATATTCATGTAGGTTAATCTCAAAGCAATATCATTAATATTAAATTATCATTAAATTATATAATGGCAGAGAGAATTGTATTTAATAATTAGGCTGCTCAACATATACAAGCATACATTGATTATTGCAACGTAGTTGGTGATAATGGAGGACCATTACTAAGTGAGAAGGAGTATGAGGCCTTAAAAAAGAAATAATAAGAAGTTTAGTAATTAAAATAATTAGAATATCAAAAATCGTGTCTATGCGACTTGGAAGAACAGCAAAGGAATGGAATGCAAACAAATTGGTCCAGCTAGTATGTGCTTTTGTGGACATAGATTCAAAGAACATGAATACATGATGCCAAAAAATAAAAAAGTACAGTTCTATTAATTATAATAGGTGGTTTGTAAAAATAAATAATGCAGTTGCCCTTAGTTTAATTACATTCCTATTTTTGGATCCTAGGATTTGAAATGTGTTTGCCATCATTCTTACACAGAACATGATCCAATCACAAAAAAATGTACTAAAGGATAATGTGGATGCAACACCCGATTTTAAAGTAGTTGGTTATGCACTTGTGGTTAAAAATATAACGATCATGTGACTATTATTGAAACCAGAGATGAGAGACTTGCGTAAGGAAAACCAGTTGATGATATAAGACCAGATGGCTCGGCAATACCTTATATGCCTGGAGGAGTTGCGAGTTTTTAAGCCTTGGTTGATGGAGCTGACGGTTATTAAGCATACATTGACGAATTAGGAGGATAAAAATTGGCACTTGGATATCAGTAATAAAAGGCAATTGGAGATGATCCTAAGAAATAAAAACTCTAAAACTTAAATAAAAAGTTTGCGAATTAACAATAATAGTAATAGCAATAATAAATGGATCAATTAGACTAATTTGTAAATGAGAACAGCGGAAATTAAGTAGTTTCAAAGGACAGTTTATTGCATTTATATAATACTCCACATATATATGGAAGGGCTCAGATTGGATATAAAAAACATTGATGATTAGATATTATATATATCTGTAATAAAGGATATTAGAAATATATGTAAATTTATTACATAATAATATAAAAATTTTCATTCATCCTAATCGTATTTGATTTTATTTACAAAACTTTTACTTCGTTTGTGTATTCTATCCGCAATTTTAGTTTTTTGTGAATCAAGATCATTTTGGATAATCTATTTATAATAGATTTAAAACTTAATTTATTTTAGTTGTTTCCAACTTTAGATTATCGATCATCTACTTTACTTCATTGTTTTGGATAGGGATTATGGCTTTATTCAATTGAGTATCTATTTCTGATTTTTCTGGGGGGTTTTCAAATGAAGTCACATCTTCATAATGCTAAATCTATTCAAAATTAGTATGAATCTTGAAATCAATTTTTTTTGTTTACTCTTTATCTAATTGCTCATCTATTTATTTTTTTGGAGATATGATAATTGGATGACTCATAATCCAATTTAACTTACTTTTGAAATACTCACTCTTTTAGTCCTTCTGAGATTCGTAATACTCAACTCCTTTCTGATTGTTTCATATGATTATTGATACCATATACAATTGGATAAGATTATTCAATGCCATACTATCTTAATATTTACTCATCATTAATGTTATATCATTCCTCAATATCTATTCTGCAAAATCTTTTGGCAATTCACCTAAATTGTGAATACTTGTTACTCCTATTTTTTTGACTTTTGCCTAAGAATGACATTACAAATATAATTATTAATAATTTATGAAATAAATAACATTTGAATGAAAAAAAGCATTCAAGGAATCTTCTTGTTTCTATTAGTTGGAGTAGATGCTTATTTACTAGATTAAGACAAGGTTGGCAAGTTTTCAGGAATTCGAATTTATCTTGTTGAATTATACAATCTTGCCATCTCGCTGACCTCCGATCCTTCTATTTAAATAGGTTAATCCTCAAATTAATCTTAAAACTATTTTCTGTGTGAATTTTGTATAGCAATCCTATGTAAATCAATATGCTTTTTTGATTCTGTTTTCTATAATTAAGTTGTTGGAATATCTATAAATTTAAGTTAACTAATTACCAGATATATCTCTAGATCCCAATCTATTTAGTTTAGAGCTATATTAACTAAATTTTGAAGCTCCAACCACAGAAGGAGCCTTCATTTCTATTTTTGCGAAGGAATTATTAGAAACACAAGATATGGATTCAATCGAATTCAAATTTCCTGTGAATGCTGGCTATCTCTATTCTAGACTCAGATCAATAGACCCCATTTTCACATTATTCTTATATTACTAATTGTAGTCATTTAAATTATTTGAAAATTTTTCCTATTTTACTTGGTGCTCCTTAGCTAATTCTTTAAAATAAGGATGTCTTAAACACTAATTTGATGATGTAAATTTTTACCTCACTCGAACTCAATCTATCTTAAGATTTCTTTAACAACATGGATCGTATCAAGTCCTACATTTATATAGGAGCAGATTTAAATAAGGAATCATCAAAATCTATGATGCAATCCTTATTTGCCTTCAAAATGGCTTTTTAATCTTTACCTGTGAATGGCTACCCTCCAGTCTAAAGATAATGAAATTGCTTACAATCAATAGATACAAGATAATTCCAGCACTAAAAACATCGCATTTTTCATCATAAAATTATTGGCCATCAATATATTCCAGAATTTCTGGGGCTACAAATCCAGGAGTACCACATCTTTTAAATAAAATATTGTCATCCTACAACAATGCTGCCAATCCAAAATCTGCTAAGATAATTTCATGATTATTATCATAAGATTTAAGTAGAAGATTTTCGGGTTTAAGATCTCTATGCGCAACATTGAATTGATGCATATGATTTAAAGCGGATAACAGGTTGTAGGCCAGTCTTTATAATGTTTCAGCAGGTAAAAAACCTAAAGAATTTATATTTTACAATACCTGTTTCTCTAACTCTTTAAAGGAGTTCTCCTCCTGCCACAATATCAACCACAAAATAAACAGAATTAGCTGTTTCGTGTACTTCATGCAATTTGACAATATTTGGGTGGTTTAATTTCCTCATCACTTTCATTTCATTCAAGAGACTTTCAATTCCTTTGTGTTATTGTTGCATAAATGATTTGCTAAAAGCTTTGATAGCATATTAAGTGTTGTTGTCTTTTCTGGTGGCAAGATATACTTTGGCAAAACTTCCTTTTCCAATCAATTTAGAGACCATGTAAGCATCATGGAAATTCTCAAGCAGACAAATTTTTCGAAGATGGATTCTCCATTAATCATAAACAGACTTATCAGCTAGAAAGATCTCTAATGTCTTGGTTTAGTATTGCAATCTGAATCCATACAGTTGCTCATCAGAATTCAATTAAACAAAATGATCAGCGCCTGGTTCAATGTATGTCAAATGAGTAGTGAGGAGAGGTGCACATTGCAATTTGTCGACAGTTACTTTATAAATGTATTCCAATCCAAGTACTATGAAGATGGGTTTGACACTAACTTTGCCTGCAGTCAAAAATTCTTATTCAACTAAAAATGTTTGAGACTTGTTATAAAATGAAATGGGTTACGTCCAATACAGATTTATCACATGTTTACCAAAATTTATTCCTGGTTTTTCCAAAATCAAAGATAGAAATTACTTTTTATTCAGTCATTAATCTATACTACTGACACAAAAATAATAATTTAATAAATAAGTTTAATTCTCAACACCTTTTAACCATTTTACTTATACCAAAATTGATTTCTTCTTCAATCTTAAACTAGAAATCATCCTCTTCAGCCTACGAATTTCGCAGTTAATCAAATAATGTACTTGTTTATAATTCATTCCTATATAAATTCTAAGATTACTCATTGATAACTTACATGATAGAGTGAGCAAATCATTGTGCTCAACTACAAAGGGTTCAGAACAGATTTTAGAGAATCCCAAACTTGGTCCAGTTTAGAAGCCTGATCCTAGATCGATTTGATTTCATTTTTAATTTTATCTAAAGAACTAATAATTAATAATAAAAAAACCCTGAAATATTTGATTTTAACTATTACACCTTCATTTGAAACTTCTTCAGTTTCGTGAGATTCTCAAATTTTACATTCGTATTTTCAAAACCACCTTTCATCCAGTCAGTGTAATCTCTTAAAAGATAAAAAATGTAATACTAATCAGAATTCGCAAACATGTCCTTTGAATGTGAACATGCATAAAGCAAATACTTAACCTACATTGGCAATAAGATTTCAGCTATGCTATCAAAGTACACTCTTGCGGTGTCATTTCTTTCCTTTGAATTTGATTGAATTCTATATCTCAATGCATCCATGATGATACCGATTTCGTCATCGCTAACTTTTTTTATTATACATAATTCCAATTTTTCAAACATTTGCTGTTGCTGTTCTAAAAATGTTTAAAACTATCGTAGAGATTAAGATACCTTACTTTCTAAGTTTTTTTATTTACTATCTCCATAGAATGAGCTTAATTCTTGCAAATGTCCTTCAGTTTTTCGTTTTCTTCTTAAAGTTCAGCAACCTACTTTTCAAGCAATTATTGATATATTTTCTTTCTCTCTCTCGAATTCTTGGCTGATTCTCTGTTCTTTGCCAATTTCACTTGGGTAGGGTCAGCAATTTCATTTGATGTTTCATTTTGTAAATTCTATGATCTCTTTCTCTCTAGTTTTTATTAACTTTTTGATGATCTAGGTGTTATAGATGGAGACACAGAATTGTTGTTTGAAGTTCTTTTCTCTAATAACGATTCTATCTTTTCTCTATATATGCTCTTGCCTTAGTTTTGAGGTATCTACAGTTTTACTTCTGGTTTAAATATACTATTGATTTAGTCAGCCGATTCTATGTATAAATTTGGAAGGCTAACCTAATCTATATTCTTGATCCCCTGAATATTGGGATCGACTATTTCTTTCCGATTGGATTGATTGCTTCTGTCTTGATTAATTTGATGACTCCTCTTAAATCAACTAATTGTCAACATCATCGATTTTCATTTCGTAAAATTGATCTAGACTATTTTTCATATCTTAATCCAATGCAGGATATTGCAAATAATTATTCTAGAAACTCCCGACTTATTGTTCACCATACCCCAAATAGTTTTTACCAAAACTCAATCTAAAATAGAAATATTATTATTAACTATTATTCTTGACCAGATCCAGCTTAGAAATCGGCCGTACCTGCAGTGCCTACAAAATTATAAAATTATCCACTTTATCTTGAGTTAAAGCTATCTGCCATTAGAATTTTTCTTATAAATGTTAAAATTTAATAATTATATACTCCACATAATTCAAAATTGCTCAATATTCCTCATATTTCTGTTATTTTTATTATTTCTGGTAATTGTCAGATTTTCTTTGGATGGTATTATCAATGCATTTTATATTAAGGTAATACATATTCTTTTGGTAAATTTGGGATAGTTCATAAATATTTTCAAATTTTTTATATATCATCGTTTTTATATCATTCATTAGCAATCTTAAATTAGCTTGAATTCTTCTCAGCACTCAAACTTGATAACTCTTATGGATTGAATTTCTGATGATGAGATCGGCATTGACTTGCAGATCTGGTTTTTAGGAAATCTGACATCTGTTTAAATATTTTATTCAATTTCTTCTAATCTGAATCTGACATGATCTCTTTGTGACTTTCAATAAACTATAAATATAGTCTATGCTCTTTATTAGTCCAATGGCCTTTCTCACTTAAAATCAATGACATACCTTTTTTAAAGAATTTGCTTTTAGTGGATTTTTTCTTTTTCTTTTTGTTCAAAAGAGACACGGGCATATTGATGGATTAATTGTGATCAAGACTAGTTGGTGTTTCAATAGGTATATTTTAAAAAGATCTCTGAAACGTTTTGGAGGACTTCCCTTAAATTTATGGTGTCGTTATTTGGTTTTGCTGGCTGTGAATCTCAGGCTATTAAAAGCTGCAGTTTATTCTTGGAAACTATGGAAAATAGTTGGCCGAGAAGTTTCCATACTGAGAATAAGGATACAACCATGGAAATTAATATAAAGGTTAACAAAAGTTGAAAGAACCTAGGGATGTATGATATTTTCGTACTTTATAAGTCTTGAGGAATAAAAGCAAAAGGAAACATTTTGAAGATATAAAGTTGTAAATAAAAAATAATTATTGTCTTTAAGAAATAACTCTCATCAAGTTTAATTCATGATCTACATAATATTAAATATAAATAGTGTAATGGTCAATATTTCAGGTATTCATTTTAATAAATAACAAAATACAAAACATCTGGCTTCCTCAATATTGCAACTCCCTATTTGAGATTTATCACCTATTCTAACGGATAGGCGAAAGTCTATAAATCATATATTATTTTTAATTCATTCTTAAATTATTTGTAATATTAATTTATAGAATTGATATCCAACGCAAACAAAGAGGGCTTTTAAATTTGTGTATTTATTTTTTGGGATATGATAGGGGATGAGAATTGATGATTGAAAAATCTGAGTTTTTTAATTGCATATTATATTGATTTTCATTATTTTTTTTTTTATTCATCGATTAGTTGATTTAATTCCTTTATTCGATTTATAGATTTATGAATAGCCTTTAAGTCATCTGCTAAACGAGTTATCGTATGTTGAGCCATATCAAAATTGATTTCAGCTTATTTCCTCAATTATGGAGATTTTTCATTTATTTTGCTCACTTCCAATTATGCATGCTGTAGAGTCTGTATTCTAGATTATTACTTAGAAATATACATTGAAGTTTAGTTGGCAAAAGTTTCCTTGAGATCTTCATCTTTAAAAAATGCAATTGTTTGCATTATAATTAATATTATTGTAATATTTTAATTGTTGTCTGCATTGTATTAAATCCAGTTGTTTTATAAAATTGAGATTTATTTTATTTAAATCAAATCAAGCTTGAAAAATAAATGGAGATGCCATTAAAAAGTTTCGATGAGCAAGATACAGAAATTGGATAAATTAATGCTGAGTTAGAAATTAAGCAAATGCTAAAAAATCTCAAGCTTGAAGTTAAGCCTTAACATGGAATGACAAGAAAGTCAATAAGAAAAGTGAAGTTGTGTTTAGGCGCGAACTAAATAATATAGAGAAGAAGAGCACTTCATTATTGAGTGTAAAATTATGATTTGATTGTTATAATACATTCTTATCCTATTAAATTGTTAGATGACACATAGAATTAGTTCCTAATTATTTTATAGGACTTTTTTCTTCATAACTTTGATTTTTAAAATATGAATTTTTAAACAGTCTGACATTCTGAAAATGATTTGAATGATTGATTGTATTGCATGAATTCAATTAAGATGACTTAGATAAGGATCATCTAAACTTTAAAGTTTAATAGATTTAGAAATGCCATAAATATGAAATATAATGTTATGTACATAAATGATATCACTTATTAATGTAATTAAATTAATTTAATTATTAAGTATTGATATTAATTTATCAATTTGACAGTTATTTAAAGAGATATTTTTTGTAATATTAGACCATGTGCAATTAATTTGTTGATTTTTATATCACTTTTCAACTTATATGGATGGAAATAAATGTACTATAAAATATGAATTATATTTATAAATACTAATTATATAATCATTCAACATCAAACATTCAATGATTTTTTCGTTTTGCTATTTTTATCATCTATTATATAATACACAATTAAATACTTGTCTAGGTTATTCATATTAGGCTCTGGTTACTGATAACATCTATTACAGTTTTTTTGAAGTGAAGAAATGTAGACCTTGTTTGAATTATGCAATGACATTAGGATGATGTGCTTTTAATTGATAAATAGCCTATTTAAATGTTTCAAATTCATCAACACTAACATATCCACTCTTAAATTTGGTGACTTATTCTTCAAGAGTTCTTTTCTCCTCTGTAAAGTTTTCATAACAATGTTCATCATCTTCAGACCCTGAAGAACAGCCATCAAAGCTCTCAAACTTTTCTTCCTTCTGTTATTCCAATTGATATGATAACATTGATACGATATTACAACCAGTAGTTAATAAGATTTCAGGATTCTAGAGTATTGCATTAGAATAATAGATGATGAATAACTTAGCATCATAACCAGCAGAATAATTCATTTCATATAACTCCTATTAAATACTTTGCATTTGGTTGGTTCCAATTATTTTTTCGGAGAGTGATTTGATTGTCAATAATGCACTTAGGAATATGCACTTAATTCTTGATGCTAATAATTCATCAGTGTTGGATTGTTTGATAATTTGATAGGAATGATCAAATATTTGTCTAAGAATATTTTCGTTAAGATCATTCCTTAGACATTGAATTCCTAATTGAATCAACAAGGCTCCTTCGCATTTATCTAATGTGGAATTCAAATTAGACACAATATTCGATAAGGCCAAATGGAAGTACTAAATATAACATTATAATTATACAATGGATTAAGTTGTTTCATTAATGAAATATTCTCTGCCAAAATACATGTAATTGTTTAGAAGTTCAAATAATGATTAAAAAGAATAATTTTACGATTGGAGGATTCTTTCAAATTTAGGCAATAGGGATATTTGATCTATCGTCACTCTTTTTAATTTCTATATTATGATTGACACGAATGGAATCATTTTTTCTGTATATTAGACAGATTCTTCATCCTTGACTTGTTTATAGAGTTGCACTATTTGATTTTCAACACTCAATAAATAGTCAAAATAATTATAATGATTCGCGATTTAATGAAGAATATTCCATGATAATTCAATAAATATTTCTCTATTTATTTGATTGTTATATATATTAGTCTATTCCTGATATATTCTCTATGCAAGGTGCTATGCAATGAGTTGGATTGTGTTCTATTGGAATTGATATGTAGAGACCCATTCTTCAATCATTTGTAGGATTCGAATATCGCAGGTGCAAGATATTTAAGATGAGAATTTTTAGATAATTTCATCGAAAAGTTTATTTTTCTCTATGAATCCAGGTAGCTCATCTGAAGAGACAATCAAATTGATTGTGTTGATTTATTGGTAGAATAAGGCCAGTTTATTAATCTGTTCCAGTTTGACTATGTTCTCAAGGAATTGTTTATAAAATAGCTAGCTCACTGTAGATTTCAAAATAGAATAGCTTTCGCCTATTAATTTAGTGAAAAGTATTTAGATTAACTCATCTTAACATTGGAGAACTACTTGGTAACTGTTTTAAATGATAATTGCCAAGTATTCCTGTATATCGTATCTGGTGTTTAGAGTAGGTTAGATGATAATTAGAATGAGGAGAGATATTTGTAATCGTTATTTGCTATCGAAATTATAAAAGATTGAGCTTAAGTATTATAAACAGTTTACTTATTTTGTAATAGTTTAATGTGATTGAATTCTTGTTCTGTTATGATGAATAATTGATTCGATAGTATTTCATTTATTGAATATTTAAATAACACAAAAGCACTCGAGGATAAAAATGAATAAGCTCCATCTATGTGAGTAATCAAGGCTCGAATCAAATCCAAGGTTTGATTATGAAGTGATTGTAGTTTATTTTAACTATCGAAGCTAAGTTCTTATTAAATAAAGTCTAAGGGTTCGTTATATAGCAGTGATAACTATTTAGATGAGTACACTAAATATGAATACAAATGAGTGACAATCAACTATTGATAATAGTTTTAGTATATATTATAGAATTCTATTTGATTGATAGTTGTAGACAGAATCTCCAAAATTATTATAGTCACTTCTTCTGAAATTGTGATTTGCAAGGATTGAATCAAAAATAGAATTAATTGATTTAGTTATTGATAAATTGGGAATATCTGCAATTGTTGTTTGTTCCTGCTGGAGAGCATTCTAATTATGATATGTTTATAACATTTCAGTGTCAATATTTTAGCATTCTATATTGTTGAATTGCTTTAACATTATATGAAATGATTCTAAGATTAGAATGAGAAGATATTAATGAATAGTTTACTAAGTTCCTGATTTTGAAGTATGAAATTTTGGAAGAACAAATACTTTTGTTAATCATATTTGAAAAAACGAAAGAGCATTCCTTCAAAGCATTCCAAAAAGTCAAAGTAAATTAGAGAATCATTTTCTAAATTAAAGGATTAATTCATGATTTTGCTTACTTGTTCTATATAGTCAATGTACCAAGAATATTTGTTTTGATCCACAACGTCTGCAGAGATAATTGTATCAGTTAATAATCTGAAAATCTAGATTGATAATATAATTGATCTCTGATCCTTTAGATATAGAAACATGCATTCCTGGAAAAGATGACTATATTCTAATTTTAATTATCGCATTTACATGTATCCTCCTCAAAAATGATTTTTATTGCTGACTTTATTAGAATTTTGCAATAGAAAGGAACATTTAGATTTGTGTATATTTCGAATAAGCTTTGCTTGTAAAGTTGAGTTATCAATTCTAAATAATTTGATATTCTATTACATTGATTTGATTTCATTAGTTTAATTGTAGCATTCAAAACTGTGGCCATTTAAAGGTAATCTGTGATTAAATGAAATCTCATTACTTTAATCTTGTACTATGATCAATAATCCTAATTATTGAAAATGTTGAGGATTAGTAATTAAATGTTATATTAATTATTATTCTGCTTATTATCTATGAGGGGAACACGAAAAGGATGTCAGAAGTAATTATTAAACTTCATTCATTAATTATATTAAATGTTATAATAATTACCTACATAATTCAACAAGTACATTTAATCATTATTCAAATCTCAAAATACTATTATGAATGTTAAATTACATCTATTTAATGTGTAATTAATCTATAACTAGTTGAATTATCATTTTTATTGCATATGTCTTTAATGAGTTATCTCATACATATTATATCCAGAATCTCTGTATTTACTACCTTTCAATGATGACTATTTGACCTCGTAATTATTTAACTGTGTATTATAAAGTTGTGAAACGCATTTAAAGTTAATAGTCTATTTTATACTTTGGCCTTTTCAATGTAAATGAATTTAGATTTTGGAGCATATTTATCATTAGTATTTTAGTTTCCATATTTGAATAATATACTCTAGATAAATTGAACTTCTTCAGATAGCTCTCATTGATTAAAAAATCTTATGGTTCTTAACATAAAACTTGTTGTATGTGATAAAAATAGTACTCACTTCAAGTATGACATAATCAATTACAGGATTTATCAGAATATCTTATAATGAATATAATTTAACTGCTTTATGTTCATAAATGTAATTAATATGATAGGTGATTGAAGTATAAATAAAATGATAATAATATAAATATTATTAAATATCAATCAGAATAATATATAATTGTTTGCATTAAAATAATTGTCAATATATTTAATTTAAAAATACACGTCAGATTTAAATCATCTACGTACGAATATTACAACAATATTGTGCCTTTGTATACCTGAGATATTGTATTTAAAAATCCATATATAATAAATAATGAACTCAAGAAGCACACATCTTACAGAATATGCAATCAAAGAAATCATCTCCGAGAAATTCACTTCATGGAAATCAGTCACTCCTTCAAACATCAGCATCACTAGATTGACAGGGTTGACTAATATAACTTACAAAGCTTAGGCTATGATTGACACTACACCTTAAACAATTTTGTTCAGAGAGTAATGAGTTTTATCATTTAAAACTAGATTTGGCAATGCTGAAGGATTTGTGGATTCATAACAAGAGAGGATCATCTTCAAAACAATTTCTGACATGGACCTTGGACCTTAGTAATTGGAATGTGGTAACAGTTGGAGGATGGAAGAATTTGTAAAAGATGGAGTACATCCTAACAATTAAAAAATGGCTGAAGCTGATTTTTAATTTAAGTCTATGGGAGTGTTGTAGAAATTCCATTAGATGGAGATCCCTATACCCAATAATGGCTAATCTTCCATTATAAACAAGACTCTCTCTGGAGAAATGAAGGCAAATGTAATAAAGAAGATAGAAAAACGAGGATTGTACACAGATGTAGAACTTGAATAATTGGAATGTATTGAAAACTTCATAAATAATGAAGAAGAATTCAATTATCTGAATGAAATGACTCAAAAGGAGAATAATGAGGAGGTATTGTTATTAACAATAATTTTTAGTTAAAATTCTGCCATAATGATTTGAATTAATTAAATATATTTAACACTTCTAAGAAGGACAAGGAAATCATCTTCATAGATTATGAATATTGTTCATATAATTATCCCTCTTATGACATTGCTAATTTCTTAAATGAATCTGCAATCAACTATTAACACGAAGAAGAACCTTATTATGTTCTAGTGGATGACAATTTCAATACTGCTCCAATTTAAGCACATTTCCTTGCACTAAGTTACATAATCAACAAGGAGTGCACCTAATTAGAAATTGATTAGATCTAAAGATTGATCAATGAGAAAACCAATAAAAACAAGGATGAATTGAAGACTTTCATCTAATTAGTTAAACAGATTCTTGAATAGAGATTAAGCGAATAAGATATTGTGGAGTTGTTCAAGGCGATTTCTTATTTAAAAAGAAGAATCAGAAGATTGTAAATCTTATCCAATTTGAATTGGGTGTGGTGGAGTATTCTTTTGGCTCATGAAAAGAATTCTCTCAATTTTGAATATATAGATTATGGTTTTTTGAGATTCAAAATGCTCGAAAAGCTTTTGGAATTGGAAAAAGCAAGAAAAAATACTTAATGATTTTCACTATTGTAAATATTTGTTTTATAGAGTCTTAATTATAATTTTTATTTAATCTCATTATTTATGTAATCAATAGAGAAGGAAGAAGTAAAATTATAAATTTCTAAATGAGATTCCATACTTCAAATTTTGTTAGAAATTGGGTGGAGTGAAAATGAAAGACATCTACATATCACCCACCAAGGCAGCAACATTTCTCCATCTAATCAATAATGTAAGTCTCTTATTTATATACAATAGAAATGCCCAAAATAAACTGCTCTTCAATTTGCCCAGAGAAGGATTTGCAAATGGGATACCACAATTAAAATGGATGGACCCAGTACATGTCGCATTTTGAAACCTAAAGATAATAGAGATGTAATATATGTATATCCAATTGCTTTAGAAAAGAATAAATGGATGGTAAAATATTGGCATGGAGATGTACTATGATAATAAGGCAACTGTAGCTGACAAAAATTAATTAGAGTTAGATTTTGATAATGATGCTATTTAAAAATAAATAGAAAAGAATGAAATGAAACTGAAGAATGATTTCAAAAACAAAATAGTCCATCTATAATAATTCTATAGAGATCTCAATCAGAAATACTCTTTTAATTCAAATGATCCCGATTTTAAAACCAAAATTAAGAAGGCCAAATTTGATTTACTCAATAGCAGGAATTTGCCTGTCAAATATTTCAAAGCCAAAGGAATGAAATACATTGAAATCTATAATGAATTGAATAAAAGGATGACAAACAACTCAAAGGATGGTCTTCTAAAGCGTTTGCGAGTCTTCAATTAGCTAAGAACTGATTAGTATCGAGTCAAGGAAAAATCTATGGCTGATCTCTATAAGCAAAAGAAGGAAAACTACAGTCCAACTCATAAGGAACTTCAGCATGATGTCAAGATCTATGATAATATGGAAGAATAGAGTGAACAAATGTTGAAGATCATTGATTAAAGCAATGAGTTTTCAATGAAACTTAAATAGAAAGATTAGAAGGTTGGTGTATCTTAAAAAGCTATAGTGTTTGCTGAAGATTTTAATCGAACAAAATATATTTTCAATTTGACTAAATAGAATCAAATGCAAAAAATGTTTGAAATACCTGAAATGCCATAATTGTTGATACCTCAAAGTAGTTCAAGTATCAGACTGAAAAAGAACTTATCATCTCCTATGAGCATGGATGAGCAATTTGATAGTTGTCTCAATTAGTATGCTCATGAAGTGTTAGAATATCAATAGGAAATGTTGGACAAAGAGATTTCCACTGACAATATTGAAAAACTATTATAAGAGAAGGAGAGTTTGAGATGTAGTTAGATGAGGAAAGTATCTAAAACATATCATTCTCCTCAGCCGAGTTCTCGTTTAGATTCAAGTAAGCAAATGAGAAATTAACAATTATCATCCAGAGATAGGGAATCTACGAAGGCTGGGAACTCGTTTCATTTAAAATCAAGGACCTATGCTGTAAGTCCTTTTTGTAAATGATGAATTTATTTTGATTATTTCTATATATCTACTATAAAGTGATACAAATTATTTTAATGATAATTTAGCAATATCTACTTTTGCATATCAGTACTAATGAAATAATATATGTAATAAAGGGCTCGTTCGCTAATTGCTCGGCAATATTACAAAAATAAATACGGTCCATAATTGATTGAGGATGACAATGTATTGGATGTTTAGATAGGAGATGATAATACGTAAAATCCCATTTTATTATTTCATTTAGATTACAAGCAAGACAAGGTTTGGTAATCACAATAAACTCAGATGATGAAGGGCCAAAACAAAAACCTTCTTTGCCAAACTTTTCAGAGACAGTTGTCAAAAAACAAGAATGTACATTGCAAAAATTTGAAGACAGAAATAGTACATCACAATTATAACTCACTTTGCAATAACAATTACAAACACAAACTGATGTCTACAAACAATAGCAACATTAAGTAAGCAATACACTTGATAGTATGTCATAATTGTAAAAGTCACTTTCACAAATTAAAATCCAATAGCCTTAACCAAGTTAGACTGTGAACCATCAATAATAACCATAACATCAAAAATAACAATAAGTTAGGTAACCAATAACTAAAGGATTTGGGGAGCAGAATCAAAAAAATAATGAGAAGCCAAAGTAAAAAGTCATCTCAATTCCTGATCAAATTCAAACAAAAATGAATATAGAATCTGATGAAGAAGAAGTACAGATGAATAAAGTACCTAGAAAATAGGTAAGGCCTAATGAGGATGAAACTCTGCCTTAAATTCATTTCAAAAAGAAAACAGATGTATTTTCTCAATTGAAATAGAAGGTATTTATTATTCTCTATTAATTGATAGATTACACAACCATTAAATGAAAACACGGCTTTACAAATCTAATATAAATATAAGTAAAGAGATGAACCTTCTCCAGACTTGGAACCACCTCAAAATGTTGCCCCTGTTTCATATTAGGATTTCATTGCCATGAAGAATAGAGAGATCAATGCTGCTAAATAGAGAAAGCAAGATGAGGAATATAGAAAGTAATTGTTACAATAAAAGAAATAAGAAAAAGTGGCTCCTGAGAAAATAAGAGAAGGGGAGACTCTGCAATAATATCAATAGAGAATGATAGAATATTTGCACAAATAAAATAAATACAAGAACAAAAAGAAGTACAAGAGAGGTACTGATTTGGACAACAAAAAAACAGCTGAAGAAAAACAAAAGATCAGCGAATTGATGAAAATGATTGATCCAAATTTCTAATAAGAAGAGTTAGATGAAAAACCAATCAAACCAGATCTCTTAAATTATGATGTCTTACTTAAAAATGGTTTGATCTTGAAATAAGCCTTTGTTAAACCACCTGAACCTGATATCAATCCCATGCTTAATGTTTACAAAAGAGGGAGGTATGCAACTGAATTCATCTTCAGTGGTGGTATCGATATGGATGATGGCCCATATGGATAATAAACAAAAAAGAAACCTAAAAAATTGCCATTCCCAAAACACCGATTAAGTTTATCTCCTTGGGAATACTATGGAGTAGGACCAGAAGAATATTTTGCAACCAGAAATCCTAATTTTGAATTCAAATAGAAATATGTCCCTGTTAAGGATTATTATAATGAAATGCCAAGGCCTAAACAGAATCCAAAATATTTTAGTTATGATGTGGATTAGTTGTTGGCTAAACGATACTAATCCATTCATCTAGAGTATCAATACTAAACCTCATTTATTGGTTATAAATAAAAACATTGGACTCCTGCATCTCATTTGAAAGCCGTTTGTCCAAGTTTAGTATTAGAATATGAGAAGTACGAAAGAGATAGACTGTTTTGTTATGTTGTTTGTGCTAAGGTATCAAAATATTAACTGATTGAAACAGTTGGAATCTTAACTTCGAAATACACCAAAAATAAAATAGAAAATTTGGTGATGACCTATTGGAAGGGTGATTCAAAAGGAGAAAAAAAAACTATCTCAAATTTAGAAAAACAAGTTCCTCATGAGCAAATGAAATAAACTGATGAGATGGAGTTGTTTAAAGATGATGAGGAGGAAGAGAATGAAAAGAAGAAAAAGATAAGTAAAGAGCAAAGACATTTAGAAGATGAATGGGATCCTACTAAAGATGAAGCTACAGAAAGAGGCAGAAGGAACAAGTTGAGAAAAGAAAAGTTTTAGAGAATTGCAGAGGAATTAAAATTAAAATAATAAATTTAACCTGACAAAACCAATAAGAAATCTAAAAAAGACAGTGAAGGAGAGAATAATACTAATATGGAAGTAGAAAATTAAAGAAAAGATGAAAATTAACCAGCTTAATCAAAGAAGGAATAAAAAAAATAAAAGAGAAACAGAAAGAAGAAATAAGAATAATCTAAACAAGTTGTAGAATAGGAAGCCAATCAATTTGAAGAGTAATTCTAATAAGAACAACAGAATGACAATGAAGCACAATCAAAATAAGTAAGTGAGGAATAAGTATTTTATGACAATGAAGATCTAGTTTTCAAAGCCAAAATGATTGAATTCAATTAAAAGAGATTCAATTTCACAGGTACTGATGTCGATCTGTAAGAAAGCATGAAATTAGTTTTTCCAAACAATCAACAATAAAAATTGGATTCAGAGAGATATAAATAATTTATGCAGAAATGAATTATATAATTATCAAATTCAATTTAAAATCATATATGAATCAATTTCCGTGTCCTGTCTATTGGTTATAATGTCAATTTATTCCAAACATCACTTTGATCTGCATTCTCATCTATCAGATTTAGTAACTCCTCCCTTTTTAATAATTTACTCTTAAATCATATTTCCAATCATATACATCTAAATTAACTATGCAATGCCACATCAACTTAGCATACTTATTTCTCATTAATGGATCCGCTTCCCTCCCCAAACTCTCTATTTTTATTGTAATTTTCTTTGCTTCTTCCTCTTCCATTCCCAACATTTGAACCAATTCTAACATATTCAGACAAACCTTTCTTCTTAAGCCTTAATCAGGGATTTCATTTTTCTTTTATACTTTTTTTTAACCTCCAACATCTTACTTACTTATTTTAGTTTATTCAATATTATTCTTTTTCTCTTCAATTTTCTACTCTTCATTTGATACTTATTCTTTCTTTTATTAATTAGTATTGTTGTTATTGTTATTTTATACAGTAATGTTATCAGTAATTTAAGCATTGCCCTCATTGATTTGAATTTTATTTTCAGTTTTGTCTTTCTTTTTTTATTTTTTTGTTTTCTCAACTGTTTGTTTTTGAGGCACTTGAGGTGTCTTCTTCTCATTAATCTTGTCCTAATTCATAATGTTTGTGAAGACTTAACCTATAAAATGGATAAAATTTAGTAAAATACTTCTATTTACTTCAGATAAATTCTGAATGATGTTGGCAGCATTGAAGAATTAATTTAATAATGAGTTTTTTAATTTGCTAATTAACTCATGTAATCTTGTTATTTATTAATGAATATCCCTTTAAAAAAAGTGATCTGGATTTTATTCACTTTGGTGTTTCAATATTAAATAGACAGCATTCAGGATAGATCCCTTTCTCTCAGATAGAACTTCAGTGATAGTATTATTTTGAGCTACCTAGGCTTCAATTGTATCAAGGATTGGTGTCAATTTCTATTTAATCTAATCATAATTTAATTGGGCAGCTATCAATAATAACAACAAATCTTAAAATTCCCTGTCTAGATGTTGCTTCTTCTGATGCATCTGAGGAGTTTCCTACAATGGGGATTTTTATACATTCTTTTTAATTTAATTTTAATACATCTTTATTTGGAGTCTCTGGCTTTTTGAAAGATGTTCGCAGATTTCGTTTAATTATGATACTTTTCTTTTTATCTTCTTATTCACTATCACTGTGCTTTTTTTTTTGTTTTTCTTATTATGAAAATGGCGGTCTTTAGAGTTTTTGCGCAGTTTGAATTGCTTCTTTCAATTTTTTGTTTTTCTTGACTTTATCATTGAATTCCTCAAATTTCTCTTGAAAATCAAAAAGATTATCACTCGTCAATATGGAGCTATATATATTATGAATGTACCCTTACTGTGAATCATCACCAATGAAATTAATGGCATACTAATTTCCATCGATTACTTTGGTAATCTAATAAGATAAATAAATAAATTACGGTTCCTGGCCACCAGGGATCTAATTAAATTAAATAAATATTTACGTCCTTTTGTTCTAGCCCAGACAAATTGTGACTTCTTGAAACTTGACTTCATATTATTTATAAAATATAAATATATATTTATTGCGATTATCAATCAATGCAATAATCCATGTTTCAATTCCTTTTGGTTCATTCTAAACTACATACTCCCCACATTCAAATTTATTTTGCAAGGTCCATTGACACTAACAGCCGGATACAACTCTTAATTCTCCCCCATGCTTAAAATCAAGGCTTTCCTCTTCTCCTCAATCTCCTTGTTCCTATTATTCAAGTCTATAAAAATTGTAATTCTATATACTCACCAATATCGATTTCGCTTTCTCCCTCCTCCTTCTTCTTCTCCATTTCCAACTCTTCTTGGTTCTTTCCCTCACTCGCAGGAGGCGGATTCAAAAACCTCCCATTGTAACTCAGCCATACTCTCCCATCTCTCTATCTAATACCAATTCCAATAGTCTCGCCATACACAGCTTAAAACTTATGATCTTGATGCAAAGCGTTCCTCCAGTACACCTAACCTGTATTCGAATGGAATCCTATACTCGTCTGGGATCGACCCAAAGATAACTCCTTCTGAAATTCTTTAGATGAACAAAATCCTAATGTAATGTCAGATTTTCTTGGATTATCTTCTATCTCAATCTCAAAATAGGATGTGGCGTCTATTGCTACAGGTTTCTCTGCTCGAATAGTGCATTTGTCACCAGGCTTACACAGGAACCTCAACTCAATGTACTAGCCATAATAATCTGAAGTTCGCTTCTTCTTAAATACTTTCTTTTTGCTGTTACTTCACTTGATCATTTGGTTCTTCCTTATTGTCATACAATTTCCAGAATCTGAATTTGTTTCTCTGAGTAAATCCAATTTTCTCTTTTGGAATTCCATCTTCAGGCCTTTATGAATATTCCTAATAAACCTTGTATTATCTATATTTTAAATAACCATAAATTAATCCAACTATCCCTACCAAACTACCCACTATTATTCCTGTAATCAATAACCAATGAGATTCTGATGGTTTCGAATTTTCAGCCTATAAGTGTGTTATGTGATGTAAAAACTTATTTTACATGAATATATATAATTTTGTAATTATTAATTATTAAACAATAATATATTGATCTTACTTACCATTTAATTAGTCTGATAATCTGACAGTCTAACAAGCAGAGTCAGAAAATAATCAAAAAAACTCAACTTTCTGAGATAAATTGAAGATGACATAATTTCCAGTAAATAAGCAAATCCATTACATATTCATCTATCAAAAGGTATTCTCTTTATAAGATTTAATGAGATTCTTTTAACTAAATATTAGATTAGTCCTCTAAAATTTCTAAAATTAGAATAATTACAATTAGGAATCGATATATAAGGCTAAGGCAGTATATTTTGAATTCTTAATGAATTCTATAATGTCCAAATCTAAAACATAAATAATTTGGAATTAATAAAAACAGCAATTTTATGAAGGAAAGAAAAGTGATCATTATAAAATATTAAATCCAGTTTAATTTATGACTATTGAAATATCATGATTCTTAATTAATAAACAATAAATAATTAATATAAAGACATCCATCTTATGCAGCTAAAATAAGAATCTTTTGAAAGTGATTTAACTGAGTATCTTAAAATAGAGCAAGAGTTTGAAATTAAATCCTTGTTCAAACAACTCAAAATCTAAAATTAGTAATTGTCAGATAAAAAGTCTAAAAAAATCAAGAAATTGAAACTAAGCATTCAGACCAATTCAATTATACAAAGAAGAAGCCTAAACGTTAACTAAATTTGATATTTTTGTATAAATAACTTCTCTATCGTTTTATATAAGTTAAATCAGTATTATTGATTTCCCTCCACCTAATTTTTAGTTTAACTCAGATTCACTTACAATCTCACTAAATTACGGTAATACTGCTGGTATTACACCTAAGGATTACAATAATTAGTATAAAACTCATTCAACATTAAGGTAACTAAATGGTGTGTTTCATTTTAGACATAAATAAATATTTTACAAATATAAATTTGAGGTGCACTTATTTTATTATACATCTTTTCTAAAATGTTACATTTCAATAATAATAATATAAAATTACAGTTTGCCAGGATTATTTAAAATAATAAGAACTCCAAATGAAATGTAATAAAATATTTGGAAGGATTTCTAATATATATAAAGTATTCCTTTTTATTCGATAATTGTTAAGTTTTCTACCCTTTTTTTTATTCATATAATTGTAGATATAGGGATGTAAAGCCTTTCAAATTAGTGTTATTAAATGATAAAGAATCTACAAGTCTCTCTGTTTTTAAATTTGAAGCATGAACAAATTTCAACAAGAACTATCAATTTACTGGACTAGTTATTAAGTTGTAGTTTATTGTTCTCTAAAGTTATTTACGTTAATTTAAATAAGGAATCTAGAGTAAGCTAATGTTATTTGTATGATGTATTCATTATTATTACTATTAGTAGTAAGTGTTTAAGGTGTTATTTATTATTATTTATAAATCAATTAAATTTTAATTAACAGTTTTCAAGTTGGCTCTAGAATAATGAAATAAGAGGAGGACAAAGATTTTGATACTTTAGCAAGCATTTGGATGCACATGAAATAAGTAAGAGATATTGAGATAATAGTAAATTAATAATGGAAATTAGATAGCAGAGGGAGACCAAAAATTACTTAATAGTTAGTTAACATAGTAATAAGTGAAATACAATCCAAAAAGTGTTTCAATTTAAATTCAGAAACAGCAAGAAGAATTATTTTAAAAAAACTCTAAACTAATTGATGCATAACAAAAGATAAATGAACTTGAGGAGATTAACCATAAGCAGCAAAAAGAGATTGAGATCTTGAAATAAGAAAAAGAATTGATACTGCAGAAATTCGAGATGATAGAAGATGTTATTGATAGTTTATAGATGGATAAATCAAGTAATAGATTGATCAGACTTGAAAATGATTAATTAAAATAAGACATAACTAGATTGTTAGGCCTATTGAAGTAAACTAAAGAGTTTAATGATATATAAATAGAAAACAATTAGCATTACATTTAAGCTGAATTTCAATAGCAGAAATCTAAAGTACTTGAAAATGGAAATAAGAAACTTGAAGTCTAAGTTTAAGTCAAAGAAGAGATGTAAATGAATATTTCTATTAAGATTTTGGATCCCATAAAAAGCAATAGACATAATCAATAATATCGATATGAATTGCTCTTAAAAAAATGAATTGCTGATATGTCTTAATTCTGCTTTTTATGAGCATTATACTTCCAAAATTAACAAATTAAAATAGTTGACTGATAGTGAAATTAACAATCTGAAACGATAATTAAATTCAAGAATACCCTATGAAGGAATTATGACATAAAAGAAAACCGAGAGAAATTTAAAGGTGTAGTTCTCTGATCAAAAGTCAGAATCAAAAAAGTCTAAGGAAACAATCAATAGAAACCTATTTTAAAAAGTAGATGAGTAATTGAAAGTTAGCAAAGTTATAGATAAGTCCTAAATCTTTATGGAGGGAGCAACTTGGATTAGTATTATACTATTTTATCATAGTGGAAAAGATTAACAATGAAATCACATCATACGAAATGGGTGTCTAAGCTCTGAATTAAGAATTGAGTCTGAAGATTGACACTCTTATTGATTAAGAAGATTTAGCTTACAAAGCAATTATTAATAAGGTGATCATCACTTTAACATTATTAGATATTCAAATGGATCACTGATGCCTCTGAAGAATCGATATACTCTTTAAAGGAAAAGTTAAACTGCATAATGGAATCCACTTAGAGCAGAGCAACTACAAGAAGAACATTTTAAATGACTGAAAATGCTTTCAATTGATTGAAATTTAGTTCATTATTTACTTTATGTTACAAACTATTATAACATTATTAAGATTGAGTAATACTCATTTATTATTACAATTTTCCCTTAGATACAATAATTCTTATAGCATAGAGATATAAAATGGTATTGGAGTTCCGAATAAGCTTGCTGTCGGAGTAACAAAAGTTGATGTAAAGAAATCTGGAAAGGCTAGTTTAGCAGCCCCAAGTTAGTGCTAGTTTGAGAATGGAAATTAATTATACTTATAATAGATCTCCTGATACATTGGGAATGGCTTTGCTTAGGTTGGATAATAGCATTGTTGAAAAAGCTTTTGAATAATCAATAGTGGATGCAGTAACCTAGTTTGTATGAGATTTTTATACATTAATAAATCGAGTCATACTCTTGAATAGATAACTCATCAATTTTTTGGAAGCTTCCATTTATTATTTCAGGATTGTCTATTGCTTTTGCAACTTAATCAATTCTTATCTCATGTCTACAATTTCTTCTCTAAGATTCAAAGTGTTTTCTTGTTTTTTAATCAATTACTTTTTCTTTAGTTCTCGTTTGTCTTAGTTAATAATTTCGTGAATGAACTTGACAGAGTCTTTTTATTTTTCCTTTATTTAAAAGCCATATTTATTTAATTGCCTTAAGAAACTTGAGTATTTATTGTGTTTAAAATATTGAGGCAACAAATTAGTTTTAAATGTTTAAACACTGGAAATAAAAAAGCCTGAATCAGACCATTAAACGATATTCTAGTTTGAATTCTACTATTATCAATATTGGATTTACATCCAAAATTTCATATAACACTTAAAGGAATTTGGACTCTCTCTAATTCTTTTCTCTCGTATCTATTTACATTTATAAGGGAAAAGAAAAATTAAAATTATTGTTATATCTATTATTTTATATATACATTTCACTAAAGAAGTAAGTTTGTGAATTCCTTCATCTAGCCAAAGAATTGATAAAAAGGTAATGGAGTTCCTAAGTTGCTCATCATGGGAGTTTGTAATTTTGTTTCCAGAAGTTCAGGGAACCCTTGGACTATGGAATTTAGTTAGAACTTAGGTTAGATGACAATTCAGTACCTGGAAGAGGTCTCCTCCTATGTTTCCCCATATTTTCTTATGATTTGTGTACATGAGATTCCCAAAAATGTTCGCAAACCCAACGGTATGCAAAGTCATCTAGAATCAACTATAACAGTACCATATTCAATCGAGCATAATGGGATTGCAATTTCATCATGATTTTAATTGAAAGTTGAAACTACTTATTTAAGATCCTTTGTCCTTCTTTGAGATCGTCTAATTGTGCCTTTAAACTTTTTAATTCATTTTTGTAATCTAATTTCTAGGAATTCTTCTTGATCGTCAAAACTCTCTTCGTTTCCCTCTAGTTCTCCCTAATAGTAGGATGAGTGAAATAAGCTTTTAAATTTTCTTTAGATTTTATTTTGAATCCATATTTATTGAGCTATCTCATGAAACTCTAGTAATTATTGTGTTTGAAATTGGTAGGGAGCAATTATGTTTTAAATTCGTCCACATTCTATATTACAAACCCATGTTCATACCATGTTATGATCTAATCATTTTTTGGATTCTATCTAATATTAGATATCAATACATCAAGCATCCCATATAAATGTCTCAAAAATTTTTACCTCTGCTTCTCTCCACGATTCCCGAATTCCTCTTAAAGTTCCTTCATGAGTAAGTAATTATACTTAAGAATATTATGATTTTTATATTACTATCAATGGATAAATATATATATTTAAAAATCACAATTAAAGTTCGAGCAATTATTGGAATAATTCCGAGTATTTTTAAGATTTCAAGTGCAATTCATAAATAATTTAACTCAGTATTCTTTACTTGTAATTAACATGTTGCAGATTCTCCATTAATTAATTTTAACTAGATTTCAAAATCATTAATTGCGAGAGAAAAGAGGAATCTGTATCTATAACAAATTCAGTTCTTCTCCTCTTGATTTTATCTATTTATCTGTAGTCACTTGTCCAATTCTCATTGTAAAATTCTGTAGTATTGGCTGATATTCTGGTATTCTTAAACCCATAATTATTCATTTACCTTAAATATATTACTTCAGATTACTTTTAGAAACTTGAATAATTAGGTTACTTGAAATATTAGGGTAATATTATTTCCTTGAACAATTTGATTTGATGGATGATTAGTTTACATCCTTTTTCATCCCAACTAATTATATGACCATTTACTTCATCCTATAATAATTGCATTACACTACATTAAGCATTGATTTCAATTTCACCAAGAAGGTGGGCACTTTTGTATCAGACATCTGGTATTTGATTATCAATATTTGATAGTCTAACTAATTGAATTTATCAAACTGCATTTTATATTGAACATTCTATGACTTATAATATGTTTTATTAATTCTATAATATTTTATTAATCATATTCATTTTTAAGTGTACACTCAAAAAAACAGATCATATTATAGAATTATATATAGACTGTGTACTTTTCAACTTATTCTGTGATATATATCAAAAAATATAAAAACTTACAATCTCCCAAATGAAATAAATCATAAAGTAGTCTCACTTTTCACACCTTTTTATTATGAATAAACAAAGCTTGCACTTATTTGCACTATTAAATATAATAAATAAATAATAATTTCTAAAAACTAAATCAGTATCAATTCACATATATAATGTATTTTTTAAGGGAAAAACGAAATAACGAAAATGAATTGATTGCTAATTTTGAGGAAATAAACAAAAAATAAATAGAAAACACAGAAAGAAAACATATGATGTGGACAATTTCCAGGTTATCCAAAAAAATATAAAATGTATAGTAAAATCATTAACTTATAATAGAAAAACCATTTGATTTTGGTCTAAGTGAATTGTTGATGTACTTGACCACTAGGGTAAAATAGAATGGATCAAATTTGGATAATATGATAATAAGCAAAAACTGTAAATTTTATATTGTCGTAATTTCTATATAAATTAATCTGATTTAGATAAAGAAGTCGAGATATTTTACGTTAAGCATGCATTCAATACCAATAAATTCATTGAGTTTAGGTTTTCTTGAGAAAAAAGAAATTTCAAAATTAGTTTAATATGTGTCTTAGATTATTATATCTAATTGGAACTTGGATGAGAACGTGATCAATTGTCCTTTTTATGATTCAAATAGAAAAGAAAGAACTTTGAACGATAGTCAAATGTTTAATTTTAAGAGTTTAAATTTTCAACATTCGCTTTTCAAAACATTAATATTAGTTTTAATCCGAAATGTTCGTATTAACTTAAATACCAATATTTATAAAATAACACGTTCATTAATTAAATTATTAGTAACTAACTAATTATCAATTTATATAATTAATAAAAGCTCAAATGTATTCAAGCCACAATCTTGTTTTGCAATAAAATTTGCCCAAATAAAAGAGATCAATTTGTCTAAATATAATTTTTTGAAAAATTGATTAACATTAAAAGTAATAAATGATTACTTAATTCAATCTTCTATATATTATAACTAATTAATAAATTATATGAATACACATTACGAAGGATTTTTTACTCAAAAGCATTCGCTCGATTTCGATGAATTTGTTTACAAAATTACAAGAAACTAGTAAATGTTGGTTTTTCTGTTAATGACATTCTTTGCCTTATTCAGGATTGTCTCAACATTAATAGCAGGGAAATCTTTTTATATTCTTTATGGAGGGGGGTTTTTAATCTATACAATTATACTGTTAGTGATTTCTTACAAAGGAAAACTATGGGTTAAGAAATATGGAAATCTTTTGACTTGTTGTGTCCTGAGCTTGCTGTAAATATAGGAATTTCAAATAAACAACTTAGAAGAACTTTAATAAAATTCATAATTAATTGTGATCTTTTTAATGATTATATATAGTTTTTTGAATCTGAAAGGAGCTTGCTTTTAGCTAATTGTATTTATTGGATTAAAAACTTGGATTCAAATATCAGAAAAGGGCAATTTCAGCATTCTTAATTTCATCTTTTATTTGCTGGAGGCAATATCAATTGGATTGTTTGTTTATTTCCAATAGCAAGGACTGAATATTAGATTTTCTCAAGAATGTTTTTAAAAATAACTATGTAATAAAATTAATTTAATTAGTTCGGTTTTTGCCCGATTTGGTACAAAATTAATTTATGATGTTTAACTTGGAGTAACAAAGTTCGAGTTTTCACTTAAGATTTTAGAGTGAGATCACCTCTATAAAATGGGATGATTCCAATGCACCAACATCCAATCTCCGAGCTTTTTTAAGGAATACTTATTACTAGGATCAATCACTGGAGTAATATATTTTATCAAGAAACGATCTGAATAGCAATAATTACAATCATTATTATGCTCAAAACCTGATTGTTTACAATGTAGATAATGATCAATCTTCAATCGACATTAATTATGTTGAATGTTTTCTTGGTCAAAAATATTATCTAATCACTTTCAATGAAAACAAATACGATTGTTTAGAAAGAATAAATAACTCATTAATCACATGCATTAATAGAAATTAATAACTTACTATTAGTTTCTTAAAAAAACAACTCAACCAAATTTCCACAATTATGACCACAAAAAGTTAAATTTAACTATTAGCTAAATTAAAGATTCATTGTATGTATTTCCTGGGCTAATTTTTATAAGTTAATAGTTTTTCGTAAATAGATCGTAATATCAAAGACATCAACCTCACAAAACTCTTACAACTAATGGTTAACCTCTATTGCAATGCTTATTAGCCCATTTAAATAGAATTATAATCAGATGAATATTATGATTTCTACATTTAGAGTAATGAGGAATTGATTCAAACCTTCTTTTAAATACTATGCTAATTATTGATTCGATTAAAAGCAAATCAAACACGAAATTAGTTGATTTTTGGATAAGATTAAAGTACTACAAAATTATTTTATATTGTTGTCAGAACTGAATGTTATTAGGAATATAAAATATAACTTCAGAATAACCCTTTCTTTTAGAAAATATAGAGAAGATTGTGTCCAAATCTCGACATTCTCGCATAAAATTAGTGTAAAATTTATTCATCATATATAGCTGTGAAATTATATCTCTATAAAAATTATTAACCTTTGGAAGAGATGAGGGAGTTCGAAGATGAAATTATTTGATGATTTTTTAGTAACAGTGATATATATCCACATATTTTATTTTAAAACAACTATGTTTATAATTATATTCTTTCTATTTTTTTGATATAGTTTGTAAACCTGATTGAATATTAAATTTATCAAACTAAAATGACAAAGAAGATCACTTTACAGTTTTTCGAATCCTTCAATTTAAATATAAGTTATTGAATATTTTTGAGGAAGAAAATTATTGATTCTTTATGACTTCTACTGAAGAGCTATTCACTCATTTATTTATGGGAAAATGAACTCATAGATCGAACGATTAATTTTACAAGCTACAGCATACTAATGGTAAGTGTATCCCTAATGGATTTCCAGAAATAGTGAAAATTAATTTCAATACACAAATATAAATTATGAATTCTGTCGACTAGGTCAAATTATCATTCAAGTCCTTATTGTCCATTGCTTGAATAGATACAAATTCATGATTTTGAACACAACTAAGTTCTATTTTCATGTATCCTAGAAGCACATCTGAACGTGACATTTTACCCCATTTCGGGATAGCAATTTGATAAATTATGTGTTTATATGGTTGAATAAATCAGAATAAGGAATATCTTCTTGGAATTTTCTGTCTAACATGGAAATAATAATTCCTAAAGAAAGAATGTCAATAATACTGTAAAGTCCTTCTATATTTGTACTAATAGATGAAGAAAAATTAATAGTAATTACATAATGTTTGTGATACTTGATAAACATGAAAAAGATGAATAGACTATTTAATTATTAAATAAATAGAAAACTGTCATAATTTATGGTATTAATTAACATTAAATTTTTATCATAAATCTCAAATAAAAGTACTCTAATCAATATACTTTTATGAGATCCATTTATAAAGGATTTCATTGAAAAATATGCTGAAATGGTTTTTATAAATTGAATGTAAAAATAATATCAAATAATTTCACTGATATAGTTGGTTAAATTAATATATAATGAAATAATATTTGTTTATATTAATAATAATAACACAGAATAAGGATTTATTTAAAGAATTGGAAGAGTGTGCATAATATCAACTGGAAATTCACAGGAACTCAAAATCGTTGAATGAAATCAAGATGTTAGAGATATTATGATACAGGACTATAAACAAACATAAATGTCAATTGCAAATCATTTGATTTTATTGAAAAACAAAACCTTATCTTATCTGGTAACAGATCTTCGATGATACATATTCTTTCTTTGACTAACAAGTATAATTTAATCCTCATCTTATTGTTATCTGTAAGAATTTAGTTTAGTCACACTAGAAGATCTACCATTACGAAAGGATAATTTAAATAATATGGGCTATTCTTTAAACCAAGAATGATTTTGAATGTCAAAGATGTTTGCCCTCTCTTTTGGGGGATTAACAAATATTTAACTTAACAGATGTATTAAATCTTTGGAGACACTTTTCTTGGGTATGCCATAATTACATTAAATGATATTTCTATAGGTTTCAGAAGGATTGGCTCCATCAAAAGGAAGTTTTCCAAAAACCAATCCATAGATAATGCATCCAACTGCCCAAACATCTTAGGATGGTTGGATACATTTATATGAAGGGGACAAAACTTCTGGAGCCAGATAAGATAATGTACCTACAACACTATCGGGTAGTTTTTATTGTCCAACATAACTCGAAACTCCAAAATCAATAATTTTTATCTATTTTTTGAATTAAAAAATCTACTTCTTTGGAATTCGGAGAAGTTAACATAATATTTTCTAATTTCAAGTCGCAGTGCACAATGCTGTTCTGATGACAATAGGCGATTGCATCTACTATTTGTTTCGAATATAGCTTAGCATCTGCTTCACTTAATTTGGCTAAAAATAAATAATAAAAATTAGGATATACAATTGGCTTAGTTTAGGAGTGATCCACCATTCAAGTATTCTAAAACCATAGTAATTTCTCTCTGATTTTATGTAAGATAGCTTTAATGCAATTTAACAATATTTTTATGATCCAATGCATTTAAAATTAATTATTCTTATGAAATTCCATCTATTTCCTATCCCAACCATGTTTTCAAACTAATTATTTTCAGAGCAACAGATTCTTTAGTGAATTTATGTTTTCCAAGTAATACAATTCCTTAACCTCCCTCCCCTATCTTCTTGATGATATCATATTATTGCTGGATAATATTTGGCTTTAGGTCTTCGTTAGTTAGTTCCACGTATAGTGTTGTGCCTCTTTTGATGTTAATCAAGTCCTTTTCTTCGACTTCGGTTCCATCAGGCTTGAATAGCCTTAGAAATTTCAAATTCCTTCTCCAACTAATTTTAATCAATTTCATAATATCTGAGAATTTGGTGTTTTGGTTGAGTAACAAACACAAGGGATTGCAATTCAATGAAATCAATGTACAGAATCGTACTTATTTGGATAAAGTAAATTTAGGGATGCTCATCTATTTATTTATTATAATCAAAATTCAATATTCTGCATTTTTATTTGAAATGCAATTATGGAATTGAATTTAATCTTTCAGTTACATCACCAAATTAATATGTCTCAAAAAAGTAGTTTTCCTTGATTTTGAGGAAATTTGTTTAGAGTTGTTCCACATGTATTATGTTTGGTATGGAACATTCTGAAATTAAATTGATATTCGATGATAATCTGTAATAATATTTAAAATTATAATTCAATTATTATATATTATGAAATCATCTAAAAGTTCTTAATTTCTGAAAATTTATAATTTATAATCAATTCTCTTCTTGAAACTTATTCATGGACTTCAACTACGATACATCCCTATACAACTAAATATTGATTGCATTCTCACCGATCCTAATCTCAGAGTCAGGAGAATGCAATTTAAGATACAACTTAATGACCGAATTCTTGTTCAGGTTTTCGAATAGAATAAATGAATTGAAACAAATTATCTGAACAAACAAAATCTCAAGTTTGGAGTGCAAAATGATTCTGATCTTGGATCTTTAATCTAACGTTGTCTTCCTCAGAGTAATCTACAACAATTGAATGATGAAATCTTAAGGCATATCTTTATAATGAACAACATCGAATTTAGTATCTGTGCAATCAAATTGAAGATTAACATCGGAATATGCTTTTTGAAAGAGTGAAATTATGGCCAGAAACAGTTGCTTATAATCAATAGAGACAGTTTCAAAATATGTTTTGGCTTATGAAAACGAATTTGATATCTTATATTTGCCTTGGAAATACAAGTGATGGAGTTTTAATTGATAAAGTACTTGGATTCTAGATGTTTCATTCTGTAGACTCAAATTGATTAATGTCGCCTGCTTCTTTAGAAAGTTGTACACAATGGATTAATGCTAGCCAATCAAATTAATTAGTTTATCCTTCGTAGATTGTAGATACTATGTTCTTTAATTAGATTACTCTAAGACAATTAAGAAGTTGTCATCCAAGTTATACAACTCTGCAAGGAGAATATTTGTTTCTTCAAAATCAACAGAGTCATATTAATTTGGTCTAAGTGTAAACTAATTTAGATCGAAAAACTTAGATTTTTTATCTATTCTGTTCAGTATGAATTGTTCAATTGTTACACCAGAAATGTGTTATAGTCTGAAAAATTATCGAAAATTATCCTCCTAAGAGAATTCTTGAGTGCAATAAGGGAACCTATCCATTTTACTTGAGTTCTTGTATTTAAAACACATTCTATGGTGATCAAATGAGAATAGCACAAATGGGTCGCTTATTACTGAAGGCAATAATTAATCTATAAGAAATTGAAATATATAATATACGCCAATCATTTCCTTGATTATTACTCAAAAACAGGAGTCTTCTTTCCTTTTCGATATTGTATACTACAGAAACAAAACAAATAGGACATAAAATGGATAATATGACTGAACAACTATCAGTTTTACCATCAAAGAGTCCAGCTATTAGTAATTTGAATAAAGTTTAACAAACAATATTGATTGCTGCCAATTTATAATCAATAATTAATAGTATTGAAGTGTGTGCAATGGCTAAGTTTGTGCCAAGAATGAATTGATTGGTGCCTTATTAATCATGAATTTAGTGTAAAATAAGCAAATTGTTAATAAAGACCATGCAAAATATTGTACCAGATGAACAGAATTTTAAAATTAAAATAGACATCAGTAATATTATGGATAAGATAATCGATGTGATTAATATGCCAGCAATATTCTCTTCATTAGCAAAACTTATTAATCGTATTAGGGCTATTATAAACGAAAGTAAGGCTGTTTTCTTGAAGTTATCATAACAATATTGTTCCTTTTCTTTCTGATACAGAGTTTCTAAGTGTTACTATTGAAAGGTCTGTGTAAATTTATTCATAGTTTTAATAATAACATAAATATATATTTTAACTAAAATCTTTTTATGTCCTTTAATTATAGTCATCCTGATCTTAGCATTTTGTTACATTACTACTTTGGATAATCATCATTTTCAGTCCCTTTATATTTTCATCCATTTTTCACCATATAAATCCAGGTGTCTTAATGAGAAAAGACAAAGTATAAAAAATTAATAAAGTTTACAAGATAATTATGGGAAGTAATTTTATAATTAAGCTTAACAAAATCAGCAATATAAATTATAAATAAATAAGAAATAAATAAAATTAATTATATTTATATTAATATAAATTACATAATATCCAAATGTCAAGAGTCAAACAATCTTTATGTAATGATAATATTTGAGTCATAGACGCCTAGCCATCACCAAGTACAGGTAGAATTTAAAAGATCTCAGAGAAGCTGTCAACCATTTAGATTGGAGTTGAGAATGAAAGGTTTTAGAAATTGGAATAAGCTGAACAACGTATTCAATAAGCAGAGGATGCCTTTAATGAGTTTCAAGAGTAAATCTTCACTAGATTGAATGGATTGAGAGATTAAGTAAACAATAAATTGAATTGAAATTACAGTTAGGCAAATTATAGAAGCAAGTGGAGGATGACAGATTGGCAAAAGAATAAGCCATCGAAGCCAAGAATAGAGATGTTTAGGCTTTGACTAAGAAGTTTGAAAATGCAATTGAGAATGAGCAGCAGACCAAGAAGGAAGGAGAAGCCAAGGTTCTTAGATTGACAGAAGATAAATCAGCATTACTCAGAACAGAAGTCTAGAAGGAAACTGCCTAAAGAATAGATGCTATTGAAGGAATTCATTAGGGATTACAAAATGATTTGCCAAAGATCCAAGAGGCAATTCGAGAAGAGGCCAATGAAAGAGATGAGTCTGATTAAAATGTAAGGAGATTAATTTTATTTTAGGTTATGAAATCGATCACCGATGAGTTGGTAAAGTTGAGCAGCTTGATCAATGTGGAGAAGAGAAACAGAGATGAAAGCGAATAGTCCATATTTGAAATGCTTAAGGATATAGTGAATAGAGTTAAGGTGGAATTGGATCAAGAGAAGAGAACCAGAGAATAATCAGAAGAACATTTGCTTAGTTTATTGGAAGACACCTGTAATAAATTAAGTATTGCAGCAAATTTATGAAGAATTTATATATTCATCTGATATCAGTATTTATAATATATACACATTTCTATGGTTTTGATTCACTATAAGAAAACAGAGTTAAATCAATTCCTTTATGAATGTAGTGCCAATACTCCCACTGATTAAGTCATTAAAGACCTTGTGTAGAGTAATAACATCTGAATATCATATTAGTCAATAACATGAGGATTATTCTAGATCGTTTAGCATGTGCTATGGAAGATTTGGCCACACATGGTAATATGCTAATCCTATAAATCGAATAGGACCCTTAAAACCTGAAGACACTAGGGGACTATCTGAATAATCTTTAATTGATGCAGCAATCGAAACCATGGCGCCTGAAAAAAAACCATGGGCAGTCACTCCTCAATAATTATTGCCTGGTTAACGATTGAATCCTGACAAAACTGCATATCGTACTGGGGTTATTCAAACAGAAGAGTTGGCTAAGATGGTTATTGAGAATTGTACAAAAGTTAAACAAGCAATTTCTAAAAATCTAGTAGATTTAAAATAATGTCTTACTACAAAAATTGTTCAAGACTAATTAGATTTGCTAAGAGGTTGCATGATGATCTGTTATCCTGGATACCATGGATTGCCACCTTGGGAACCAGCCAGAGAAATATTAGAAGGCCAATATGATACTCAAGCTACATTTACAGAATAGTATGACTTCTTAGATGAAAAAAATACATCCTTATGGTGGGCTGGCAAAGAACTATTGAGAGGCAAGTTATTATCCGACTTCATTAAGAAGAATGAAAAAACTAAAATTGTAACTCTAACCACTCATTATTTTTTAGATTGTAAGGTTGCAAAAGACTGGGGCTGGTGCTCCTGTTAGAGAACCTGCAGTCGATGCTGAGACTCAAAAGAAGATGATGGCATTCTATTATAAAAAATAATAAGAACAAAAAGTATCTCTCTTAATTTCTATACTCGTAGGAATTAGAAGCTGATAATGAAGATGTCTATTTAAATTCTTCATGGCTAATCCTAAATAATTGAAATAATAACTTATGGGAGCTAAGGATTAAATTTAATGGAAACCAAAATGATTTCGTATTGTGTAATAAGAGTATAATTTAATTTATTAAGTAATTCATTTCATTAACCAACACACAAGTCTATATCATTATTGGAGCTCATATTATTTAATTATTTAAAAGTACTTTCAATCTTAATCAACTCGTAATTATGATTTAAGTTAATCAATATTATTTCCGACTTCATGTCAAATTTAATATAACAATGCGGTATTACCATAACTCAAAGACTATCAATAACATTGAATTACTAAGTAACAAACACATATTGCAAGGTAGATGATTATAAACCAGTTGATGAATTTATGTGATGCAATCGAGACAGAACTGTTTTGTTAAAAATAAATTATTTTCGATATTCTTACAGAGGGTATTTGAACTTAAAATTGATTTTGAGTCATTATTTCTAATAGAATTTCAATTAATTGAAATTTATAAAACCTTTCTTATAATTTGGGAATTCTTGTGAAACAAATCATTAATTATTGTATTATTTTATTTAAAATCAAGATCTTTTTCATAAGAACAACCAAACAAAAACTTTTATAATACAGTCAATTTAGAAGGCTTTGAAAATGGGAAAAATTAATATTGTTTGATTCTTTCATTTTCTGTTATTTTAATGTTATTTTTATTATTTGCTTATTAGATTAAGTTAATCATTCTAGTTTGAATATAGACAGGGTCTATTTTATAAGCAAATCAAGTGTTTTTCTGGGAAATTCGATTTCACTCAATAAATAGGTAAAAATGTGAATACAGCTTTTTACATCAATCTCTTTCATTCAATAATCAGGAAAATGGTCACAAATATATTGTTCATTATGATTTATATGACAAGAAATAATTAATTTCTTGTAATTCTTAATTAAGGCTTTACTTGTGCCCCTAATGCAATCTATAATAAAAAGAAGAAATTCTGAAATACCAGATCCATAATAGCCACATGTTGAATGGTTGGAAGAATATTTGGATCTTGAAACAATTGAAATAACAGTGCTATAAAAAATTCATAATTCAAATGATCAAGCCAATTTTGATTGTGTAGTGTACATTTCTAATATGTTTAATTGTTATACTTAATTTAAAATAGTGTACTTTAAAAATTTGGAATCTTAAGTAGAATTGATATAAATTTTAGGCATTTAAATAATTTGAGACGAATTCCTTCCATATGACTCCTTTCAAATAAACCAAGATAACAAATCCTAGATAATATATCAATGAATGGCTNGGAATTAGAAGCTGATAATGAAGATGTCTATTTAAATTCTTCATGGCTAATCCTAAATAATTGAAATAATAACTTATGGGAGCTAAGGATTAAATTTAATGGAAACCAAAATGATTTCGTATTGTGTAATAAGAGTATAATTTAATTTATTAAGTAATTCATTTCATTAACCAACACACAAGTCTATATCATTATTGGAGCTCATATTATTTAATTATTTAAAAGTACTTTCAATCTTAATCAACTCGTAATTATGATTTAAGTTAATCAATATTATTTCCGACTTCATGTCAAATTTAATATAACAATGCGGTATTACCATAACTCAAAGACTATCAATAACATTGAATTACTAAGTAACAAACACATATTGCAAGGTAGATGATTATAAACCAGTTGATGAATTTATGTGATGCAATCGAGACAGAACTGTTTTGTTAAAAATAAATTATTTTCGATATTCTTACAGAGGGTATTTGAACTTAAAATTGATTTTGAGTCATTATTTCTAATAGAATTTCAATTAATTGAAATTTATAAAACCTTTCTTATAATTTGGGAATTCTTGTGAAACAAATCATTAATTATTGTATTATTTTATTTAAAATCAAGATCTTTTTCATAAGAACAACCAAACAAAAACTTTTATAATACAGTCAATTTAGAAGGCTTTGAAAATGGGAAAAATTAATATTGTTTGATTCTTTCATTTTCTGTTATTTTAATGTTATTTTTATTATTTGCTTATTAGATTAAGTTAATCATTCTAGTTTGAATATAGACAGGGTCTATTTTATAAGCAAATCAAGTGTTTTTCTGGGAAATTCGATTTCACTCAATAAATAGGTAAAAATGTGAATACAGCTTTTTACATCAATCTCTTTCATTCAATAATCAGGAAAATGGTCACAAATATATTGTTCATTATGATTTATATGACAAGAAATAATTAATTTCTTGTAATTCTTAATTAAGGCTTTACTTGTGCCCCTAATGCAATCTATAATAAAAAGAAGAAATTCTGAAATACCAGATCCATAATAGCCACATGTTGAATGGTTGGAAGAATATTTGGATCTTGAAACAATTGAAATAACAGTGCTATAAAAAATTCATAATTCAAATGATCAAGCCAATTTTGATTGTGTAGTGTACATTTCTAATATGTTTAATTGTTATACTTAATTTAAAATAGTGTACTTTAAAAATTTGGAATCTTAAGTAGAATTGATATAAATTTTAGGCATTTAAATAATTTGAGACGAATTCCTTCCATATGACTCCTTTCAAATAAACCAAGATAACAAATCCTAGATAATATATCAATGAATGGCTAAAGAAAACAGGGTATAGTCCATTTTTGATAAAATTTCAAATAAAGTAAAATATGCTTCATCAAATTCAACCTACATTAACTTAGGCTATTTAGATAGCTGACTTTATTAAATCAAAAACACTTCAAAAGAACATTGACTTACTTAGTGATGAAACAATTAACTTCATTAACGAAATGCATAAAATGAATGTTGATTGATTTTATTCTACAAAAATAATTGAGTATTTGTTCATATGTCATTATCTTAATGTATATTTAAAAGTAATTATCTTTTATTCAATAGAATTACAAGAATTCTGATTTACTCTCTTCAAAACCATATATCTAACTTCGATAATATCTAATAAATTCATGATGCATGCATTGAGCTTGGACATATTCAAAGCGAATTTTTAGTTTTACTATTCTGATAATTTGAAATTTTGTGAATTCAAAAACTCATAAGAATTATCCTTATTGATTTTTTCATAGGTCTAATTGAGAAATCTTATTGCCTTCGCACATCGAATATGGTTTTCCAGATAAATTAAAAAAATAAAGTAATTATTAATTTCATTGATTAGAATACAAACCTAGAATGGAACAGGAGGTGAATAAATTTTATTACAATTTCAATGGGATTGAAGCTATATAGAAAGATCTTGTTTAAGAATAATAGAATAAAATCTCAATTTGCATCATAAATGAGGTATAAAAAAATTACTCAAAAAATTAGCTATTTATATAAAATTTTTTTAGAAGTAAGTTCGAAACTAATAAATCGATTGTATCGAAAACGTAGAAATTTCATATAATAATGGAACAATGAATGAAGAATACTAAAGGAAGAGTTTTAAGAAATAAAGAAAATGTATAAATAACTAATTAGATTTTTCATATGATAATTGATTAAAAAAAGAGTAGAAATGCTTGAAATTAGAACTTAGCGAAAATATTAATTCAGAATAGAAAAACTCAGTGAATTGAAAATTCAGAACATACTAATTAGAATGTCAAAAAAAAAGAAGTTAATTGGCATTAATAATCAATAATTTTTTAACAATCATAACTAATAAGCCTAGATCCTTTGGGAGAATGGGTAATTTTAAATTGAACTGATAATTAGAGTTATAGAGTTTGAAAGAGAAATGAAAGTTCCTGTTGCAGATCTATTTAATGATTTTAAAATAAATAATATAAAATAAGTTAAAATGAATTTGTAATAATGGGCAAGTGGATTTTAATGCATGTTAGGACATCAGTAAAATGAGTACATGTTGTGTATTTCACCTTAATGTCCTTAAGTTCGCAAATTGATATGTCGAGATTATTGCATTCCTTATTATCATAGAAATCATAAAGTTATGCAATTGTCTTAAATCGAAGATTTCTTGAATTAATTTTTAAACATGAAATAGCCTCATTTGCATGATTCAATAATTGAGACACTGGAGGAAATAGAAATTTTGAGATCCGAGTTGAATCGCATCATTGATGGAACGATAGACAAGATTAAGCGTCACTTTGGAAGATTCTCTTATTAAGCGTAAAAATATGCGTAGGAATTTCAATATGTTCAACAACCGGAGAGAATTGAGTAGTTATCAAAATAAATAATAGAGATAGCTACTCTTAAATAGGATTAGTTAAAGATTAAGATAGTGAAACCTTTGCAGTCATTGAATATAGGTAATTTATTGAAGGAGTGCATATAAAAGTTGAGCAGTTTTGTAATAGGAAACAGTGATGTAAATTCGGTGAAGCCTGAGAATTTGGTGGGAGCCTTTAGTAATCATATCCGTTCTATATAAAGTGACGGAGAGGTTTGGTGTTTGCAACCAATGAAGGGTGGTGATCTTATCAGTGGAGGAGATGACAATAAGATCATAATATGGAATATGAACACTTTGGAAAAGTTGTGGGTATCTAAAAAACATAGGGCGATAATAACATCGTTGGCCATCACTTCAGATTCTAAGGTGGTTGTGATGGGGAGTTCGAAGGGATATATAAAATTTCTGGATATGGAGACGAAGAAATTTATAAAGAAATTAAAGGGACATGATGACCATGTGAGTTCGTTGCACTTTAATAATTAGAATAATAGTTTGTTGTCTTCTGGTTGGGATGCAAATTTGGTGATGTGGAATATTGATTAAAAAGATATAGTGATGAAACAATTTAAGAAGGAACACTAGGCTAAGATTTATTGTGTGTAATACAGCAATGACAATTAAATCATAGCATCTTGTTCTTTGGATAAAACTATTCGATTGTGGGATATCCATGGATTAGCATAAATTGGATAGCCATTGTAGGGTCACTCTGAAAAGGTCGACTGGATTCAATTTACTCCTCAATATTTGATCTCATGCAGTTAATCAGAGAAAAATATCATAGTTTGGGATTACATGCATAGACAGCAGATTTGGAATTTCATTCCAGGGAATGATCCACATAGATTTGTTGTATCTCCAGATGGCAAACTGCTTGCATGTATTCGAAAGGAAATTCGAGTATTTGAGATCTCAACCAGACAGTAAATAGGAGAACCCATTCCTGGTCATTAATATTTTGCATTGAGTTTCAATTATTCCCTTGATGGAAGATTCCTTGTTTCTGGTTGCTAAGATAAAACTATAAGAATCTATGGGATTCCTAAATGATTATATTATGAATTAAAATAAATTTGAATCCTTTTCTGGAGGCACTAAATCTAAAGTGTCTGAGGAAGATAACCTTTAGGTTGTCATGGATAGACTCTATAATAAGAATTAACTGAAGCGGAATGTAAGAATCGTGGATCTGCTAAGTAAGTACTAGAATCCAATTTCAATAATTGATTATAAGATTATGAAATTATGAAATTCATGAATCTATAAAACAATAATCATTCTTTTTTGTAATTCAAACCATAGAATTCTTAATCAAATTTTTTCAAAGCCTAAGTATTTGTTGTACCTTATGGCTCACCTTCCTCAATTTCTTATATAAAATAAAGTGAAATTACTTTCGTCTAAAATTTGGGGATTAAAATTTGATAAATCTGTGGCAGATTATAAGTCTGGAATTATTGGTGCTTAAATCTACATGTTCGAATATATTCTATTACTTCTTTTGCAATCAGTCTCTAAAAGTCCATGCGTTTGAACCAGGGATGCTTCTTAATCTCCTCGGCATCTCCCTTATTGCCCAGACGTTCATTGGGTTTCTTCTTGAGTAAACTTGTTAGGAGACTCTTACACTCTGGTGTGATGTGGAGAGTTGATGGGAATTTCAACTCAGATTCCACAATATTCCTGAACATCTGATTTCTATTCTCTGAAAAGAATGGAGTCTTACCACACAACATTTCATAACTAGAATATTCCAAAATATCTTACATCAATATACCCAAGCACCACCAATCAGCAGTGAAAGCATGTCCCTATTGAGTAATTACTTCGGGTGCCAGATATTCAGGAGTGCCTACAATAGATTAAGTAACCTATCCCTTTGATAAGAACTTAGCCAATCCATAATCAGTCAAGGCCACGTATCCTTTTTCATCCATCAAAATGTTCTCTGGTTTCAAATCTCTGTAGATAATACCCTACTTATGCAGATACTCCAAAGCCAATAGAACTTGTGATGAGTAGAATAAAGCAAATTCCTCATTAAATTTATTTATCTTCTACAAATGAGTATACAATTCACCCCCTCTGACATAGAATTCATAATTTACATCATAAACTTCATTACGAAGTAAACGCATTCTTAAGTGATGAAGGCATACTCCAATGACACCAAAAAGGGATGCTGAGTCTACTCCAATATCTTTCTTTCAGTCTTCAAATACTCAATATGATCTCTAGAAATGATATCTTCCTTTCTTAAACTCTTAATTGCAAATATCTCCTTAGTATCCTTCTTTTCACACAACATCACCTTTCCAAATGCCCCTCTCCCCAACATTTTGATCAATGTGAAATCTTCAATGCTAATCTCAGGAGAATTCGATTTCTGATACAATGTCTAAACATTTCCCCTTGATGCTTGCATTGCCATTTTCACTTCGTCTACTGTCATCTCGCTTCCTTACTTTGGCAATTGCCTTCTGATGTTCTTCTTAATGTCGTAATTAGTTGTTGTATATTGACTTAGATTCATTTCCTCAATGAAGAAACACTTTATTTTCTTTAGGTTATGCTTTATATAAACTTCACAAAGTGTTTAAATTATTAATGCCAATCTAAATGATAATGGTCAATATTTACTAATCATCCACCTAATATCGCTAATCATATTCGGTTGGGATATGAAGAATGAACTCCTTCACTATTTTTGAAATGGTTATTCCTATTATTGCAGATAATGCTATTTTTCTCTTGATCCTCGATCTAATTTAGGTTATGCAGATTCTTACTTCTACACTAAATTCTAAAAGAAATTCTTGACTGCACTACCTTCGGCTGGAGATATGTTATATATGTTCTTATTTGTTATTGCCTATAAACACAAATCAAACATTGTCCTTACAATCACTCGTGGCAACTTTTTATTTTGTCCTGTGAACTTTATCACTTTCATAGTCAAAACTATCGTTTCCCCTCCCTCTAGCTGCTCTCTCAACTTCTTGTCATTCATCACCTATTCATAATCCATTTTTTTTAATAAATTATTTAATAAGATAGACACGCATCCAAAAAAAAAGCCAATTGGGGGAATTGAACCCCCGACCCTTTGCTTACGAGGCAAATGCTCTAACCACTGAGCTAAACCGGCATCGTTAAATACTACATTTATTTATTATATAAATCACAATTCATCGTGCATCTTCTTTACATATTAAATAAACTTATGTTCAAATTACATTGCTGCGAAATCCAATTGAGTCTCACTGATTGGCGTATACCCACTTAAACCGTTCTCCATCAGATCGATAAATCTCTCTTGTTCGCCCTCATAATCAGCATGAACAAAAGCGATTTTCAACGTTGTTCCTAATAAATCATCCAAATACTCTCTTACCCTTCTTCACTTCAGGCTTCACAGTAAATACCACACTCTTGTATTAATCTTCGTTAATTATCAATTGAGGAGCAAAATTCTAGAGACTCAATCCCACTACATTTCCATTCATTCCAAACTACAAAAAGAAATCTGTTTCAGGAAACAACTCCTTCAAATCTATCGATCATAACTCACTCTTACTTTTAGCCTTAGACCTCTCATGATAAATCACAAATTGATTATATTTCTCAGAATAACATAATATTCCGTCAAATTCTTTATAGTATCCATCCAATACGGTAGCTACTTGAACCTTCACTTTCTGTAATCCTGCTTCCTTTTAATCGCAATAACCAAAAACGAATAATGTTAACAACACTATTATACTCATTATTATTAATCAAATTTTTCATTATTTTTATTCTTAAATATTTATATCTCTACACGTAAGCATGTTTCCATTATTAATTTTACTTCATTTTTATTATCTTTCCATCCACAAAACTACTTTAACATCACGTTGATTATTCATATGTATTCATTTTAGGACTCTTTTAAAAATTAGTTTTAATTTATATCAAAAAGAAAGTGAGCAAATAACACAAATAAGAAAATTATTTATGATTTCATATTTCTGAATTTTTTTATGAATATTTCTCAAGAAATTAATCATTGAATTCTCCATTACATTTTTGATCACCCTAAGTAATAAAATTTTATTTTTAGAATTATTTTGGTATTTTTAAATATAATTATTAACCCAAATCTAAATTCAAGTTGGGTAAAATTTTAATGAAATATCAAATGAAATTGCCTTCTTGGTAAACTTCAAACCAAAAAGATTCAATATCAGAATACATTTATGAATTACATTAAAAATAGGTAGTAACTAATATAAATACTAAAAATAAACTTGTAGTACTTCTTTTAGCGATTGAAAACAAATTTGTTGCAAAATAAGATAATTATTTTTTAATTAATCCTGCAGAACACTTTCTTTCAAAATTTTGACCACGTGAATTGTCTAATGTTTGATCCTGAATATACTATAAAACTGAATTGAATTATTTATTCTTCCTATAAAACTACATTTTAGAATAGTTATTTATTTATTAAATATTTATGAATAAATACACATTAATCTTTAAGGATAAAAATATCGAAAAAAATTATTAAGATTAGAAGAAATATGGATAAAATATTATTATCGGAGGATTGACTATAAGTTTTCTTTTGAGGTGTATATTGAAAATAATTAATTTTGATTGGGTTAATACAGGAATAAATTTAGGAGTTGTAATTGTGCTTCTTATCCTGAGATGTTATTCAAAATATTATTTATGTAAACGATTAAGTCTAATAATTGCAAATTGTGGATTATCAATTTTAACATTTATGTACGAAGAGCCTCTTAATAATTACTATTCTCATCTAAGAGGAGGAAATAGTGCTTTTACTTCTCTAATAATAGTATTTTCTGGTGATTTTCCTGAAGCTGTATTTTAAATCATATTTATATAATTGGCTAAAGGGACCTTTACAATTTTATAAAGCTCTTCACATGAATATGAAATATTATCCGGTAGCGTGTTAGTGATGATAATAATGATTTATTATTTATATTTTCACCACAAAGCAATAAGATCTTAATATCTATTAACCTTGGTTGAATAAAAATGGGAAAACGTGTTGGAAAGCATTATTGAGAATCAATCATATTTCATTCTAAACTTTATCTCAGAAACCTATTAATTTAAGTTGTCATCCTAACGCAATTGTGAATAATATTTTTACAATCAAGATTATAAGTAATTTCTAAGACAATCTCAAATTGAAAAATCTAGTTTGGAGCATTATTTTTTTGAATAAATACAGTTTCATCAAAACAATAGCAATCCCACTAACTCATCAATTATATTTGTTAAGAATTAACTCTCCTTGTTTAAACTTAAATATTCCATCTACTTTGCAAATCAACCAACAATTTTAATTATATTTGAACCTGTTTAATAATCAAAACACATAAATCTTCATTTACTTTACAATAAAATCATTTTGTACTCTAGGATTTTATAGAGAGTAATAACCAACAACAACAACAACAACAATGTCAATTTCAGTAAACTACAAAAGCTATAGAAGTTTTTAAGGTTAGAATCTCTATTGTATAGGTTAGAGTAAGGAAGGTATGCAGTGAATTCTATTAATTTAAAGAAATTTCTAGAAAAATTTGATCTAATCTAAGACTCTAACTTTGATGTTCTATATCACGAAATCGAATTAAAAACAATTCCATGTATATTAGGTGCTCTTATTTTAATTATTTAAAACTATTCGAAAGCAGCCATTAAAGTTGCTAATTCAAACAAAACTATCTCATTTCGCTTTTACTAGGAATCAGAATAAACTATTAAGTTAATTCTTCGTGGCAATTTTAACACAGAGAAAATTTGTAAACTAATCGATGAGTATAACGTATAGTTTTTGACTATCATTAATCGCTTTCAGATTAAAAATAATCATAGTATCTAGATTACTTTGAATAGATAAGCCTATATCCCTTTTCGGCTAACGTAAATTGAAGAATGACATATTTCTTAATAAATATATATATCCTTTATTGTATTTGTTAATAATTTAGTATACCATAAATATTAATTTATATTCAAGTTCAATTTTCAAGTGTTTATTAATATTTCTCTTTGCCAGTGAATGGCACATATGGATTCTTTTCAAAATAAAGAAAAATACCTAGAATATAATAAAACAATTACTGCTATTTGTTATATTTGTTAGCATGCCAAATCTACTGATATGTTCTTTATGGAAAGTGAAAAATGAAAGAACATCTTTACAATTAAAACTACCATGAAAACGGAGTTAAACCTTCTCTTCTTCCTCTGCAGAAGTGTACCTCAATTTGATTAGAGAAGTATTTGTATTTGAAAATATCTTAAATAATATTAAACTAATAATATCTTTATTTGTTCTCATGGTTATTGTTGACTTAGAATTTATCTTTAGGATGATGTTAGAAAAATATTTTATCTACTCTGAAATTACAGCTTAAAGGTTAATTTCTTAAACTTAGTTTTCCCAACTATTTTGTAAGTTTTGATAAATTTCTATCAGGTGAATTTTTTTCATTAAATTTATATAAGATGGTTACGTTTTATATTTTTTATTAAAACAATTTAATAATTTTACTAAGTATTAAAATAGAACTTTGTTATTTACATTTTCTACTACATTGGATAACTACAATTTGGGTTTGTGGAAAATCAATAAAATAGATGCTTAATTTCCAAAAAAAATAGAAAATTCTAATTTTACCATTTCTCGTTGTTTCTTGATAAAAATTTCTTTTCTAAAAATATCTATTCTTGTTTTTTGATATTGTTTCATCTATTCATATAAATAATCGTTTAAGGACTTTTTATTATATTGAGCTTCTTTGAAGAAATTTAAAATCTCTTCTTTATTTTTCATACACCTATTTTGAAAATTCCTTGCCATAACAAACTCGAAATGAAATGAATTTTCATTGAAATTTAACATGACATAAGTTTGCTTATCGATTAGCTATCTTAATATTGTCTCCCATTATTGATCTTTTTAAATGAGCATAAATTAGGCTCTCATTGCTTCATTGAATTTATAATGAAAAAATAAGTAAAACACAGAAACGAGGATCAGGCTTGAGATCGGATACAAACTTACTGTTTTTGATTATTGCAAGACAAAATATATTCTGATCCCTGTAATTGATATCACTTAAAATAATGCTTCTGGAAATTCACTTCCTATCGTTATTAAAAAGTTGGATCCCATCTAGTTCACCCCTTTCAAATGTGCAGTAGCAACATCGGTTTCTTCATCGAATAAATAAAAAAATATTGTCAACAAATGATTTGCTATTATTGAGAGGACTCTCAAGCTTAAATTGTGTTTGGAAAAAAAAATCTCTACTACAATGAAGAATAAAAGCATTGATAGGTTTGGATAAAATCTATTAAAATCACTGCTTAATAAAAAAGTTATGCATCTGATAATAAAAGTGATCAAATAACCTTTAGAAAGTAANAATAAAACAATTACTGCTATTTGTTATATTTGTTAGCATGCCAAATCTACTGATATGTTCTTTATGGAAAGTGAAAAATGAAAGAACATCTTTACAATTAAAACTACCATGAAAACGGAGTTAAACCTTCTCTTCTTCCTCTGCAGAAGTGTACCTCAATTTGATTAGAGAAGTATTTGTATTTGAAAATATCTTAAATAATATTAAACTAATAATATCTTTATTTGTTCTCATGGTTATTGTTGACTTAGAATTTATCTTTAGGATGATGTTAGAAAAATATTTTATCTACTCTGAAATTACAGCTTAAAGGTTAATTTCTTAAACTTAGTTTTCCCAACTATTTTGTAAGTTTTGATAAATTTCTATCAGGTGAATTTTTTTCATTAAATTTATATAAGATGGTTACGTTTTATATTTTTTATTAAAACAATTTAATAATTTTACTAAGTATTAAAATAGAACTTTGTTATTTACATTTTCTACTACATTGGATAACTACAATTTGGGTTTGTGGAAAATCAATAAAATAGATGCTTAATTTCCAAAAAAAATAGAAAATTCTAATTTTACCATTTCTCGTTGTTTCTTGATAAAAATTTCTTTTCTAAAAATATCTATTCTTGTTTTTTGATATTGTTTCATCTATTCATATAAATAATCGTTTAAGGACTTTTTATTATATTGAGCTTCTTTGAAGAAATTTAAAATCTCTTCTTTATTTTTCATACACCTATTTTGAAAATTCCTTGCCATAACAAACTCGAAATGAAATGAATTTTCATTGAAATTTAACATGACATAAGTTTGCTTATCGATTAGCTATCTTAATATTGTCTCCCATTATTGATCTTTTTAAATGAGCATAAATTAGGCTCTCATTGCTTCATTGAATTTATAATGAAAAAATAAGTAAAACACAGAAACGAGGATCAGGCTTGAGATCGGATACAAACTTACTGTTTTTGATTATTGCAAGACAAAATATATTCTGATCCCTGTAATTGATATCACTTAAAATAATGCTTCTGGAAATTCACTTCCTATCGTTATTAAAAAGTTGGATCCCATCTAGTTCACCCCTTTCAAATGTGCAGTAGCAACATCGGTTTCTTCATCGAATAAATAAAAAAATATTGTCAACAAATGATTTGCTATTATTGAGAGGACTCTCAAGCTTAAATTGTGTTTGGAAAAAAAAATCTCTACTACAATGAAGAATAAAAGCATTGATAGGTTTGGATAAAATCTATTAAAATCACTGCTTAATAAAAAAGTTATGCATCTGATAATAAAAGTGATCAAATAACCTTTAGAAAGTAAATTAAAATGTGTCATCCTAATGTTCTAGAGAGACTAAGCCTAATAGCTGTCTTCAATTCTTTTGTCTAAGAAAAATAATGTAAATTTATTCATTTTAAATTAATAATGGAATATTTCAATATCTAAAAATGGATACAATTTAGAAATCATCTATCGTCAAAAATAGATACTATTGAATAAAAAACATAAATATACAATTAAATTAGATTAATGATTTTAACTTGAATAAAATTAATATGGTAATTGCATATATTTTTTTGTAAAAATAATTATAATTTCCTAAAATGCCATCACAAAAAGTAATACAGGAGAAAGGCGATAATGATTAAAATTGATTTTTCCAAGAATCTATGATCCTAAGAAATTAAAATCATATGGCTTTTGAAAAAAAATATCATTTCTAGAAACGTTGCTTTTTTGTCGGAATGTTAAATTTCCTAATCAATTTTTTTGCTAATTAGAAAATTAAAATTTACAAAAAAACCTTAAACCTAATTTTCTAATAATTATGTAAAGAATCTGTGATGATATTAAGTTATGAAAATGATGAATGAATTAATATTAATTTCAAATAATAAATACATCGGGTCTTTCATTAATACTAGTTTTCTAATTATTAATAATTTAATACTTTTTATTTTTATTTGAATTTAAGGGTTGATTTGGCATCTAAAAATGGCTTGGATTCATGATTTGGCCTATTGATCAGATCATGATCTTATTCTTTGCTATTGGGACTGATCATTCTTTAACTTCTAGTTCTATTAAGGAGATGCTTTTCTTAAATGATGGTCTTGAGTTCTCTTTAGGCTACTTACTTCTCTTTTTCTGCCAGTTATCTAAACCTAACATCCCAATCTCTATATGATCTATCGAGTGTTAAGTTAATATCAGAACTAGATTGATCTGTGCCAAAGTATTCTTCTTCATCAATTCTCTGACTCTCGAATCTTGAAGTTTAAATAGCATCTTCTTGAGATTTTTAGAGTGTGAAATTGAATTATTCATCAAAATTGCTTATGGCATTATATTTAGAGAGAGGCAAATCTCTGACAAATGTAGAGTCAAATGAAAAGAGTTGTGGGTTTTATTTATTTTTAGCTTTAGGTGAATCCTACTTGTGTTCTATTTGGTTGTATACAAATTATTATAGCAATGCGAAATCTAATTCAATGTTATTTTATTAAAGCTATTTTGATGATGTTGAATGACTGGCAGACATTGATCTTTTTTTGACAATATCATCTTGGAAGTAGAGTTCAGGAAATAGTAGTTTTGAGGGCATTTCTTATTTTAATTTTTTGGGAGTAATTGGTTCTAATTGTCCATTCAATTGTTTTTCAGAGGCAGTGAGAATATCATAAAGATCGTTGAATTGCTAAGTAACTAGAAAATCAAAGAATGACATATTTGGGTTCTATGCTGCGAGATCAAATAATTCAATTTTAAATTCCTTGATGGCTTTGATAATTTCGACAATTATATTTTATTACTAGGGAGGATTAGAGGCTATTTGAGGGTCAATACTCTGACCTTGGAGAGCTTGGATGATGAATTAAAAAGTGAATGTGTAAAGTTGTTACCTAAAATTGTTATCAGATTTTCTATTTTTTTGTATTTATATAAATGTACATCTAAATTTGTAAAAATGTCGACACACTTTTGGCTAATTCCTCTATCAGATGAGTGATGAGACCCAAATCGCCATTTTTTACTGATGAAAGCAAACTGCATTCACTAAAACTCAATTTCATTTAAATTTAAATTATGAAATAATAAAAGGGTCTGTTAATGGAAGACAGATTGTAATCAAGTATTTTTTGTATATGAATTTGTGTTATAATTCTAGTTAATTAATATTAAAATCTGTTAAAATTATAGTTGTTAATAATGAAATCAGACTCTTTGGCAGTAAGTGTATTATTTTTTGATTAGGAAGAATTATCAAATCAAGAACCCAATAGGTCGTGGAGCAGGTAGTTTTGTGTGTAAAATTGTAAACCGTTTGACTAAAGTAGAAATGGCTGCCAAGATCATACAAAAAACAGTATAGAATGCGCAAAAAATATAAAATGAAGTTACTATTCATTAAGAATTGCATCATAAGAATATTGTGCATTTAATTGACATATTTGAAGATGCTGATAACAGTTATCTCATTATGGAATTATGTGATTCAGACATCTATTAATTGGTAAAAAAGGAACTATTCACTGAATAATAAATACGATAATATGGCAAATAATTGGCAGAAGGCTTACAGTATTTACATTCTCACAATATAATCCACAGAGATATCAAATTAGGTAACTTATTAATCTAAAATGATACCCTTAAAATTGCAGATTTTGGATTGGCTGTAAAATTAAACAACGATGAAGAAGAGAGAAACACTCTATGTGGAACTCCCAATTACATCAGTCCTGAAATCATAAATCAATAGCCTTATGGTAAGAAAGTGGATTTGTGGAGTATGGGATGTTGTTTATATGCTATGGCTAAAGGACATGGACCCTTTGAAGAAAAGAATGCCCCTTTGGGTGAAGTATTGAGAAGAGTCAAAATTGGTGATTTCGACTTACCCAAAGATTTCAGTGAGGTGTTCAAAGATCTAATAATCAACTTATTAAATTTGGATGCCGATTAAAGATACTCTATTGAAAAGATAATGAAACATCCTTTTTTTATAGAATCCATTCCTCCGAAGGTTTAGAGTAGGAATCAATCTAGTTCATAAATTAAGTAACTTCTAGATTTGAGTCCTTTTGTAAAACAGCAATAACATAGATCTACTTGTTCAATGATTGGTTTGGAGAAATAATAAATAGTGGCATCTTTCATATAGAAGTAATAACAATTAGGTGGAAAGAAGCTCTTATTTGGTTAGACTACTAATTGCAAAGGAGGGTTAAAATAAAATTATCACCTGGAGAATGTTCCTCGATTTTTCTTGCCTTAAGAATCTCATTCTAATAACACAAGCTGTAATCATTACAATAAAGAAAATATTTACAAAGAAAACTGCAATAAGGAAAACATTAGAGAGAACAGTGTCAAACTAATCAAACATAATTCTTCAACCATTAATGTTTATAATGAATCTCCTATAAAATTAGGGGATTTAAAATCATGTAAGTTATAGACAAAGAATGGATTATTGCAAATACACGAAGATGGCAGATTTTAAATGGATGTATGTAATAAAGATTTAAACTTTATTATTTAACCAAATGGATAGGAAGTAATTCTTTTATTAATATGTTAGGTTTTGGTTCAAAAAAAGGGGCAAAAACCAAAACAATATAGATTAAATGAATTACCTTAAAAACTGTAGAAGTTTTATACTTACTCAAAATAAGTTTGTAATGCGATCAGGGAAAGAAATTAAAAGCAAAGGATTAATAATGAACATGGGAATTTTGCTTTGAAAAACACAAAATTAGGATTATGTTTTGAAGGATACATTGCATAGTCTAAAATAAAAGTACATTCTTTATCAATAATATAATTAGATTTAACACATATTGAATTCAGATACAATAAAATTGTAAATGTAAAATGGATCTATCAAATCTATAAACATAAATGAATTTCATTAGTTATCTACTTAAGCTAGAATGGATCCTAGTGAGGTCTATTCAATAAAAATAGCTCTAAAGTACTTACCTCAATGTTAATAATGATTTATTAGTTAGAATTATTATCTTTTTCATTAATAATAAGTGACTATTTATGAACATCTCTTTATCCATATTTCAAAGAAGTATTAATAATTAAAGGGTGTTATCTTCTCTCACTTAAATTTATTCATAAATATATGAATTTTTAAGATTTTCAGAATTATCTCATTTTGTTTTTCATTTTACTCCTTTCTATTCACAATATTTTCATTTTCCACCTCTCAAATTAATTATTTATGAATCAGTTCGCCTTTTGTTAATTTCTTAGTCCTTTTTTCATTAATAGCATTTTGAAATTTAGATATAGAAGTCATCCTATATCAATCTATTAAATTTAAGGATGTTCTTCTCTTCTTTGTTTTAGAAAAGTAGTATTTCTTAAAATTCTGTTTCTATAAAATTTATACCAGGAGAGACTAGAATTTAAAACTATTTCATAACTGTAGCATATTCAAAATCTTAGTTGTACTTTGTTTACAGCAATTAGAGATAGAGTGTTTCATTGTTGGTCTCCTTGAACCAAATTGGATTTGTTTATAATCATCAGATCGATTGCTGATCTTCTTTGACAGCTTTCTCATCTTTTATGTGGATGACACTCGTTTTAACTTTGAAGAATAAGTATTTGATCTCAGGTTTCTTTGGTTCTAGAAGAGGATTAGAGTTATTGTCAGAATCATAATAGACTAACTTTTATATCATAACAATTATTCAACTATGTATTCAACTAACATACGAGCATTCGATAGTAATGTAGTACGTGAAGTTATCTGTGTTATTAGATCATCTTTCTCAGCATTCAGAATATTGCTCACTTTCTTCTATTACTCACACAATGTTTCTAATTATTCCTATGGAACACTTAAATGCTTATAATTTCTAATTGTAAAATAGTTATACTGTCCTAATAATTCCCATCTAAAGCGCAAATGCTTATAATATCGATTCTTCACCATAGCCAAAGTTTTCCCAGGAAAATGTCTGTGAATCTTTTAGAATTTAGGACCGTTATTCAATACTAACTAAAGAATCAGCCGATCTTCCTCCTCAGTGAACCTTTGTCCTGACTTTTTACTATTTGATCCATCCATCCCTCTTCTCTTTTTTCTATGATAATCATATTCATTTTTCTTCTTTTATTTTTTTGAGCCTCCAAGTTTATTTGGTTAATCATTCTAAGATGATCTTTCTTCATTGCACTCCATAAACTTCTAAATTTCACTAATTTTAATAATTATGAATTAATATTTGATACATCAAAAGATGTCATTAAATTAATTCATAAATGCACTACCTGTTATGAATTCTAAAAATTTAATCAATCCCCTAGATGATTGTGATTTAACCAATATCTCCACTCAACTTTATTTTTAAAATAAAATTACAATCCATATTAGTTTATTTATAATTCTACTCACATACACTCTTCTAATCATTAATTATATATCATAAACTGCATTAATTAGGATATTAAAATTTATTAAAATAAAGTTAAATCTAAATCTACTTTTAATTTCATATATAAAATCAAATCTAAAACTCAAATATTTATACTATATTATCATAAGTCACGAACCTCTTAATTTGGCCCTGTCACTTATAAATAATAGTATATGAAGTCTTTTAAGAATGTTATTTTTTTTTGATTATATAACAATCAGCTTATATTATTTTCTAATAATGAATAAATTAAAAAATAATGTTATTAGAAGCATTCCAAATCTATATCAAGATATGAAATTAGAGCATGGCAAAATATTGAGTGCAATCAAGGCTAATTAACTCTAAGAAACAAAAGCGGTGAAATATATAGAATTAGAACTGAAAAGGAAAATTAATACATCAATCAGAGAGAATATTACAAGTGTAAGCTCAGAGAGATAATAACCAAAAAAGGCAGAGAAAATTGATGGGAAAGTGGCAACAATTGTTGAATTGATTAAATAAGACTTGCTTCCAATGTTGAATAATCAAAATAATAGAATTGAGAAATTAGAGAGGAGAATTAAAATTAAGAATGATCCAGAAGTTGATTGCAATTAATGTTAGTTTTCCATTATAGCTGACAAAAAATCAAATTCAGTTGTAGAAAATGAAATTTAGAATTTATCCGTTAGTGTTGATGAAATAAATAAAAATTTAACTCGTCTGGATAAATTTATTAAATACCACTTCGTAAAAAGTAAATGCTAGCCTTCAGAAGTACCAGATAATAAGAATAAAATGGGTGTTTCATAGATCTCTGATAAATTTAAGACAGAATGCAGTTAATAACAAATGGAATCTTAGTAAACCACTCAATAAATATAATAATATCTCACAGTACAATTATAAGAAATAAAGCATTGGATAAATAAATCAACCATTGAATAATAAAAGGAAATTGAAGTTAAATTAAATTTAATGGAAACTCAATTTTATCAATTTTTATATCAACCACTAGAAGTGTTAAGACAACTCTAAACAAATTCAACAGATTTTTAGTAAAAATTTAAATAATTGGAATAATTACTTAATTCACAAGGTGATTTGAATTGTTTTAAACATGATAGTAACAATGATGTAAATAAAATTCATAATGGTCATTCATATCTAAAAGATTCTTCTTTAAAAGTAGTTGCAGAGGATCTTAAAGACATGTAAAGTTAGTATTGCACAGAATGTCACACATAAACTTAATTCAACGATATCAATTAGATAAAAATTTCACAATAAATAATGCAATATATTTTGAATGAATAAATTAAAAAATTGATTGAATTAAAGATCGACATAAAGCAATGTTTGAAATGCTAATTTTATTATATTAATGATTAATTATGTGAAACTCAGTAAAGTATTTTTGTTTAATAATGTACTTGATTTAGAATAGATATGTTAAATCAATTAATAAGCAGTTTATATTATTTATATTAACACACTTATATTTATAATGGGTTGTGTTGGACAAAAAGGAATCAAGAATCTGAAATCTCACATTTCTACATAGCCTGTTGAATATTTTGAAGAGAGCGGCACTCAATGTCATCGATGCAAAATCAACATAAAATAGGAATCAATCTCTCTTGATACATGTGGCCATTCATATCATTCAAAATGCATGATCAGCCTTATTGAGTAATAAGTAGAAGTTAAAAAATAAAATATAATAAAATGTACATGCGGAACAAAAACTTCAACCAACTAAATTCGCTAATCCAATTTACCAAATAAGCTCATCCTTTTGAATTCATTATTTAGGAAACAATTGGAACTACTATTGAAATAATTAAGAAAAAAACCGGACTTTAAATTAATATTATAATAATTCGAAATGTCTGAGTAACATCCTGATTTCTATTTCTTCCCAAATTAATGTTAACTTGAATATGAAGAAACTCCTTTTTGAGTATCTTATTTGTAATATTAACTTGTAAGCATTTTATTCAATATTTTTTGTCCTTATGGTTAAAGTTCTATTTATTTTATGATAAACAATTAGATAGAGTAATTACATTATCTAAACTTTGCAATATCATAAAGGTCATTATAATACAATTTCCCAAATAAGCAAAGAAATAAAGATAATTAATTATTTTTATATTCGATTTTTGAATAATTACTCTTGGTTTCACTTTTTCTCATTATAAGACGAGGTCTAATGTGGAAGTCCAAGTAATTTATTTAAATATTACTTAGATTTTGCCATTTTATTCCAATATTAAGATTTTATTATAGAATGTATCTAATCTTTAATTTCAAGTATAATTTAATTAATTATATTTTATAAGATGGGAAATAAGAAAAAATTCCTACAAAAACTTTTTCATATTCTTTAAGTATTACTATAATGAAGTTAGTCAAATTAACATGAAGATTGTATCTAATGGAGCTAAGATGGGAATTCAATTTTAATTATTTCTGCTGAATTATTTCAGGAAAAGGTAATGCCCTTCAATTTTAATTCAACAAAAATTTCAGCGTTTTATCGGTAATTGAGTCAGTATGGATTTAAAGTGAAATAAAATGAGAAAAAACAAAAATAGTTTCACCATTCTAATTTTTAAAAAGGAAATATGTAATACTATAATATTTTAACTATTAGAGAAAAATTATTAACTTTAGAGAAGAGAGAAAAATTATAAAGCCATATAGATTACAGAAGTAGTTTAAGTGAAGAGAATAAAAAATTAAATAATGAGTTAAAACTCCTACAAAAATAGTAATTGGTGATTTAAGCTTAATTGAATATCCATACGAAGATATATTTACAGATTTGTAAATAGATTAAAGGCATATATAATGTAATTAAATTATAAATTTTAGTTTTATTTTAAGTGTGATGAGGACTCAAAGGATTGTAATATTTTTTTTGACACACTTATATCGGTATCTAAAGGATTCAACCCTGAGATTGCTTCAAATATTTTTGAAGAACTTAAAAATATAGGAGGCCCAATAAGTCCTTAGTTTTCCCCTCTTCTTTTTCCATACCTAAAAATTAATTGAAAAATTTCAAATTATTTATTCTAATTTATCACACGATTCAAAATTTCCAATGTAAATTTATTATATTTCATTAATGTATAATTTTGAGCTTATTTTACAGCTAATTATCTAGCTTTATGAAACTGATATATTAACATTGCCCATGTGGCGCAATTGGTAGCGCGACAGCCTTCTAAGCTGTAGGCTGCAGGTTCAATCCCTGCCATGGGTGATTTTTTTTAATAATTTTTAAGTAGTTTTATGTATATTTTAATTTAAACTGGTCAATTAATGTTTTGTGCTATGTAAAGAATGATCAACATTGAGTTTGTTCATAATTTTGAATCTGAATTGAATGTTCTTTGAATATACGATCAGTTTAAAAATTGTGTACTTCATTCAAAATCTTCTATTATTTTTTATATACATTTTACACTATTATGATTCAATTCGAAATAAGCCAATTTAATTGAAAATCTCTAAATAATAGTTAATATAATAAGTGAATGATGTTGTTAAGTAAATAATAAATAAATTAAAATCAGTTTTATATAAATCAGAACTAATAGGTGCAGACACTGCATATCTTATGATTTTCATTATTTTCATCATTATAATTTTTTAACTTAATGGTCCTGTCATTCTTTTAGAAAGGAGCCTATCTTAAGACTAATTTAAATGTTTAAATTTTCACTGTTTCTAAGGAAGGTTAAAGTAAATGTTTCATACACCTGATTCCATCGATCAATTTTTTGAAATATACTTTTTAAAGAATTTGATATCCTTTGTTAACCTATTTAGATTCCCTCAATTTGATGTATTTATATAGTTTAAGACCCTGAAATGCAAGACTTTTTAATTTCCTTTTCTATTGTCTCTGTCTTTTTTGTCTATTTTATTCTAGGACTCTTTTCATAGCATAAAATAAACTTGATAAATAGACAACTTAAGGATAATCTAGGAATCTAGTATTCTCTTATTCTACATTGTTAATCCTGCGGAAATACCTTTTGATTCTTTTTTAAAATACTTTGTTTAATGTTGATGCCAGAGATTAGGCTTTTTTTTATCTTAATATCTCGCCTTTAACATCTGAATAACTCTTAGCAACTGTTTTCTCTTCTTCTTCTATATTTAAAACCAATTCTTCTCTGGGAGATATTTCTAGCTTTGATGGTTTTAATAGTAATTTCTAAGGGGCAGGTTCTTCAGAGGATACTTTTAAAATTGGTTTCTATTTCCTCCTGAGGGTACGAACACTCTAAGGAACACTTTGAATAGCATTTTATTTTAGATAGGCAACTTAGGATACTAAATTTTTGAGCTCAGTTAACTTTATTGTGGCAATCTATAAGATGGATTATACGTATTCTTGACGAAAAGGAAAGACTGGAAAGTATTGGAAAAACAACTCTTTTTCATAATTGGGAATTGTCCTTTGTTTTCTGAATGTATTTGAAATGACTTCTTAACATTTGATTTTATCTTTGAGAAATGTGGGAACTGTCTATGCTATTTTCTGAGGTTCTTCTTGAGGTATGAGATCATCATCCTTAGGGTATAGATCAGAGGAGATATGCAATTGAGGTTTTTGGATTTTGAGGAATACTTTATAATAATTGGTTTTATCTCCGTCATTTAATCTTATTAAGTAATCAATAAATGCAGCATAATGATTGGAAGATTGCAATTTGATGACATCTTGAAATGTTTCATGGTGTATCTTCTTCATTTCTTTGGTCTGTGCTTAATCAAGTTCTTAACCATATGATATTGATTGAAGTAATTTGGACAGGTTCTAGAGAGAGGGTGAACTGAGGAATGGCAACATTCTATCAATGAATTGCCAATCAATTTGTAACAAGAGATCATTAGAAACAACCCTGAATTGTGACTGTTGATCAATCTCTTTAGTTGCACTTCTTAAGGATAAGACTTTTTATATGTTTAACATCTAGATATTGAGTAATTATAGCCAGGGTATGAGCCATCTTGAAACAATTTCAGCTTGAATTCTTTGAGTTTTGACTATTCTGATGTCAACTGTCATTCCATCTAGTCTCTTAAGCTTTGGGAACAGATTGTAGCAGACATCATGGGAATCATAAACAGTTAATGGATTGGTATGGATTGATAAGTATTAGAGATTCTTATTGACTTTTTGAAGTTCATTGATATCAACAATTTGATTATTTGATAGAGAGAGGCTTTTTAATTATTTGAATTATTCAATGCCATCCAAAATTGATATGTTATTATGACTAAGATGAAGATGCTATAAATTTAGAAATGGTGAGTTCTGAACTAATTTACCAATCCGGATGATTTATTTTGAAGAGAGATTTAAGCTTTTATTGAACTAATTTGGTAGCAGTTAACATAATTCCATAATAATAATTAAATATTTATTATAAATTAGAAAAGTATATTATTGAGATGATCAAGCAGTCTATGAATTTTTCATTGAAATAAAGAAGAACTCAATCATCGGAACCTGTATTTGATGAGGAGGTGTTTGGAGAACTGAAGAATGAAAAGGATTTCGAGATGAGATTGCAACAATTGAGTGAGATACAACACATTCATCAAATGACTCAGAGTTCTGGGATATCCATGTCATCAGGTAGAAGCAAACCTGGCAAACATTAGATGGTGGAGAGTTATGCTTATTTGATTTAAGAGATGGTACATAATAAGGAATTACAGTAATTTTGTCACTCATTTGGATTCTCAATTCAGGAATTGGAACAATATAGTTCGATCGAATAGAGACAGAACTTTGTAATAAGAGCAATGTGTAAACACATAAAGGAATAGATGCAAAGTATAACTATAATTAAATAGGTTTGTTGGCTAAGGTTGAATTAAGGATACATTCATATAGAGTAGATGAATGGAATGAATTACAAAGAATGAACAAACAGAACATCAATATATTTGAATGGTTGAATGTGAAATCCAAATATGAGCATTTGAGGAAGAAATTGCAATATGCTTTAATTGATAGTATAACTGCTACTCAAGCAAAATAGTAACAGGAGAAAAGAAATAGAACATTCAGCTAGTCCAACGCATCACAGATAAGCAGGACAAGTACGACATGTGCTACTTCTATTAGGAGAAGGAAGTCGTCTATTTCAGAAGTGATCTCAGTGAATCCAAAAGTCTAATTGGTGTCTCAATATAAGGATTTTAAGACACAATGGAATGAGGATCTAGAGAAATAGTACAGGTTGAAAGGAAGATCACATAAGGTGTTGGGATTGTATCCTGTAATTTAGAAGGCCATTTTAGATAATGTGGGATAGAGTGTTTGGAATCAGTAGAGAGACAGACTGCTCACAAAATACACTGAAGGAGGGTGTTTGACAGAAGAAGAAGTCAAATTCATAGCTACTACTTCCTAATTATTGAATAGTTGTTCAGATAAGGAATTTCTATAGAGGACCATATCACATTTGGATAAAAATATTATAGATGAAATTGAATTCAACATAGCTGAATGTATATTGGCAACATATACAAACATATCCAATGATGTTAAATCTATTCGGTAAGTTTGGCTTAAAAAGATGGGGGCGAATCTCGAATAATAAGTGAAGGATACTCATTACAGTGTTTTGAGGAAGATGCAATTGCAGAAGAGTTAGAAGGAACTCGAAAAGGTTAAGGTGAAGATGGTTACAGTATTTAAAGACTTGCAAAGAAAGCATTTATTGAAGTTACAATAGGAATTGGATAGGGATAGATATATCTAATAGCAGAAGGGTGTCAATAAAGTTATTTTGAAATTCAAAGAAAAATTAATGAAAAGAGTTAAAAAGTATAGAAATCAAAAGAATATTGGGATCACCAATGATTTCATTACTAGGAATATTCCAAAATAAGAATCTTTGCTCTTTAAAATCAATAAAGAAATGAAATCGACAGAATTCGTTTAACGGTTATTTCATCCACCTTCTAAGTTAATTGTTAAGAATCCTGGATCTCAAACTGATAGAGCCATTAAGGAGGAATAAAAGTACAAAGTTAGATCTTCCAGTACAAAAAGATAGTCTGAATATAAGAGATATCTTAGTGGAGGTCCGTAGACAGAGAGACAGTTTGTCTCAAAGTCTTTGGTTGATTAGAATCAATAGAAAATTAGTGGACACAAGAATCCTCATGAATGGATTACCAGTGAAATAGAAGTGACTGCAATTAATAAGATTAAGGCAGCAATTAAAGCCTATCTATAAAGAAAGAAGTACTAGAAATAGAAGCAATTGAAATAAGAGTAGGAGGAATTAAAAAAGAATGTGTTGGCATCTTTTGTCAAGAAGAATCCAGAAAGAATTGAAAAGATAGACTTAGAAGTGAATAATGTTATTAAAAGTTTGTCTCTAAATAAATAAAAGAGTTAATCAAGTATTTATTCTTCAAAATAACGAATTCAATCTGATATGAAACTGAAAACTAGAAAGTTGTTCTAGGCTGCTAAAAAAAGATGTCTCAACATTGCAATTCAATCTGGCTTTATGTATACAACTGAAGATGCTAATCAGAAGGACGAATTAGGCAGGACTCCTCTTTCTTATGCTGCTGAGAATGGAGATGAAGCCATTTGCAATTATTTAATCAAAATTGGAGCCAATATCAATATTCCCAGTTTCGATGGCATGACTCCCATGCACTTTGTCTTTAAAAGCAATTCAGTGTCTCTGATTATGAGATTCATCCAATTGGGTGGCAATTTAAACAGAATGAACACTGATGGATTGACTCCAGTGGCCTTTTGCAATTAAGAAACCTTAAAGAAATTAAACCTTAATCAGATGATCTCTTCTTCTCTTAAATTAGGATCATTTGACAATCACTCAATTTTGAATAAGAAATACCCTCAACACTCCGATATAATTGAAGCATTGGAATTTTCGGGTAATTTCAGTAAATTATAATGAGAATTAATTTGTTATATACTAATTAATTTATTAAAAATCAAATTTTTTTGAAAGGTACACAAGTATTGAAATTGATTTTTAAATCATTTGATATTGGGCCTGCCAATATAGTCTATTCAATTTAGGAGATGAAGATATTCTTTGTGTATTTGCATATAAATAGAAGGTAATTTAGAGTCGGTGGTAATTGGATACAAATGGCGTCTGTTTCTTTGTAGATAGATAAGAAAATGGGGATGGGTTTGTTTTCAGAGTGTCGTTTCCTCTTCTTCTCTTGATGTTCATATATTTATGTGAGAATCTGGTAAACTTGAATCATGTATATGCGAATTAAATTGATATAACCTGTGAATACAATGTTTTAATCTCCTTTGACAAAGAAATCGAATTATTTTTATTTCTGGTATATAGTATTCAATTTTTTAATTAATTTATAAAGTTATATTTCCTGAATGGTAAAATCATTAATTAAAAGCAGTGACATCATTCCCCAATTAAAAAATAGTTGACAAGATTTGCTTGAAGATTGTTTGATGTAAAAGTTCATTGTCTTTTTGATTGACATCATTAGAGTCAGATCAGTATTTTGGGTTAGTGTGTTATCTAATATAATAATTTTGTGGTCATAATCAACACCAATATTTATGATTCTGATTTTAAATTTATATTTTCCATTGTGCACATTAATTGTGCCTGTAATGAGCTCCTGTAGTTATTAGCCCAACTCTTTGTCGTTGCTTTTGTACATTCTCAGAAAACTTCTTACATTACATCCCTAACACATCTGATCGCAATAGGAGGGGAATCGCTCAACCTCATTCCAACTCAGCACATTAAATTATAACAAGTTCTTATTGTAAGTGATTTGGAAATACGGTTTTTTAATAATCTCCGGTAATTGCTGACTCCATATATTTTCGCAAACATTTTATAGAAATTCTTTTCGCGAATGGGAGTCACTAATGTAAATAACCATGGAAATTATTATTGCTGCTCCCACACTCATCAGAATATCTTAAGGATCGACACTCTAGGTTTAGTAGATTGTGATTGATGATTTTATTAATGTATGACAAATTACCTGAACAACACTATCCAAAAAATCTGAAACAAAGTAAGCACAAGTTTAGAATTATGTAAAATTGCTTCCATAACTATAATACATCTGAGGCGTTGTGGAATCAGTAAAATTCATCTAAAGCAAAGCTGTTGAAATATTAGCCACCATCAGAGTGTATCTAATCTGAATGGGCCACTTTATGCTAATCGGAACTAGTACGCTGATGAGACCAATCAGTGTATAATTGATATATTGAGTGAATGGCTTGAATTCTATAATATCAAGAATCACTTTAGAAATATTCAGAATCAAACCCAAAGCCATAAAGAGATAAAATACCCTCTTTCTTATTTTTTGAATTTTTTCTTCTTGATACTGAAGTTCAAGCTCTGGATTGTTAAATTTCAGTGTAAAATTATTCATAATTTAATAATAATCATTCCTTCTAATTTTCCATTATCATCCTAATACTGGAACTTCAGATTGTCTTGTTCTCCCTCAAAGCTACATCCAAATTCAATCACCCAACCTCCAGAAGCTAACCTTTAACAGAATATCTACGTGTCTACCATACTTATTAGAAATTAGGTTTTGTGATAAGTTTAATACCAAAATAAATCAAATTGAGTTATTTTACTAATAAAATAATTTAAGATGTTTCAAGTAAAAGCATTCTAATTTTCATAGTAAAGACTTCTTAATAAACATTATTAATTAGATCAAAGACTTTTAACTAAATATTATTATTTAGATCACTTCCCATTTGTTGAAATTCTGAATCTATTAACAGGATTCAATAGTATAAAATAAATATTGATACGAATTGTTTGGATATTTACTTTAGATGAAATCAATTTAAATGGAAATGTAATTAAATTAGCCCTAAAAGGTGGAATGGTGTTTTATTAAACTATCAAAAGAGAAGTGTACTTTATAATATATTTCATATATTAATATTATTGCATATTTATCATCAATTTGATTTCCCTCACAAAAAATTCATTAATATAGAATTATAAGTATTATTTTTCCATTTAATTACAAACCCTAAATTATCACTTAAAGCTATTGATACTCCAAATTTAGTTTACCATTTAAGGTTGTTTTCATTTTTTAAACTAATTTCTTTGCCTTTTGGTTCAATAAAAAAGCCAGTTATTTTTAAATTTAAGTGACTGAAACTTACATATCCTCCTTATTAATCGATCGTAAAGTGAAAATTTCCCAAGAGAAGATTTGAATCTAGAGTCTTTTGAGCATTTAAGGCCAATTGTTCAAGTTTCCTAATTGCTTCAAATTCAAGTTGTTACTGCTAGCTATTTTAGAATTAAAATTATTATTGAGTATTTTGATTTGGCAATCCTATAATCGGATTTTTGGGAAGTGGCACGAATGGGTTATTTTAATTTTTTTGTAATGATTGATTAGGACTTTTATCAGAGGGAATTGCATTAAGATTGAAAGTTGGAGGAAACCCCACTTATGGCCCTTATTGAATTTTTATGTTTGAATTCTGTTAATTAATTTAGAAAGTTTTGTTGTTTTACACCTAAGAAATGATTGCAGATTGCCCTATTATATTAGATTGAGGAATCTATTGAGATTGTTGTATATTGTTGTTAAAATTCTAGGGTTTTTGTAATGGGAAATTTGGTTGGGGTTGAAAGCTTGTATTATAAATCTAAGGCTTGTTTTACATTGCAGTAGTATTCAATGTTGATGGCTAGAAATTTGTGGTGTTGAGTTATTAGAATTATTAAAATGGCTGTTGCTATTGATTTGGAAATTATTGTTAAAAGTTTTAGTTTCTTTATGCCATATTAGGTTAGAATTCCTTCCTCGGTCCCTGAAAAACTGGAAATCTCTAAGGGAATTATTAATTAAATTGGGTATTTTCTACTATTGGCTCTTTTTCGTTAGTTGTAAAATGAATAGTTAGCTGGGGTTCTTTCTCATTTTGGTCAATTAGCTTAAACATCTGCATTTCCATTAAAGTTGCCAGAACTTGAGTTTTTCTGTAATTTGTCACTTTGATCTATTTTGGCATGCTTGTTATTATATTCTAGTATATCGCGTCATCCAATACCTAGAATTTTCATTTGTATTACTTCTTCAAATGTAAAGTCTGATCTTAATTGAACTCCCTATTCTAATTCTTATCCATCTCTTATGAACCAACATATTACATCCCCGTACTGCGACGATTATTCGAATTCATTTTCTATTATTTTAGCATAGATAGTTTAATTGATTTCAGCTTGTTCAATCTTCAAATCAGATCCAATTTCCTTTTGGCAATCTTTGTCAAAATAAAGTCGAACATTCTTTTTTTTAAGATATTAAGCGCATTTCTCCACCAAGTCTCTAACATAGTAAAAATCTCTCTTTATTTCGAAGATTTGTTCTCCAAATGGTGTCGCTGTTTATACTTTTATCATATTTAATAGAATTAGAATAAAATAATGTAATTTATATTGTCTATTAGAATTCTTTGATGATATTAGTATTGCTAAGAAACACATTTAATTAAAGGATGAGTAAATTAATAGCAATAGTGAATTTGAATTATTGCAATTTTTGTAATCAATACTTTATAAACAATAAATGCATTGAATTTTCATAAGCTTTGTTATGTTTCATACAATCATGAGAGTTTTCTTGTCGATTGCAAACTGTGATGAGTGATGTGTTCAATATTAATAGGAATCAATATGGTTATAAATTTTAAATTTTGAAATATATATATAATGTTTTATAGAGTGAAATTTTGATTCATACTGAGTCAGCAAATATATAAAATAATTATATATAGTGTTGTGCGGATAGAGAAAGATTTGAATTTTATTAATTGGATTGATATGTAATAATAAATTAATGAATTTCATCACTTTGAGATTTAAAGATTAAATTCTTGAAAAATAATATTAGGAACTCAAAACAAAATCTATTAGAAAACCAATATACTTTGGAATCTATTCATTTTGCTTTGCTCTAAACACAGTTAAAATTTTGAGGGATTTAATCTAGCATGAAGAGTGGCAACAACTTTATATAAATTATATATTTTTAGCATTCATGATTCTGTCCATAATATTGATACTCTAAAATCAGAATTTCGTGAAACAGGCTCTAGTAATATCAAATCTTTTGTCTGGACTACTTCAGCTGAATTTTAATGAATAATAGACGACAAAATAAGAATTTTATTCTTTTGGAAGTAGTTTCGCATAGTTACAAGCAGCCTCGTATTTCGTTTCAGATTTCTTAGATGGAATAATACAAGTGGGCGGACATTTGATAATGAAAATCTTGATTACATCGTTATAAACTAATAAAATTGAAGCTATGTGCACGAGCTTTGCTATTACTGGATCAGTGTTTATTCTGGTTACAATCTACATTTGCGATTGCAGTTCGAGGAAACAATTCCTATCGACAGTCTGTGAAAACATCTGGGATTAATAATTGCCACACCTCATTAAAAAACCATTTATCAAGCTCAGTTACTAAGATAAATTGATCAATATCTTACAAAGTCACCTCATCTAGTTGTTTCCCAATTCCACCCAAGAACAATGCGATGGATGTAATGGGAGATAATTTTTAAGAGAATGCCAGATCGATAAAGTTTCATTGTCAGATTGCATTCTAAAACAAAGTGATATCCTAAATAAGTCAATCAAGGCAAATTATAAATGCCACAGATTCGATCTTAGAGTCTGCCGATATGGAGTGGAGGACATGAACTTACTTGTAATTCTAGAGAAAATTATTACAACTGCTCAAACCAAAGTATTCCCACTTTAAGTCAGAGAGGATCTGAATCGACAGATACGCATCAATCGTCAAGAGTATTTACGCTTCTACAATTGGGGACTAATGTCTCTGGTTCTGCTTAATAATCACGAAATTAAGGAGATTAAGTTGTTTCAATTGATCAAAAGACTCAACAAGTCTTATTGCAAATACTTGATACCAATTTAACTCTTCACTAAGTCCAGCGAACTCCATTTTAACACATATGCCAATTTATTGCGGATATATCTTATTCAAATATACCACATATTAATTGAGCTCTATTCCAAATCATATAGAATCAGAATTTAAGTTAAAGAAAGCGACGAATACATAGAATTACATATTTTGATAAATTCAAGTATGTTTCATACTCTTTATCAAAACAATGTGTTTATTTAAAATATCTAGAGATCCATTCTCTACGAACCCATATCTAAGGATCTACGAATACATCTTAGTAAGCAATTATCTTTTAAATGATGAATATTGTTTTTGTAATGCAAAACGAATATATTTACTAATATCTTTACATTAATTAATATTTTATAATCAAATTATTCAATATAACTACCTCAGTGATTTAATATAAATAATCATATTTAAGCATTAAAAGGAAATGGAGTAGGAGAATATTAAATCTCATTTATTGGAGTCTTTGGATCAATCTTTTTCAATAAGAACCTAATTATCCTTACTAATAATTCAGGTTGAAACCCGTCAATTAGATTAACAAAATTCTCTATTTTCTTTTCGCTTAGGATTGTCTGATGAATTCTCTCATTACACAACAACTATCAATAGACATGGATACAAGTACATTGCTTAACTTAATCATTTTGTCTATGATTGCTTTTTGAATAGTCTAATGAATCTCAAATTGTTTCACTAATCTTTTTTAGAATAATATCATCAGATTGAGTTACCGTTTTAGTTCTTGATTTTCCTTCATTATTTGATTCACATTATACATCTCTCCAGATATTTAGTCTGTTAATGACTTACCCTTCTAAATCTTAGATAGATTTTATCTAAAGTTATAAATGATTGTGTATACTATTGTCCTTTGGCAAAATATATGTGATGAAATACTTTTTAACAGTTAGAATTTCTTTTAATTTTAAACCCATATATTCTTAATTGTCTATAAAATGACTAAATATTTGTGGTTTTAAAGTATTGTTTCATGACAATATCTTCAAATTTTTTGCTATCGGAGATTTAAAACATTTTGCAACAATCAGCCCAATTAATAATTGAAGTGAAATCTTCACACTGCCTTAGATAATACTAAATTACTTCCAAAATGTTGTACAGATCCAATACAAATTTTGAGGTTTTCTACATCTGTTTTCACCAATTCGAGATTATAAAATTATTATAAAAATATTAATTGATATTGTAATTTGTCAGGTACACTGCAAAACCTCTCCATTCTAAAGATTTAGTTTCTTATTCTATTCTAATCAAAGAATTAAGTGTGCGAGGTTTAATTCTAATGCCTAAGGTGATGATATTAAAAATGTTAAGTAAACTAAATTATGCTGATTAAATTTATTGGGATATTTACATTAAATCTCTCGATGAAGTCTTTAAGAATACTTATGGGCTTCACTAAATATATTCACTAATCATTACCTAAGGAAGCATGAATCATAAATTTTCTATGATTGATTCGTTTAATTAATATACACTGCCTTAAAACATCTCTGTTTACCTAAAGGTTTTTTACAAGTTTAAATTGATATTTATTCTCATATATTTAACTAAATTCCAATCTAAATAAACTTTTTATAAAATTACGAGATATAATAGTATCTACACCTCAGTATCATCAAATAATGGTATTTACCAGTATATATCAATTTTGCTCTCATTCTTTTCATTCATTTAGAAAATATAATTATATTTTTGAGAAGTTTACACCTTATAGATTTAATTCTATTGTATCAACTCTAACTAAAACTATAGACTCAATGAATATTAATCTATTTCTCTTTCTTTATATCAATCACACTACTTTTTCAAAGTAAGTATGAACACGCATCATATTGCAAAAATTTACACACTATTTCACTAAATTTCTTTACTAATTTGAATAACCCATTTAATTTTAAAAACATCCATCCTAATTACCACCAAGTCCGAATTAAAACCTTTAAGTTATATTATTTAACAGTTCTACATTCAATTATATATTTGTACAATAAATCAAAGGAAACTTTATGTAAAATGATAAGTATTTAGATATCTAGAATTCCTCAATGGATTGATCTTTAAAATTTGAAAGGAGTATTTACATCCGTTTCGAATTGCATTTCATTATACGCATTAGTTAAATGTGCTTGTTCTTAAGTGTGAATAGAGATTGAATAATAATAAATCATTAAAATTTATTTATAATTGATAAAGAAAGGTAGAATAAAATATTACAACTCACCCAAAAAAAGGGGAGGGAGTCATCCAAAATTATATATGTATTTCATGTAATGTACTTAAATTATAATCTCATTATTTCTTGGGGGCTGGTGCTTTCTTTTAGGCTTATGGCTTGTCAGCGGCGGCAGCAGCAGCGGCAGCTTTTTAGGCAGCGACAACTTGAGCATTTACAGTGAAGATGTATTATTTAGAATTTTAATCTCCAGCTGGTACCAACAAACCTGATTTTGCGAAATGTCTAATGCATCTTCTTGCCAATGAACTTTAATAAGGTTAAGAGATCAATAAATACCCATTAACTTTGAATTTATCTGATACTGTTGAGACTGTGATCAATGCACCCATTTTTGGTAATTAGGTCTCAATTTACTTGTAGGTTGTATTATCTAAAAACACGGCATTGTTTAATTTATCCTTTGCTCTTCCCTTAGTCCATTTCTATGCACGTTATCAAAGAACAATATTACCTTCTTAGTTTATTTGCTTCTTTGGGAAGCTGCTTTAGAAATCTAATCCTTGGTTTTCTTTTATCCTTGTGTTGGTTGTTTTCCCTAAACGATTATAAATGATGTATTACCATGATTTTAAATCTTTAATAAAATTTTTTTTTTAAATTTTAATATAAATTATTGTAAACCTTAATTATGTTCATATGGATAAAAGGAAACAGCAAATCCCATTTTGAGATAAATGTAAAATCAGGATGTGAGAAAATTCTGTCATAGAAAATGAAATGTTGTTGATAGTCAACATATAGAATAGGATAGAGTACTGATTGGATGTGGATTACATTGGATATATCTGTATATGAAGTGATTAAGAAGATCTTTGAAATATTCGTTAGTTGAATAATAAATTATATTATGAAAAAGGTTTGACTGTAATATTTGATATTAATGATTAATGATATTATGATTAATGGGTGTAAATAAAAAAGAGAATAAGATTTTATTTTATTAATTCTTGTATTTTTCGATATCAGATGGACTAATTAAATTGTTTAACAATGTTAATATTGATTAAACAATTGTAGAAGTTTAGTATTAATTTAGTTAATGTTTGATGTGAAAATTTAGGATAATTCAATTGGAGTTGTTGAAATTTCTGGCTTTTTTGGTTGTGTGATTTTTATGCGTATAATTTATCTCATCTTATTATATTCTTTTTATAAAAATGAACGATAACTTCATTGATGAAGAAAATGAAGGGCATATATAAAGTAACAGAAAAAAACATTACAACTAATTATTGAGTACTTGTTAGAAAGTTTCTATTGGATGCTTGTCTATATGCGGATTGACTATCTTTATTTTATCATTCTTTATTCCGTCGTTTGTTGAAAATATGATTAATGGCAAAGTGCCAGATTAGGTGATTCTGACAGAGTCAAATAGTGGATTGTGGGCAAAGCTACCAGGGGACTCCCAGGTTGATTTGATGAGAGTACTGACAGTCTATGAACCAACAAATTTACTTGACGTCATTTTTCGAGGGTAAAAACCTTAATTTATAGAACATGAAAAAGTGTACTCACTAATTCAAGTGCAAGAATTTACAAATCGAACTTATTCAGAAGATGGTAAGGAAGTAACTAGTAATCGCTACGTAACCTTTTAAGAAAAGAATGCAGAAGAAGGTACAAAGGAATACTCAGTGGTAAATCCAGGCTTATTTGGAAGTTGGTATTTAGGTACTCATTTGCCATAACCAAAATTGACTTGGATGACCATTGGGTAAGTAATGTAAAATCTGCAGGAATAATTAGTGTTGAATATCTATTATTAAGGGTTTCATTATCAATTTGTGAAGGATGAGACCTCATGCAATGCATTATTGAAAATGATAAATGATGAGCAAAAACGAAAGGACATGTTTTATGATCATTTCATGGGATTAGGTAATCCTGACACTATGGAAAATTGGGTTCGTTTGGGTTTGGAAGGACATAACTTTGGGCCAGCAGGCTAATTACTAAGGGATTACTTCGATCTAAACTAAGAACTTGTGAATGACATTCGTAAGGCAATTAGTGAACAAATTAAAGCCATTAATGTATCCGCAATGGCTAATAGTTACCATTGTAATCCTTACGGATAAGAACCAGATCAAAAGAAATACAAGTACGATTGCGATGGCAAATATTTTACTGCTTTGCAATGGTAATCGAGTGGAATTTCAGCCAATCCTCCTCCAGGCTTAGGTATTCTGCCAACCGATTCTGTCAACTTTACAAATAACACATTGCATGATTATATTGAAATTGCATACTACTACAAAGGAGGAGAGTTTGAAGCTGATTATGGAGATCAGACATTTGATTTAGATTGGGCATATCAATTCCTAAACAGAAATTATGATTATCCAGTTGGTGGTTATATGAAAGATGAAAATATCCTATAGCACAAAGGCAATGTTGAATTTATCTATGAAGTAGGAGCCAAATTCGATAAATCTAAGAACTTAGAAGACTTGAAACCAATTCAAGAGAGATTTCAAATAAAATCATTAGAATTGGCTCATGTCGTCTATAGATGGGTGCAATAAATGGGCTTCAACTTTTCTTATAGGAAAAATTTAGGAGGTAAACTTGAACATGGAGGAATTGGTTTGTTTGCTAGTGAATCAATTTATTATCACTTTAGGAATGTGAGTGAATACTTGTTGCCCTATTTGTTAAGCTCAGAAATGATATTTAAATAGAAATGGAAGGATTGTAAGACTATGTTCAAATCAAGTATTGGGAGCATTGATGATAAATAGGCTGAATCCATTTGCAAGAGCATGGGGTATTAACTAAATGTTAACCATTTCATGACTATCTAGTAATTGTGCACATTCGGAGTTTATGGAGCTTAGTTGTAGGAATTTGGTAAGTAGCACTCATTGACTTAAAATCAGATCTTTGAGATATGTTCAGAAAAGGGTTCCACTGATCAATCCTTCCAAGAAGCTTTTCAAGTTGTGCATGCAGAATTGAAGCAAAAATATAACTGTCAATACACGCATTGTTCAAAATAAGAAATAGCAATCAAATAATTTGCTAGGTGTGAAATTACATTAAATCCACCTCCATCTTTGACTAAATAGAAGAGCATTCACTATTGGAATAAAAAGTAATTCCCTCGTCCTTTTGAATATGGCTACTTTATGACTGAATACAAAGATATTTTTACTAGGGAACCACCTTAAATGACGGATTTTCAAGCTAAAAAACTATTGCATTTCAAGGGGATATTTAATCCTTTAGCAATCACTTCAGCATTCATTTATGAGAAAAATCATCCAACCTTTTATTTGAAATTCATAGATATCTATCAGGTAAGAGAATATGAACATATAACCTAATATTTGCGATTTGCTGCTATTCAAGGAGTCATGGGGGGATTAGCAACCACTAGGACTCCAAAAGAGTTATTCTTTGGTTACTCTGAACCTTTAGGAGAAGAATTGAAAAACAATGATCCAGCTGGAAATGGCGATCCATCAACTAATTCATGGGTTATGTTGGGAGATCCAAATATGACAATAGATGATAGTTATAATTATCCATAAGTATTATACACAGGGAAGGACAATTTAACAATGACAAGATATTTAAAGTCTATGAATAGATACGATTATGCAATTGTAATTCTGTTTAATGATTAATATAGTACAATTATTCGTATTTTGATGGGAATAAGACATTCACTAAATGGGAGAATCCTTGGAATGAAAAAGAATACATAACCTCATCGACTGATGGAATTACTTTTAAGCCCTTTTTAGAAAAAGAAGACATGATTAGGCTCTATGTTCCTTAGCTATATCGAGTGTGTAATAATGCAATTAAATAATAATTATAGTGGAATTGAAATCAACTTCCAGTGGCCCCAAAATACATGGCTTAGATACTATTCACTTTGAATTAAGTATGGATAATCTCAATATTGATCCAAAATACAATAATTAATGGAATGGAACAATCAACATGGAGAAACCATTCAATGCTCCTGCCGTTGTATCTCTGCCTCACTTTTATCAAAGTCAGAGCAACCTTTCAGATCTCGTAACCATTGTTAATAAGGATGGACATGTGATAACTGCTAATGACTATGATAAAATATATGCCAATATAGAGAAATACTCTGGTGCTCCATTGTAAGCAGTCATTCAATTTATGATTTCAATGAAAATTCAAAAAGATGAACTGTTCGTAAATGTCAAGGAAGACATGGTGTTGCCTCTGATCACTCTATATAATTCAGGCAATTTCACTGAAAAAGGTGTGAAAGCAAACTTTGGAGAACTCAAAACTGGGCTTTCTACAATAAATTGGGGATGGTATTTAGTTATGACTGTTGGAATAATTATGATTTTGGGTGCAGTTCTTATTGTAGTGATAGCCAAATACAAGAAATAGAAAGTAGAATCAGTCATTAGTGAACTATGAAATATTTAATAAATTCTAAAATATTAATTATAAGTATAAGTGACAACAAGCCCAAATTGCTCCCAAATGCATAACCAATATTGTCTCTTAGATTTCCTAGATTTGAGTTATAATATCTTTATTGTTTAAATGTAATGGTGACGATAAATTGCAAATAGGTATTATAATTATACTTTATTAGTTTCACTAGATAATTTTTAAATATATTAAACAAAGAATAATATTAATTAATTCTATTTTTTATAAAAAATAAGAATTAATATATTTAGTTATCAATTAAAGCACAAAAATTTTGATAATAAATAATTTCATCATCTTTGCCTGTTATATTTAAACACTTAATATTATGTAAGTGTTTATAATTTAGCTTATGACAATGTCTTTCGTTTGTTGTTCGGACTTCTTGACAAATTTGAATATTTTTCAAAAATCTACTCTCTACTAGGTAAAAAGGGACTCTTTAAAACAATCTTATCTTATTGGCTTTGAGAATGGGATTCTGAATGCTAATGATAATTTGATTTTCTTTTAATCAATTATTTATCAAAGAAACTATTGTGAATTTCTTTGCTTGGTGTGATTTAGGTCTTAATCTTGCCATTAGACAATTCTGAACGATGGGTTAATTCTTTCCATTCTAAATTTCTTAGTTGATTTACTGATTCCTATTCTTTGATTGAAGGATTTATGGTTTGCAACAGTTCCTACAATTAAGTTTATGGATTGAGACTTTGTTGATAAAGTGGTTATGACTATCTAGCAGTTGGTTCCTTTGTCTAAGGATTGTAGAAGAAAGTATCCAAAATGTCATCCTCATGATCTGTTTCGCTTTTGTAACTAATGTTCTCAGCATTCTATTAGTGGATAGATTACAAAGCCTTAATAATAAGTTGTGCCTATTCTTCATAATTCACTTAATCTTAACTGATGAATATTTTGACGTATTTCTAATACTTTGAACTAATGTCATGAATTTCTAAATTCCTTTTCCTTTGTGGCAACCCACAATTAAATTTGATTGAACTAACAACATGAGGCTTCTCATGCATTCTCAACTCACTTCCAATAAATAGCATAATTACATTGCAATTTGTACATTCTCTATTCCCAATAGACTTTTGATTTCTGGACACAGAGTCGGATTGGTAAATTGATAATTAGAACTTAAATCCTTTCCACTCAAATTACATCTAGAATTACCTAAGACCACACCGTCTGGATTGAGCATCGGTACAACAATCATATTTAATTTTGTTTACTTCAACTATTTTATCAATTCTTCAGCTAAATATGATGTATTTGCATCTATGGGTCTAATACGAGCAACTATCAAGGTTAATGGCCCATTTTATTTCTGAACCCAATAATAAATTGGGTATTATAACTTAGACAATCCCAATTGTCCATATTGACCATTCTCCTTTAATTAATTGAATGTAAAGGGCTTCTGAAAGCTAATGATGTAACTTTCATAAGAGGACTTGATCTCAAAAGAACATTACGCAAAATGACCGTCCTTACGCTTGATATTTGTCAATGAATAATGAGAAGGCACAAAGAATTCGTGATTATCAGACAGTCTCTATACATATACATCTCGATTCTTCTCCTATGCTCTCAAATTTATGATATTCACTTTAATGTTCATTTCTTTGAATGCATATATCTTCAATCCCAAAGAGAACCACTTACAGAACCCATGAGAATTTGTATCTGATTTCAATACTATCTTAACAGTGTCATGTTTACAATAATAGATTTCTTATACGTTACACCCTTCAAAACCTCCAAAAATTTCATAATCCCTTGGATGATTTGCGTCGTATCTATATTTTAGATTTTTAAGACTTTCTTGCAATTCTGAAACATTTTTTATTGGTATATAGTTTTATTTGCAAATGCTTTCCTTTACATCTATGTTAAAATCCTCGTAATATATGAGATTTGTTGAATTATTAACTGATTGTACTCCTTACAATTAATCACTATTGACAATACTAGTCCTATAACTAATATTTCCCTTGGATGATTTAAAATGTTGTTAAGGATTACTTGTAAATGTTCTCTTTGAGAGTCTCCCCTAAATCATAGTTTACTGTTCTTCTCCCAATTTCATCCAAATAAATTTTGGTTTTGGGTCATCCGGTAACCCAAGCAAAATTGGAAGAGGTTTTGGAATTCGATTATAAAACATTAAGAAAATAAAATTACTTATTAGAACAATAATGGATATCTATAGTATAATGAATAATCATCAATCCCAATATGAATAAGACTCTATAATATGCAAATTGACCTCATTCTCATTCTACCTATACATTTTATTTCATTTTTATAAATGGATTACATCACTTTTTGTTTAATCAAATCGTTTAATCAATAATCCTATGTATTCATCTTATGATTTGTAATTCAAATATGTACGAGCCTTAAGTAAACAGAAATTAGTTTGACAATCAAAATATCAGTTATTCTCAACACTTTAAAATACTTGTAATTGAAAATCTAAAAAAACCACATATACATATATGTTGTTTATAGAAAATAGAAAATTATTATATGAGAATAAGATTATAATAATACATCAAATGAACGAATCCACTTTAAATCACATATATCAAATCCTATTTTGAAGCATTTAGAATTATGTATATAAATTTTGAATGTGTATCGGATATTACTGAATTACGTTATTTCAAAAGTAAGGTGGAGAGAACTCTTTGTAAAGTTATTTTTTTTATTTTTCTGAAATGTGAAGAATAAATTATTTCGAAATAACATGATAATGAAAGTACAATGTATTGATTTCAATTAAATATTTTCAGTTTTACATATGTACAAAATAACGTTTTCTTGATTTTTAAATTTCTTCATTTTTGTACAAAAACAAAAGAAACTTCTCATCCAGCCTATTGATTAAGATTTATTGAGCAACTATTTAAATGTTTTAAATCATTTATAGAAATATTATTAATTTATGGGAGTGTGCCAAACAAAAAAGTTAAACACAAAGTAAGACTCATCAAGCAGAGTGAACACTGAAAGTAAAACAAAGATGGATCTGTCTGGTACTCAAGAAACTGAATTAAAAAAATCGCTTTATCAACATTAAGAGAAGCAAGCCAATACAGAAACTATTTGCGTTCAAAATTTGGATTGCACAATCCCAGCAAGTCAACGAGGTCATGCTTTTACCATGCCGAAAATATTGAATTCTCCTTAAAGCCTTAATAATCCTCTTTTAGAATCGACAAGTGCTTCTAAGAAATATACTCTTATTGGTCAACATAAATCAAATTATGTATTATATATATCTTATATATAGCAACTTTAAATTTTATAAAACAACAAAACTGGAATGCTTGTTTAAATGTAGAATATTCCAAAAAATATAGAGGGCAACGAGAAATATATTAATCAAATTCAAAAGATATCGATAGTATTAATTTAAATATCATTCTTTCAGGATCATCCAAATATCTTAAGAATCATCGAAATTTACCAAGATAAAACCAACTATTAAGTGATATCCGAATACTTCAATGGAACCAATCTTTCAGACTTAATTATTGGAGAAGCCAAAGTATCAAAACCCTAAGTAGCCGAAATCTACGAATAAATAATGTCAGCTATGTCATATCTTCACCAAAAGAATATTGTTCATGGCAATTTGACTCTCAAATCATTTTAATATGTGAATCTAAATAATCTACTTGTTGTTAAGCTAACCAATCTAAAAACCATCTATTGCAAAGATCTAACAAACATTGAAGTTATAAAATTACTTCCTCCAGAATGTCTCTATCGTTAAGAACTATTTACGAAAGAAAGAGACATTTGGACAGTGGGCTTGATTGGATTGATACTTAGAAAAGGTAAATTACCATATGAAATTCCATAAAATACTTCTTAACAAATTATGGTATCGATTATCAAAGATCATAAATTTAATTTCTAACATAAAAAGGATCAGAAGTTCAGACATTTTCTAGAGACAGTACTATCTAAATTCCCTTAAGAAAGACTTGATTTTGACTAATTACGAAAGCATGAATTTATAAAGTTTTATTCTAAGAAAAAGGCAAACACAAAGGTGCAATTACTCACAAATTTCTTAACAAATAAACCATGCCCTCCAATCTAATAATTAATATTAAGTTATTTTGGATAAGAATTCAATATAGACGAGTATCTTGCTGCCATAAAGCTGTATATTGAAGCTAATACCAACAATGATGGTTCTTTAAGTAAATAAGAATTAATAAAACTATTTTACAATTACAAAATTAATAAAGAAAACATTGCTCAAAAAATAGATGATATATTCTAATAATTTGAAATAAATGATAAAATGGGAATGGATCAAAATAAATTTGTTTCTTTAACTTTATCTCGTTCAATCTTATTGACTCAAGAGAATATTGAAACATGTTTTGCTATCTTCTCATTCAACAAATAGGATATATACTTGAAAGGATTGAAAAGACATTTGCAATGTGAAACTGTTGATATTAAATCAGAATTTGCATCGATGACTGATGATCTAAACTCAGTAATAATTTATATAATTTTTTTAGCTTAACTATTAACAATTTGAATCTATGATGAAATTACTGATATGATATGATAATATAATTTTATTCAAAAATAATTTAGTAACTTATTTTCAGTATTACTTCAAAGTGGAACCCACTAAACAGGTTGTTATTAAATTTTTTATAAATTTCTTGTTGATTTCTTAATCTGTGAATTTATTATTTAAGATTTATTATTGATAGTAATCTATAATCTCAAATTAATCTTAATCTCCTTTTAGAGGGTATTAAATTGAATCCAATTGTTCATAGATCCTATTTGACTTCTTTTTTGTCGTTGAAAAGTTAGTAATAAATTATTGTACACATTAACAAAATAAGACAATATCCTTAGATATAAAGCAACCAGGTTTCTTAAAAATTCCAGCATAATTATTTGATAATTTAAATTTTAAGAATCTTTAAGTAATAGATTGAGAAGAAGAATGTTTCGTTATCTGGAAAATTCTTGCAATTTCTTATAAAGGTTTTAGCATTTTCCCTAAGAAAAGCGAAGATAATAATGACATTGCAATTGCTATTAGAATTATAAAGGCCATTCCTTTTATCAAGATTTCTTGTATTTAAGTTTTCATCTACTTTTACTGCTCTTTGACATACTATTAATATTCAAATTTAGTTTGGTATCTAGATACGAATATAAGAATATATTTACAGAATAATTTTTAAATTATACTATTTTAAGGGAGTATGAGTCATATAATAATCCTACTTGTCTATTTTATTTTGTCGACAAATAAATCCAATATCAACATGATCACAATTACTCTAATTTGAATAGATTAAGGCTTGCCAATCTTCAATATTAAAACCAGTTTTTGTTTCATTATAAAAGTAGTCTGTTCCTAATTCATATTCAGTATTATTTAACAAGTTGCTTACTAATAACATTCCTTCATTTGTAGTTAATATTAGGTTAGTTTTATTTGAACTCCTGTGAATTATTTCTTATAATATTGTTGATTTAATATGAGCTCGCAAAGCTCCTATCATACTTTTTTTGAAATTAATTAAAGGCAAAGTAATAGAGAATCTAATATCATTAAAAGGAATGGCTGATGAATATATATTTATTTATTACTTCTATAATGACCAGTTAATCGAACAGAGTATTCTGTAAAATTGCTTAAATTATATGCCTTTTGAGCTTCAATATACCATGGTCTGCTCTTCGGATCATACCTTTAGTAATTTCTGAAATCTAAACAAGGATATTAAAAGAGTTCTTATGAATATTCAAAAAACCCAATATACTATTGAACTCCAAACATATGAGTAGGCAATGCTGTTTAAAATTACATCAAATTCTAAAGCATGTTCTTATGATTTTCCTGACTCAGATTGATGTTTGATTAATTAAGATGGCAAGTGCAAGGTATATCAATCTAATTGGTTTGCATAAAAATTACTTCGATTAATGGGTTAAGGAAACAAATTTCATTTGCTTCCTTCTAACTCACTTTCAAATTATTTAGAAGCTACTAATAATTGTGTAGTCTGTGCAAAGATATTAATGGCTAAGATACTTCAGGATATCAATAATTAATACCGGAGTGAATAAATGTAACCCAAAATATTTCTAAACTTTGTTTAGCTATATCTTATTATCTTTTTGAATAGAGATCGAATATAAGTTCTGAAGATTCCTAAAGTGTTTCTGAAATATATTAGGTAATTAAACTGAATAAAATTATTACACTAGCTAAAATGATAAGCATAGAACAAGAAATGTAAACATATAATATTGTTTTTGCCCTTAAATTTGTAAAGCATTTAATGATTGGAGATCTTACATTAAATTACCTAAACATTTGTTTATTTCTTATCTCAGTATTTCTTCCTCTAATAATTCCAAACATAATTTTAATTTATATATACTGTATTTTAAAATGAAAAAAGACAATCAGTCATTACTTACACAAAACGAGTAAACACTTCAGCCTTTTTCGAACTTAATTTAATCGTCCAGATGCAGATCAGAATTAAATCATTAATTGGTTCCCTATTAGACCCACTATTTCTATATCTATCACTATCTTTATTGAACTCAAAGACTCCTCCTATTCTACATTTTCTTATAAAACCACAGTCTAATGAGAGGATTGCAATTGACCTAAAGTGAGATATCAAATCAATATTCTAAAAAGTTGCCATTTTTGAGATAGGCAAAGGATATGAATCCTTCTTTATTCCTTGAAGTTAAAATCACTAAAGTTAGAAATCAAGTTCGACCTTTACTTGAAATTTTTTGAGAATACAAAGTAATTTTTCATATGGGATTTACAAAAAATGAATAAGTTTACATTATCTATAGTGACAATAATGTGATATTTTACATGTAAGAGTTTCTTTTCCTGACAGCATTTTTCCTTTCTTAAAGTAAAAAGTAAGCTTTAAAAATTTTGGCCTAGGCTAGGACTAATTTCTGGAGTCAAATACTCACGTATTCTGAAAATCTAAATATTGATGTGATATACAGTACATGCATCTTTGATATATATAGCTAACCTAGGAATTGCAAGCTTAATATGTTGAGCAATTGAAAATATTCTCCTCTCTATTTATAATTATTAGTTAATTATTTCAATATAGTTAAGTTAAAGCCTTATCAAATACAGATTTTTCCTCTAAATAATCTGCCGATATACCATCTTATTTTCAAAACTATATAAATTACCTTTTGATACATAGCTATTTCATAATTACTCCAAAACTTAGCATTCAATTGAGGATATCAAAAGACATTCCTGAATTATGTAATAAATTAGCGTTCACTACAATTCAATATTGCAAATAAATTTAATTTATTTATTTTCTACTCTCCAATAAATTTAAATTTATAATAAAAATCTTTCTAAAAAGTAGACAATTATGATAAAATTGATTTTTATATTCCTTCCTAGCCAATATTTATTGGTTATTCTTTTCAATATCTTAAATACTGGCCCAAGTTTCCTTTATTCTATAAATAATTCAAGCTTTTCGAATATTGAAGAGAATCATCAAAAATAGAACTAGGTAAAATTTATCTAATGATCTATTCAAGTTGAAGAACAACTTGCCTCACACATATTTCCATTGCATTAATAAATTTACTGTAAATTAATAAAATCAAGTACATAAAATTTTATATTAAAATCATTCATTTGATAATAATTTATAACTTTAATTCAAGTGATGTAATTTATTTATTAATGTGTCCATTTTGTAGTTATTTTCTTTCATTCTCTCTGATGATAACCTACTATCCTACTTTGTTATTGTCATAAAGGAAGTCTTATTTAAGTCTCTCTACAATAGACCACTCTGTTCACTAGTCTGATTATGATATTGTTGCATAATGTCTTTCATCTATCTAATTTAACTATCCTCCTGTTCACTTAAATTGCTAAAATCCATTTCTTTAGTTTATGTGTGATTAGTTCTTGGTAAAAATGAGGACTCCTGTGATCGAAAACTTTTATCGCTCATTTGCTATTCCATAATACTATTATGCAGGGTAACTTCTCCCAATTATTTCACCTTCTCTGAAAACTCCTTTAATTACAGTTTGACTTGCTTACTATCTTATAAATTCCATTTGTTATCCAAACAAACTATTAATTTATTCAATAATTGAAGTTGATTATTCATTTGATCATACATTTTTTTGAGTTCTTTACTATTCATTTATATTGATCCACTCAAATTACTTTTACTAGATTTCTTAGAATTAAAACAAGAAGTTTTTTCTAAATGATGAAATATGTCTTGCATAACCTCTCTATCATTATTTGTCAATTTTTCATCTTCGACCTTCATTATGGCTTTGGAAGTTGTCTTAAATAATTTTTATTATTCTATGGTAATAAAAAATTAGTACAATTATTAAGATTACTTATCATCTAGTTGACTTAATCTCCCCGAAAGCTAACATTATTACTTTGTGGATATATCACATATGGTTGATACTATTAAGGTTGACTGTTTACAACATATTAAGGTTATTGAACTAAAGTACTTACTGGTACTGAGAAACTTTAATTACTCATATATTAGTTGGTTTATTATCTAATTGGGGGACAAGAAATAGCTTATTGAGTTTATACTCTATGTTAAATCAGTGGCTGCTATTATCTATTTATTTATTAGTTTGTATTAAACTCATCAAATTTATTAGGGGATTTTGTCATTCTGGACACTCTAAATTGTTGAGTTTTATAAGAATAATATTATGATTCTGATTTATAAGGTTATGTAGAATTGTCATCAAATATTGGTTTCCTACAAATTGGTGCAGAATTATCTTTGATTTCAATAACACAAATACCTCTTGGTTGTTTGAATGGATTGATTTATTCTAATCTATTCCTTATTCCATTGGCTTCGCAACATCCCATTATCGTTAATTTAATAATAAAACAGAAATATTAATCTAATTATAAAGTGAAATTGTTTTGAAAATAAATGATTAACTCTTACATTTTGTTACACATTCTTCATAGATGTAAAATTAAGAATACACTTATTTAAATATTATTATACAAATAGAATGCATTTAATTCTCAAAATAAAAAAAATTTCTTGCTTTTCAAAAGTTGACAAGATGATACTAGTTATCTGAATGAAGGGTGTATAAATCTGTTATTATTGATTAGAATACATGGCATATAATATTAGGAACAAATTGGAAACAATAATGTTATAATTTTACATCATCAACATTTATTTTAATAATTATGATACAAAATCTTATGTTACGAACTTTACTATGAATTTATATTACAATATTAAATCCATTAAGGATAATTTTCAAATTAGGAACTTGATTTATAAAAATGTAGATTTTGGAATGATTGAAATTATTGATTTTAGTTGTTAATTCATAGTTTTACAGAAAAATCTGATTAATTTTTAAATGATAATCTAAAGATGTCCTTTGTGTTTTAGTATTTACAATTGGATTGACTTTAAGATATGACACTTTTTTATAATTCAAAATAGATAAATAGTTAGGAGATGTATGTCAAAAAAAAAAATTTAATGTTAAAGCAGGATAATCTGATTTCAAATGATTAATTAATAGATGCTATGATATTCTTAATCTAATTCATTTTCAATATTTTGGTAATTTTAATTTTATGTAATTTAATATGCATAAATCAATTATGTTATCTTTGAGTTTTTTCAAAAGATTAAATCTCTTTTAGGCATTACTTTTTTTAACTCTTCGATTATTGTATTTTCTAATTTTCTTCCTCTCTTTTCTTTTAATTCAACTTATCTTATACTAAAGTTGTGATTTATTTTAAAAAATTTGCAACTTTATTTTATTGATCTTCAAATTAATCCATCTAATTCGATGACTACTCTTCTTCGTCATCTTGTGATTCACTATTCTATTCTGAAGATTGCGAATTTGAAGTTGATTATGCATCAAGTTAATTTGGTATTTTATTATTCGTAACCCAACTTTTCAACATATTTCCAAAATGATGATATAGATCTATTATTTAGTTATGTTCTTAAATAAATATACCATTCATATTGTTATATTCTACTTTCTAATTTTTATAATGTTTTCTCAATAACTATATCTTTAGCTCTTTTTTTTTCAACATTTCTTATAGAGCCAATACTTTCTCATGATGATCTTTGTCATTCTATTTAAATTTCTCAATTTCTTCTTTTAAAGTAATAATTTAAATCATATTTGCCATGTATTTAGGTTCATCTTATACATCTTTTATTTTTATGGTATAAAAGATATCACATACGTTTTTCATCTACACCCTACAAACTGGGCATTATTAGAAAGCACTCTATTTCAAGCTGGCAACACATTCTTTATGAAAAACATGACCACAATCCACGATAATGCAGAGATCAATGTTTAATGGTAATAAGCAGATTGAGCATTCAGGAATCTGGACAATCTTATCATCAAGTGTGTATATCTTCTGCATTGTTAATTTTTATATAATTTCTTCACCTTCAAGAAGAACTAATTATATCTTATTATCAAAAAACCCTTAATAATTTGGAACAATATAATTAATTATAATCATTAAAGAAATTACAATTGTAGATTAGAATATGATAATTTATGTTGGTGGTGGAATTTGATTAGAGATGTAATGCAATTTCTCATTAATTCTTTATCTGCATAAAATTACTTACAATTTCCTCTTCAATTAAAATAGCAAATACTTGATTTCAGTTAGTTAGATAATCTGCAAATTGTACTACATATAGAAATACAAATAATCAGTTTTTGACAATAAGATACATAAATTTTGACTAAAATTCAAGATAGTAAGTTATTTAAATTAATAAGAGAATTTGCAATAGATCTTAAACTGATAATTGGAGTTAAATTCATATCTCTTTTATTAAATATAACTAAACACATAGATATTAAATAAAATGCATGATTTTATTACTCATACATATAACATCATTAATATAGTTTTATATATAATATTATTTAAATTACTATAAATATGAACTTGATTCAAAAATAATGAGCTGATAAAATATATTAATTTAGTTCTATATAGATCATTTTTTAAAATTAAAAAAGTCTACTGGCAATCCAGCCCTTGTAGTTTTGGGGATTGAGGTTTATTTTGTTTTTTTGTCTAATAGCTTAATTTTAAGTTCTCTTGTAGAGAGCATGAGCAGATCAAGTATTTTTTCTTAAACCTCGGTTTTGAATTTATAATTCTTTCTGTGATTTTCATTTCTAGTGTCTTACTTGACATTCGTGATTTCTTCAGCCGGCTTATGTTATGGAGATATTAAGTTGCAAATAGATTTAATCTATTCTTTAGATTGATTTTATTTTGGAATAATTGTCGGAGTTTTATAACATAGGATTCTGTCGCTGCAAAGCTACTTGTCAGGTTCAGTCTTTATAACAGTTTTATCTTTGTTAACGGTGTGGTAGTCAGAAATTTTTTATTGCTTATGAATTTGATAGGAATTAGAACTTAGTTATTACTTAACCAGATAGCCATTAATGCGTTTGGATTGTTTGGGTAGTTATCTGATAGCTTCATTAATTGTTTATGAGATTTATTCTTGGTCTTGAGATTTCAGTCTTCGAGAAGAATGTAATTTGTTTGAGGAGGTGTTTTTCTAACTTTGCNACAATCCACGATAATGCAGAGATCAATGTTTAATGGTAATAAGCAGATTGAGCATTCAGGAATCTGGACAATCTTATCATCAAGTGTGTATATCTTCTGCATTGTTAATTTTTATATAATTTCTTCACCTTCAAGAAGAACTAATTATATCTTATTATCAAAAAACCCTTAATAATTTGGAACAATATAATTAATTATAATCATTAAAGAAATTACAATTGTAGATTAGAATATGATAATTTATGTTGGTGGTGGAATTTGATTAGAGATGTAATGCAATTTCTCATTAATTCTTTATCTGCATAAAATTACTTACAATTTCCTCTTCAATTAAAATAGCAAATACTTGATTTCAGTTAGTTAGATAATCTGCAAATTGTACTACATATAGAAATACAAATAATCAGTTTTTGACAATAAGATACATAAATTTTGACTAAAATTCAAGATAGTAAGTTATTTAAATTAATAAGAGAATTTGCAATAGATCTTAAACTGATAATTGGAGTTAAATTCATATCTCTTTTATTAAATATAACTAAACACATAGATATTAAATAAAATGCATGATTTTATTACTCATACATATAACATCATTAATATAGTTTTATATATAATATTATTTAAATTACTATAAATATGAACTTGATTCAAAAATAATGAGCTGATAAAATATATTAATTTAGTTCTATATAGATCATTTTTTAAAATTAAAAAAGTCTACTGGCAATCCAGCCCTTGTAGTTTTGGGGATTGAGGTTTATTTTGTTTTTTTGTCTAATAGCTTAATTTTAAGTTCTCTTGTAGAGAGCATGAGCAGATCAAGTATTTTTTCTTAAACCTCGGTTTTGAATTTATAATTCTTTCTGTGATTTTCATTTCTAGTGTCTTACTTGACATTCGTGATTTCTTCAGCCGGCTTATGTTATGGAGATATTAAGTTGCAAATAGATTTAATCTATTCTTTAGATTGATTTTATTTTGGAATAATTGTCGGAGTTTTATAACATAGGATTCTGTCGCTGCAAAGCTACTTGTCAGGTTCAGTCTTTATAACAGTTTTATCTTTGTTAACGGTGTGGTAGTCAGAAATTTTTTATTGCTTATGAATTTGATAGGAATTAGAACTTAGTTATTACTTAACCAGATAGCCATTAATGCGTTTGGATTGTTTGGGTAGTTATCTGATAGCTTCATTAATTGTTTATGAGATTTATTCTTGGTCTTGAGATTTCAGTCTTCGAGAAGAATGTAATTTGTTTGAGGAGGTGTTTTTCTAACTTTGCATTGAGTTTTATTTATTTAGGTAGTCCTTGTTGGTGTGCAGTGATTGATTAACATGTTTTTTGGATTTAAGTAATTTTAATCTGATGATAATATAAATTTATACTTCTCAGCAATGTTATCAGGATTTCTGTTCAAACATGCTTACTATTACATATGGTAGCTAATTTGTTGGGAAGGTACATAATATGCATGATTCATGATGTTAGAAAATATAAAAATTTAATCAATGTAAAATTGAATTGGGTTAAAGAGCATTAAAAAAATCAGTTGGAAATTTGGTTCTTCCGCTTTTAGGAATTAATAATTTGTTAGATTGTCTTGTATTAATTTTAGAATTGCCTACTTTATTTAATTCTGCAAATTTTCTTTTTAAATCTTGAGTTGAAAGACATAACAAGTCTAAAATTTGTTCCTTGGTTTATGAGTTATTTTGATGAAGAATTTGTTTTTTTTCCTTTGTTTCTTATAAGAATTGACCATCTTATTCTATCTTAATAAAAAATGGATTAGAATTATCTATCGAGTTTACTTTCTTGATACATCTGGTGAGTTGATTGCCTAAGATCTAAGACATTTTATCATCAGGTTCTGTAGGAATTGATTTCTTATGCAAACGGAAGAGTATATCTTGAGATTCATCCTGTTTGGAAATAGAATGAGCACATACGTCATTAGGTTCTGTCTTCATTTTTACAACAGGAGTATAATTAGGTTTTCTATCTGTTCTAAATTTGATGTTATTCATGTGATTGTTCTGTGTTTTCTTATTTTGCTTAGGTGTTGCCACTTGTTCATCTGACTTCATCCTTCTTGCAGTAGGCATTTTGTAGCCAGAGAAATCATTTATTATCTTAAACTTCGAGATTGATCCTTCTGGAAGTGGGTGATTAATAGAAGTCCCTTTGGCTATTTAGTTTCGATATCTTCATATATATGCTGAATACAGATCCTTCAGATGAACTGGAGAATGCAATGGCTGAGATATTATCGGCGTCTTCCTACGAACTCCTTGGCTATTTGACGTTTCTTCTTTGTTGGTGAAGCTGTTCTTATTGACAGAATGACAAGAGGAAAGATCAGCAGGAGGCCTGATGAAATAGGTTTATTATTTCATTTATATATAAAATAATTATACAATCGGAATTCTTATTGCAATGGTTTCAATGTGACAAAGCTAATGGCAAAACATTCAATTATCTAAAGAAAATTTCAAGTCCAACATTCCCATCTTTTTCCATGATTACTTTGTGAAGAATATCGTTTACATTTAGAGTTCATAAAAATTCACTTCCTTCTCAGTCTTAGGGAATTATGTTTAAAATGAATTCTCTGCATTGCAGATTATAAAACCTAAGAAAATAGGGCAGCGATCAAAATTTAATTATTTTATTGATTATTATATCAAGCTATGGTTCAATAATAGTTATAATATTATCAATAATATCTAAACTAATAAATAGTCAAAATTGATTGGTTGATGCAAGAAAATAAAGTAGAGCACTGATTTGATATATGAATGGAAAACTTCTGTGTTTGCTTGAATTTTCATAAATTTTACATTAATATTGATTTGCATAAATTAAAATATATTAATATTGAAATATTTTTTATTTTGATATTTTTATTATATAAAACGGTTTTATTATCCAATAAAGAAACATTAGAAAAGGCCTTTTATTTTATCAATTTTTTATATAAAACATTCAAAATTCTCATCATCATATTCACAGAGCATCAAACATCAAATCCTAAAATTATTTAAAATTAATCTAGAAATATGATCACTAAATTTTACTTGATTGTTTTCATAGGCTGCAAATTACTATTTAAGTTACTGTTTTTTACTATGGTACAATTATTACATCTTTGCAAGAGAAATATAGCCTTCTACATCGGATAATATGCGAAATGCCTCCTTTAAATTATCGATAGTTATCAAACTATTACGATCTATAACTCCTATTAAGAATTCCTAAAAATCAATTTCACCGTTTCTATTGATATCTACTCCTTTGAAAACAGTTTCTACATGATCTTTAACTTCTTAGAGATTTGAAAAATGGTTCAAGTAGGCCTGAGTCAATTCCTATCTATTAATTTTACCATCATGATTGATATCAAACTAGCCAAAGATTTAATACAAAGATTATTCTTAATCAGATTAAAAGGTAGTGATCATAAACTACATGAAACAACATTACAAGAATGTAAGAGCGTGATTCTGATCAAGTTATTTTACAATCTAATCTTATTCAGCCTAAGATTTTTCAATGTTGTGCCTCACCCATTAATCATTCAAAGCCAGATTGAGTTTGATTCTCTTTTTTGGATCACTTCTTAAGAATTTCTTGATAAAATCGACACTAGTTTTAGGTAGGGTATCTGTGTCAAATTCATCAGATGCTTAATATTTTTAAATCGATTAAAGTAGTTCATCCTTATTTGATCCTCTAAATGGAAGTTGGCCAGAGAGCATTTTGTATAACATAATGCCAATACTCCATGTATCTCTTTCTGGTGTGTAGATTTCTGGTTAGAGGATGGCTTCTGGGGCCAGAAACATTAAATTATCCTTTGTAGAAATCATTGATTTAACATAAATAGCCTTATAATCAACTAATTTAATGTAATTTGAATTAGATTAATTATACTTTTAAAAAGATTATAACGATAATCCACAATGGTTCAGTTCTAAATTATGAATATACGAAATTAATTCGACTATCTATTTTAATACTAGTGCTGCTTATTACTGTGAGTAGACTGTATTCGATAGATATTGTTGAAGGGAGCCTCCATTGCAAAAGTCGTGAATAATTTAATAATTGGAAGCGTCCTAAAAGATTTCATCTAATTTTATTAAATTAGGGTGATTCTAAAAGATTAGGGGTATAATAATTACAAGTTATGTTTTGATAATAGATTCTACAAGTTGATCACCTTCTGAGGTTTTTTGAATGAATTCTGCTACTCTAATCTTACCGCTTAGGTTGTGTTATACGAGTGCCAGTTATTCATTCAATTTAATACGACATTTGGACTGTTCTTTGTTCAAAACAGAATAGTATTTAGAGAAATGAGCATTTTTTATTGAAATCCAAGTTTTAAGAGTGCCCCGTTGACCAGCGTTTTCAACGATCTAATCTGCCCAGACCATTCGCTTAATAGGTTTAGTAGAGGGACTCGGAGCCATTTTAGCTTTTTGGTTTTGCTTAATTGAATGTGCACCTAACTTATTAGTAGTGATGTTAGTTTCGGATTTAAAATTTCTTTAGACGTCTGAGGTAGGGTCAAGTTGAGGAGATTATTGAGGCAGGATTTCGTGCTGTTCCTTTAGTTCTTGCTTAGTTTTACCTTTCGCTGAACATATTCCCATTAATTTTTATTATTTACTTTTGGATTATTTGTATTTAGATAAATATTGGTACATATAATAGCAGATTTTTATATATACAAAGTGATAATTTATTAAATGAATATTGAAGAGTTGAAGGAGTCTATATCGAGACTAGGATAATCATAGGAGTAAGTTAAAATGGATATATTAAAGTTGTCAGAGTGATCTGGAGATAATATGGTAATAGATCTAGCATTAAGTGGGTTTGGATTTGATATATCAAAGTGGAAAGGCAGTGATTGAATTGAGATAGTATGCTATGGGTTGGAAGGTAAGTTTTACTGTGATTGAGGATAGTAAGCAAATAGGATCTTGTCGCATATAGTGAGGGTGTGTTTAAATGCGAAGGAACAACTAAAGGCTTGGGAAACGATGAGGATTGTGATGGATCCAGACAAGCAAATATATAAATGTTATGAGTTGCATCAGATTGATGTAAATTAGGTATCAGTAACAAAATGATGAGATAGTTTTCACATCATGAATTTACACAGCATGAGTTTTGTGCAGAATTGCAAGAAGGTTAATAGGTGGATGCATTGTATGATGATGAGAAAGGAAATGTGATAGGTTGGTGTAGAGCAACAATTGACAAGTTGAATGAGAAATTTGTGTGGGTCAAATGGCTTGAGAATGACGATAAGAGGAAGATTGTCAGATACTCAATGGATTTGGCACCATTTAAAAGCAAAGTTACAGATGAGGAATGGCAATGGAGACATTCTCTATAGCCTGGTGATCTAATTGATTGTTTAGATAATAGACAATGGCAGAATGCTACTATTATTGCAGCCTTAAAAGACGAACATGTTGAATATATCGTTGGCTTTAGGGTTTATGATGAGAAAGGGAATCTCTACGATTCAATGGGCAAGAGATACTTTGGTTGGAACTCTCAATATGATGAAAGAATTCGAGCAGTTAGTCCTAGAATTCAGAAAATCAATACCTTTTCTAAAGGTCAATATCCGAATCCTTATAGTCAGGAAGATATCATCCATGATTGCAATGATTTCTTATATCCTGAGAATCACTATGCTATTCCCAGATTCTCGACTAAGCAAACTCGTCGTTCAATCGTTCTTACTTAGATGATCAATGATTTTGGATCTTAAGGATTGTTTCAATATATTTTAGAATAAATCTAAGCTAAGTGCACAATAGACTTTCTTCATCTTTATATGCAAGTTCTCAATAACATTTATGAAATGTTACACAAATAATTTGTCAGTAATTATGTCCCTGCCTTGTAAGTTGCGGTGTAAAACAACATTTTATAGTCTACAGATAATAATCTGCGCAATTTCTCAGCTCAGAAAATTACAGACATTTTGCAGTCCTTATCCAATTTAATGAAAAGAGTATACCCAATCTAAAGAAGGTCGGAAATTATTGATAGATTTGATTTAGATATTGCATTTAAATGTTTCACTAGTGATTTCTTGGAGAGAAAAATCTAGGGATTGAAAGCCATTTAAGAATTGATCAAACGAACTAAAGACCTCTTTAATTCATATGGGATGTAAGAATCCCAAAAGCAAGCAGCCATTTAAATGATATTGGAATGGTTGAATGAGAAAAAAATATTTGAAACTTTATATGCTGGTTCAGGTAATTCCCATTTAGTTTAAAGAAGTGGGGAATTCTTTAAATTCCTGATTGAGGAAAGAATGATTGGAATCCAGAACCTCAAGGAGATTTGGAACAGTTTAGAAAAGGCCGAATATGAACATAAATTAGCTATTTACAAATTATTTAAGGATGCCTCGAATTCTCTGGAGAAGGAATGGTTGGATTTCTTAACTGATGAAATTTGTAGCAGAGACCCTAAGGAAGTGAACAAAGATGAATTGGATTTATTGTAAGATATTATTAAATCAAATCATAAGTATAAAGAGGATTATATTATAAAGTGTTGTAATTACTATTGGAATGTCTTAAAGAATGGGTAACTGAATTAGACTCTTTTTGAGTACTATCTAGCATAGTATATAGAATAAGTGACATCATTTGAAATGAGACCACATAAGGGAGTATAAATTAAGATGATCGGAGAAAGCATAGTAAAATAGGAATCTGCTAGTATTGGATTGAGAGTGCTCATTAAATTGATAGAAAAGTTGGATATCTCACCTGCAGCTTGGGAACAATACACTCGCAATGTTGCGCTAACAGATCTATAATCTTAATGCGGAATTATTGAATAAATATTTACATAAATTAGAGAAATCAAAAAGTAACATGGTAGCTTAGAGGAAATCAAAGTTAGAATGCACTTTATATAGATGTTCTATTAGAACATTAGCACTTATGAATATCGTCTAACATTCAATGTTATATCCACTTTATGGGATTTGTTGGTTTGCTAATCTGAATGTTAATCTGAAAAAGATCTCGTTTTTAAATGGTTTAGCACATTGTCAAATCAAGATGGGTAGTCTTAATTGATTTCAATGGTTGAAATCTCTGAACTTAAGGCTTTTTTTATTGATAAAATGGCTAATGATTTGGCTCATTTGACTGAAGAAGGATTTAATTGTCTCAAGACTGTATTATCCACAATTAATAAATTTGAGAGTTTTGGTTTTGATGTCTTATGGTAAATAATACTAGAAGGGGAAAATGAAAAAGTATCTTAAATGGCTATTGAATATATCCATTCATTCTAAACGACTGTTGAGGAATTATTTAACAAATTGTAAGAAAATAAGAAATAAAATTAAAAATTACTGAGATGTTTATTAGTATTAGAAGATTTCATAGATTAAAGTGAAGTAAATGGAGTTGGAAATTTAAAGAGTTTGAATGCTCTCTCAAAAGGTGAAGAACTATCAATCTAAATTTAATATGAAAATAGTTAGTAAAGAAGATTTACAATCAAAATAAATGACAATTAAACAATTGTAGAATTACGATTGGCAATCAGCAAGGTGATTAAACTCCAATGGGATGCCATAGGTTTGAATAGTCTTAAAGGTGAAATAAAGTTTACAGAGAATGGCAAAATGATAAAGGATCTTAGATTAAAGAAAGATGAAATAATTATGGTTTTTAAAAGGCAAGTGAAGGATGCCCCGGAAACTTAATTGTTGGATGGGGAGAACCTTTCAGAATAAGCTAAAGTAGTGTTTGCAGAAATCTTCAGTGAATATTCAACCGATGGCAAAATGACAAAAGAGGATTGTACTAGATTTGTTACTGGATGCACTGGTAATCCATGCAGTATTGATGATGCTAACATATAACGAACGTTTGAACAATATGATAGAGACAAAGATTAGAACTTAACCCTATAGGATTTCTATGACTTTTATACTGATTCAGCCAGAACCAAAAGGTCGACTGTTTGGTTGAATTTACAAACCTTACACTATAGAAATGATTTAATAAGAGGAGATCGAGTACCTTTGCCTGAAATCAACGCTTAACTATTACCAAGAGGATAGATTGTTCAAAATTAAGAATATTTAGAGTTGTTATTCGAATTCCTCTTAAATTCTAGCTATGAGGTTCAAGAGAAAACTTGGTATTTATTGAGAAGACTACCACCTTCTCCTTAATTGATCAAACAGATGTTAACATTTGAGAACATCACCTAACCAACTGATTGGGATTCAATCTTGGTGAGTAGTCATTATAGATTGTTATACAGTTTGTATATTATTGAATTTCTGATGAACCAATAAGACTCAAATCATTTATAGGCTCTAATAGAAGATTAAGATATTCTCAAATTAAAGGATAAATGGATGAGTAAGTTTTTGCAATTGGGTGGGTTTGATAGATTATTGCAGTTTTTCAAAGAGTATTAAGGTAAGAGTGTAAGTACCTTATCACAAATAGAAAAGGAGATATTATCATTTTTGTTGAACACATTTTAAAATTATATTATTGCCGCTTGTGCTGCTTACATTCCTAATCTGTATAAAGCATCAAGAGGTATTTAATAAATAAAGCCTTTGGATTAAGTGTTATTGGATATTAGATAATCAGAAGAGTCAGAGGAATTTCAACTGTTGGTTTAGAAATTAAAGGAAAGTAGATTAGGTGATGATATTATAGAGAAAATCGAAAATTTCATCCCTGTTTTGATACATCTGATACAAGAATTGTTAAAATGTAATGAGTTGGAATAGGAGGACAGATAAATTATTGAACACAGCATAATAATTGTAATAGTTATATTGTTGAATAATCAGAAATTATTGGCAACAAGCATTGAAAACATTGAATTCATCAACATATTTTTCAGTGGCATATTTACTGGTACATCAGATTCCTTACGCAATCTATTTAGCAGGGCAATCCTAGTACTTTGTCATGAAAGCTAAAAGAAAAACAATTAACCGACAAGAATCATGTTATAATAATTGATAGTAATGCAAAACTCTTAGGGTAATTCAGCCCAATATTATGAATTATTGAGTCAATTAATAGATAGTGCTTTTGAGACTGAAGAATCGTAACAATTCATTGATTATTAACAACTAAGTCAATAAATGTTTCAAAATTTAATGAATTACAAAAGCTAAGAAAATAGATAGAAGAATACTCCTACTGATAAAATATTGGTTGGTTTATTGAATCTTTTGACTAAGTTATATAGATTCATTAAATAACCAATTGTGGATATTATATTCAATGATTGTCTATTCAGCATGTCAGAGGATAAGGAGATTAAGTGCAAATCTGTAGAAAGCAGACAAGTAGCCTTTAAATTGCTCCACAATCTAGCATAATAATAGAACATTGATACAATAGTGACAAACCTACAATTACTAAGTTAAAAGATACCAATAATAAATAGATGGAATTACATCCCTTCAAGTGATATGAGAAGTAACCTTGGATATTGTGGTATCAAAAATCTCAGGTGTATTTGTTACATGAATGCTATGTTATAACAATTTTATATGATAAAGCCATTTAGATATGGCATTCTGTAAGCTAATGATCACAAAGATGTCGATTTATAATTGAGTAAAACAGGATTTACATATGATGATAATGTATTACATCAGTTGCAATAAATGTTCAGTTATTTAGAACTATCAGATCGTATTGATTACAATCCTTAAGAATTTTGTGCAGCATTTAAAGATTATGCTGGTGAGCCAGTCAACATATTTATCTAATAAGATGCACAAGAATTCTTAAATATGATCTTTGATAAGTTGGAGAACCTGTTAAAGGAAACTGTCTATAAAAACATAATGGATGGAGTATTTGGCGGAAAGACTTGCACATTGATAGAATGTTAAAATTGTAAAGTGACAAAAAGCAAGGAAGAAATATTTTACAATTTATCTTTGCTTATTAAGAATTTAAAGACTTTATAGGAATGTTTTGATAAATTTGTATAAGGAGAGGTTATTTCTGATTTCAAGTGTGAGAGTTGTAATTAGAAAGTTGATGTGAAAAAATGTTAACAATTGGCTCGATTGCCGAATATATTAATATTACATCTCTAAAGAATTGTATTTAATTTAGACACTTTTATGAATGAGAAGATTAATACAAGATTGGAATTCCCAATTAATTTAGATCTGCAATAATACACTATTAACAAAGATCAATGCACACAATATCAATTGGTTGGAGTAGTTGTTCATGTTGGTACTGCTGATGTTGGACATTATTTCAGTTATATAGATATCAAAAATTAAGATTAATGGCTAGAATTTAATGATCATAAAATAAAGGAATTTAAATTAAAGTAAATGGAACAAGAATGTTTTGGAGGATCAAGTAATTTTGATTATAATGATAATGATGTTTGGGGAACAGGGTTTAGAGAGAATTCTTAAAGTGCTTATATGCTCATTTATGAGAAGGTGTAGAAAGATCAAATATCTTTAGTATTCAATAGTGAACAAGAACTGTAAGATCACATAGATTAATTTGACAATTACACTATCGATCCTGATTAAAAGAATGTATTATAGGTTGACTATAATTCATTGAAACCTTATATTCCAACTGAATATCAAAAGAAAGTGAATTGCGATAATCAGAAATTTTTATTAGAACGCAATTTGTTCAATTAAGATTTCTTGAAGTTTATACTAGATGCTAGTGAATTTGTGAATGAAAGTAATGCATCCAAGATGATTGATGTGTTAATTAAGTTTAATTACGATCTGTTGTCAAGAGCATATGAAAATTCATTGATGGATTAATTTAATTCCAAAATTGTACAATTAATTTAATAATATCCAAGTATCAGTTATCTTGATTTGATTTACTTTGGCAAATTAAACAAAGTGGTGGATTTACTATTAGTGTGTCCTGAGGCAAGGACACGAAAACACATGAGCAAATTGTTATCGACTCTATTTAATCAAGCAATCTAGATCGAAGGCTAAATCACAGAGAAATTGAATGAAGGATTAGATCAGTTATTTTCAATGATTCAAGATCAAGTGCCTAAGAATTGGACAAGATATGAGTTTTATTTTCAATTCTGGTTAGACTTTCTGTAGGAAGGTAAACTCTAATAAGAATATTTAATGAAAAAAAACATGGTCTTGTATATGATAGATTTTATACTAGATAAAGGCAGTCCATTGTAATTATATGAAAAAAAGGTTTAGATGGGTAATGCCTATGTATCCATGAATATACAGATCTAACTTCAAATAGTAACTGCTTTATTGAAATAAAATCATCAATTAAGTTTGAATGAGAAGAAGTTATTATATTCTCCTAAGTTCTACGATAAGATATTGAAAACTAAGGTGGAGGATATCTTACCTGTGATACAAAGGTTATCCTATTAGAATAGATATTTCTCAGAGATTATTTCAGGATGTATTATGCGTGGTATGTCAAATGGAGATGTTGATGAATTCAAAAACTATTTATAAGTAGCTAAATCCTTTTTATTGATTGAAGATGACATCTAAATTGAAAGATTGGAATGGTTGATTGGTATTCCATCATCAAAACAAAAGGAGACCACCAAGATTTACGATAATCAATTTTCAGATATAGCCTCATTTGGTTTATATGGTCTATCAAGTTTGGAAGAAGACTATTGGACCTTTGCCAGTCCTTTGGGATGGTCAAATTGTTTATTTGATTACTTCTGTTCTCATAGGATGAGTAAAAACCATGATATTCAATGTCTATTAATTCTTAAGTGTTGTATCTCAATCAGTTTAGAAAATCTAGCTTGCTTCAATTACATCTCAAATCTGCCATGTGTGAATTATCAATATGTAATCAATTTAATATATTTTTAGAAATATAATGAAGAAATATTTAAGGCCTTTTTAGAGACCTTCATTTTGGATACAAAACGATGCTATTCTTAATATAATCGTAAATAGGAATCTGAAGAAGTTAAACTACTACTTGAAGAGTATCAAAAGAGATTAGATTAAATTCGAGACCCCACTAAACCCCAGTACGATTATATCATTGGTAAATCTGTTGAAGTTGCTAAAATAACTAAACTTCTTTATCTATTCAATCCAACCACCAAAGAGGAATTGACAGCAGATGAAGCATCTCCAAACTTTCATTTAATCAAATCATAAATTGATGATGGAACACTCCACAAAATCATCACATTAGAAGTAAAAATCATAGTAATCATAGGAAAAAGTCTACACTACATATGTTTGTGATAATCTACCTACTGGTTAAACCAACGAAGCATTACCACAATAATATGTAAAAGGTACTTAACTACATCATTTTTCTGTTGATCCGAATTCTGAAGCTGCCAATTTCATACAATCTAAGGCATGGAGTGCAGAAAATGAAGATAAAGCAGTCGTATCTAATTCAAGATTGGCTGAAACTGTCAAATAAATTCAACTGCATAATAATACAAATCGAAATCTACATGTGATTCTTGAAATCAAGGGACCATAAACTAGTCATTACATTCCTACCTCCAAAATCTAATCTTTGATGAATCCTAAAATCATTACAACTATGTTCACAATTATCAAAAAGAAAAGTCAAGATGAGTTTTCAAAATTAGAGTTGACGTTGCAGTACAAAAAACAAGAACCTAGATCGGAATCGTATCTATATTTATCAAATTCAAATGAAATGAACTTGGAGTTGTTATGATAAATTGAAGTATATATATATTTAACATTATTATTATAAATAAATATTACCATATTAGTTGTAAATCGAAATATTAATTAAATTTGATCTTTATTAATCTCAAATAGTGAACTTAATATTAATATTACATATCTAAGAATAAGTAATTCGAGTTTAATCTATCGATTATAAATGAAATTGATTGATCATAATTTATTAGTTTAAGTAATGTTATTACATAATATATATCAATTGGCAACGTTTTAACAATATTTCATTTTTGGTTTCCCATAAAAAAAATTATGATTTTCAGTTCCTACACTTTCATTCATTGAATTATTAAGACTAAATTTGTCTTTATGAGGTGATATATTAGAATAATTAATTTAATTAATGTTGTACTCTTCATTTATGAGTGAGTCTGTCATGGCCCCCTTACTGTATTCATTCAGATGAGAAGAGTCTAGCATAGGGTTATGCAACTATTTTTGCTCAATGGCTTCAAAATCAACAAAATTGTATTCTTGCTTTTTCTTAATTGTCGATTTATGTTTCGCTCGACCCATTTGAATTCCTCCCTACTTTTATGAATCAGGTAGAAAAATAATTCTACCTTCTGAATTATCATTGCAGTTTTGATCTAGAAACTTTAATTTCTTATTAGCTTTATGTGATTCAATATACTTGGAAACCTAGACTTAGAAGGTTTCTACATCCTGACTGTCTAATGATATTTGATGTTATGATTAAATTATTTTGTTATCGTTCAACGTGTCCTCATCTATTTCGCTTTGAGAACTATTTTAGATAAATTCCTTAGGGTGATTGGAATTATCACGTGAGATTATAGCCTCTTAGATTCTTCCGATAGTCTTAGATGAATAGGATTTAAAAGTTCTAAAGATCATTAATAGAAATAGATATTCCTATAGAATATTAAAATTGCCTTTGAGGTGCATCATTTCATAGATTGGATATCTTCTATCCAAAATATCCTAAATATTATATATAAATTACAAGTCTTTTGAAATGTAATCTGAAACGTGTATCTTTATCGATTTATTTCATCAATTTAATGCCTTCAGAGTGGCCAGTCTTGAAGATCTAATCTCTATAAACATATCGAATAGTCTCGTAGAGTACTTCTTAAAAATGGATATAGCCATTTTAATCAGCCTTGATTTTAAAGTTGGATGCACTTTTGGCAGCATCCCAAATATTATCACCTGGAGCTGAACCTAAAGGAAGCCCCAATTCTAAAAGAAAATGCGCCAAATGTTTAGAATGCATTTAGGCTCCTTTAGTTTCTGTTGAATATTTACACCAGGTGGTTCTAAAGGGATCAATATTCTCTATATAGGTTTATAAGACACTATTCTAGGAATTAAAGAATTCTACAATTAAATATGTTGATACTTTCAAATTGATCTACTAAAGCTGTAATAAATAGATTGAATGCAACAAAGTTGGATATAAGTACAAATGTGTAAAAGTATATATTAGCATAAATCCATTTCACTCCACAATCGCTAGGTGTTTCAGGTGTACAATACTAATTGCGTTCTGAAACATCTATCATAATTCTAATCCAATTGTTTTTAGTGCAAATCTTGAATAAGATCAACAATGCCTTGCCAATATTAGTGAAGTTCATGTAATCTGTTACATATGCTCCCTTTTCAATCATACCGAAATACTCACATCCAATAAATCCATAAAACAAAAGTATTGAAAAGAAGAAGCACAATATCTGCAATAGAAATGAAGCAGAAAAATTCAGAATTCTTAGCAATCTTGTCAACCCTTTGAATTATTGAATGATTAGTAGAGTTCTTAGATTCCTACAGGCAAATGCTAATCTGAGAATTAGGAAGTATTGATCATTGATTGTGGATTTAAAGTAGTACGAACTCCAATCAATTGTAAGGAATAGAATCAAATCTACCAGAGCAATAAAGCCTAAGATAAATTCAATTTCCCTCCAAATGTATCCCCAATATCTTCTAATACCAAATGCCAATATTTTCAAACATGTATCCAGAATTAGACAACAACTGAGAGCGTGATAAATGTATTCTAAAAGTTACAATAAGTCTAACGATGCATCATCGTAAAAGAATGTTAAAATTCCTAGAAATAATAATGATCTCTTAAATACCAGTATTGATAAATATCGTCAATAAAATCAATCTTTCATATAGAGTCTATTTTATTATATTAGAAGCTAGTTTTCTAATAAATGATTTTGGAGGATCTGAATAATTTGGCACTTCTTTCTAAATGATCTCAGTAATATTGGCAAACAATTATTGATCATTTGTTAATATCTATTTTTGCAACTTTGTCTTATAAGTTTGAAAATTGATGAATAAAATACCTGCAAAAAAGCCAAGAAAGAAGAGCACTCCAACTAAGATAAATAACATAAAGTAGACCAAGGTTACCCATCTATTTCCATATAGAATAGGCCCTTGATCCTCCGATCTCGAATTCAAACATATTTGCATAATATATACCCAATCATCGCAAGCTGTCATTCTATATAAAGCCAACATAGCATTTCCCATATTATCGAAATTGTACAGATTATTTACCCATTCTTCCCCTAGCTCTATGCATTCTTATTTGTTGATTCCAAAATTCAAAGGGTGCTAACAGTAACTCATTTTGTCTCTGTAAAGCATGACACCAAAGATTGCAAATATAAGCCATACCATTATTTAAACAAATAAAATGTTCATCAAGTCAACAATGGACTTTGATATGGCACTGTTGATATATTTGAGTTATTCAAATAGATAAAGGAAACGAAAAGGTCTTGCGTACTTTAAAGCCTTCAAATATAGAAATGCATCATATTTCACAATAAAGTTGGAGATATAGCATAATTAATAAACAAAATCTATGAATCTCCAAAACTCACTTGTAAAACTTCCTTTATCTTTCATAAATCCTAATGAGATGATCTTTAAGGCTGAATCAATCAATAATAATATATTTGTAACCAATTCCACATAATTTGATATTTAAACAATTAAATCTTTCTGGATTTTATTTTCATAATCAAAATAAGTATAGAGACACATATTCATAAGTGCAATAAAGAAAGTAACTTAAATTAAATTGATGTATAACTAATAATTGATACACCTATAACATAACTTTCTAAATTTGTTTTTTTGACTAAAAATATATAAGGAATTCTCACTCTCATTATTTGTAAAAAATTGAAATTTAGCAAATAGTTATCCCAATAATAATTCAATTCTTGCAGACAAATCAAAAAAATTATTGTTCTTTCCGATTTATTTTTCTTCATCTTGTTTTGTATCTTAATATTAGTCATTCCCATTTGTATTCTTTTCAGTAAGATCGTTAGGGGAAATGACATCATCACTACTTAAAGTCATTTCATTAGTGTTATCATTTCCTTCTAAAATTGAGAACTATGAATGTTCTCTTTCCACTCCTGATTCAGTCTCATCCTCACTCTCATAAGAAGAGAATGAATCTAAAACAATAGCCAATATGAATCCTATTGTCATTAGATTTAACACATACACAGATATTACACTAAAGAATGTAGTCCCAATTTTACTACTATATTGTGATCCTAACATTACCATACCAAACCAATCTTCATTTGCAGCTCTTACAAAAACAGTTAAGAAGGCAGCTGCAAGGTCATCAAATGACTATTGTAAGCCAAAGTCTGTATTTGTTGGGAACTTATCTTTATATAAATTCATCCCTATAAAAGCAAAACAGAAAATTAAAGTTATCATCAATAATATTAAATTGAGAAAGGAAGGAAGAGATTTTTTTGTAATATTTGCTATCTTTAACGCGAAACTATTATATTTGATTATTCGATATATTAGAAGAGCTTAACTTGAATTTAATAAATCAAGATAGATGTTCCCGTTACCAGAGTTTTTATTCACATAAACTGATTGAATTATAGAGCATGTTAAAATGAAAGTATCAACAAAATTGTTGGCCCTCGAGCAAAATCTCTTAATGCCTTAAAATACAAGTTTTAGAAATAATTCGCCAAGTAGGATAAAGACAAAATAATCATTAAGTTATCTGATGATATTTTAATCTACATAACCTATCATACTTAGTAAAATAATATTGATCAAGACTATTAAATCAAAAAATATTTGAGCAGATCTGTTTCTTAACATCAAATTTAAATTTTTTGATATTAAACTCAATATACATAAGAGACTAGGTGTTTTCCATTAATAAATATCAATATTATTAAGTTAACGAAATATTCTAATCGTTGAATACAACCTCTATTTGGATTGTAACACGCAATTTCCTGACCAATTGTTTTTATAAACAACGCCTTATTTACACTCTTCCAATCTGTATCTAACAAACAGTTCTTCAAAATCCTATACTTCAACCTGATTTTCAGGTATTTATCTATTGATCATTTGCTATATGATTTCAGAATCAAAGGTCTTATCAACGTAAGCTGTTTTTTTATTACTCATTTAGTTATTTGGTATAATCTTGATAATTTAATGATTGTTGTAATTATTTTCAATTTTCAGTGCATTTTCGACTCTCTAGCTTTTTTCAACATTTTATAGCTATTTCTATTTTGATTTCTATTTTATTGGTAAATGGCCATGGGATCGATTGAAATAATATGAATTCTTAAAATCTAATTTAGCAAAGGAATAATCTGATTTTTTTAATTTGTAACAATGATTTAGGACAGATTTTCTAATGAACTCAAATTCTCTTTCCCTCTTCTTTTATTATTACTCATTTTTGAGTTTAAAACTAAATATGTCCCCCTCTGAAGTGCTACTATATTAAAAGAATTTATTAATAACAATTCTCCAAGAATACAAAGGCACTTTTTTGATGGTCTGAATGTAAAACAATTTTAAATAATCTTTATCGAATGCATCATTTTAATACAGTTTTTACATGAACTATTCCTTGTTCTATTCAAATATTAAAAGCTTTTCTAATTTAAAATGATATAATAAATTTTCGAATTTACTATTATTTGATTTAATACCTCTTTTCCTTTGTTTGATTTCCTCCTATTCTTTTGTTTGCCTTGCGGATAAATATTTATATTTATAATTTATAACTTTCTGATTATTGTTTTAAAGGATTGTTTTAGCATAGGTAGTTTATTCATCAACATCACGAGGTTTCTTTCTTACCAAATCCTTCGATGAATTGGCCTTCCAATCACAATCTATTGAGTAATTTTTAATAATTCTGAAATTCAAAATAATTTCAGTACTTGCAGATAATTTCTAAATATCTTCATGCTGGTATTTCAATAGTGTTTGAGAATAATAGATTTTTAGAACTGCTATGATCAAATTTGCTCCAAAAATACCAATGATAAAAATAAGAAAAATAAAGTATATTATGGCAATATCATGGAAAGTGAGCATGGCTAAATAGATGGGTTCTGTCCATTCATTGAATATCATCAATCTTACAACTTCTTCATAGGAATAAAAGATATCATCAAAATTGGTAGGGACATTTGGATTAGTTAATGATTTGCAGCATATCATAGAGGAATCTTCACATTCCAGATTATATCCACATAAGTAGTTTGTTGAAATACCAGATTCAGCATAATAACATTTATTTAGGAACAATCCTTAAAATAGATGCATTCCAAATAAAGCAAAGAAGTATGAAAATATAATTACAATGATGAGAGCTTCCAATAAAAATCTTAAAGAGTGCTTTAAGGCAAGAAGCATAATTTGTAATCTCTTGCTGAATACACTAATAACTGATAAAATTTTCAGCAATCTTGCAGTTGAAAAATCAATGATCATAAAAGTGGGGTAGTAATAATGGAAGGAAAAGAGAATGAGAATGATTATGTCAAAAACATTCTGTAAATCCCAAAAGAAATCTATCATGCCTTAACCAATTAATTTGAGAATGTTTTCACCAATAAAAAAGAATAGTATAACTATATAATGTATTCAAATTACTTTATTTTTATTATCGAAGGCTGGCCTTAACATCAATAGATAAATTGTCATTTTAACTTTCTATAAATACCATGATATTGAATACGATAGAGATTAGTACTAGTATAGTAAATATACGATGATTTATTATTTTATAGGCAGTGTTAGCTATGATCCTGATGATGAACACTATAGTCTTTCTGAGCCAGACTAGAGGATAATTATCCCAATATAGTTGATAATCTTTAACAATCCATTTGTAGTCTTCCTTGCTTTGCCAAATGAGAGGATAAGGATCATATATTGGATCTCGCTTATATTTTCTTTCGTATTTAAGAATTTAATGGTCCTATTACTATGTAGGGTCTCTGATAGTTTAGGTAAATTGTCTTTCCAGATATTCCTCCTCCTCATCAACCTCTATTTCAGATGATTATTCGGATTAAGCATTAACATTGGAGTCATCACTGCTTATTTCCAATTTAAAATTATCAATCAGGAGTTTCATTCTGTCACTCATAAGTCCATGATTTTAGGTTTTTGTAAATACATTATCGAGTATTGATGTCATATTGATATTTGAGGGGCTATTTTACATATTGTAAGGGTCGTGTTTTTAGTTTCCAAAGAAAAGGGATTCATTCTAGACAACAGAGCAGACACTCATTTGATCTCCATCTACTCCTCTCAATTAATTATCATCTTTATAATATTGATTAAATAAATGCACAAAGGTTTTTCTGACTTTCTACTTTATCCTATTTCTTCCAGTAGGTACTATTTCTGCACATTATTTTTCGAGTTCCTCAATTATTTATTTATATTAGCCTTATTCCTATTCAGGTATTCCTGCTTAATCCAATATTTTTACAAGGCTTTTCAACTCTTATGCATCAGAATTAACATTCTTTGATGTAGAGATAGATCTTTCCCTGTTAAATTTGGTTGAAAAATTTAGTTTACTTTAAAAACTGCTTTTTTTAGAATACGATGACAATTATTTGAAGCTTTTCATACTCTTCATAGTCTATTTCATTTGGCTATTCTAACTGCTCTTTAGAAATGAGGTTGCTTTTTATTTACTAAATATTACAGGTCAATACCTGATCGATGATAGCTACTAATGCAAAGTTTTATGTATGAATTCCATCTGTTCATCTATCACTTTGTCATAGTTTATTATAGATGCTGGTCCTTTCTATTAAACCTTGCTTTTTTTGGACACCTCATCTTAGGAGGAATTGCTATCTGAAGATTCTGTTAGGAATAAGTCCTAATATTCTTAATATAAGTTATTCTGTCGATTCTTCTAACTTTAAAGGGTTGCTTTCCTTGATTAACTATGATTGTCAATCTATAATTTTGATCGTTGATTTCTAGTAATTTAAGATTGAGATCCAATTTTCGAAGATTGCCTCTTTTGAATTCTACGACTGGTTTATTCAGGCGTATGATGGATATTCTTATTATAGATTAATAATTGCTCATCCATAATCGAAGACCTTCGATCTTATTGAATAATATTTGGGAACATTTATAAAATATATTTCAAATTACATATCAATATATCATTACACCTTCTAATTTAAATACTGATTTAAAATTTCCTATTTTGAACCTAAAGCAACGATTTTTCCTTAATCCATGATCATAACCTGATCAAACATATCAAGCAACTCTAATTTATGAGTTATGGCTATAACAGTTTTATCCTACTAATAAAAAGATCTCAATACTTTCATAAATAAATCAAGAGTCAAATTGATTAATTAGCAATATTAATTGTCTAGATTTCCTGTGCACTCATCCAAAATTACGATCCTCCTCTTTTACAATAATACTCGACACAAAACTAATAATTATTTTTCTCCCAAAGACAGATTAGAACCGTATGGTTCCACTTGATATTACAACTTTTCCAATAATTTTACTTAAGATAGCCCATATTTGGAGAGGGTTCTGATTATTTCTATAGGATTATAAGCGTTATTCGGATCAATATTCTACTAGATTGTGCCTTCGAAAACAAAAGGATCTTAAGACACAACCGAAAATAGAGATCTTATTCTATTAATGCTTGTGTGTCTATTGTCTTATCCAAGCACTTTTAAGGATCCTGAATACGGTTCAACTAATCTTGTGATACAATGCATAAGACTGGTCTTTCCAGCTCCAGTTCTGCCAAGAATAGCAATCTAAAAAATAGAATTAAAACAATTAACCTTTTATCTTTATTTAAGTTTGAATGAGATATCTGTTAATACAGTCGCATTTTTGTATTGCAAATTCACGTTGTTTAATTCTAGGACATTCTATTCTTGCAATTCCTACACACTCTCAACAGAATTTATCGTCATCAGTTCAATTTAGCTGATGCTATCATGATCACTGAAATGAATATCATCATTTCTTCTATCCATCGGATTCTCAAAATCACTGTATTGTTGAGTGGATAAATCTTCTTTTGGAATATTATTAATCAAAGATAGACACCTTTCAAAATACACATTGTTAGAATAAAATGATTAAAATGATAGAATGAAACTAGTAAATTTTTCACCTAGACTTACTGCCAAATACATTGATATGGTTGCAGATTCCTTATTGTTCAGTTTGTAAATGTACTAGTTGTTAAGTCAAAATATTTACATTCACAATCAAAATGCATACATACATTATCAACATCAAAAAGCACGTTATTTGGATAAACCAAGCAGACAAAGCAGCAGAACAAATTGAATTTTTCGTATAAACATTAAATTTTTAATAAAAACATGATAGTTAATTTGATGTTTATTTGCAATGTCTATTAAATAAAATACCTTAATGAGTTTGGGTTAATGTGTTCAACAAAGGAGATTTAGACATTGCTTATAATCTGGATATTTCTAAATTGATTCTTATGTATTTCAGCATATATTATGTTTGCAACAACAAATAACAAATCAAAATTGGGTATGATAACGCACTTGACAGAAATAAACATCCTAACACTAATGCCATAAAACTAAAGATACTATCAAATAAGGATGATATCAAAGAAGGAGTATTCATATCTAATCGTATTAAATAACATCATACCAAATTGGAAAATATCATTTGTCATCCTATTTTTTATGATGCTAACTAAAGTAACATTATAAAATTCAGCTACTGATGCTTTTAATAGATTATTGATAATGTTATTATGGAGCAACATAGAAGCAGTAACTCCCTTTGAAGTTAAAAAGATCCCACTAAATAGAGCGAACAAGGCCATCAAAATGTGAGAGAGTGGATAAAAAAATAAAAACTATTAGACCGCATCTGCCTTTTAATCTTCAGTGGACTCATTGGAATTGGAAATCTCAGTAATGGATTTCAATTTCAATTAATAAAATGTTGAACAACACATTCCTAATATACAAAAAACCATTATCAACACTAAAGTCTAATATCTTCCAAATAATTGATATAGATATTTGAAAATCTCCATTTGAAGACTTCCCAAGGATCTATCTTCATTTTCCATCACCGTAATTTATTATTTATCAATAAGATTATACAATAGTCTATTAGATTAATAATTGATTGCATTTTACTATACTTATTAAACCTATTAACCTTCAATTAAATCTAGAGAATCTAAGTCATTTGATTCAGATTTGCCCTGAAATTTATCTAAACTGCCATTATAGGTGATCAATCCATCTTCAAGTTGAATAATTCTGTCACATACTTTAATCTAGCTTACATCATTGCATGTCATAATTATAGTTTTCTTTTCCTTCTGACTAATTTGGTACAATGCATCCATTAATTTCTTAGCAGTTTTATGATCTAAAGATTCAAAAGGACAATCAAGCAAATAGATATCACTGTGCCTATATAATGTTCTGGCTAAATGAACCCTCTTTCTTTGTCCTCCACTTAATGATTGACCATCTTCTCCAACTTCACTATTATGTCCACACTCCATCCTTTGAATGTCCTCTAACAATTAGGTTGTTTTTATAATTTCAAGATATCGATCCAATTCCATAACTGATTCATCAATGATATTTTATTTGATAGTTCCTTAAATCAAAAAAGGCTCCTATGATGCTACTGAAACAGTCCCATCTAGATATACAAATGAATTCTCAATTGTTCTTTCTAATTCCCCCAATAAACTATACAATAAGGTACTTTTTCCTGATCCATTTTTTCCAACAATAACAATGAATTCTCCTTTTTAAATTGAAAGATTGATATTCTTTAATTGAAATTGATTATTAGAATTTCTCCATCTAAAATTGCCTTCTCTAATTAAAATTTGGACTGATTAGGCTTGTACCATTTATTATTCTACATCCTTAGATTAAATGAAATCCATATATCTCTTTATTGATGTTTTGGCCATTAATAGCTGACCCAAATTGTAGGGGATAAAATTGACAGCTGAAATTAATTAAGCATAATTCTAAGTAACCATCAAGACAGATTTTAAATTAAAGATGTCAAAAATCTTCATTGTAAAATACATAACTCCTACTGGAACAATAGAAAACAAAGCCTTCACAAAAAAGGATAATTTCTATTAGATGGCTATGTTGGACATCTCGATATTTCTTTTGTCTCTAATCTTTTATAACTCTAACAATTACTCGATTGAAAAAGAATTTATAATAACAATTCTGTTTTATTGTCAAAATGCCCTTCAATAATTCATCCATATTTGATACACGACTATCTCTTGAATTCATTATCTTTTTTTGTAATCTAAAATATAAACTTTTATTTACTTAGAATATATACTTCCATAAATCAATGAAATTCCTACTTGGATAACCATTCCAATCAAACCAAAGGATGCTGCCACGCCTACTGTTTAAAAGTATATATAGATGGCTCCACAGATTTAAAATGGTGTTAAAAATAGAGATACTCCACAATCAAACAAAATTGTAATTTGTGGAATATCGATTTAAAACAAATTTATTATTTCTGCTTAAGAAGGCAATGGTAAGCATGCAGTAAATAATTTGTGATACAAAATCGATGACAACGCAGCCTACACTTCAATCTAGACTTATTTCTATTAATTATAAACGATACATTACTTAATAAAAGTTCTATATTGAAACTTGACAATAAACAGCCATAATCCATAAAGTAAATAATGAAGTTGTTTTTAAAAATTACCACATATCCAAACCAGGTGAATCAAACAGTTCAACAATCATGTTTATCAAATAAGGATTTAACAACAAAATTCCCATAAGTCCAACTTTCAGCAAAGTTATGCATATCCATTGAGTTGGGTAACTTTTTAGTAATGAATATATCAAGCTCTCTTTGTTTAATTGAAATTTGATAGTCTAATATTCAATACTCTCCTAGGAATTGATATTGAAAACGTCTTTCTAATCCAAGTTTCTCTGATGAGTTTATATAAATTAATTTAACCAAGTAAACAAATATGTTGTTATTCCCTTTTTGTTAGTGTAACATTCCAATAATTCTGATTATTATTGTTCAAAATTCTCATATTCTAACATATAATTATATATATTAATATTAATATCGAAATATGAGCGAAAGTGAGAGTGAAAAATAAGATGCTTAAAAAGATTATTACAAAGAGGCTGTCAAATTATATTATTATAATTGTATCTTGTACAATCATGTAAGGAATATAATAAATGGAGTTGGAAAAAGTTATGACAGAGAGAAATGATCTAAAAACTAAAGTCCTTAAATATGAACTACTTGGGGGAGAATTGGCTTAATTGGATGACGAAGAAATTATGAATTAACTGGAGGATAGAAAGAAGAAGAGTAGAAGAAGTGCTGCAGATATTGATCGTCAATTTTTTTGTTCCTTTAATAACTGCAAAAAAGCCTATGGCACAGAAGCCTCACTTACTCAACATTAAAAATTAAAACATGGTTAAAACAGTGGCATGGATGCATATTTTAGAATTTGATATAATTATTAGACAATTTATATAATTAATTAATTTCTTGTTAGCTATGAGCATTTTTTTGAGGGAAGGAAAACAATTATCCACTTATAAAGAATACAATACAAATTATTTCATCAAAAAGTATTATCGGGATGATTTCACAAAGTCACTTAAATCGTTTATAAAATATACAATGAATTGAATTATTTAAAAAAGAAATAATGCTAATATTTAAATACCAAGAGAGAAGCGCATATCAAATTCCTCTTCAATAAACAGTTAATTAATTAATAGATATTAGAGAGTACCCTATTTGCGCATTGTTCTAAATCAAAGGTTTAGAGGTCCAGTACGCCTATTTAGTAATTATAAATAATAAAATCATTCAATTCTTAAAAAGCTATATCTTCATGAACATTTTGGATATTAATTCCTCTACACAGAAGTGTTCAAAAAATGTGTTTGCAATTCTTGGGAAAGAGTATCAAAGCACTTTAATTCATAATTAGAAATTATCCAAAATCCCAGATTAAATTGATTAATAAAAGAATTGAAGACCCATATAAAAGATATAGTTTCAGATGGGTAAATGCTCGCCTTATTTAAACTTAAATCATCACTATGTGTTTAACATTAATTAATCTTCACTTAACTGCACTTAAAATATATTTAAGGGCTACATTCTAATTTAGAAAATAAAAATAATAATGATATTAAAAAGACCAAATAGTTGCTGATCATCAATTAAAATATAATTTATGATGTTTTCAGATTCTTTGTTTAATCCAACATCTTGAAGTAGGTGATAAAGAATAATACCTATTTACTTTAATTAATTTATATTACTTGAGATTATGCCTAACATAAGTTTCCTTCATAACTTTATATAAAACATATAAAATAAATATGCTTGAATAAATCTATTGAATTATTGATTGAGGTATAAGGAAGTGGGATTTATTTAGGAAATTAAATTAATATTTGAATTATGGATACTTTTGGGAGCAAATTATAAAGTACTAATAAAAAGATTGTTGGGAAACTTATTTAAGAGGATCAAATTAAATTCTAGTTTCCATAATGGTACACCATTAAATTTTATTCATTTAAATTTACAAAAACCTAACTATCCCAATCTGAAATTAATGCTTATTTTTATTTTTAATTAAATATTCAATAAGCATATAATTTATCCTAATTCAATTCTTGGTTCAGTTGTTTAATGATGTTTAATGTTTAATTTGTCAGTTGAATTTAGGACTGATCAGATTATGAAAATAGTAATTTCCTTAAAATTTATGAATTCATCATCATTTTATTTTAATTAATTTTCTAATTAAGTAATTATGGACTTTGTAAATGAGAAGTATGCTGTCATTCCAAAATCGTTGAAGGTAAAATTAATTCTTTAAGTGAGAGTGATGAAGAAATTCAAAAAAATATGGCACCAGAATGTAATTCATTTGTGGATAGGGCTAAATTTTTATTGATAAATGGATAAAGTTTCCAAAAATCGTTTGTGGCAAAAAATATTCAAGAATCTTTATCTGATCCCAAAGGCGCATTATAATTATTAGAAATAATTGCTAATCAATTACATTCATTGCATGATGAATCTTTGCTAAAAGAATACATTAAAGCAGTGAGTGAAATTTTCAATAAAATCCAAGTATGAGAATTAACATTATTAGATCCCCAATCAAATAAAATAGTCTTATAGTGACATTTGCTTCAATATTTTTACAAAACAATATCAATAATATGAGATCATTAATTCTTGTGCCGATATCTTAAAATATTTAGATGATCTTGACATTTATAAAGAAGGCTTGTATCTTGAGACTGATAATCAAATGTACCAAATATTAAAGATAATCGAAATATATTATCATAAATTTACACCTGAATTAAAAAAATAGGCTCACCTTCAAATTAAATCCAGTATGAAGCATAAAGATGAACGAGTTCGCAAGATTATTTCAGAAATATTGCTCAGTAATCAATAATTATTAAAATCTATATTACACGAATTTGATTGGATTGATAAATTTACAACCTTAATATACGATTCATCAAAAGATGTTAGAATGAGTTCGGCCAAATTTTTTTTAGCTACTTATGATCTGAATGAAGAAATTCATAAATCCAGATTACAACTTTTGTTAGAAAATATAATCAAGTAATTAGATTCTTCATAGTTTGAGTTCTGCCAATCAATTTCATAATATGTATAATATTTCTGTAATATTTAGAGTTTAAATCAAGACACTTTATAATCGCTTTTCATTGAAAAAATAAGCGATATAATTAGCAATAATAATGATAACCAATTTCGATTTTTAGAAACCTTACATTCATATTATTCAATAATAAAGTAGTTTAATGAGAAACACTCTATATAGATAGATGATATGCTATTAAATTCGATATAAATTCTTTCAGAGGAGATGCGAAATTATGACATCTTAAAGTGTTTGTCAAATTTATATTCCAGTTTATCTTAGGATATGTAATTTAAAGTAATTTAAAAACTATTTGTTAATTTTGAATTGAATTAGCTTATATTTATTCCTTATTTATCTGAAATCATTGAAAAAGCAAACTTGATAAATAAGAATAAAATTTGGCTATAGTAACTTTAAACAATTTATGAATTGTTCAAAAGAAATGTCTTTCAATACGAAACTAAAGGATTGTGGAATGAAATATCTAATATGATTGACATAATGATAATAATATCCAGAATTTTATTTTTACAGAAGGATTTTCTATAGTAATGTTTAAAAATGAGTCACATGGGTTCAAAATTTATAAGAGAAAAGATCATGAATTTATTAATAGAAAGGATTATTGAATTAGACTCACTCGAAAGTAGAGATTCAATAATACAAAATTATTTAGGATTTATTAATCATTCAAATTACTAATTAAGATAATTATCAATAGAATTCATTTTTAAATTATGTTAATAAAGATCGAGGAAGTTCTTTATATCTAACAATTTGATCAACATATTATAGTTGCAATATGATGCTGTTGCGTTAGTAAGAGCTAAAATTCCAAAATTACTTTTTTAAATGAAGTTATTATTTTGGAATGATGAAAAAGAAATTCTCAGCAGGATTGCATAAATCTTCCAAAACCTGATGAATGATAAGAAATTATCCATTCAATAAGTACATACTTATATAATAAGATTTCCAAAGAATTTTGGGCTGAATTATTGAATGTGTAATTTTTGAACGCGTAGAAAACTATTGAACAAAACTAAATAATGGATGAAAGGGAATAATAAGAATATGCAAATTTAAAAGTATAAAGAAATAATATAAGGTCATTAAATAGCAGTTGTTGCTTAATCCTAAAAATCTAAAGAATGATGTTAGCAAATCCAGAAATCAAACTCCCACAACAAGATTGCCACCATTAAATAAAAGATAGAATAATTTCTTGTAGATTCCCAAAGGCGCTTAACCTAGAAAAATTTCTGCTCAAAGAGCTATTTTATCAAAGTCTCCACAACCCTTTAAATGATTTATTATATATTTTAAAATGTTCACATTTCGAACAATTTATAAATACGCCACCTAAACAGTTGACACAGAAGCTCTATTAAAGAAACTCTAGACAAAGTCTTTAGTCACCTTAACTAGGGACAATTATTAATTGAACATGGGTTTACTGATCTAAAGAGATATAATATTTCTTCATTATACAGAAGAGGAGATGAAACTTAGAAAATTTAGATACTAATTAGGTAAGATTTAAGGTATAAAATGTTAATAGAAAAAAGAAACAATTATATTGCAAAATTACCAAAGGAATTGCATGAATATACTCATTTTACTGGAGATTAAAACGTTTTTGGAGACGATGCTCCAACCCATGTAAGATTGGTTGGAGACGTCAGAACAGTATTTTTGGAAAACAGTAAATTCTTTAAGCATTGCGGTAAATAGACAAGCTGATTCTTAGATCCAAATGAAAAGAATAATAAGCTGATATAATACAATTCTCTACATACTGTTTACTTATTAGTAAAATAAAATGGAGTTTGGGGATTTCCAAATATCAACATTGAAGAAAAAGAAACTTTTTAAGAAACACAAACAAAATTATTCGAAAAAATGACACAAAATACTTGGCAAGTATTAATACCATCTCATTTAGGTATATTATTTCAATAGAGATCCAAGATTAGTGACTGTCAATCAGAATTCTGATGAAAATTCAAAAATTAAAGGAGTCAAAACAATCTATTTTTAGGCAAAACATTTGTAAGGAAAAGTCAAGATATTCGGGTACGATGATTGGGCCTGGGCTTCCAGATTAGAAATGAACAAATACCTAACAGAAAATGCTTATAATTAGGTTATTCATGCTTTAGATTTGTGAGTTATATATTTTAAGTATATTTAAGAAGATTGTATAATTTTCTATTCTGATGATAAAGTAATTAACAAACGATATATTAATCAAATTTTAAACTTAGGTTTCAAAGACTTCTTTTTTGGAAATATTTCTCTATTCTCTTTATCACAATGAGGTTCTTGTAAAGAATAACTAATATTTCTTAATGGTTATTTCGTTATCAATTCGATTGAATAATTGTGTCTTTTCTATAAAGGAGTATTAGTCTAGAATTCTTCATTAATATTATTTGAGATTTATTTCAGCTTCTTTTTCAAATCTTAATTCGTAGAACTTAATTTTTATATAGTAACTTAATGCTCATGATGAACCAATTTTAAAGCTTAAATTTCTTAACCATAACCATCCAAATTTTTTGCCAAAAACCTTTCGAATTAAAACAATTGTTTATTTATGTTGCTGATCATCTAATTATGATCTATTTTCAAATTTATTTCTCGAATTACCCAAGCACAAAGCTGTTTATACTCTATTAATACAATTTCTAAGATATTGTTGCTTGTGTGTGATTTTTTTGATAAACAATTTTATTAAGATCCCCCACTAAAATGAAGATAAATTTAACTACTTGAAAGGCACTCTTAATGGAGTTATTGATTATTCTGATTTACAGGAGGCTCTATAATTTTGAGAAATGTTTGAAATTGTACTCATTATTGTCTTCATATTATTCGTTAAAATAATAATCAAAATTATATATTATTAGAAAACACTAATTATCAAAAATGTTTATTATTATTAGAGTCAAATGGCATAACATCATTTTATTTTTAGGCAGAATGAAAATTAACCATTTTGATCTTAGTTGAAATTATTAATAAAGAGGGTAATAACTATAGAAATACATTCAAAAAAAGACACCTTACACATTTAACATTAAAGACATTTCTTACAATTATTAATCTTAAGTTGTTAAAATAAGGATTGCCATTTAAGAACACACAAGTTTCTCTTATCAAAACTCACAAATGATATTATAATTATTTAGGTTATTTGTTTATAACTTTCATCATTGAATGTATTCCTTAAGTCATTATTTGTATTTTACCTTCAACGCTGATTATTTCAATATTTTTTGTTGCTTTCAATTTATACTCTGTTAGATGATTATTTTTTTGTTAATAATCATTTCTTGAGTGTTTTCATTAGCAATATTTTTTCAAAATTAAGAATACTAATTTTGGGTTATTAATACTACTTCTACCCTAGCCTTGAGTTGAATAATCATAATTCTTAGTATAATTTATCACAAGTACCATTGAATTATTTTGGACCTTTTAATATTAATTTTGTAACATATATAAAAAAAATATATCGAAATTTGATAAAATAGAATATTTATAATAATTAATTACCAGAATTAATTCTGATAATTATTCAATCAAAGCTGGATGATCAACATGCTGAACCGTAAATGCTTAATCATATAGAGTTCATAAAAAGCAATTTTGGAAAAATGCGAAAAATATATTGGGCATAAATAATATTGGTTAGTAATCATATGATAGAGAGGTTGAAAATCTGATTTAATAATATGAAAGAATTAGAACTTATGAGATAAATAAATCAATAATAATTCTAATACTTTTTAAATTTAAATTAATCTTAGAATGCTTATTATAAATTCAAGTTCATGACAAGAAATTTACACCTTCTACAACCTGATTTATTTAATCTAATGAACTCTTTGCTTGTAAAATTGCCTAACCTTATACTTGATTAAAATTATTTTTCAAATAGAGTTCAATCACAAGTTCATTTTGATAATTAGAGGAGTTACTTAACACGATTTAAGGATCACCTCTTATTTAATATATATCTACAAGATATTCATCAGATCTATCATCTTAATTAATATTAACGGATAAGTATGGCTAAATTTAAGAAAAGAAATTACATAATTAGATCCAGCATTTTTGTTGAATATCATAAAAAAGTCTTCACTGGTGATTTGCTTATGATAATTTGCTGAAATAGAATGCGTAAATGATATAATTTTCGCAGATGATGGTCGACCACTTGGTAGAGGATAAATTCCAATCACTACTTTGTATCCATCTGTGTAAGGGATTGCCGCGTTACCTTCTATGTAAGTAACTTTGTTTAGAGCAGGCCAATTTCCATAAGGGGTTAAAACATATAATAAGGATGTACTTGATTTTTTAATAGGAAGCCCAAATGCTGGTCTTGATGCATCTAAGTCAAAAGCAAATACATATTGAGCTTAATTATTAGTGGTAACCAGCACATTAAGTTATAAAATGCTTCCGTTTAATTAAGATGAAATAACCTTCACTTATTAAAACTTTGTGTCTTAATTGATAAAGAATTAATCATCAGAGAAATTGATAAGTTTAAATAATTCATTGGAAGTTTTAAGTAACTCTCCTTAATCATTATATGTAAAATGAGCAAAATAGATGCCATTGTTTATATCAGTAAATAGGAGGGTAGAATATTCATTGTTACTAATTTTGTATTTGATAAGGTCAAAATCACCTATGAATAATTAGCTTGTTGCAACATATTGGTTATTAATAACATACTTATGAGAAATGGTGAATTGAGTGCCATCATCATCCAAGTTTGCCACAACTATAAAATTTTGCTAAACAGAATAATTATCAAGACTATTTAAAATGATGATATTTTTTGAATCAGGCATGTAAGTTTTTGAGATCTTTTACAACCCTTTGAAAGTTGAGATACCTTGTCTAAATTGAGAGCAAGCATCTTAGTACTTACATTTATGAATAAATAAACCTGCCTCATTTTTAGCATTTTAAAAAGCTGACAAGATGAAATTATAATCTGCTGAAATAGAAATAGAGTTGCAGCTTTCACTTTTCAAGTTCATTAAAATTCTAAGCTTGAATTTTCCATTTATATCTTCAAACCACAAAGCGTTTCTTGTTTAGTATACTTATCCAGCTAATCCAAAAGATGCACCATCCATAACTTGATCATAGTCTTAACCATCTCTAACCTTGTAAATATTAGATAATATATTAAATGATCCTGTACATTAAGAGCATTTTATATCAAAATTTGTAACTTAACCTGAATACCAATCTGTTCCCATATTTATATATTAAACTCCAGATTATTTAACAAACTGGAATATCTTCTTTTTACTATCAAATAAGGATTGTTAAATGAATAAATAGCTTTAGGTGTTGAGGATAGTCATTAAAGATTATTGAGTCAAAGGAGTAACACCAGGAAAACCAGCGATCTATATTGCAACAATTTAATTATTAACGTATTCCGCTTAATCTGCTTTTGGAGTGAAGTTAAGGAAAGGTTTTGAGTAAATGCAGACAAATTAATGTTGAGTATTATTTTTGTAATACAAAAACATTTAATCTCCTCCATCAACAGCAAAGTCAAAACTCAATCCATCCTTTACAAGTCCTTTTGTTTCTATAACTTTTTTTAAAGAATTGTGAACTAAGACATTTGGCTCATAAACTAATATAACTGTTTATAACCCATCAGTCGCTCTTAAATATAGCCATCCTTTTTGAAATGAATAATCTACAGTTAAAGGTTTTTAGAGTTTATAATTGAACAATGGAAGGTCTTTTAGTTTAAATATGTTTTAAAGATGTTAGTAATTATATTCTTCAATTTGATCCACACCTTTCAAAGATTTTACAACAAAAAAGGTGTTAACTCCAATAGCTACTCCTAACTCTGTTCCAGCTGAAATTAAAATTTCTTTGTATATCTCAAAGGAAGGAGAATATTTGTTTGAGAAGGTTCCAACCAGCAAAGAAGTTTCGGTTTATATAAATACCAAATTATTACCTTTTTTTCCAAAAACCTTTATTGGAGTAAAAGATCCTTTAATTTCAAATCTTTGTATCTAATTCGAACCAATTATCAACAATAATTTGTATGGTATATATAATTAGTATATTGAAACTCTCTTTAATCCAGATTAGACTATATAAATATTATCATTGATTATTGCTACTGATGATATCTTATTTAAAAAACTTGTATCATCAAACATAAGTCTAAAAACATTTGAGATCTACCCATCGATAACTGAATATATGTTGACTGTAAACTATGAGTTTTGATGAACAATTATTAATTAATTAGCAAAAGTGAACCATGAAAAGTGACCCACATTTTGATCTATGATAGAGGGAAATGCAAATGTGTTGTAGTTTTAGCATTCTGTGACTTCCAAGGTTGGATATTTTTGCTGGCAAGTGTATATATAGACTATTTTAGTCTATACTTAAAACAAAATATAAAATTGGGATGCATTTTCGTTGACCAATATATCTGAGTAAATAACATCTTTAGGATCCGGCATATGAATATTTTCTATTGATAATTTCATCACCTATTAAATTGTGTAAGATATCTTGCCTTGTAATTCATTCTCTACTTAATCTATTGACGTAAACTGTAAATTAGGTCCTGAAGCAATTTATTCTAAAGGCAATGGATTAGATGGAATTGTGATAATAGGATTAATTGGGTTATTATTAAAGTTAAGAATTTATGGGTCATTCTACTTAAGAACTTTTAAGTTAATTGTCAATGAGCATTGTTTTGATGGCTATTCTATAGTTTCAGCTCTAAGAGTAACAATTTTATTATTAGAGGTAGCTTTCTCCTGTCTATTCAATCTTAATAAACCATCATTAAGGAAAAATCGTTTTGCAGTTAAAGAATTGATGCCAATAATATCTTCGTAATTGGGATTAGCCAATATTTTATCCAGATCTTCCTCCTGTGAAATGACCTTTTTTCCATTTTCTACTTTGTAAATATATATTGTTTTTCTGATCTTAAGAACAATATAATTTTGAGTCAATTTAATTTAAAATGTATTGTACCATTCTATAACAGGTATTTATATTCCAAATTTTACTACTTCATTTTCGAACAATATCAGTTTATTTGTATAAACGAGAACCATCCTCTTAGTAACAGTCCCATCCTTATTAATTGAATTATGAATATTAAACCCAAAACAAGTAGTTATATAGACAGGTGTAATAACATTGTATAAATTCCACTCTAAGCTTTTATCCTTAAAAACAAGTACATATACACCCTCAAATGCATCTAAAACATTTATTCTACCATTAGCTTCTATTATTAAATCGACCAATGAAAAAGTAAATTTACCCTCATCAACTCCTAATAATTTTGCTAAAATTGTTTTTGTTAAAACTGTAACAGGAGTTGGCTACTAAAGTGTAAATTTGCTTGTAAATGAAAATACATTTATTATGCTATCTTTCTCTAAAATCAAATTCTGTACTGCCTTTTCAGTTCCCCAAGCGGGTTCACTCCTAAATAATAAGAGTGCTTCATTCTAATTTTCAAATGTAGACTTATGGAATTATAGTATTCTATATTATGTATCATTGTAATCTTATGTATCTTCATATAATTCAATTCCAAAATAACTCTCTTCTTCTACATCTATTATAAAGAAACCACTCAAAGGAGTTTCTGTTAGGTCAGAATAAGGCAAAGTGCAATCAATAATTACTTTTGTTTCTGACAGGAAATCCAAATCAAAACATGTAAAGTTATCTGTAATTTCTCTCACTCTGATGGATTCATTAAAAATTGGAACGTTTACTTGATTTAAAATACCACTAAAATTATAGTTTCTATTACTCTTTGGAATATAAAATTTGAAAATATGTTTAGTTCTGACCCAAAGCTGCAAAAGCGTTAGCCCAACCTCCATTATCGTTTTAATGTAAGGGTTTTAGAGAAAGAATCTTCACCTCTAATCAATTTAAAATAATTTCATACCTAATGCATTTTTTGATGAGCCAAGTTGATGTAAAGGATTTAAAACTTCAAAAAAATTGCTTTCTTGAGTAATGTTAAACTTTAAACCCTCTCCTGTAAAAAATACGGCGTTCATGTCCCATTCTTAAGTCTCATTTTCAGATGCAAATATATCGTAGTATTACACTTAGGAAACTTTAATTAGAAATCATAATATACCACATGATGAAGCAGATGCGTATAAAATTATGCAGAATATAGTTAAGCCAATTTTCATAAATAAAAAAATATTAAAATATCTTCATGATTGAGTAGTTTAATAATAAAATCCCGATCAATTTCTATGTATATTCTAAAATCCTATTTTAGGCCGTATGAATTAAATTTATTCTTTATTCAAAGTATCGGTTGCATACTCTATTTCATGAAAGGAAAATAAGCATTCTTATTGCTAATCATTATTAAATAATAATTGTAGGAAACATATATTTTAGTTTATCAACTTCATCAAAGAATAAAAATAAATTTCAGATTTACTTAAAATTGTTCAATAAGTATAGAATTATGAAAATAAACTATAGGTATTACTTTTATCAAACGTGATTATTTGAATGGACTCTTTTCAAGTATCTTGGGTAAAATAATTAACTACTTTTAGTTTAATATATTTATTAAAAATAAAAAATATATTATAGAGAATCAAATAATGCTCAATTAATTTTGGTCAATTGAATATAATAATAATGAAAATAATCAAAAAAATACATTTTTATTCATATTTTATCAATAATTAGATATTGTTTTTCCTTACCATTTTTAAGAATTAATTTTTATTAAAACTTTCCTTGTTTAGGCTAAAATGACGGTATTTCAGGCAAAGGAGAGTATCTAGAATTTTAAGATAGTCTAGCCTATTTAAGTAACAATGACTAATCAATAGCTTCTAATTTAATACTAGTGCTACCTTATTTTTATTCAGGTTTCATATTTAACAATTTTTCAAGAGGATTTTAGTCATTTGGTAATTTTTATATCTTTTCTGATTTCTTAATTAATTTAGTTTTATCAAATGATTTATTTTTATGTAATTCTCTTTCAATTAAATAATTTATCCTTATTTGTAATTTTTTCTTTTCTTTGTGTTTTTCATCAGAATTCTCTAAAGTGAAAGAACTACAGTTTATAGTCTGATCATTTTGTTTGATGCTTGTTTTTAATTTGTAAGATTATTGCAGATTACATACTAAATCATCTGGTAATAAAATGCTATTTTCTAATAAAAAGGATCTAGGTTTGGATCTGATCTAATGTTCATATGGAATTGGTTCTAAAGTCTCATAATGCATAGGCTTAGTTGATCTTTAAGTTGATTAGCTTTGATTTTCATATAATTATACTTAGATGGAATGAATTCTATTTCTATAATAATTTCTTTTCGATATAATTTCCAATAACAACTTATATTCCTTTAAATTAAAAACCTGATTAAATTTGGTAAAGAAAATCTTGAGCGGAAATTTCATTATTTTACAGTATTTGCTTGAACACTGAACCTAAAAAACTCTAATATTTTGCTTTTAAATGTATTCTTCAAAACCAAAAATATCATTTTCTGATATTTCTGCAATAGGTTTGACTTGAGGTTTTTCTTTTGTAGATTCTGCCAACAATATAGATGGAATTTATTCAAAATGTCTCCTTTATATAGTTCCAACTTTTTTGCCGATTAACAATTTTCCTTCAAGAATAATGTACATGAATTCGAGGGAATCATTAATTGTATAGATTTTCTAACCTTATTCGTATTATTGTGATTAAGCCACAGAAGATAATTCTTCAATGTCGTATAGTTATAATACATTTAATAATGGATGATTAATTTTTATCATTTTTTTTAGATTAGTTTAACGTGAGAATTTATGAAGAGATGCTCTAAAGATGAAGGCATTTATAATAATGAAGGTTGAATTCTTTTTTGTAATGTATTCTGATTTGTTAGGTGTAAGTTTCGTTAAGTTTTCTTCAAAGAGAGCATCAGCAACATTTGAAACATTGCATTGAGTTTCATTAATTTGCATTACTTACCCTTCTATAATGAAATATAAAGCATTAGGTTCCTCATCTATTTTATTTTCTTTAGTTACTTTTTTTAACGATGATCATCTCATTAGGAACACTAATCAACTATGCAAATTATGACAGTCTGAATAAGCATTCTTATCCGTGAAAATTTTTGATTTTTCTAAAGTAAGTGAATCCCATTAAATATTCATTGATAAAAATGATCTCTTCAAAAGTTCTATCATCAGATGGTTTATTGAGTATAGTCTTTAAATTTAAATTCAATGATTAGGATGAAGCTTAAGCTTTATATTTAAATATTAGGTTTTCATCAAGTTCCCATAAAGGCAAATCTAAATCATTAAATAATGATTTACTAGGTTTCATTATATTAATTAAATTTATCAAATGAAATCACATGACCAAATTAATAGAAACAAAAACCTATAAAAAATTTAAAGAAAATTAGGATAGAAAACAAAGAGAGTATAAATTAGAGAAATCAGTTAATATAACTCAATTGTAAATTAATTACTAAATAATTAGGTTATAGAAATAAGAAGAAAGAAAATCAAATAGTATTTCCAAAATATTACGATCAGAAAAGAGCTTAAGTTAGCTATTAAGCAATCAAAATAATCAATACATAAATATACTAATTTTGATAGAATAAAAACTGTAGTTTTGTCTCGATCACTTCTACTTTAATTTACTAGCAAATTTAGAATAATATGAAAGTTTGATAGTTTAGTTTGAATTTGAAGATAATTATCTTTAAATATTCAATCAAAGATAAAATGGCGATTACTAAAAGGTCAATAGAACCTTATATCTATGCTAATTTCTTAGATTTTACTAAAGAATAATAGAAGGATGTCTAAAATAAATAATCAATTTTTTTAAATGGATTTATATTGAAAATTATATATCAATGATAAATAATAGCAAAGTTAATAGTTTAGTATACATAAAGCATAGAAAGCCTCAAAGTTCTTCTCTCAAAAAGCGCTATAAAGAGAGAGTAAATCTTAAGAAATACTCCTTAGGAAAGAGCTTGGAATGATAGGATAATTATCTCTGAATAAATCTTGCATCTCAGGACAAAAGAGAGTTTCAATAGGAAGAGGCTGCCAAAATTATAAAATACTACAGCAACAATAGTAGAAAAATATATCAACATTCATAAACATCAGCAAGAATACAGTGAACTTGCTGAGTGCGAACAAAGAATATTTGAAACCAAATTGGAATAGTTAAGACAACTCTATAAAGTGTATTGTATTCCTCAAGTCCATTAAGTATAATATTTATGTCTATATGCTTAAGAATCTATTTTATGCATTTTTAGAAGCATCGTCGAATAAAAGAGTTGTTGTAGAAGAGGAGCTAAATCTAATGAATCAGAAATTAGCTCCAATACAGCATTGTATGTTTGTTATTGCAGCTAGGGAGAATTGTTTTAAATAAGTCTTAACTTTGGTTAAACAGAATTAGGCTCAAATTGACTAAATATCAGAAAAATTAAAAGACCTCAGGATGCTTAATATATCCACTTTAGAAAGCATTGTTAAATGGCAATAATATTTCCAAAATAAAAATCTAAGGTAAGTATTCCAATTAGATGAAAATCCTCCTTATCATGAGAGATTTTATAATGATTATTTAGAATTGAAACCTTAGCTTATCAATTTATTCAAAGTTTCAGATTAGCCAGATCCTTTCTTTGTTTAATTGTTAGGCAAAGGATAGTAAAAATTGTATATCAGAATAAGAAGAGCAGAAGCTGAATTAATGAATTTAATTTATAATTATATTTATATTAAATGAGATAATAAGCATAAAATGAAAGATTTAGTCGTGTAAGGCAACTTGGTCAAGGATCGTATGGGAAGGTTTATTTGGTGAAAAGAAACTTGGATAAGTTAATAATACCTTAAGTTTTAGCTCTTATTGGGTCGAAAAGGTAATAGAATTAAATGAGTAAAATTAAAATCAAATCCAATAAGAAATTAATATTCTTAAATCTCTATCTCATCCAAATATAATAAAATTTAGAGCATCTTGCAAAAATCCAAAAAGAAATATGCATATTCTAATGGAGTATGCTGATGGTAGTATTTATATTAATTCTAGGTGGCGATTTAGAAAAAGTAATCAAAAATGCTTAAGGACAATATATTTCTGAAAAAAAAATTTTAGGTTGGCTTTTTTAAATATGTTCGGCAATTAACTACATACATAATAATAAAATAATTCATAGAGATATTAAAGCATCAAACATTTTCTTAACAAGAAGAGGTGATATAAAATTAGGAGATTTTGGAATATCAAGAATTTTGGAAGAAACATTAGAAAAAGTGCAATCTTGGTTAGGGACACCTTACTATGTAAGTCCTCAAATTATTAACAGGGAATCTTATACAAATAAGACTGATATTTGGTCTTTAGGAGTATTACTATATCGATTATGTGCTTTAAAATACCCATTTGAGGGGACCGATTATTTCCAATTAATTATTCGGGGTAGATATCAACCAATTCCTGATTAATATTCTAATCATTTGAAATCTCTTATCGAAAACATGTTGTAAATAGATGAATCTAGGAGACCTACTGCATAATAAATATTAGGTAAAGATCATGTTTACTCCTAGATTCAATTGAAAATAGACTTACAAAATATTAAAGCGAATTAAAACTCCAACAATTATAATAGTAATAATAATAGCACTTAGATTAATTATTTTAAAATGATAACAGGATGGTCAATTATAAAGAAGATCTACCACTTTTCCCACGATTACCATTTTTATGGGCTCCTTTAAGGCATTAAATAATTCAAACACCGCAGTAAAAGCACCCGCTAGGTATGGCAAATGGCTATTAGCACAGAATTGAGTAAAAAATTGCCTCAGATAGGGCATAAAATAAGATATTGAGGAAAGTTTTTTTTTTGACATTATTTTATGCATTGTAATTTATTTATTAATTAAATCAAATTTGAAATTAATGAACCTAGAATAATATTAAAGTTAAGTGAAAATTGAAATATCTTTTATAAAAACAATAATATTTGATAAACAAGAAAGAGAAAATATTTTCTAAATAAACAATTAATAAAAATATGGTCATTTCAGGTTAATTTCATTTATATTTTAGAGTTCCAACTGAATTTCCCAAACTCGAAGTTCCTAGAATTAGAGCTTTAGCCCCACAACCTCACAGGCATTTTGAAAATGATGAGATGGAAAGGAATAACATAAAAAAATATAAAAGAGTTGATGATCTACATGAATTATCACCTCCTAAGCTGAAATTATATAAATATTAGGGCCCAAAATACAACGAAAATCATTTGGGAAATTTCTAAATATCATTCTATGAAAAAGAATAAAGAAAAAATGGATATCTTTATTGAAAATTGAAATTATGGATGGATAATAGTATTCATTACAATTGTAATTTTATTATCTATTATAATTTGTTGCATTTTCATATAATATTTTTTATCATAACATCATTATCTTTGATTTTGAAGATAGGATTTATACAAATAAATTTATATAAAACTATGCAAAACAATAGTTTGGAGTAATCATTCGCTAATTACGTTAATAAGTTAAATAGCTATTCTGTTCTAAAAATTAATTAGGATTCACAATAAAAATTTCGAACATCAAATTTACCTAAATTAATAGTTCCAATTCCATTTGAATCAAGTGAAATGTTGAATTATTTAGAGAGGGCTAAGTTTCCTAAAAAATCTGATCTTAATAAAAGTGTATGTATTGACTTGAAATAAGAAGACACTAGAAGTTTCAATTAATTACCAAATGATCTATACTAATAATTGGAGCCAAAAACTGTTAAACTATATAGAAGCGTACAAAGGTTGAATTTTAGAAAATTTTAATTAAAAATACCAAAAAGTTAACAGCATTTGATGAGAAGCAGACAATAATAATTTGATTAATTATTGATTAGGTAATAAAGAACAATAAAAACTGAATTCTGAAAGAGATATCAATATAGTAATGAATTATAAATAATGTATATGAATGTATTATCATACGAACTTGTATAACAAAATTGAAGTTATAAATTATAAAAACTATATTCTTAATGAAGATTAGTTTAATAATTAGGAATATAAATAAATTTAGGTTACTAGGAGAGATATGAAATCAATAAAAATTTAATATATATATTATAATTGATGTGTAAACAGAGAATTGTAATTTTGTAGAGCTAATAAAACTAATTAGAGACTTGCTATTATATTCTCATCTTAATCAATTTTTTAATTAAAATATTTAAAACACCAGTATGACAGATTTTGCTTTGACAACCTTCAGTAGCAAAGGCAAGTTGTTGTAAATTGAATATGCATTAAATGCAGTGGCAAAGGGAGATACTGCTATAGGAATTAAGGCTAAAAATGGAGTGGTTTTGGTAGTTGAGAAGAAATAATCATCAATTTTGATTGAAGAATCAAGTGTTCAAAAAATAGCTTTGTTGACAGATAACGTAGCAGCTACATATGCTGGTTTAGGACCAGACTTTAGAGTGTTATCACAATAAGCAAGAAAATTAGTGAAGAAATATGATTTGAAATATCAAGAGGAAATTTTTGTATAAACATTGAGTAGAGAATTGGCAGAGGTATAAATATAGATTAAAACTAGGATGTGTAAATAGCTACATAAAGAGGTGGAATAAGACCATTTGGAGTGTCCATTCTTATAGCAGGATATGATGAGGAGGGACCTCATTTGGTGTAACTCGATCCCAGCGGTGCATATTATAGTTGGAAGGCAACAGCCATAGGCAAACAAGCCAAGAATGCAAAGGCATTTTTAGAAAAGAGATACAATGCTGATATGGAAATTGAAGATGCCATTAATACAGCCTTGTTAACTTTGAAAGAAGGTTTTGAAGGTACATATATACATATATATCGAAGGATAAATAACACCCACTAACATCGAAGTAGGAGTGATTAGGGATGATCACGTATTTAGGATCTTGCCACCCTCTTAAGTAAAGGACTATTTGGAGGAATTAGAATGATAATTGATTATGAGATATTTATGAAATATAAATCAAAGCTTATATAAATCATTCTTTATAAAGATTGAGCAGATTTATAAACAATAGAAGATAGAACTAATTATTGGTAATATTGTGAAGAAATAATATTTTAATAATGCTAATAATTAAAATATAATTATTGCAATTTCTGACAACTCATTTTTAATTTTGAATTAATATATCTACCATTAGAAATATAAAGGGTACTAAATATACAAAAAAAAACAGTTTTCAATTTCATAAGGTTAGAATCCAAAGTTGAACATAGATTTAATTATACTAATGGCATTTTGATAGATTTCAGATCCAGTTTGAACACATATCAAAAACCAATCCCCAAAAAGCAAGTATTCTATATTTTTACTCTTTCTATTGAGAGTGAATCCAAACAAACAAAATTGAACTAATATTAATTATATAGTTTGTACTTTGACCAATTAATACTTTAAAATTGAAGACCAGAATAAATCACTAATAAAAAAATTTACGAATTTAAGCAAAGAAAGTGGAATAGGATATTTAGAATGAATACTTAACCCTATAATCAAGGGCATCATTACTGTATCATAATGAGAATCATAAATGTGTTTTTAGTTTAAATAGAGAAATAAAAGTATAAATCCATACTATATTGACAGTGAAACATGATTTGGTCTTATTTTTTAATATGGCCGTGATGCCCAAGCAACCTATAGCAATGAAATCTTCAAAGAATTACAATTGCTATTCAATAAGTTAAGGTAGTCTATATTATATATATATCTAATTTAATTAAATCAATGAGGTTTTAGTTTAAGACATTTGGCATAGAATTCTTTTAGCTGTTGTTAATGATATTATACGCACTCAAATCCCTCATTAACTTACTGATAGCATTCTAGTCTAGAGGTTTATCTCTATTAGTAAGCAAGATCTAAGAGATTTTCAGCTTTCAGTATATGTTAATAAAATTTGTAAACTAGTTATTCTAAATAAATTAAATATAAATTACTTGATAATATAATATGATAGATAGAATATGCTAATTTTTATTCATATTCACTCTCTAAATCATTATCATTTAATGTGCAATCCTTAATAAATTCTATCCAAATAGGGCTGTTACTTTTAATAAGGAATTATCCATACTTTAAAAGAAGAATATTACCATTTCTTATGGATATGAATCGTATTTATAGAAAAGTCTTAAAGATAAATTTTATAATTATGGTTAATATTAGATATGATTTATGTATTCATAATAATTTTTCTTAGTCATCCTCTTTATTTGATTACATTCTTGTCAATGTTATTGAATCTTTCTAAAATATTAAACTTTAATTGTTCAATTGCGAAAATGTGTCTTTAAGCTTTTAGGATTTTCTGAATTTCCTCTTTAGTATCCTTTGTGAATTTTGATTTAACAAATAGATTTCATATTTAATATGTTATGTTAATAATTTAGTATTAAATAATATATAATGATTTATGTACCTATCTTGAATAGACATATGGCCATGTTAGGTCTTTCAGTGATTGATTTAGCATTTGGGGTGGTGAATAGCTAAATTTAAACAATCATTCTCAATTCCTCCCTTCTCGGAATCATTTTATGTAAGTTTGTTCTAACATATTCAAGTCATTATACTATATAAATACAAATACTAGAAGAAACCTAAACTGTTAGAATTTTCAGTTATGCTTTATTACTGTGCTTTTTAACTTTCATTAAAAGGAGTTCCTTACATCTGGTTTAGCCTGCTTTCTATTGCAGCAAATAAACATATTGTTTAATTCATTATTTTATTGCTAATAATCGTTGTAACATCTGCTTAGATTGATCCCATCTGTCCAATATGTCACTTATAGTTGTTATTAGAATAAATATTCATGATGGGATTGCTCATATTCAATCAATTTAACTTTTTAACTTAGAAGAAGAAAGCTTAAAAGCAACTACTAAAGTAGATATTTCGAAAAATCAGATATTGTTTATACGATGAAAATCTCATGGATGTTGATACCAACAGATAGAGTGCACCGGAAATATCCGTTCTATCTGGGGTTTCTTTATATTCTAATCGACTGGATAACCAATAATTATAGTTTAAATCATAGAAGGATTTGAAAATTAAGTGTTACTCTATTAATAATAGTAATGAGCAAGAATCTCGTATTTTTAGTTCAAAGCCGTTGGTATTTGATAGCATTAGTGGTTTCCTTGAGATATTTTAGAAGGAATTCAAAGAAATGCAAAATAAAATTATTTTGGCATCAGAATTGGAGTATCCAACAGGGTAAAAATTAAAGAGGAGAATTTATGTTTAATAATTTTGTAATTTAGGTAAGAAATACAATTTAATTGCTATGTTACAATAAGATGATAATTTAATGAACAAATAGAACAAAAATATCAATAAATTTAAATTAAGTTTATCCAAAATATTTACTCATAAGTTGAAAACTCCCTTGAACACTACTCTTGGGTATTTGTAAACTGCCATTTCAGAAAATCTTAATGTAGATGAACAATTAAAAAATTAATTTTTAAAACCTGCTTTTATCAATTCAAAAATTTAATTTTATTAAGTGCAAGACATTTTAGAATACATTAATTAAGAGGATTTATTATAATTTCGAATAGTGAAGGTGAATCTGAATAAAACCCTAGGTCTTATTTATGATTTAATTGAGTTGTAATGTAGAGCAAAATAAATAAAAATAGAATTTTTGATAAATGAGAAGCCATTTAACACAAGGGAAAAGTATTATTATTAGTTAATTTTAGGCCTATATACATTCAAACAGATTAATAGAGATTGGAGAGAATCCTCTTCAATTTATTGAACAAGTCTTACAGACACACTCAGATGAATGGTAAAATTTGTCTTCATATTCTAATTGACTCTGATTTGAATCAGGTACAATTTAAGATTAATGACAATGTTTTGGGATTCAAATAAGAATAAGTAGATTAAATCAATTCTTTTGCTTAACAATAGAATAAATCAATCTCTTAATTTAGAAATTCCATAGTCAAGAAATCAAAATTCAAATTCAGTTTGACATTACAAATCACTAATAAATTAATCTATTTCCTAAGTGATATGCAATGTTCACTTCAAGTCAGGAATACGATTGAAGAAGGTGCCAGTTATTATTTCTTTATTAGTTTGAATTGTCAACAAGGAAGTTTTCAATAGACAACAGATATGCAAGCTCTTAATTTGAGTTCTTAACCTAAAAGTACAATCACTTTAAAACAACCCTTAAATAGTTATCCTTTTCTTGGTTACACAAGAAGCCAAAATCAAATGAGGTAGTTCCTATAATTATAATCTATCTAGCAAAGAGAGAATCTACGATGGCCTAGATGTGGATGAGGAACCCTGTGCTAATAAACCATTTTGTTTGAGTACCCAAAATTTATCATACTCTCCCTAATTAACAATTTTGAGAACACAGTAGGCTTAATAGAGCATAATTCAATATCAGAAAAATGCTTATTAGAGGGAATTCAATGAGAAATCATTAACAATGTCTTTAGCATTTGAAAGATCATTGAATATGAAGAAAATCGGAGATTCAGTAGACATAAGACAAGATTTCAATTAGACAATTATGTTAGTGGATGATGAACCCTTTAATCATGATACGTTGAAACTTATGTTGAAAAGCCTTGGTTTCAAGAACTTCATCAGTGGATACAATGGTCAATAATGTATCGAGTTAGTATAAAAACATCATACTTCGATAAAAATTATATTTATGGATTTAGACATGCCCATAATGGGAGGAATCAGAGTAAAATTACATATAAATCTTAGGCAACCAATATTCTGATTGAACTAATGCAATAAAATGAAATTGACTAAATCCCCATAGTTGCTTGTACTGCTCATGATGATAAAAATACACAACAAGAGTGCCTTGAAGCAGGAATGCTCTGTGTTATTGCAAAGCCAGTATTTGTAAGGAGTTTACAGGAGGCTTTTGTGAGAGTGAATGAAATTAAGTAAAGAACTTCAAATGTCTTTGCTGGATCTAAAGTAATATCATCAAGTATAAAATGATTTATCATTATGATTCTCTTCTTATATCTGTCTATTATAAATTAAATATTACATATTATTATTAATTATTAGATGGCCCACAAGACAGCATAGTTTTTGTATTATGTTTAGTGCTATTGTTCTCTTGGATATAATCAATAGTATATAGGTAAATGAAATCCCAATGGTGGTATGCAATTCATTGATTTTATTGTTTTCCATAAGTAAATTCGTCCATTTAAATGCCAAGTTCATTACTTCTTCAAAATAAGGATTAAAGAATGTGAATACCTGCTGATAATCGTCTTGTTCTTTCACAATGCCATATAAATCTATTATTACTATGGAATAAAATCATTGTGGTTTTTGATTTATCTTTTACAATATTCAAATCGGAATAAGATACTCAAATACTTAAGAATTGTAAATTTACTTAATTTATGGTAATATTATAATATAATATATCTATTCTATATGATGGTCAATTATTGTATTTTCATCTTAATTTATCAAATTTACAATTAAAAAGAATAGGTGTCAAAAATCAATATTGCAGAAAATAAATTATTGAAGATATCAAGTAATTAATAATTTTTAAACTATTTGGTCAAAAATGCAATGAACTCTCAAAAAATACCTCCTCTTCAACTATAATTAATTGTAGACTACTCCAAATTAAACCATTGATAACCAAAATTTTCAAATCAATGCTAATTAAGATAAAAAATTTGATAGTACTCCTTAAAATCAGTTTGGATGGGAACCTAGAATTGTCTTTAATGATTATCAGACATTTATAAATGAATTTGCAAAGAATGTCAAAAAAACATATAATGTTTTATGCAAAAAATTTTGAACAAATGATTTAATTACAATTGCATTAATTAGAATTGATAGTTTTCACTAAAGATAAATGATTTGGAAGTTCAATAAATTCAAAAAATACTTCTATGACATATTTGCTCATAAATTAAAAACTCCCCCAAATGCTTCCTTAGGTTTTCTATCATCTGCATATTACTACACTGAAATGGACAATACAATTAAACAGAATTATATTAAATCTGCATATATCAACTCTAAATTGTAATATTTTTAAATATCAGATCTTTGGAATTTCTCAATCCATAAAGTGATCAAACTAGAATCTAATATTAGAAAATTAACATGAAATCAATTCTATTTACACTTAATTAATTAATAGAATCTTAAAGTTAAAACAAAAGATTCTATTCTAAGTTTTTATGGAGAATGTTCCATTAAACAATATCAATAAGTAAGTTCTTAGAAATAACTATTTTATAAATTCTACATTTATTGGATTTACTCAAGTTAGAAAGAATTCAATACAATTTACTTAACTTACAGATACACTCCATAAAATGGCCAAATTACTCTTATCTATACATAGATAAATAATATCCAGAGGTCATTTTTATCATAAATAGAAATGAATTCTTGTTTAATAATGAAGAACTAGAAAACATCAATGAATGCATCTAAATGCTAAATGGAATTTCAATATATAAAAAAGTCAATCATTTAATTACAGTTGAGAAAGTAATATTTATGACAGATTTTTGTAAATATTAGAGGTTGGAAAAGTCGTAACAAGTCATTTCTAATTTATAATAAATTGCCATTGTAATATATTAAATAATTAAGAATACCATCTTGAGATATTTTAATCCAATTGTGGGACTAAATTCAAATTAATGATTAAGGAGAATAAAATCACTGATGGATCTTTGGAATAGTTCACTATTGGTTTTATGCTGAAATAAAAAAGTAATAAAACTGTGATAGTTTCAATTTGATTAAACTAAAANATGGTCAATTATTGTATTTTCATCTTAATTTATCAAATTTACAATTAAAAAGAATAGGTGTCAAAAATCAATATTGCAGAAAATAAATTATTGAAGATATCAAGTAATTAATAATTTTTAAACTATTTGGTCAAAAATGCAATGAACTCTCAAAAAATACCTCCTCTTCAACTATAATTAATTGTAGACTACTCCAAATTAAACCATTGATAACCAAAATTTTCAAATCAATGCTAATTAAGATAAAAAATTTGATAGTACTCCTTAAAATCAGTTTGGATGGGAACCTAGAATTGTCTTTAATGATTATCAGACATTTATAAATGAATTTGCAAAGAATGTCAAAAAAACATATAATGTTTTATGCAAAAAATTTTGAACAAATGATTTAATTACAATTGCATTAATTAGAATTGATAGTTTTCACTAAAGATAAATGATTTGGAAGTTCAATAAATTCAAAAAATACTTCTATGACATATTTGCTCATAAATTAAAAACTCCCCCAAATGCTTCCTTAGGTTTTCTATCATCTGCATATTACTACACTGAAATGGACAATACAATTAAACAGAATTATATTAAATCTGCATATATCAACTCTAAATTGTAATATTTTTAAATATCAGATCTTTGGAATTTCTCAATCCATAAAGTGATCAAACTAGAATCTAATATTAGAAAATTAACATGAAATCAATTCTATTTACACTTAATTAATTAATAGAATCTTAAAGTTAAAACAAAAGATTCTATTCTAAGTTTTTATGGAGAATGTTCCATTAAACAATATCAATAAGTAAGTTCTTAGAAATAACTATTTTATAAATTCTACATTTATTGGATTTACTCAAGTTAGAAAGAATTCAATACAATTTACTTAACTTACAGATACACTCCATAAAATGGCCAAATTACTCTTATCTATACATAGATAAATAATATCCAGAGGTCATTTTTATCATAAATAGAAATGAATTCTTGTTTAATAATGAAGAACTAGAAAACATCAATGAATGCATCTAAATGCTAAATGGAATTTCAATATATAAAAAAGTCAATCATTTAATTACAGTTGAGAAAGTAATATTTATGACAGATTTTTGTAAATATTAGAGGTTGGAAAAGTCGTAACAAGTCATTTCTAATTTATAATAAATTGCCATTGTAATATATTAAATAATTAAGAATACCATCTTGAGATATTTTAATCCAATTGTGGGACTAAATTCAAATTAATGATTAAGGAGAATAAAATCACTGATGGATCTTTGGAATAGTTCACTATTGGTTTTATGCTGAAATAAAAAAGTAATAAAACTGTGATAGTTTCAATTTGATTAAACTAAAATTATTGTCACAATTTAATTCCTCAAAAGTTGGACATGAACCTTAAGCAAACACTCCAATTACAACTCCAATAAATTAACCAAAGAAGTTCAAGACTCCTTTGAAAAGGTTAAGATCATCCTTTGCAGATTGAGTTTTGATAGACTTAGATCAGAAGAGTTTAATTGTTGTGAGGAACTATTCAATCATGACAATTTGATTTTGATGATGAAGACTATGGGTTACACTTAATTCCTTAAAGCTTATAATAGACAACAAGCAATTGATTTAGTCAAAGAAAAACAAGGACAAATTTCTATAAATAATTATGGATTTAGATATGCCTATAATGGGAGGAATAGAATTATGTTTGTATAATTTTTATTAAGGCGACAAGAATTTTAGGTACAAATGATGTTGGACTAAAATTAGAGTATATACCAATAATTGGTTGCACTGCTTATGATGACAAGGAAGCCGTTGATAAGTGCATTTAGATTGGAATGCTTTATGTTGTGGTGAAACCAGTATTTGTAAAAACACTAAGAGATGCATTCTAACAAATAACTAATATGGGGAGGGGAGAAGAAGATCCTTGCTATGTTTCACTTCTTAAATACAAATTTGATTCAATTATTATTAATATTAACAAATACTAATATGTTTAATGAAATAGATCAAAATGTTAGGATCATCTTTTTACTACAATTAATTTCAATTCCATTTTCGATTATTGAACAGAAATATATAGTGTTAATTTTGAATTTAATAGAAGTTTCATTGATCATAGGTATACACTTTATATTTTATTGTTAAGTACATTTAATCACTATAAAATTAGACTGTTATATTTTTCATTCTAAGGTGATTATATTGCTATTTCTATTAGCAAGGTCATTATCAATGTTTGGTTCAACTGATTTTTGGATTGTAATTTATATATACAACTTAAAAAAAGACATCGCAATACTTAATTAATTTGCAGTTATTTCAATGTTAATATTTTGCATCAACTAATTTAATAGTGTTCACAATAAATCATATTAGTAAACTATTATAGAATTAGTAGTCTTATATTTGTTTGATGTCTATTTGCAGTACAAAAATTATAAAAGCAATGCGAAACCAAACACTAATGATTTTTTTAGGAAATTTAATATTGATCATTAAGAAATCTTGAATTCTTGTAATGATAAAAACAAAACCAAATCTAATGGTCATAATCAAAGAAAGAATGTATTAATTGTCAATCAATGTCAAATCAATGAATCTCGCTATTAAATTTACTAGGCATAAGATTCAATTCCGAGTTTAAAAGATATATTTTATCCCGAATGGAAAAAGACTTACTATTGCTATTCAGAATAAGAATTACTAAATGTATATGAAAAAGAAAATTCTAATTTATTTTATATACTATATATACCATCAGAGAAGAGCAAAGAAGTTTATAGAGTGCAAATTACAAAAACTAAAGCTTAAGATTATATATTATACTATACTAAACTAGATAGTCTCTTGTACTTCAAATTGAAAGGATCAAAAAGGAAATTTAGATAAAATTTATCTTAAATATTCTCCCACAAACTCAAGACTCCTCTAAATTAGGCCTTGGCTAAGATTACATCTATGCTTACTGATAAGAATGTGCTTCCATATCAAAAGGTCATACTTTCCTAAATCTATATCCAATAAAAATGTCAATTGTATGGCATATTGGACTTTTTAGACTATGTTAATTCAGATTCCATGACTTTCTAACCATCTCGTATTACCTTAATACAGATCATTTAAAATGTTAGAGATCTAATTAGAGAGTAGTGCAAAGCCAAATCAATTAAATTAAGTATACTAATTGAAAACGAACAATTAAAAGATTATAAAGGGTATCCTCTTTAATAATATATTGTAGAATGATTGTATTATTTACTGATTCATTGAAATTGGAAAGAATTCTTTACAACTTATTAAATAATGCTTATAGACATTCTAATCAGAATGGAACAATTCATTTAACAGTGGAATTGGTTTAAGGAACGTTGAATTTTGCAATAATAGATTCTGGAATAGGAATGACTGCTGAGATGATGGCGGATTATAATTTATAATTTTAATGTCTTCAAAATCCTGCGAAATCAATTAAACGCTCTTGGAATCACAAATTAGGAACTACTCTATTAGTGACCAACAAATTGGTTCATTTATTAAATGGAAATAAGGGTCAGATCTAAATACTGAAATAGAATGAGTCTGAGTTTAAGTTCTCCATCTTATAAGAATTGAATATCAATAAAGGAGTGTCAGACATAGGGTTTGCTAGTTTAAGTTCAGATAGATCAGAAATTAATCTATTGATTAATTAGTAAGATCACATGGATGAAATTTAAGAAGAGGATGATTATATAGTAAATGAACCGAAGAGTTAGGAAATAAAAATAGAATAGATCAAACATGCAAGGAATTATAAATAGATCACTATACAACCTCAATCTCAAGGTTAAAGTAAACATTCATAATTGTTCAATAAAAGATCTTCATCTATTTTTGATGTGAACTCATTTTTAAGATAATTTAGTTTTAAGGATGGTGGAATAGAGTCCAATCAAGAATTAATCATAGATAAGGATCAATATATTATGATTGTTGATGACGAACCATTTAATCATGATGCTCTACTAATGATGTTGATGAGATTAGGATATGCCAATTTCATGCATGCTTACGATGGAAGTGAATGCATAACTAAGACAAAGGAGAACCACTCTAAAATTAAATTCATTTTAATGGATTTGGATATGCCCATTTTAAATGGATTTAAGTAATTAATAAATATTAATTCAGAGCCACATCCTCACTTATTGACCTAATGAAAACTAACTAAATTAAAATGATTCCCATTATAGCATGCACTGCTCATGATGATTACTTAACTGAAACACAATGCAAATCTGTGGGTATGATAGACATCATCATAAAACCAGTCTTCTTAAAGTAATTATAAGTTGTACTTAAAAATATCCCTAAAATCCTATGACACTTCTCATGATATATTGATAATATAAATATTTGATATCAAGTATATATACATTTGATACTACAGAACATTTTAATAATACTTAAATATCACGAACTACAATTATTTATTATAATCAATTATCACAAAACTATTATAATTTAAATTATTCTTCACTATTTTTTTAAGTCATTTAAATATTTTCAGTTGTTAATATTCTCATACAATCCTCTCTAAACATATTCATTTCGACAAGTTCTTCCATATATTATGGGGATGGCCAGAAAATTAAAAAATGAGTTGTTTGCAAATAAAGAAAAATGATAAAAAAACTAAAATCAAATTGAATATATGTTGTCAAAGGGAAAAATTGATTTTGTTCTCCGCTTAATCATTTTCTAAAAATAAAAATTGTTTCTTAATTGGATTTAAATCCTAATCATTAAAACTAAAAGTGCAGTTCTTTCTTTTCTTCGGCGCTTATGGAAGTAGTAAGGACTTTTGCTTTTTCTCTGGAGTTCTTTAATTCATTATTAATAATTATAATGAATTTATAATTTTAATAGCCTAAATAACAATTTTAGATAAAGCTATGAACTTCTGGATAATTAATTGTGGGAATAATAATTAGGAATGTTTTTAAATTAATTTTTAGATTGATATTTGAATTTAAAGTAAATTAGATTAAAGCGAACTTTCTAGAATTAATATGGTTAATAATAAATAAATATAGATATCATTTAGATACATGGATTTGTGATTTTGATCTCATACTTCTGTGTTAACTTCTCATAGAATATAGATCCTCCAATTATTAAAAAAAACTGTATGAATAATTCTAGATTACTCCTGCTAAATCCTATATAAATTAGGCCAACATAACTTAGTTTTGATAAACTATTCTTCCCTCCTAAGCTTGTATTTTAGAAAGAACAAAAATAATAGTTTAACTTACATGCTTATGGGTATCATCTGCCTTATGTATATATTAAATTGAAGAATCTTGATTCAAATCATCTTGAAGTTCTTCCACATCTGCGAGTCTTTATCTTACCTAAGAACCCATAGTCAAATAGTTTAAGCTATAACTATTTTTTTTATCATGAGTTCTTGGAGTGGTGCTATTGGTTGGTTAAAATTTTGAATTTTTAATTTGATACAATACTATAGTACTTCTGACATCAATTTTATTAGAATCTATCTCAAATTATTTAGCCATCTTGTTCATACTGGAATGAAATTGCTTAATGTGAAATTTAATTTCTTAGTTTTTTTGATCCTTCATAAATTTAAGATTTTCACATATTCTCATTTGACCTGTCTCAAACAACAATTTTTCATATGTCCAAGGACCATTACCTATTTTAGTGAAAACTATCTAATTATCTTCAATACTAATTAAATACCATCTACCATCTATAGAGTGAATTAATTTAAAGAATGAAGTATCCGGAAGCAATTAGTAAGTAAAGTAATTCTCAATTAAATAAAGAATCTAGAAAAAATACTTAATATTTGGTTTTGGAAATTTTAAGATTCCCATCAAAGAAAATAATATCTTACTTTCCACTTTAAATTTATTCTAAAATTTCAATTCTTTGATCAACTCAAATTTTTGTCCAAATTCGTGCTTTAAGAATTCTTCCTCTTATTTTTTTATATATACTTCACTAGTATCTCTCAACACTGCATTCTATATCAATAGATCATGATTGGAGATGTTAATCTGTTTTCTCTTAAACATTTCATCCTTTTTGATTTCGTTTCTTATATGGACTATATATTCTGATGTGACATTATAGATGTTATGAGATTCTCGTATGAATTTCTATTCAAGAAATTCGTGATATTCTATAAAATAATCACAATAAATCTTCTGAATTTCAAACATAGATTCCTCTATAATTTATATAAAATCTCCTTATGGTTTTATCTTCTTTGTCACTTTATTATTATTAATGCCAACATTTAAAATCTTATTATAAGCCTTGATTTCTATATGAGGTTCAATTTCTATTGGTATCTCAATTAACTCATCTTAATTGTGTTTCAATTTAGAACTTCTGCGTTTAAATTACAACACATCTGGATTGTCATCATTTAAAATCGCTGTTTTTTTCTATAACTGTAAAGCATTACTCATTTCTGACCCACTTTTAAGATCATTATCTGTTCCAAAACTACTACCTAAGATTGCTTCATCTTAATAATTCAATTCTACTGCTGCTCTCTCCTCTGGTTTGTATTGCTCCAATTCTTATTCAAATAGAGTCTTAGATACCACTGTGAATACTTCCCAAACTAACCCTCCTATTAAAGCTAATAAAAAAATGGACAAGAAAACAAATGAACCCACAAATATCATTGGAACTGCTAAACTGTTAGTTTCATACGATAATTCAAAAACTATTTAACCCCAGGAGGCAGCTGTAAATATTTATAACATCAACAAATATGATCCACCCAATGAATTAAAATCTGCATATTTGCATTATCCCCATTAAAATCTAAACTCATTTGGATCACATGAATTATTCGAATATGGATTTTGTTTATCGTCTTCTATACCTCCGTATATATAGATTCCAACGCAAGCATATGTGAAAAATACTATTTAGACTGGCAAAATCAATCTAAGGATAAGTGGTATACAAATTATGATTTTATATAGTAAATTTTTCACATGAGCAAATATTTCTAGGCCTTATAGCAGATATCCAACTAATTTGATTGACCTAAATGCTCTAAAGATACGAAATGCTTTTTAAATTTTTGCTATTCTCAATATTCTATTTGCTTTAATTGATTAAACGATATTTCCAGTAACAAAATTAAATAATACATAATCAAATAGAATTTATAGAAATATTATACTTACATCAAATACATTCCTAATTTTAGTTATTTATAATTATACCATCCATCACTAAAGAAATCCACAATTCCAATCCCTATCATTTTAACCAAACATTCAAAGATATATATCCCTAAAAACACTGTGTCAATAATGTCAAAAACACTTAAAATTTCAAGATCATCAATAAAAAATGCTGTTATAATGAGAGCACAGTTTAGTATTGTTATTGCTAGCATGAATAATATGAACCCCTATTTTCAAATAAATATAGTACCCAGGATTCAATAAACTTCTTCAATCCATATTTATTGCAAAATCTTTGGAATTATTCCCAACATTTTAATGATTTCATTCGAGGCAGTGATATCCTTTTGCTATTCTATAAAACTGTTAACAATTAATTAAATTCATCAAACTATATCTTATCACTATTTTGGACAATACTTTTACTTAAAATCTTTATCAATTTCTTAAAATATGATTTGTATTTGATCATCTGTTAGTTGACCTCGGTAAAAGGTTCTAAGGAATTTTTTGAATTGACTTTCAGTTAAGTAACCCACATCATTAGAATCAAGTGAAATGAAGCTGGCCATCATAGCTGACTTTTATTTGATAATATCTTAAATGGCTATTTACATTCTATGTTTTCGAAATCCTTCATACACAATAGCCAAAGGGATAGGTTAAAAGAGAAATAAAAATAGAATTATATATATCACAAAAAAGAATACATAATAGGTTCCTTACAGTAACACAGGTATCATTATATCTGGATAGAAATCAAGAGTGGCAGTCATAAATAGCATATTAAATAATTGAAAGAAATCTCCGTAATCTTATGTATCCAAATCCACTGTTTACAATTAACCAATTAAGTTTATTCCGATAAAGGAAAATGTTGATATAACTATAGCATAGAGTAAAAATAACAGAAGCAAGTCTCTGCTTGCCTTTGCAATTCCTTTGAGATTTCTCCTAAGGTCTTTTGAGTAAAATATCATAAGAAAAGGTCTAATCAATCGACTGAATCTGAATTGAGTTTGATCATATTAATAGTTTATAAAATCTGTTCCGCACAATAAGATAAATATCAATTTTACCATTCTCTTTGTATTAAATTAAAAGCCACCATCATTCTTTTTTGTAGCTAATAATATGAAGGTAATCGTAAAATCGATAAACAACAAAATCAATATAATGAGCTCTAATTTAGAGATGGATGAACTTTCTTAATAATCCGAATTCGGAAAAGGCTTTTCAAAGAATGTAAGAATCTGATAAAATAAAGTAATTGCGAAGAGCATTCCACCCCAATTCCTGCTGTTTTCAATTTTCCATAAATATTTTAATAACACTTTATCAGCCATATCAATATCATTTCTGATTGTTCTTAGATAATAAGCATCATATATATGTCTCTCCGCCTTTAATTATCTGTCATCAGAAGGCATATGTTTGACTATCTTGTAAATTTAAGCCACCAACATGTCATTTTTCTCTTGATACTTACTATCCAACTTAGTTAGATTGATGGCATTAGTGGCCTTAAAAATTGCTGATCGTCTTGGATTTGGAAGCTTGGGTATGTGATCATCACACAATTAAGGAGACTATACATCATCATATTTCATTTTTAAATATATATCATAAATCTGAATATGTCAAATCACCTTATTCTAAAATATTATATAATTTTATTAAATCCTTAAAAAATCATAAATTAGAAATGTTCAATAATTAATGCCTTTCAAGCTTATTTATGTTCTGAATTGCTCTCTTAAATCCCAATTTATAAATAAATATTTTTGCAACACAGGTTCTAATATAAAAAATGTAAATAGTTCTCTTTTTTTATGATTTCTACACTCCTCAAGACTTGGATTAGAGTTGTTATTTGGAATCTCTCATCGTTTATCTATATTTAGATTTAAGGCAATTTTTAAAATTTTGGTAGTTTGATGAATAATAGAAATGAATTCATTTGTTGATTAATAGTACATAAATTGAATACATAATAGTCTGTTATAGGATGATAAATTATTTATCCTCAATTATTTACATCAACTCTTTTTATAGGAATTAATATTTTTTATAAATATGACTTCCAAGGTTAGAGTGGGACATTACTTAATCAATACTGATGAATTGCTAGGCAAAGGTTCCTTTGGGGCTGTTTATAGCTGTCAAAGCGATACTTTTAAAAATAAAGACTTGTGTGTTAAAGTATCACTAATGATAATTAGATCGTTTCTTGTAAAAATGCGATGATTTAAGCACATAAAGAAATTGAGCTTCTTGAAGTGCTCAAAAAAGTGGCAAATCCGAATTTAATTATGATCCATGATTTGATTTAAGATGAAAATCAGATATACATATTTATGGACAGATGTAGAGGAGGAGACCTGAAATCCCTAATTCTAGACTACAATTTGAAGAAGAAATAGTTTACTTTAGAATAGATCGTAGATATGGTTAGATAGATTGTATGTGGTTATGAAGCCTTAATATAAAACAAAATGATCCATAGAGATCTCAAACCTGCTAATATTTTATTTGAATATAAGACAAAGGAGAAAATAACTTTAAAAGTAATAGCATATCAAATCAGATTAGTTAACAGATTTTGGGTTGGGCAGAATATTAGATGACATTACTATAAAACAATACATGACAAGAGTGGGAACTCCTGCTTATATGTCACCGCAAATTTCTTTGGGAGAGAAATTTTCTGCAAAATGTGATATTTTCTCTGTAAGAATTTTCAATTATTCTAGTTGGGAATCATTATCTATGAACTAACATTTCTAGAATTACCATCTTAAGGAATGAATCCTTTGATACGTAATTTGTTTTAAAAGTCTTTAAAAACTAAGCCTTTTGTTTGTCCTAACTTAAATTAGTAGCAACCTGCTTAATTGAAATGCTTGATTTAAGATCTAATTAATAAGATGCTCAGTTTTGAAGAGGAAGCAAGACCAAGTTGGGAGGATCTAATAAAATCAGAAATAAGTAATAAAGATTCAATACCATTTAGTGACTATAGGTAAATAAGTCGTAACTATACCGATTGAAGTCAAATAAAAAAATGAAGAAAACAATTTATAAATTACAATTTTGAAATATGAGAGGAAGTTAGGTAGGGAAAGATATTTTGAATAAAATTAATTTTTTAAGCTGATTGAATTTAAATAAAAGTTTAAGGGCAAACACGATCTTTTAAGAAAATCCTATCTTATTGTATATATGATGATATGCAAAGCACAACTATTATACAGTTTGCAATAACAATTTCAATTAATAGTGTAATTAAAAAAAATAATATAGAAAACAATATTTTCCGAATTTTGATGTTTATCATTTTGAACTAATTTAGACATGTTTTATAGGATATCGTTTTAAGATTCTTGAGAATGCTTTTGGATTTTGTAACCAAAAATTAGATCTAATTAATGAATCATGCAAGAAATAATTTGAGAATGAATTTTTGCAAATGACTTAACAAATTTATCAATCAAATGAGTTAGAAGTACAAACAATTAAAAAACATGTTTATGATTTTTTCCTTTAAACAAAGGATGTATTTCAATAGGCAGAAAATGAATTAATAAATTTAAAAACAAAAAATCAATATCCCAAGAACATAGAAAAGTTTTTTAAATTGATTTCTTAATAAGAATTTACTGACTTTGGAATATATGCTAAATGGTTTTATTTTTTTTGGAATCAACATCTTCGCAAGTTATTGAATTATGATTAAACAAAATAGCACGAAATAAAATATTAATTGTAATTCATTCTTTAAATTGTAGACTATTAATATTAATTGAGAGATTTCTTAATTTGGAAACAGACCATCCTTTTCAAAAGTATGATAAATTTGATGAAAATTCAATATTATTATAGGAAAAACCCACAAAGGATGATCTAGAAAGATAAATAAAATTAAGAGTATACATTTGAAAACAGAACAATAATTATATAGCCAATTTATTTCATTTATTAATTTATTTATTATTTTATTATCAATGAATCAGAAATACGATGATAACTAAAAAATATAATTGGTTGATATTCAATAATCACCATTCAATGCACAAACTTTATTATAAGTAATTTTAAAACGGGATAAACTATTAAATGGCTTAGTGAATTGGCTGCATGAGGCAACTAAAAAGGGTTAGTTAGATGATAAGCATGGAAATCTTTACCTTAGAATATTGAAGGTTTGCGCTATTCAATTTGCCTATTATCAATTGTAACAGGGATACAATTTTATTGTTCCTGAGGAGAAGTATGCTGGGATATCTAATCATTTTTTTAAGATATTTGAAACTGAGGAGGATTACAAAGACTAAATTAGAAAATTTAAAAAAAGTGATCCTAAAATTGTGAAAAGTATGTCAGAAGAATTTGGGAAAAGATTCGAAACATTATAAAAATGGAAAAAGGTATTAAAAATATTTAAGCTTAGAAATTTATGGATGATTATGAGTAAATAAAAAAAGAGTTTACAAACAAGGATAACGAGAATATTAGGTTCCAAAAATTAAAATAATAGATTGAGATGGAATAACAAAAAGACTTCGACATTTACTAATACTATTTTACATTGTTCTATTAGGAAGAATGGTTTAAATAGCCATATGAAGAACTACCTATTGAAATATTAAGGTAATAGAATTATTTAAATTCATTAGATTGCTAAGTTTGATCAAATAGTTCTTAAGATTGGACATTTTATATCCAATCGAATAATATGCCAATTAGTCGTTAACTCTTTTAGACATTAATGAGTAGGAAAAGTCAAAAGATTATTACCTTAAAATTATTAAATAAAAATGAATTAAGAAATATATAAAATTACATGTAAATTACAAACATTATTAAAATGAATAAATCAATTATCAAATAAATTCTGAGGTTCATCATTCTCGTTATGTGCTTTATTAATTAATATAAATATGTACCATATTTTTTCTCACTTGCTTGGTGTTAAATTTATTCTTCAAAATCAATTTAATCGTTATCTTAATGTTATTTTACTGCAGATTCAATTCCCTATAGTGGCAATGCTTCTTATTCAATGCTTTGAGATACAACTTATTTTGGTTATGGCTAGAATTTTAATACATTCCAATACTTATGGTGGAATCAATTCATTGGCAACGTGGTATTATCCTGATCTTTCATAGATAATTCCACTTTCTTCTGCTTAGGCCAAAAAACTATGAACAGCCTATTCTTCAACTTAGTTTGTGTAGAACAAACTGAGGTTATTTGTAATATCTTTTAATGGTGCAGATGTTCCAAATGAAGCAATTACACTAATTACATTTTCTTGTAATTAATTTGGGAATTATTGGTTAGGAGTTTCAGGGTAATAAAGTTTATCTTATTTCAAATTAAAAATTACTAAATCTATCCTTAGTAGCCTTTGGTTTTTTTTCTTATGTTTATTTTTTTCCCTTTTTAATTGGAGATTAAGGTGGTGATGCAGGCTATTCAGCTGGTTCATCATTAGCTTTTGCCTTTTTTCCTTTTTTAATTTTCTTGTCAACAACTTCAGTTGTTTTAACTTGTTCTTATTTGCTTTACTTTCCTTTTGGCATTATACTTTTCTAGATGATATAATTTAAATATAAACTAAAAGCGGCAAATATTTGTATAGATTATAATCTTATTTATTATTGAATTGGCCAATAATATTGTAGATAATGAGTGATAAGAAAAATAATAACATACCATAAAATAACAATCAGACAGACGATCCCAATTATGCATTGCAAATGTAGATTATTGCATTTTAAGATTAAACCATTAACAATTTAAAAAATATTATCATTGAAAAAGATTCTGAGCTTTAAGTATGATCAATGTTGTAATAGAAAAAAAATCAAGAAAATGCCTAATTGAGATAGCAGATCCAAATGATCGAGAAATAACAATCACAATAATAAATGTCTCATTAGTAGGAAAATTCAAATATTTTAAATTTATAATCTCAGTATCAGAAAACTTTGGATGAGCTCAAGAAATTGAAAGTGATTTTCAATTAGAACTCTAATCCTGATATAGTCATGGAATCACTTGAAATCAAGTAATAGTGAATTTAATATAAATCTATAGAGAATAATTAGTCTTAATTTAGCAATAAAAAAATAAACTTGAAATTGAATTAAAAGTATTAATCAACTAAATTACAATAATAGGAGGCATAAACGAGACTCATCCAATCTCAAGGCATCATCTAAGAACTCTAGAGAGAAAATTACCAATTAAAATCATTTTCAATGCCCTCATTTTCTAATCAGCCACCAATGCAACAAGCATCTATTAGTTAGAGTTAATTCTTACAATAACAATACCCATCAAATAACTAAAGGTAGTTTCTGTATTGTATTTAGTTAAAATAACGAAGAACTATAAAGGAATCAAAGAAAACTTCAGTTAAAAAATGAATTAAGATAAATACCTTCTTAGAATAGAACATAAGCATAATAAAGAAGAATTCAATAAATTGAGGATGAATTAAATTACTTAGAATAATTTTGATAAATATTAAAATCCATATATTATTTAGTCTAACTTGGTCTTATATTCAGCCTTGTAGAAAAATTATCAAAAACTTGTCTGATTGTATATATAATAAAATCAAAAATGGTTTGATTTTTATATATTAAATAAAATGAACAACAACTATAATTATATGTTCAAATTCATAGTAGTAGGAGACGCATGTAACATAATCATTAAAATTATTTAAGTTGTAGGAAAAACTTCTTTATTGTTGCAATTTTAATAAAAAGAATTTTGTGAAGATACTTAAAGCACGGTAAGCATCGAATTTCGCCAGAAAACAATAACTTTAAATGATTAATCGATAAAACTGCAAGCTTGGGACCCAGTAAGAATAATAATTAAAATATGAAAGGCAGGTTTTACTTAGTTCTTATCGATGGAAAAATTTTATTATAAAGGAGCGATTGGAGCATTGCTTGTATTTGATTTTAGTAGAAGATCAACATTCGAGGACATCAAATTTTGGTTAAATTAAATAAAGACTTTTGCTTGTGATAAGATTGAATTAGTACTTGTTGGCAATAAATCTGATTTATCAAAGAAACATGTAACCATTTAAGAAGTTGAAGAGTTTGCGAAATAAGAAAAATTAGATTTTTATGAAACTTCAGCTAAAACAGGTAAGAACGTAGATATTGTCTTTGAAAGCTTAGCTAGTAAAATTTTAAGAAAAATTGAAACAAAATAAATTAATGTTGATGATTAAGTAAATAATTGAATTAACATAGATGTTAGGAATTAAGGTAAACAATAATTATGGAAAAATGAAAAAAAATAATAAATCTCCATAATAAAATATAACATTGAATGGAAAATAAAATGATGAAGAGAGGAACGAAAAATAAAGATGTTGTTGACTGTTTCTTAATTTTCTATATTTTATTATATTAATTTTTGTGTGTTATTCTAGAAATATTTTTTGAGTAGATCAATTTTGAATAAAAATAATAGCAATTTGAATCATTTCATACCATTAAAGATTTCTGATTATTGTATTTTCTTAATTCGTATTCCATTACATAATTGACAATCTTTATAATTCCAATTGCTATAATAGTGCAGCCAATCAATGTGAAGAAGTTCTTGAGTAGATTCTTTGAATTAGTTTCTTAATAATGAATGGACTCAACTAATCCAATCTAACTATTTTGCCTATCAAATATTGTGTAATACTTCCTCATAAAAGGACTACCTAAAATCATTAATTAGTCATTATGTGATCTAATATTTGATATCAATACATAACAAATGGGTTCGTGATTATTTGTGTGAATATAGAATTATGGTTCTAATGAGAATTCTTAACCATCTAAAAGTATTTTTATTGTAGGAAATTCTGATATATCATTTGTTGGACAGGAGCATTTAATGATTTCCGTCCACACACAATTAGTAAACACGTTTTATAAATTTACTAAGATATTTTTAGGAAAGATAAGCAAAGAGCTTCCAGAATCGATGATGGCATATAGATCAACTCCTAAAATGCCATTCATGTCTATTTTTTCTGATGAAATGATCCATTATTCATCAGATTTAACATATCTTATTTCTTTGTTGAACAAACTCTCATCATAACCTCCAAAAGTTATTGATGATTAACGATTAGAGTTTTCAAAATTATAATAAAAACTAATGGGCCACTCAATAAAAGAATGATTAGATGATTATTATAGTCCTACTACTCCATCATAGATTGCTCCTTCCATTCCAGTTACTTCATCAACTAAAATAAACTGAGATTCATCAAAATGCTCGTTTATTGAGAACATACCCAAACATTTAACTCCAATTAATGCTCCCACATGATAAGTTATTGAAGCTTATTCTTAAGATGGAATGCATGTTGGTTATTCGCATACAATTCCTATTGAATTTTTATTACATCTTTGACAATTAATACTTGGTAACCACATCTATGATGAACCTGTATCAAAAATTACTTTGAAGCTATTCATAGTATAATGTTTACTGTAATATTGAGTCTTTAGAAAGAACTCTGATTTGTCCAACATATTAATAATTATAAAAGTTTTGCAAGTCCAAGGTTTTGTTTTTTTCTTATTGAGTAGAGTTGATATCAATTAAGAGGGAACTTTCCTACACTTGTTGTGTGTCTAGAAATATTGTATATTTGGCTAAAACTAAGTGAATGCATGCAACACTAATTAACAATTAAACTATTATCATATATAAATTATATACAAATCATTATAACATTCTATACTAGGTTTGAGGTTTAGAAATGAGTAATAATAGACTTAGTTGAAATCTGCGATTCTTATCTAACTTAACATATGTCCTTTTTCTTTCATTTGATGTCAAATTCTTCAGTAATTCTGTTTAAAATTTACTCATACTTTCCATTAATATTACATATTACATTTTATATTCAGGTATTCTTTTATTATGTTTAAGAATGATACCTGTTTTGATTAAACATTTCGATTACAAAATTACTTTAGAACAATCGAGTAGCTTATGGAGTAGTTGGTTACTTGACCAATTTTAATTCAGGAATCTTTTATTCTTTCAAAAATGGAGGCAGTTTATTTTGAAGACTGTTGCTCTTGCGATGCATTCTCGTAGAGATCTAATTGTGTTTGGAATTGAATTGAAATGATTATTTAAATTCACTTTAACTAGCTAATAAAGTAGATTGAATTAATTCTGTATTTTCAGGAGTGCCTCCCAAAAGATTCTTTAATTTTAGCCTTGTAGCAGGCAGTTAATGATCATACAAACTACTTGAGTTTGAAATTGAGTTCTTACTTAGAAAGTTGTGACTACTTTTTGGAGAATTAAAGATACTGGATGCATCGCTTTTTCTTTTTCTATGAGAAGATTCACTTGATATCAATCTACCCATGCTATCTCTTTCATTGAGAAAGGGTACAAATGTTTGCTTTTTTTCAATTAACTGATTTAATGGATGCTCATAGTTGGATAATGAATCTATGATCAAGGCCCTTTTAACAGCATCTGTTTTATGTAAAGCTGGTAGTTGTTTATCTTTATAAAAGACACAATAATCCAATAAATTTTCAGAGGATTGCTTTTTCATTATTTATATATTTGTATTTAATAATGAGTTACGAAGCATGTGATTTATAAACCGATTCAAGATATCCTTTTGATCCAAGAGCCAATGCTTTTGAGTTAGCTAAAATGGAAAGTATTAGAAGAAAGTAGCATCCACTTATTTTGATAACAAGTGTTAAATCAAGTGGAGTGCATTACTTTATAGGGCCATCAAAATCCTATTCTCATGATTATCCAGTTGAACTGGAGCCTTACGTAACAAAGGATGATTTCGAAGCCTTCATTACAGAGGTAAATGATGTAATAGTAAAATATTGGCCTTGCTTTTTCACTTTCATTTTGGCATTCGCTTTTTCAGTTGTCACTTGTTTCCTCAGTCTGTATCTACCTAGGGTTTGTATTGAAGATGTGTAAAGATTTCTGGGATATGTATTAGAGAGATGGAACGAGACTTGGGAACAAAAGGGTATTAAAGTGGAATACAAAAGAAACCTCTTAAATAGTGAATTATAATTTTATAAATTATGAAAATGTTCTATTTAAACAAATTATCCGTGAATCCACTCACGAAGACAATTTGGAATTGTTGAAGATTTGCTTCCAAACACTCTTTTGATAAAACTGGAAAGTGTAATTAAATTGGTTTAATTTGAAAAATTTCTATCATTCAATTAGTCTTATTGCTGTTTATTAAATTAATGAGTAAATTATAAGAATCATATACATTTGAAAATAACAAGAAATATAAAATGAAAACGGACAGAAGTGCCTTGATGGGATCTCCAAAGAACAAGGAATTTGATGTTTCAGATGATTTTGTAAAGAAACTGAATGAGAATTACAAGAAAGAATTGGAGAAACTGCATTCTGTAGTTGGAAATAAAGAAGATTAAATAAGAAAACTATAAGATTTAGTAAAACTGCAACAAAAAGAGATTGATCGTTTAACTCATATTAATGAGTATTTGATGTAGGCAAATTAGACCAAATTGAGCATCTTAAGAGATGAGAGACAATTAAATTAAGGAAGCAAGTAAAGTATGAAAAATAAGAATCATAAATCTTTAATACCTCTAGAGAAAAAGATTATTAAAATACCAGAAGATAATACATAATCAATTAAATTATTCAGAAGATCAACATTTCGTAATCCAACATTGATGAAATTCCATCAAGAGGAAGGAGACACTTTCAAAAGCGAAAGGAATACTTCTGGATCCTCTAATTTTTATGATATTCTACAGCAGGAGGATTGCTTCAGAACTAATGCTATTTTAAATATATAATTATGTACTTAAGATTTTGAGTTATAATAGCTGATGAGGATGCAACTACTCAATACAATCAAGATGGAACTGTGTCATTAATGAAAGTACTATTGGATTCTGAGGAGATCTTTAATGAAATTATCTAATCAATATCTGCTTAGAAGTTATCGTTTCTATTTGATAAATTTAAAAGAGTAATGTCAGATCACTAATAATTATTTCTATTAGTATTGAGATTAAAGAAGATTGTAACTGGTGCTTTATAAATGAATACATCTGTCCTCCTGGATGATGCGTTACAAAACATAATAGATAAATGTGTTGATTGTTTGGAATGCGATAGAGCCTCATGTTTCATTGTAGACCAAACTAAAAAGGAATTATGGACTAGAGTAGCCAAAGGAACTTCTACCACTATTAGATTGCAAATTGGTTAAGGATTGGCCGGTTTTGTTGCATAGAATCACACAATCTTAAATATTGAAGATGCTTACAGAGATTAAAGATTTAATACACAACAAGATACAAAAAACAATTACAAAACAAAGACGCTTTTGGTCTCTCCAATTCTAGATGGTGACAAATGTGTCGGTGTGCTTCAATGTGTCAATAAGTCTAATGGATTCTTTACTAAGGATGACGAAGCATTACTATAAATTATGGCTGAGTTTAGTAAGAGTGTTCTTAAGAATGCTTTGAATAATGATGCCTAGATACTGATTTAGAATAAACTCAGACATATCATCAAGACAGGAGTCATTTTACAAGGAAAATAAGATAATCTCTTAGAATTACTGCTTTCTTCTGAAGAGCGTCTTCGTTCATTAATGAATGTAGATTATGCAAAGGTTATTTATTGGGATAATTGTTTGTACCATGTCAACAAGGATGGTAAGATGACAGAGACTTAGAATTTATTAGGAATAGTAGGAAAATGCATTGAAGAACAATAAATAATGGCTGTTACTAATTGTTACAATAGTCCAATTTTCAATCCTAATATTGATATAGAAACTAATATGCCTATAATATGCATGCCTTTGAAAACATAAAGTCATTAAATTATTGGGGCAATTCAAGTAATCAATGTTAAGGGAATCGGGAATATTTCCTCACATAGTGATACCAAGATTAATCCAATCGATCTAGACATGTTGGAGCTTTTTTGTTAACTTTGTTCATAATCTTTATTGCAATGCAAAATACACAAATAATAATAATGATGATATTAATTAAAATATATATAAATAATTATGGGCAATTCATAAAAAAATGATTCGAAACTAATCTCCACTGCTTGGTTAGGTGTAAATGTAAAATGCAAATCCTAATATAGGATGATTGGACCTCTATTATGAAAGAAAGATTATCTCGCATTTCTGAAGAATGGGCTGTTCCTTCAATCAAATGCTTGGATAGATTTGTTTAAAATGAGCAGAAAAAATTTAGAAATAAAATTAAACTAATTTGTATTTTTGTGTCTTATGAATAGTAACTAAAACAATGAAAGATGAGTAATATGATAAGCTATTACAATCAAGTTTAGTGTTTTTGTAAATTCATTTCAATTTATTATGTTGTTTTTAGAAAAACTAATGAATATCTTCGTTAAGATTTGCAATCAAGCACCGGAACAAACGATCTTACCATCTCCACTAATTATAATTCAAGTAATAACTTATGAATTAGCATAGTTGGTAAAATAAATGATAGTCAATCCATATCATCGAAAATCTTGGACAGTATGTACCCTGAAAATCAAAATTCTTAAGTATCATAATTCTATGTGTTTTTATCTTGTATTAACGATGCCCTAAGTCACCAAAAGCATCCATTTATTCATATCATGAATTTCTTTAAAGAATGGGCAATAAATTAATTAATTAGTATGAAAGATCCTCAAAATACTCCCCATTAATTAAAATTAAAACTCCAAAAATTCTAGAGCTCCTCTGATCTATTTTTGAATTTTCTCGTGTTTTCCTTGAATGAGTATTTGGGAGATTTTAGAGATCATATAAGTGAAGAAGGGATATTTAAATACATCAAAGACAAATAAAATTATTATAATTTATTTTTAGAACATGTAATAATTCAAAACTTATTTATTATAGACATTTGATGATACATTAATGACTCATTTGATGGAAGTGCTCAATTACTTACACAAAAATAATAATAATAATTTTATTGAAAAAATAAAGCATATTAGAAAAAAACCAGATTTTTTTGAGATTCCTAAAAAATATCAAACTCAAGAAACACCTTTCATTTAAGAAATCTCTTGTCTAAATGAGGTCCAATAATTAAAACGCCCAACTGCCATATTTTGCTGCTTCACAAAAACATATTTGATGATCAAGGATCATTTGACTAGATCTGCTTCTAATTTTTTGTTTTTCTAAGTAACCAATTATGTAATTGTGCATTCTAATATTGAAAATTTTCATGCGCTATTACATTTACTAGAGCTCTTCTACATTAACTCGCCTATTTTACTTAAATATAATTAATCCTTGGAATTCATATAAAATATTATAATTTCTTGAATGAGAAAAATGATTAAATAAGTAACAATATAATTTATATTAATTAATAAATAATAAAATGCAATAAAATCAAAAACCTCTGTTGATTATTGATTCTAGATACACGCTCTATGACATGAGACAAAAAAGAACATACAAATATAATGCGATTCTGTAAAAATCATTTCTGCTGTTGTAAGCGCATTTTCAAATATAAGTGATATTTTGTCACTCTAAACCTAATACAAATGACTTTTTTTACAATGAATTTCAAAAGAATTTTAAGGATATTGAATCAAAAAAACTCTCAATCCAAGAATTAAAGGAGAGTTAATTTTAGAATCAAGAAATACTTGTTGTAACTCATAATTATGAATAATTCACTCTCACTTAGAATTATCAATTATACTATTTTTCTAGTATCTCTTAACAATTAGATAAGAAGAAAGAATTAGAGCTAAAATATTACCAACTAAATCCTAAAACAAAATTTCATATATCGCACATTCAATAAGTCATTTCATATTTTTCAAAATCAGAAAATCCTTTTTGTGTTGGTTATTATTTTTACCCAAAAAAGTTTAATGAGTTGATTCAGTTTGAAATATTCATCAGCAATAACAACTTTAATTATCTGCCTATAGACTTTCGATTTTAAAATAAATATCAAGTAATTGATTTGTTATTTCATAAAATCATGGACATCTACAAGAACAAGGAAATCAACATGAAATAAGATGAGGTTGAATTATTCTAGTAAAATTATGACAAATTCATAACAGAAAATGCCTAAATTCCTGTCGTAGACTCAACGGAATGTCTAGATATGTTAATCTAGAGAGACGAGCTAAATACTAAATTAGAATCTATCATTGCTAGTCCAGAATTTTAAAAGGCTGTTTAGGAACATCATATTAAAATTATGACCCCAGAATAAATTGTGTTCAACAATAATGATTAACAATACGATGTGTCAAATTTGAAATATCCGTTAATCGTAAAAAGTAAATAAGGAGCGCTGACTGCTAATTGTCACATTATGGCTATAGTTATCAATGAAAAAGGACTCAAGGAGTTATTTAAGCATGAATAATTTAAGTATCAGATTATTTGTAGATTAGAGGATAATTAATTTTGCAGTAAATTATTAATCATAACAGCATTATATACAAAATATATCAATTAGGAAGTAAAATGATAGTGTAAAAGCGTAAATCTATTCCGAATATAGAAATTAACAATTTCAAATTTGATGAAGTAACAAACAATATATATTGGCCTTAGGGTTTCTACATTTTTGACACTTAAAAAGACCTATTTAATAACGTTTCACAGTGTCTAATATAAGTTGATGAAGGAATTCATGAATGCTCAAACGAACCCTAATTGTTAAAGTAAATTGAATTGTTATCTTCAATAATATCAAAGGAGTTTAAACTACATCTTTTTGGATTTGATATTATAGGAATGAATTGGGAATTTTATATCATTGATATTAATCATTTTCCAGGTTATAAAAATGTATGAAAGTTTACTACTATTATAGGTTGAGAATGCTAGAGGACTTTTTGAATAGTTATTTGTATAAGCATCAAAAAAATGAAGATCTGATCCAAAAATGATAATATATTATAAAAAATTTTAAATGTTAATTGATAATCAAATTAATTTAGAAAATTCAGGAGCTAAATTTATGATTTCGATTTCTTCATCTTCATTTGATTATTATGGTGCTCTTGTGTTTCTTTTACTTGGGGTTGTAAGAATGTATGAAATTTATTTACTTTGCCTTCTAGGACTAATATATTTTGATGAAGAATTGTAAGAGAGCTTTGAGCTATTTTACTTATTATTCTCTCTAGGTTTATATAAAAAGATCTAGTTGTAATAAATAATGTGTTATTTTTTTGGTGATTTTGGAGTTTTAAGTGGGCTTTTCCTAGAACTCCTTTTTTGATTACTCTTTCCACCAGCACTATTTCTTTAAGAATCATTTGGATTACATGCCCATAATTTTATTCCAGATTATTATTACTATTAGGCTTCATTTCGGTATGATACTTCAGGCAACTCTTTTATTTCTTATTCAATATCATTTTTATCTTGATTACTTGATATTTTCTATTTATCTTATTTCTGATTATAAATATTGAAAACTTCTTTAGATGTTTGTTATTCACAATACTATTGTAATTACTCATTTTTATGAATATGACCTTCCTTATTTTTAGAATTCTAATTTTGTTTAGAGTTTTCCTAAGGAAATAGTTATTATTCTTTTTTCAACTCCTTGGGCATATCCAATATTTTAAATTGCTAAGGCGATTAATTTTAATGTGACACCCTTTCTGTACTGTTATTATTTATGTTAGATTGCCTCTTCTTTTGATAGAACCGTTCTTATGATTCACTCATTATTTTTTCATGTGTTGAATTCACTTTAGTTAATTTTATGTCATTTAAGTCACTGATGGGAGTTTCCCTGCTTGGAGGACAATCTGTGCCTCTAAAAGTATACTTATTCTCCCTTATTGGTGTAGGATTCATTTTCACTAAAGAGTAAGAGAGTGGGCTAATTGTAGTCTTGGAGCTTAATCTGTAGAAGGAAGGAGAAAGGGATCGACAAGCAAACAAAGGCCTAGTGACAACAAATGCTGGAACAGGGTGGAATTTGCGATCGATAGAGCTGATATGTTAACGAATTTATTGAATCTGATATTGCATTGTTTTATATATTAATGCATTCATCAAGAAACCCAATATTTCAAAATGAATAGCGAAAAAGACAAATGCAAAAGGCTGCTTTCTCTTTATAAATAACTCATTATAAATAATATATATGCCAATAAAATTTATTTCATTTTCTTTTTAACCATTTTAATTTGATTTGATTGTCTAATTAAGCCATATACCAACTGACTAACTTAATATCTATTTGTTTATTAATTTCTTAATGATAAAATATGTATTTTTAAAATACATCCCTTTTCTTCCCTTCATAAATAGTAAAATAACAAAATTAAATATTCAATTAAAACTCTTCTTTTCATGTATTCAATAGTTTTTAAAGTAACATTTATTTTTAATTGACTAAATACTCAGAAAAACCATATCCAAAAGATTACTTTTACAAAGATTTTATTGATTTTAATTCTTAATTACAAATTAACAATATCTATTAAATTTTAAGTTTTCATGAGTTTAGAATAAAAATGTCAGGATGATTATCATATTTTTCTTAACAAATGTACTTAATCTATTTCTTCTTAACCACAACTATATATTTCCAATTATTATTATGCAAGTTTCGTAATTAAATAGTATTCTATATCAAAATGAAATGAAATATAATAAAAATAGAGTATGATTTATATTAAAAGGAGAAATACGAATACGAATCAAAATTAAGTTTATTTTAATAAATATATTTATAAATGTCTAATGTGTAATAATTCAAATTTTAAATATTCAAAATGCAACTTGTAATTTCCATATTATAGTCAATAAAGAATTCTTCAAAGTGATTGGTATAGGTATATTTAGTGAGTTCTTTAATAAATAGAATTCATAAAAATAATTTGATAATATAATTTAAAAAAATGAAAACGAAGGAGCTTTGGACATACACAATTGATAAGCCAACTGAGCCAAATTCAAATCTAACAAATCAAGTATTTGCTTGTGCTTTTTTAAAAGGTAAAGTAATGCGAGATTTGATTAGATGGAGATGTTGTTGTTGCCGCTGTGGGAAATGCTTTGCTATTATTTGATACTTAAAAATCCGAAATGCTAAGACCACCTTTAAGAGGGCAACACAAAGACACAATTACTTGTTTGGCTGCTTCTAAAGACGGAAATAAAATGGTAACAGGGAGTGCGGATAAAACAGTTATTGTGTGGGGATTCAATATAGCTAAGGGCGAGAAGATGTTGGATGCAGAAAAATTCTTTTCACATAGTGAGACTATATAATGCGTTGCCATCAGTCCTTTGATGTACTAGATATTTACAGGCTCAAATTAAGAGTACTCTTTATGGGTTCCTGGAATGAGTAATATTGAAAGGTAAAAGTACAAGGATAAAGTCATATGTGCAGCTTGGAGTGCTGATGGACAGTATGTTTCTTTTGGGACAATAACTGGTAAAATTGAGTTGTATTCACATTAGGACTGATTGTGATTACTGATAGATAAGCACATTAGTTGAAGGAGATTTAGACTTAGAAGGGGGGACCAGTATGGTGTATGGAATGGACTCCCATAACTTCAGAGTATTAGTAGTCTCAATTGACAATCGGAGTGTGGATGAATTCATTATATTAATTTGATTGCAATGGTTAATAGATTGGTGCTAGAATAGAATTGCCATTCGATCCATTGCATATCAATTATCAATATAATGGTGAGTACATGGCAATAGCTGGAAATAATAATAAGATTAATCTATATACGAGAGAGGGAGGATTCCTGATGGAAGCCTGTTCCCTTAATGATTGGATATGGTGTACAAAAATAAAGCCAAAATCCACAGTAATTGTTTGTGGTACTAATGATGGTGACATCGTGGTATAAGAATTACTCTCAGAAAATGTTACGGCATTATACGATGATAAGTTTGTTTAGAGAGAACAGTTAACAGATGCTATAATATTGTCAATGATTTCTAATTAGAAGGCAAGAATCAAATGTAAGGAATTAGTCAAAAGAGTGGCTATTTTCAAGGAGAAAGTGGCCATCTTATGTGGCATCAAGGTTTTGATTTACACTTGTGTTATTAAAGGAGAGGATTATATGAAATACAAGCAATTCAAGAAATTTTAGAAGAGAGTGGATTGTGAGCATTTCTAATTGGCATCATCAAATGTTTTGATTGGAGCAGGCTAGAAATTGATTGCATTCAATTTTAATGGAGATATGGATAAAACTTGGAGTTTTGAATCTCCTATTACTGTTGTATCTTGTCAAGGTGGAGCACCTAAGAGAGAACTAGTATTGGTTGGGTTAGATAATGGAGGTGTTTACAAAATCTTTTTGGATAACTCATTCCCTATTCAAATTCATAAGGTTAATACACCAATTAAACATTTGACAATGTCTCAAACCAAAAGAAAATTGGCATTGATAGATGGCAACCAGAACTTATAAGTATTGGATACAATAAGCAAAGAAATTTTGTTTGGGGAAATGAGTGTTGAAGGCGTTGCTTTTAATCAAGAATTTGAGGATTTGATAGCTTACTCAGGTAAGGGATTGCTATTTTTCAAATGCATTACATTCCCAGCTTTAAATTAAAAGATAACTGGCAATGTGATAGGATTCAAGGGATGCAAATTGTTCCTTTAACATAATAGTAAAGTCTAGACGATTGACATTCAATAAACAGCCAATATGCAGAGATATCTGGAAAAGAAGGACTTCTAGAATGCTTTGAAGATAGCTTGTCTTGGTGTAACAGAGTAGGATATAAGGGCTTTGGGAATTGAGGCTTTGATAGCAGGGGAGTTTGAAATAGCAAGAAGGGTATAACAGAATATTATTAATTTTAGTGTTTCTTGAGAAATAAGGACTATTAATTCATAGATTTGCTATTGAAATATGAGAAGAAAAATATGGATGCTCAAACATTGAATGAGTTGAACGCAGAGGCTTTGGCATATCAGGGGAGATTCATGGATGCTGGTAATTTGTTGATAAAGGTTGGGTAGGCTGATAGAGCAGTGTAGTTATTTAAAGAATTAAGGAGATGGGATGATGCCATAAGTAATTAATTATTTGAATGTAGACTTTGCTAAAAAGGGAGATGTTGCCTATAGGGCTGTGACATCTGGTGGACGAACTGGCACTGGAGTTAGAGCACCAACTTCATAGGGAAGAACAGGAACTGGTAGAGGTTAGGCAGTTATGCCATAACCACAAGATATAGCCCCTCCTAAGATAGAAATGAATATGTTGTTGAGAGAATAAGCTGAATGGACCAAAGAATCTGGAGATTGGAAGGCAGCAGCTGATCTGTTCGTTACTTGTGGAGAATTTAAGAAGGCTATTGAGTTGTATGGTTAGAATAAATATTTGGATGGATTGATCAATGTTTGCAGGATGTTGGATAGATAAGAAAATTCAGACAACATAGTTTTGTGTGCTAATTATTTCAAGAAACTCAAACATCATGGAGGTGCTAAGGAAGCCTATCTCAAATTAAATGATTTGAAGAACCTTATGATGTTGCATGTTGAATTTCAAAAATGGCAAGAAGCCTTTTAGATTGGAAGATCCAACAAAGAACTTCTTGAGATTGCCAAAGTACCCTATGCTGATTACTTATTACTTAACGATCGATATGAAGATGCCCTAAAAGCGTATAAGAGTGCAGGAAGATTCGATATAACAATGAAGATGACAAAAGACATGGCCAAAAATTGTATAGAGGAACAACGATATCACGATGCTAGTTAATACTTATGGAACTTAGCCATAGATTGTTTATCTCAAATTCAAGACTATTAGAATCCATCAGGAGATGATGTAAAAGCTATCTCTTAATATCGTGATTATAGTGATTTAGCAGATGTTTATTATGCATATCAAAAGATACACAGCTTCATCTGTGAACCATTTCAGCCTTTATCAGGGGAAAACTATTTCTTATAGATTATGAATTCTGCAAGATTTATCATCTCCAAATGGAAGAGTATATATCAGGGTATAAAAATGAGTTACGTCTATTATGCATTAGCCAAGTGTGCTGTTCAACTGACTTGTTTCAAGACTGCTCGTACATGCTATGAAAAATTAAATGTACTCAATTGTCAATATTCATTTTTAGCAATTCAAAATTCCTGCAGAATGGAGTGAAGAAATAGATCTTCAATCTTTATTAGTTAGATCAAAACCATATACTGATGATGAATCTAAATTACCACTCTGTATGAGATGCTAGACTTACAATGCCATCATCAATGCAACTGAGAAATTGTCAGTTTGCAATGCTTGTTTGCATCCTCTTTTTTGTTCATTTATTAGTTTTTCTTCTCTACCACTTGTTGAGTTCAAAGTTGATAATTCCCTCTCCAGAGAGGATGTGGAAAAATTGTTAAATAGTGAAAAAGTATTCCACAATAAGAGACCAGGCTAACTATTTCAAGATAAAATTAATGAAATTATTTAATAATAGCACACCTCTCAAGATTAATATTTAGTAGTTGAATTGGATGAAGCTGCAATTCAATCACTTTCACCAGAAGAGGTCTTGATTGTCGATTATAGATAATATTGCAGATCCATTGAAGTCAAATATTATAAGAATATGATCGGAGAGTAACCTATTCATGTCTGTTCAGATTGTGGAAGATTCTTCTATGTTGATGAACACGAATTTGAATATGTCTAAAAAAGATGTTGTCCATTTTGTAGAATTTCAGATAAAAAAATACCATAAAAGGATGTTTTTGATATTTGAAATAAAATAAATAATTATAATTAATTGAGATATAGTAGTACTCTTTTGTAAAGAATCTTCCTCCAATTTTGAGATTGTGTTTCTCATAGTTAGCAATATAGATTGTTTTTCGAACTCATATATCATTTAATATTTAAATTTACAATAAGATAAATATCTAGAGTATATTTTTATCAAGCTCCAAAAGGAATTCCAATATTTTTATGAAAAGTAAATGTGAGTACTAGAATTAGATGATTATTTACCCTCTTCGTCAAGATGCAAGGTTTCAAATATTAATAGCCATGGCAATTCATAGGCCTTCTAGAATCTTTCCAATTTCTCTAAATTAAATCTACCTTAAAATTTGCATTGAACATTTTCATCCTAGGTAATTTCAGTTGTAATAGTCAAAAAGTCACTAAGTCTATTCTCAAAAATCAATATAATGAGTATTTACAAAATACTAACAATGGTTTCTATTTTCTCATTGCATTTATAGTTTAACTTAATCTTTAAATCTTAATAGAGTAAAATTGCATGGTTTATGAAACTGTTAAGATTGATGGACTTTATTTTTAACTTATTTTGCACATTAATCATCAAGTGAACGAGAATAAGTTTTCTTTAGATCATTAAGTATTAAATCTCAAAAAATTATGCTCCTCTAATTTTCTCTAGTATCTTAACAATCAATTTAATGGCATTTCCAAATTACTTTTGGATTGCAACTGGATTGATTTTATTTTCAAGAAAGAAATTTCTAAATATCAACAGGATGGTGGGTTAATCACCTTTATAGATAGATATCTCAGTTCTGATAGTTTATTTTTAATAGTTTATTAAAATGGTTTCGTTGAAATTGCAATGTGTGGTCTTTTTGAATTCTAGCATACTCTTATGTATAACATTTTGAAGTAAATTATTATGGTAAGTAGCCGATCTGAGGAAATTCTGGGCTTCTTCTTAGGTTTTAAACATTTTCTCACAATTCTAAAAATTCTTGATCGTGTAACGTAAAGTGTCTTCTTAAAATTATAAAATCAAGTAAGATTATTGAATTTATAGTTTTTATAGAATTTCTTCCCATCTACAATCTGCCAAAGAGAGCAAATATTACGAGCGCTTAGCCTTATTATATAAAAAATTGAAATAATTTATATAGAGAATGAGTAACATAGATGTAATAGGAGCTGAATATTAGACTGAATCACTTTTCACCAAAACCCAACTAATTCTAAATATTTAAAGGGAAATAATAGTTAACATCCCATCTATGTATTCTCCTGTTAAAATTAGTAGATAACTCGCAGCCATTTAATTAACACCTTAAAGCATGGCCATCTAATTATCAACTTCTGATCTATCTTCGAAAACAATGAAGTATATCGTCACAAAATGATTAAGTATTATGATGCCTACTCTAAGATACTTACTTTCTTTCCAAAAAAAACCTAATTGTAAGCACAGATAAGAAAGAATAGTGATATTGAGATAAAAGGCATACATATTCTCTTCGCTTATCGATTGGATGACTTTTATCAAGAACGCCAAAATAAAACCGATGCTTATGGAGATAAAAGTGATTAGTCTTTTCGAATGCTGATTTTTTATTTGGTAGGATTCCTCGATTCGAGCATCTTTAAAAGATAAAAAAAAACGATGCATATACAATTTATGCAAATTGAAATAATAAATTATCACTAAAAATCATTAAAAAAATTTAAAACAGGTTTTTTAATTTTCTTTATTCTACGTATATGTTAAATCCAAGATAAAATTGATGTACACAGGAGTCCAATGAGAGCATTTATTTGTTTTAAAGTCATTAACAGTTTAATTTCAATAGAGTCTTTAATATTGGGGTTTGAAATATATAAATTTAAAAAAGAGACTTCACATTTATAATTGATTAAAAAAGATATGATTGAATATACAATATGTTATCATAAAATCAATTAATAAATCAACTTATTTGAATTATTTATGATTAAATTCAAAACCGAATTTATGATTTACATTAATAATTAATAATAATGGGGGTTTGTAGTTCAACCAAAAAATCTTCAGGTAAGAATTCTTAGGATAAATTTAATCCAGCCTTGACCAACACAGCAGATGTTCAATAAACTCAAAGGGAGCCTGCTTCCAATTAAAATGAATAAAGAATTAATTTGAACCAAACCGTTCAGAGGAAGATTAGAAAGTCAGGAACGCTAAGCTACTTCGAATACAATCAGGATAAGCTCTAAACTGAGAAACGACCTCGTATAAATTATAATACGAATATTAGAAAATAATAAAAAAGTTGGATCCAGTGCACCTCAATTGAAAATCAAGATCACTGAATCAATAGCATCAAAAGATTACTCGGTGTTTAAAGGGCATGTGAAAATACCCACCAAATCAACTCTTAGAGTTATGTAGCACAATAGCGATGGGCAACTAGTCGTTATGGAATAACTACCATACGATTAAGAAGGAAAGGACTACATAGAGTGGCTCCAAAAGACAAACTTGGTAATTATATAGGTGAATGTAGGAGTTTTATCACATTGGTAAGGTTAAAGAAATCTTTGTTTGTGGACACCAATTTTAGTTAATGCATGAATATTGCACAGGAGGCCCATTATCAGAGTTATTACATCACAAACTGTCTGAATAGGTGGTCTGTAACATTTTGGATTAACTCTTTGAAATAGTCAATTTTCTTCACTAAAATAAGTTAACACACAATAAACTGACAATCGATAGTTTTTCATTTTATTACGATTTGTAAAATTACTTAATTAAGTTGACTGATTTAAGAAGCTTGCATAAGCCTCCTAGAGAGATTTCACTTTAGATTGCCTAATATGCCTCTCCTGAAGCTTTGACTTCCAATCATCCTCATAGGTCAAATGACATTTGGTCCTTAGGAATTATTGCTTATCAATTAATGACCAGAAATTTAATTTATGAAGAAGATAAAGATTTAAGCAATATCCATCAAGTTAAATAAGCAATTATCAACTGGTCAACACAATAACAGATAAATGATGAAATATCTTAAGATTTTGAAAATCTCATTTTGAAGATGCTAAACCCAGATAAAACCTTACGACTTACCATAGAAGAATGCTAAAACCAAGAATTTATCCAAAGTTATCAAACTCAAAATTTGAATTGCCATTTCAATCACCTCTTTACTAGTAGTTTCTGTGATAATCTACAGAAACAGTTAATGGTTTATCTCATAAATAACTATGAGCACTCTCACTAACAGGTGGGACGTAGAATCTTCGATGTTTTGGACAAGGATAAAGATGGGAAATTAAATATTTAAGAATTAGAAGACTTTAAAAAAAAACTCAAGTAAGCACAAGGATAAGAGAGGAATACTTAAATTATACAGGATTTAATAGATAATTCAAGTGAATTAGGATTAGAAGATTTCATCCTGATGATATCCAATAAATCTATATACATAACAAACCACAATCTTGATCATAGTTTTGCCAAATTTGCTAACAAAAATTAGGAGGTCACTGTAAAATCTTTATCCAAAATTCTCAATATATAAGAGAAAGAATTGACTGAAGAATTCAAGAATCGCTAATTGTTTTATGAGGTATCTTATGTTATTCTATATAGAATTATTGTATTCCCTTAGAAAAAGCATAGTATGAATAGATATTAAATTAAATTTTAGAAGTTTAATCGGAACAATGATGAAAATTAATTGATTATATCATTAAAAATAATGTTTAAATTGTAAAATTCTTTGGAAAACAAACACTAGTTCCCATCCTAAACTAAAAGATATCGTCCTTCCTTAACAATTCAAAGTGAACCAAATTACTTAATAAATAAATAACAAATTTGCGATCTTTTGAACTTCAAATTGTCCGGGTATCTCCCATCTAGTCAACCTGTAATACAAAGAAACTTGAGAATAAGACCTTCCTTAAAGTTAACCAAGATTACTCCATCTGTGACTGAATAGACAGATAACTGTACTCCAATTAAAAAGAGAACTATATCTCTAGGGAACTTGAAGAAAGTTGACTTCCACCCTTCAGTTTTGGTGATTTATTCAGAAAACGGAGTTAAGAAGAGAGAAAAGTTAATAGATGAGTGTAAAGTTAAAAGGAAAGGTACGCGAAAAAACTGTATGATTTTAATTAAAAATAAATGAGAATGCAAAAATCAACAGTTTTGATTATATTATTGAGTATAGATTAAACAATCACATGTAAAAGCTTTTCTATATTTAATCTTTCACTTTCATGGCCTATTAAGGTGTTAATTTATGATTAACACTTAATTTGATCATAAATTTATCCAGATTCTAATTCTAAAATAATATATATTTTATTTTTACAAACTCTTTTAGCATTGACTTTGACAATTTTATCATGACTCACTTTAACAGTTGTCGTAATCTCATCCTTAGTATATTTTTCATCAATGCTTTCTCCACTCAATAATTAAATCTGGATGACCTCATTGACAAGTCGATTGAATTTCTATTCGTCATAATGCAACCCTGTAGAATAATAGAAGTTCCGAATGCATTCCTATGGATCTTGATTCCTGTATACTGCGATATCACCTATGTATTAACCAGATTAATAGAGTTTAATCTTTCCAATTGTGCAATTCTTATCAACTAATTGATATTCAGATAACAAATCCACTTGCATCTCGTCCTCCAAGTCTTACAGAAAACTATTATTTTTATAGGCTTATGCTTTCCATAAAGCACTATCGATTTTACCCAATCGATTATAATTGATCCAATCGTACAGCCTAGTCATATACATTTCTATTGTTTGTTAAATGATGTCTGCAGTTTTTGAAATGATTGCTGCTGTTGTTGATATGCTTAATTCCTAGAGTAATTTATGTGTCAAGGTGAAGGATGTGTCATCAAGAAACACAGGTAATTTGATAGTTCTATACTTTAGGTCAAACTAGAGTGTGAGTAATTAAATTGACTATTTTTATTATTTTGGTGATTTCGACTTTGAGATGGTTACTGGCTATAGGGGTACTTTCTATTTAGAATTCGCATTTTTTTGGATGTCAATTTATAATGTTGGAATGGGCGATTGTTTTGAGTAGGTTAAATTTTAATCGGTATCTGATTCAATTATGGCAGATTTAATTTGTTGTTATTAATTCTCATCTGAGGAATCTGGACTTGAACAATTTTGGAATGATCGGAATTGTTGTATTTAACTGTTATTTATTTAATTGCTGTTTTTCTTAAATTTTTTTCTGAATAGACCATTATCAATTTTATTTGGATGAGTTTATCTTTCAGTACCAGATGAACTACTAATAAAGGATGCTCTCAAAAATTCTGTCATAACAAATAACAAATTTTAATTATAATATTAATATAGAGGAAAAAACAACTAAATTTTAATTGTGTTTTATATATATAAATGAAGATTCGTTTTAATCAAGCTATGGGGATGGGAGTTTCATAATTAATTAAGAACTCTCTATACTCTTTAAGATTTAACTATGAAATATAAAATAATATTCTTACAATATTATGAAGATTGAATGTATTAAAATCTTATTGAATCAATTGCTCATTACAATTGTTTAAAAATTTGCACATTGATTTTTAAGTGATTAGATTTGATTGTCTAGATAATAATTTAAAATTGGATTCAATGATGTCTTCGCTTAAAATAATTTCTTTATTGGAAGCCAAAAGTAAGAATTCATCTAAAGTCAATTCTTGTTACAGATCCAGTTGTTCAACTAGGTCCTTTCCCTCAATTGAAAATAGTTCTTTCAATTCTTCTAAACTCAAACTTCCATCTTGATTTGTGTCAGCTGTCATAAATAACTTAGTCAAGACTTTCAAATGATCATGAGCATAATTTTGAAGAAGATATGAAAACAAACATTTATGGACATATGTCATATTCTTGCACTTTACCATATTTTTCAGTGGTTGCAACAAATCTTGTGGCTAGACTTATTTCATCTTGATGAGGTAAGGATGTTCTAAACATTTTTTTAAGGTAATTCTATCGTTGCGATTGATACGCAACATTTCAATTAAAAGTGAATTCATCTCTGAAGGATGATTATTCAAATACTCTTCGGGATTAAATAAATGAATTTTTTAAATATTATAAGGTAATTCTTTATTTCTTAATTATAGAATGATGACAGCCAATGCCCAAACATCATTAGACTTATTTCTATTCTTGATTTCAACCTGAGTAGTCTCATGGTGTTTATTTTTTTGTTTATGATTTTAGTGTTTTTAAGAAAGTGGATCTTCATATTATTGGGCCTCTTTTGGATGCATCAATTAATAGATACTTCTAATATCAGATAACTTGATAAAAGGAGTAGAAGAATCATCAAATACAGAAAAGCTGTCAATAGTCAATTCATCATGACTTAATCCTAATGAATGTACATAAGCTAAAGCTTCTATCATTTAATATAATATAATCCCTATTGTTGTATCACTCAGCTTACGACATTCCAGTAGTTTTGACAAAGACCCTCCAGCACAACATTCATACATTATTTAATATGTTTTTTTATGATGATGATCTACAAGAGTGTCTATAATTTTTACAATATGCATATTATCCTAAGTTATTAATATCCTTACCAACTTAATTTCTTCCAACTTCTATAAGTACTCGTGATTTTTACTCTCAAACTTGAGTACTTCAACTTAAACCAATTAACCTGTTTCATTGTGCTGCATAACCGTTTTGCCTTAATTGTCTAATACGTAATATTTTAGAATACCTAGATTTTTGCTTGAAACAATCGAAAAGTTTTTAGAGGCTTGCACCAAAAGAGTTTTGTTCCCTTGTCTAATGTTGCTTCTTTAATAAGAAAGATTTGAAAGTGATCCCGTTTTTTGTTACTCCTATATTTGAGAAGTCTGTATGATCATCGTCTTAGTGGTCATTGTTGTGGCATGAGAGGTTCTTCTAATCGGCTATGTACCATTTTTAACCAAATTCTGCTACACTGGAGTTGCGGTTTAATTCTGAGACAACCTCCTTCTTGGCGTAATGGTTCTTTGGTTCTCTTGGAATTAGTTAATACCATTCTTCTACTCGCCGATCAATGAAATTTATTTATTTATTTTGGTTACTGTTTAGGCTTATTTTGGTTTCTCATTATTTTTAGAAGTTGAAGAAGTACAAACTCCCATTAATTATAAATAATCAAATTTAAATTAGGGCGAATAAGTTGTTTATACATATAGGATTAAAAGTTTAGAATGAAATATCTGAATTGTAAATAAATCAACTACACACATTCGAAGCTATTGTGCACTTGGCCATCAGGCACAAAGTCAGATCAGTGATGACACTGCAATCATCAGAGATGGTTGGGTCAACGAATAAATAATTACTTGGTCCACTTACACTAACTGTGCAGTACCCACTAATGCAACTGGGCAAATATTGAGCATCATATAATTTCATTTAGACTAAATCAATTTTCTTTAATTGCACAAAGCTTGTAATAGTGATTGCCCATTTCAGAGTGTATTTTAAATTAATTTAATTGGTTGTTCTGATCATGAATATGGGACTAACGGCTGATTGGATGCCAAATATTTGTGGGTAGATGACGGTTAATGAGAAAAACCCATTTTCTGGATATGTGGTCCATGATAATTCAATTAATGATTAAAATGAAAATCCCAAATATTTAAAATGAATGTGATTGAAATTCACAAAATTATAAACAGTATAGTATTTTTCTGAATATGTGCTTAATCTCTAATAATAAATATCGATCAATTCTAATATCTTAACCATCGTATCACTTCTTTAAAGTTTACTTATATATACATCATCTCTAATATTTTGTAAACTCTCATAAATTGCCCTCTCCAAATAATATGGATGAGAATATTCTCCAATCAATACTGGTGCTTGATTCAGATATAAATCAAGGTAATTATTCAATTAAGTATTAGAACTAGACAACAAATCAATCCTATATAGCTTTTCCATCGCTTCCACACTAGGTTATTCAATCGTAACTGAGGTTTGCAATCTATCTTCTGGTGATAAGTCTGATATAAATCTATAAAGATAAATCTTCTATGCTGTATAGGTAACACTTTAACAAGATGCTACAAATTAAGGAGGAGTATAAGGAACTTCCATACAATCAATATTCAATGCTCCTCCAGGTCTGCATGCTGCTAATTCAGTCACTAAATGGCAAAATTGTGGTTTGCATTAAGTGCCCTCCACATAACAATATCCAGAATCCAAACACTAGGATTCAGAAAGGCCTGAACACGATGCCTATCCAATTAGTCCATAACAATTACTAAATAAAGCAATAAAGATTATAATAATCATTCTAATTAACTAGTTATATTTTTTTTATTTTTATTCCAAAGGTATTTCGAATGAAAAAAATTGATTTGATTGCTTGTCGGATAGGGATCTAAATAATAATATATAAATATATACTAACTGTTATTGATAACTGTTGTTTGAAATAAATTAAAATATAATTGTGGTATTGTGGAGACATAAAAATAAGGTTATGATGTTATACTTAAAATCATAGAATTTATTTGGTAATTGTTATATTTTTATTTTCAAAAAAGCGGGAAAGACATTTCTTGAGATGATTTATTTTATAAGAGCATTAATTTTATTGAAAAATTAGGATGTACTCAGGAACAATTTCAGTAATCTATGGTCCAATGGTATGGTTCTGATTATATGATAGTTTTCTGGTAAAACTAGTGAGCTCATGAGATTGGTCAAGAGATTTACTATATCAGAGAGAAAATGCGTGGTGTTGAATTACGCAAATGATAACCGATACTCAGAGGAGTAGTGTATTTCAAGTCATGACAAGTATGCTATCCATTCTAATATGAAGACAATTTTTGAAAGCCATAAAAGTATGCAAATTGAATGAGGCTTATGAGAGATGCAAGGAGAGTGATGTTGTGGCTATTGATGAAGGTTAATTCTTTACAGATGTAAATATTCTAACAAAATGTGTAGATTGTGGAATTTAGTGAGAAGATGGCTAATTTAGGAAAGATCGTAATAGTAGCAGCTCTTGATGGAACTTTTGATAGGAAACCCTTCCATAACATCTTAAACTTGATTCCTTTGGCTGAGCGCATAACTAAGTTAACAGCTGTGTGTTGGTTTTGTAAAAGAGAAAATGCCTCTTTCACTAAAAGAATAGTGTAATCACAGGAGAGTAAATTAAATAAATTAAATTTTAGTTGAGTTGATTGGTGGTGAGGATTGTTACAAACCTGCATGTAGAGTATGTTTCCATCTTGCAGATACTCAATCAAAATCATAATCCATGTATATTAATTAAGACGATCATTTTGAGTAAAAAATTTGATTTGCTGAGCAAAAACTATAATTAATTTATTTTTTATTTTTACAACATCATGAGTTATAATGGAAATGCACTACTGACACCTTCACGATATGGGGGAGAATCTTGGAATGCCCAAACATGCTTTACTGCACAAGAAGACTATTTCGAATGTTTGGATAGAGAAAATTCAACTAATGGTAATTGATTTATTAATGCAGTCAATCGAAAACTTTGTGGCAGAGAACATCAATTGTGGAAGGATGCTTGCCCTGATAGTGATAGAAGAGCATAAATGATATTTAGAAGACTTGAGAGATAAAATTAAGCATTGTACACATCAGAATAGCTCAGATTATATAATAATCAATAAAACAATAGAATCTTCAAATGATTAATAAAAATGCACAAGATAAATCAAACATTATTATCATTATTAATAACTCTTCTTACATATTATCCATTTCATCTTGAAATTATGAAGATGTTTATTTTCTAATTAAATACTTATTCTAAGAAGAACAACAAGTAATACAAAAGATATCAAGGATATTAATAATATGTGTAGATCACAACTTATTTGAATAATATATTAATTTAAATTAATAGTTTTGGAATAATAATTTCTTATATAACTATCATAAAGTTTAGGAATAAGAATTTATATCTATTTGATTAAATTATTTGATTAGAAAAAAGGATCAAGAAAAGTATGTCGTGGTGATGTAGGATAAATTTACAAGTAAATTTAGATTAAATATTCTAAAATTTAAAGACATTGTTTTTACTTTTGTAAATTTTATGGGTTGAAAGCTAAATCAACACAAGACTCGTAATTAGGAAAGATTATAAGAACTAATAATGATGCTTTTTTGGTGAATCTATTAAAAGATCATGTATAAAAAATGTTTTCAAAAGAAATATCTCAATCTAAATTTTATATAAGATTAGTAATATAATTTACATGAAGTGAAGATTTAAGTTCCACTTCTTCCCAGGTGATCATATATTTAAAATGCGAATAGTGTTATGTAGATTATGAAAAATAATAAATTTCTCGTTATTAAATTAATAATAATGTAATTGTCATGTATGTTCTGTGATCATAAAGGGAGTCTGCCAGGATTATTGAATATGGTAATCATCAAAAACATTCAAGGCTCTTTACTCAAGGTATCAAACTGATTTCTGTTAACTATAATTACGCAGCCCAACTACTATTCAGTTCTAGGATTAAGCATGTTTTGAAGAATTAGAAGAGTATCTCAAATTGTATAAGCTCTAGTTATTTAGTATAGTTATTACACCTTTCCACATTTGAAAGATAATCAAAAGCAGCTGATTGAATATTATAGATATCATAGAGATATCCCTAGGATTTTCATCAAGAACATTACTCCTTAATTGGAAACTTATCATGAGAAGCAAAGAGAGATTAGATACAAAAAAATAAAGAAATAATTAGGAATGCATGTTTAGGACACAACAAGAGATAATATGATATATTCATTTAAGGCTCTAAAAGGGCTAAGTGAACTTTAGACAACAAGACAATTACAATTATTGGTCAAATAGATCAAACCTCTTTTTTATGATAAAAGTGCGATTGCTACGTTGATATAACAGCAAAAGTAGTAAATGGTATAATCTCCTAAATTGAAGAAATTATTGAAAATGGATAATATTAATACTGTTACTACTCAAGCAACGAAGAGAACTTATCATACTTATCATACTCTTTAAGATGTAAAAAAGAAGGGTCACAAAAAACAACTCACTTTATACACAGAGCATTCTCCTGATGATAGGAATGATTTCTATAAGAGATGGTCTGATGTTTTAAGTCATAGATAATTATAATATCATAAAAATAAAATAAAAAATACTCTTCTCAACAAAAAGAAATCACTTAAATGATTTTTATAATTTTGTATTTAAAATATGAATAAAGCTGTAAGAATAACATATTCTTCTCTTGATGATAGTTGAGTACTACCAACATAAATCAAGATATTATTGCTTCTGCTGAAATCATCAAATATAATATTAAGTATCTCCATCTCAACTAATTATTATATACTTCGAGATGTAAGGATGTCTAGTAAATCACAAAATATCATATAGATACCTAGTTTAGTATATGATTGTCTGGGGAGATTCATTTAAACATGATTGAAAATGCTAAAGATTCCATACCATCCCTTTAATGAATAGAAAAGTTTGTTCAATAAAAGTGTGTGTTATCATTAATCTCTTACAACATTAATAGGATACAGAAGGGATAAAGTTATAGTTATAAGGGGAATAACTTAATTTGAAGATTAGTCTACTTGAAAACTTAAAGGATACATGAAGGATACTGATTACAAATTTAGAAGGACACCTGAGATCATTAAATATTATTACCTTAAATAAGAAGATCAAGCATTGACAAGCAAAGAAACCTAAAATGAATAGACTAACAGATAAATAAACATAATGAGTAAGATTCCATTTAATGGAGAATTAAATACTCAAAATGGGAGAATTTCAACTTTAATACCATATGCAAGAAGCAATGCAAAATATCTTAATATTATTAGCTCTTAAATCTTAACAGAATTGAATGATTATCATTATAATTTCATTTGTAATTCTTTAATTTGTTGATTCTTCTCTTAGATCATCTATTTCAGAGTTTTGAATTGTACACAGTCATTTAATTTCTTGTCCAGCTCTTATTTCAATTACTAATTCTCTTATTTTAATGAATTAATCTAATCTTGAAATGAACCTACTTGATCTGCATCTTAAACCTACTCCTTTTTTAGCACGACCAATTCATTCTATAGTTTCTGAATGTACTATTTTAAGAAATCATTCTCTTTAGCCATTTCCTCCATCTATTCTTATCAAATAGGATGATCATCTTACTTTAGAGTGCAGTATCGATTGTTGGCAATCTTGAATATCTAACTTTCTACTAAAGTGGCTTATCCTCAACAATGGTACCACCTTTTTCAAGTATTTTCATCTATTCTATAATTTTACTATGATTAAAATGCTAATTACACATTTTCTATGAAATTGAAATCTGCATGAAAATCTTGATCAGAACACACAGATAAAAATATTTTGACATAGACACCGCTCATATAAATTATTTTAGACACTTCTTTATTCATTAGCACTTCCAAACTGGCCTCCAATTTCTTAAGGAGTTCTTAGACATCATCCTTATTGTATAAGGTGTCTTGCACTTAGAATTTTGAGAAATCCTTGAATTCTAATTCTATTTCTCTCATGGCTTCCTATTTTTTGAGATTGAAGAAATTCAGGAAGGTCTAAAGTTCCTTTTGTCCATCTGAAGTGAGATTTGAACCGTCCATTATGTATTGTAATATACTTTAAATAATCAAATAATCAAATAACTAATAACAATGTTATATATAATATCAGCGTCTGAGCATAATTAACTAGGTGTCTTGTTTTCACATGTAGTTTCAAAACCTTATTATTTATTGAATGAGCAAATCCGATTTACTTATCTGTTTAATCAAACACAGTGTAATAACTATGTAGGAAAGCATCGCCTAATAATAAGATGTCATCGATCTAGGATCTTTCTAGTTTTGTATTACATTTCGATTAGCTGCCATCTAAGATTGTACAAGCTATGAGGGAATAAGGATAAATTTATACAATAGAGATAGTCTTATGGATTTAAGAGTAATTCAAAAGAACTATTTACTCTAATTTTTATAATTGGAAATGAATCTATAATTCCTTGTTCATTTGTAGCATTTACAAAGCAATGCACAGTGCAATACGAAGGTGCATAGTTTTCAACTCTGTAGGAACATTCTACTCCCTTGGCTGCAAAGACTTGCAACATATCATCCATTGCAACTGCAGGAACAGTAAGACAACTGGTTCCACTGTCCACAAGAGCTGTCGTAATAGAGAACAATTCATCATCAATTGACATTCCTTCTATTCCCATAAGATATTAATTGTCAGAAATTAGAGGTACGTAAGATATCTTTTGATCCTTTTCTACAAATTGCATATCAATGCCTCCAAAGAGAATATAACTACCAAATTCACCTTCATCCTTTAAATACAATGAGAAGTATTTTTTAGATATAAGTTTTTGCTCGTAAAGTGATTCTAAGATAGATGGATTGGGATTGGCTGCATTTGTATTGAAACCAAGTCCTAGGATGCCTCCGCTGGATGCCATATTTCCACTTGCTCTTTCAATCAATAGGAAGGACTAATTAAATTTGATATTATGCATCCACACCTGATCCCAAACCAATGTACCTGAAATGGGACCGTCATCATAGAAAATTGAGTAACTGGAATGAGTATTAATACATGTTGAACTTGCCTTCCAATCATATCGATTAACTGCTATTAAATTCAATTATTATACCATTATTAAGAAATCCTTTTGCATCTATTGATGGGATCCATAGATCAGAAGACCCAGTATCAATAATCAACTCCATCGGTTATTTCTAAGATCCAAATTGCATTTGAACTCTGTATTCTACTTGATGAATATCATGAATGGGATCCATAATAGTTTAATGTCTTTGTATTTGGTATCTGATGCTTTGAGCTTCTGAAAATAATAATCCTAACAATACTGTTATAATCATCATAAATGAATTTTAGTATATTAATTCATATATATATATTTAATTACGTTAATTTAGAAACTAGACAGTTAGATGAGGAATTATTGAATGAATATAAATGCTAAAAGGTCAATGTAGAGTTTCTGGAAATGTCTAATCCATCAGAAACAATATGATTATCGGAGGATTTTTTGAATTCAAATTGAAAATATAAATAAGTAAGTCCTTTCCAAATAGCTATTAGAAGAATGAGAAAACTCAAAATATAGAATTACCAAAAAGAATATATATAAAATAATTGATAAGCAATTATCAATAGCATGACAAATCTAATCCTTTGAATCAATATTGTTTAAACATTACATAGAATCAAGAGCAATAAATAAATTCAAGCCAAATTCAAGCGCTTATTTGTAAAATGTATTAACTTTGGTTCCTAATTATACTGTATGATCCTTACTTTTAGAGATTTTTAAAATTCCAGTGCCAAGTTTAACAGCTAAACACTTTAATAACAGATAACATCATAGATTTCCTAAACATTAACTTTAATTGAAGCATTCAATCAATCAATAGAACTCCTTAAATTTGAACTTCAATAGTAATGTTATTTAAATCATTATAAAAATGAAACAAAGACCAAAAAAGCTTTAAATATTGCTGCATTTGGAAATAAATGTTAGCAACATGACTATGAATAATTATGTATTAAATTTTAGTTTTGGTATGAAAAATTTCTCTTTTTATAGAATTTTGAACCATTCTAGGTTAATTCAATAAAAAGCAATGGAAAGGTTTATTTAAACATTTTGTTCTAATCCATTTGATTCCTTCTCATTTTTCCCAAGTTCAATGGCCTTCTCCATATGAAAAATAATATCATTTTGATTATTGATGAATACTCATAATTCCTCCAATGTTGATATATGATCTGATATATCCGATGGAGAAGGAAATTTAAATTCCTCATCTTTTTACTTGTTTTCCTCAAAGTAATTGTGACCAAACTTTATATCTCTCTTGTTTATCACATCACTTTCCCACTAGTGAGGTTAGATAAGAATATTCACACTGATATTAATCTAGCCTGCTTAATTATTTTCTTCGCTAACATTATTAATGATTTATGAATGATTCAACAAGATTTTAATACTTGTTCCGCTATCATTGCTTGGAGTTGAAGGTGGATCATTCATAAAATCAGTTTAAACACCTCTAATTTTCATTTAGTGTTAAACTTATTAATCTTCTTTTCCTTCCTATTTGACCTATTCCTATTTGACCTATTCTTATTTGACCTATTCCTATTTGACCTATTACTATTAAGCTCGTTTAATTTGCTCTTCTTGTATTCCAGATACACATTCTATCTATTAATTGGTATTTTTTTCCTCTGCTTAGGCATCTCCTGAAATTATAGTGTTGGCTTGCACTTAATCAATCCTTACTTTAACATTCTTCTTGAGGGTTAAATTGATTGGCTTCTATCCTTTAATCTTAGCTACCAATTTTTTAACCTTAAACTCCATCATTATTTCCATCGTTTCCATAACTATTCATCCACTTTTAGTGATTGGCACTATTTTTTCTTTAATCATTGCCCCTATTCAACTTATCCTTTTCTTTTTTGTTATTTCTTCTATATTAAAGATTCATAAAATGGGTGGCAATGTCAATATAATTTATTAAAATAATAAATTTGTTTCACTTCTCAGAATTTGAAATTTAGATAGAAAATTAGATAGCTGCCATTTGCATCAATGCTAAATTGATGAATTTTAGATATTGAAATAATATTTTTCTTTTTAAACATACTTTAGGAAAAAAAAATATTTGCATAAGAACCTTTTTCAAGATTAAGTTTGCTTTAAATCTGGATCTTAATAAATGAATCAAATAAATAAGTCATATTAGAGTAAAATGCATAAAATAATTATTTTTTGGAGTATATTCAATACTAATGAATAGATTTCTATCAAATTTTGACTTTTCATTAAATTTTTTTTTATAATAAGTAGTTCATTTTTAATCCTATTTCAACATTTTAATTTAAGCAATTTGGACAATATGATAAAATGGAAGTCTTTCTTTTGCTGCCATCATTTATCCAAAAGAAATTGCAAAATGAATTGAGGCATTTTTCAAAATCTCTGTGTTTAAAAAACTTAGACTTTAGTTTCTCGTATTAATTGTGAAAGTATCTTTAGATAATTAATATATTCGAATTATTTAGAATGATTTATTAAGGTATTTTTGTTTTGCAATGGCAAAGGATTTATGAATATCCCTTTTTTATACTCTTTTCTAAATATTATTAGAAACAATCATAATGTTAAAAGTGACCACATGGAATTTACACTATTCTTCCATTACGAGATTTGCTGCACACCTAACAATTTTCAATGATTTATGAATTTGCAATAAAATTATTCATGTCTTTCTAGATTAATAATTTAGGTTGTTATAGAGTTTTCTTTGGATTGTAGAGCTTGTTTGGGCTCTGTTATTCAAGATTAATAAGTTAATAAAGTAATTAAACATCAGTCTATAATCTCTCATTTTGTTTATTAAATTCTTCAGTATTAAAAGTGAATTTAGACTTTTAGTTCTTAATATTCTTTGAAGATGAAACTAAGCTAGATAGTAATCTGTCTTTGTCATTCTTCTATGATTGATAATTGCTTGAACTTCGTATTGGTATTTTATTTTTGCTTTAATAATAGTTTGCTCTCTCAACTGATAATGAGTGATCATACATATAACTTCCTTTTGCTTTCCTATATTTCAATTTATACTTACTATCTCTTAAGGTGTCTTCATACTTTTAAATAATAATGGGTAGCTATTTCTTATTCTTTTTGTTGTTTATCATAGTTATTATAAATAATATAATAAATAGAATTCATGTAAAATGCAGTCCACAATATGAGATCTAATATTCAATAAATGTGACAATTAAACTAATTAAAAAAGACATGGAATTTTAGATTAATATGATATTAATTTTATTATTATAAGAATTCTGGTTATAAAAAGAATTCTTTTTTTTATTGTCTTAATCATTACCATACAGTTTAAATTATTAACAAACTGATATAATTATAATATTAATAATCATTTTTCTGTCAATTCTTTTTTGTAAAATAATCTCATGGTCAAGCATGATTGACAAAAAGATTGAACACTAAGTAAATTTTCGAAATCTGAATTGATGATTATAAATTGGCAAGTAGTCTATTGGCACTTATAGAAAGTATCATATTTCTTTATTAATTAAGATAACTAAGAATTTAATTTGATTTCTTTAATAATTGCCCTTTATACTCCATTTAATTGATTGATATCATATTAGCATAATTGTTAGTTGCATTAACAAAAACAACCTTTTAATTTAGAACAATTTATGATTTCTTCACACAAACAATTTTTGTGATAAGTATGTTTACAATTTAATTCTATAAGATCAGTCTGAAAATTATTCTAACAACTTTTCAAACACTAATTTGATTAAGGCATACTCAATGTTGTTGGTTTACTCCAATTGATATCCAAAAAGGGTTATTGGAATAACACATTGAGATTACTAACAATATCAGATGTCCATTTTTGACTAAGATTAGCAAGACAAACTTCATTAGAAAACTTGGTTATTGAGTGAACATCATGTAGACTCATGAAATTAGATCTTGGATATTACACCTCTTCAGTTAGCTATTTAAAATCAGAAGATTGTTGAGATCTGTGTGTAGATGGTATTAGACCATCAACAACCAATCTATCCATTTGTAATTTCTTTCTCAGTATATTATTCTCTTTTGCAATTTCCTTAATTTTCATTATGTATTTGGCTATCTTATCTTCCAAATTTCTAACTAGGTAGATACAAGATTTATTTTTGCAAATCAAGGGTTTCAAGTGCATTTGACTGAAAGGAGGAACTCCAGATATATCTTTATGGATCGATTAAGCCAAAAGATGTTTTGCCTGCAATTTCAGTTGAGGGAGTGAGGGATTGGGATTAACACTAATCAGACTCTCATTGGGAGAGCAGATGCGCTTTGAATGAACTCCTTAATACTATTTTCCTTTCACATTTAAATACTCCCTCTCGGATAAAATCATTTTATAATAATTTTAAATTTAATATTCAATCTCAAATTCTCATTCTAGTATTACTTGCATAAGGCATAAAGGGCAGAAAGATTTAGAAATCGTATTGTTTGTATTTATCACAAAAAAGGAACAACCTTTGCTTGGACACCTTTTAATACTCTTATATTTGCTTTTAATTTCATTAAGTTGATTATTTAGTAATTTAGCATAGAGATTGTTTAAATCTAAAGTTTTTAGAATTTAGCAAGGATGAGTTATTTGGCTGTTACACTGACAAAACAATTTTGAACCCATCTTTTGGATCTAATTTGTTAAGAACTCTTTTAAACAAGGTTCATGATAAACATGCAAACAACTCAAAAAATAAGGGTTTTATTTAATGTTTTAAATACAAAGATAGCAATTTGGATTAATTGACGAAAAAATAGTTTCAGCATTTTGTCTTATGTCCATCTAGCTCATGTTTTGAATTTCATAAATTTAACATTCTACAACCTGAATTTTCTGAGACTATTTTTCATTCATTAATGAATTACTTTAAGTAATCTAAGCTTAAACCACACTTTAATGAGCAATATTTTCAGAAATTGAACGACTCAAAACTTATTCCTTCTATTGATTTTACTCTTCAGAAGTACATGATTATTCTAGTCTACAAGTGATTTATTGATTAGATCCTTATGATGAGGCTGTGCTTTTTAATTTATCATACTTTTATTTATAAACTTCAAGTTCGAGTTGTTATTTTTATTGAGAAATGGGAAAATTCAATAGCTAAAGAAAATCGATGAGGATATAACATTTCAGTATAGGACCTTGATTCTTTTTATAAGATTGAACGACCTCTTGATAATTATTTTACTCAATTAGTTTTTTCTAGTCCTAAGTGATTACCTTCATAATAATCAACTCTCTCTATGCTAATTCTGGTATTTATTTTTATAACTACTTTTTCATTTTTGATAAGCTTTTGGGATACCCAACATTATAATCCTACTTTTTATAAGTGACTTTCATAATTATATTAATTATTTAATATAAATAATAATAATTCAATTGACTTATCAATTGCTAAATTTATAATAGTAATAGTAATAGTAATTGTAATTTTTAATTAATGTTGATCTGCATAGCTAAATGCTAAATAGTGAGAGTGGGGCAATTAGGAATTAATGCTGGCCAGAATGAACAGTATATATAATAACCTTTGCAAAATTAATTAAATCTTCAATAATTTATTACATCAAATCTTGATTAATATGGGGATTTGCACTTCTTAAAATGTAAAAAAATAATAGGAGTAAAAATAACAACTCAAAATTGTACTACCAAATAAGTAATCACAGGAATCAGCACCTGAACCCTAAATTCTTAATTAATCCAAAAGAGAATAATCACCATAAAATAGTCAACCGAGTTAGCATAGTTAGAGAAGTATCCATACTCCAGGGATTATTTCTGAAAATAAGAGATCGTCAGTACAATCTCAGGGTCTCAATAAAAAATGTTCAAAATAGGTAATCGGAAAACTTCAAAAATCGCCTTCTCAACGATCTATATCATAAAGATCACTCAGTAATTGCAGTTCTCCACTCAGGGGATCAGTTTAGCTTGGAGTTCAATTTTATAGTACCAATGCATCCAAAAAGTACTCCTTTATGCATAATAAAGAAATTCAAATGAATGTATAAGCATTATTAATTTATTAGCAAGAGCTGTCATTTGTTTAAAACAACAAAACTGGTACAAAGGCTCGATTAGAAATACTATCTAAGGCAGAAGATGAAAGCATTAAATTCATTTATTGGCTGAAATCCAATTAATTAGTATTTTATTATATTATTACTTAGGATCACCAAAATATACTAAAAAATTTGGAAGTCCATCAGGACAATACTTGTTATCAATTAATCTACGAATATTTTGATGGATGCAAATTATCTCGATTACCAACTGCTATAGAACTCACAGAGAAAATTTTAGCAAACATTGCTGAACAAATGTTTTCAGTCCTAGCGTATTTAAAAACTTAATCAATGGTTCATGGAAATATGACTATCAACAGTTGGGAATATTAATATCAATCAGATCAAGTACTGGTTAAATTAATCGACTTGAAACCTATCGCGGTTAAAAAAGTAGATGATTACGAAGTCATACTATTTACTCCTCCTGATGCTCTCTACAAAAGTGAATACTTAGCCGGTAGAGACTTTTGGGCTGTGATGATGATTCTGTACTCCTTAGGGATAGGTGATGTACCCTATAAAATACCTGCTAAATTGTAGAGTGACATCCCTGCTGTGAAGTAGTATATTCTGCACTTTTAATTTAACTTGGAACAAGATCTTAGGAAATGGCCAGCAGATTTTCGATATTTTATTGAATCAGTGATAGGGGAAAGGAATAAGAAGAGAAGAAGAACCTTCGAGGAGTCAAAAAATAATTAGTGGTTAAAAAAGCACAGGAAAGAAGAAATCTCTACTTAGGAGAGGTTGTTAAAAGATATGTTTACTCAAAAGGAGAGTTGTGAACTCCAATAGACGATATTAGAGATTATGGTTCAGGAATTGGACTAGGAGACGGCAATGTAGTTACAAAAACTGTTCTCAGAATTTGATTTAGATTTGGACATGAAATTGTCAAAAGAGGATTTAATAAAAATGTTCTAGAAATATACGAAATTAACTGATTTAGAATTTCATATGAATCAATTATTTGTTGATCACTAAATTAAATCCGAGTTTATGGCACAGTTTACTTTTTTATCACTTGCTGCTCCCAAAGAATCATTATTGACTAGGTCAAATCTTGAAACCACTTTTAATCTTTTGAGTAACAATAAAGCAGAACTGAGAGCTGCGAATATTACTAAATATCTTAATCTAGTAAACGAAGACTTGGAAACATAGTTTAATGATCTTGCTTCTGAGAAAAAAGTAATATATTATGTGTATTTATTGATAGCTCACTTTAGAGTAATTCATTAGTGTTATGGAATTATTAAAGTGAATAAGTATTTCTAATTTCATATATTATTATCTATTATTAATAATCATTTTAATTTTTGCAAAGCCTCTTCATAGGTTAAACTGCTCTGTCTATCTTTGGAGTCGCCTTTGTTGATAACACGAGATATTTACTTCTTTTTGGAAGAGTGTTAGTTTGTTCAAAGTGTGTCAGATTGGATAGAGTATAAGCAAGAGCTTTCTAATAAAATAGCATGTATAACAGTTACTGATGTTTCTGAGTCTAGTTTGCCATAGAGATTAATATCTCTTCCACGTTGGTCTCTCTGATCGCAATAAGCCTCTTTGACTTCGCTTTTGTATCTAATGTCAGCAGGCAAATCAGATCTTGAGTTAGAGATTGAGAATGTACCCTCGATGATGTTCATGAGTGCTGGAAAGTAAAGTGATTTTCCCGAATGTCTTTCCAAATAGATTTTCTGACTTTATTCCTGGAACAAATCCTGCATAATCTTAGTGACATAAGCATAAAGAGAGTACTTGGGATGTGATTTCTGTTGCCCTGAATTTGCAATAAGTCTTAATCGTAGTCTTGACTTGGAATGAATCTAAGGTATAATTAATAAGACACTATTACCCTGTGTATCCAGGAATGGCATTGGCACCTTTTTCTGCTTGGAACATTTTATTTTTATTAATGTAAAATCAAGAACTAAACTAATTTGTTAAATATGATTAGTTTTCTTCATATCTAACCAAATCCCAGGTCAAATACATAGAGACTCGCAATCCCTTAGACTACTATTAGAAAAACAACATCCAGACACAGAATTGGGATTCAAGCCTTCTCCAAACCAAACCACAAGTAACTTAGGAACTTGACAAAATCAATAATCTGGTTGATTCTCTCTTCGCAAAGAAGGACTCTCAGCTGTATTAGAAATAAGAACCCAAAGAACGCAATTAGAAGTCATTTACGGAGAAATTCTCACCTATGGGAAACATTCTATCTGAAACAACCTAATCTCTGGATTACAATCCACCTCAATAGCAGGGTCATCAGAGTCTTATTGATCTTAAAACTGACATTCTAAACGTGAGATCAATTTCATTAAAATAAGAACGTCCTAAAGAAGTCAAGACTTCGAATGTACAAAAAGTGATTGAACAGAAAGGACTGAATCTCAGGCAATCAGCTCCATTGAGTTTGTATGAATTGAGATAAATAAATAATGTTGAAATCCAGAAAGCATTGAAAGTTCTGCAAAAATGATTATATATTTACAAATATGTAATAGTAATTCGATTAAAACATACGAAGATTGGGGGACTATCAGTTCGATTCCAAGTATCTTTTAGGAGAGGGGGCCTTTGGCAAGGTTTACAGGGGAAGTAAAATAAGCACGAATATGGAGGTGGCCATTAAGAAGATTGATAGTTCAATGATCAATAAGGATTAGTATCTAATTGATGCTCTAAGTAATTAAAGTGAACAAGTAGAATAGATAGTGAAGTCCAAATCATGAAGCAATTAGATCATCCAAACATTGTCAAGTTTATTGATAAATTTACAACTGATCGCTCCATCTATATTGTGACAGAATATTGCGCAGATGGTGATTTAAGAAATATTATGAAGGGCAGAAAGATACCCGAGACAGAAGTTAATTAGATCTTCTGTCAATTGGCAAGTGGATTCAAAGAATTGGTGAAAGCAAACATAATCCATCGTGATCTCAAGCCAGCTAATATAATGAATCATCGAGGTATTGTTAAGATAGCTGATTTTGGATTCTCTAAAATAGTTGATAATTTTAATGGAGATTTGTTAAGGACTTGCGTAGGTTCACCCTTATACATGGCCCCTTAGATATTAAAAAAGGAGAAATACACCACCAAGTCAGATATTTGGTCATTGGGTATTATTTACTATGAGATGATCTATGGCAACTCTCCATGGACAGGCATGGATGAGAAGAGTCTAACTTAAAATATCATGAAATAACCAATGAGATTTCCATCAAGTGTGTAATTGTCAGATTTCGGGAAAAATTTCATTTCAAAAGCTCTGGAGAAAGAGGAATCCAAAAGAATGGAATGGAATGAACTATTTCTGATGTTTGAATAATAAAAGAGGTCGTTGCCTTAAGCCAAGATCCAATTTGATAAGAATAAACCTGCCAATAATATCCTTGATTCTCCACAATCTCTTTAAATTAATGAGGCTCCTAATTAGTAATTATTATCCCAATTAAATATACTGAACTTATAAAGAATGCATCTCAACTTTTCACATTTTGTGAATGTGGAAATCACCCAACATATTTCAATCATTACTTAACATTACAAAAAAGAATTATATTTTGAACTCTTATGTCTTCTTTCAGCCAAATTCACTGCTAATTCATTCAAATTATTACAAACAAAGGTTGTAACATTGTTGGAATCCTAAAAGAAATCAAATGAGTATTCAAAATTCATCTGCCAAATCTAAAACGAATACCAATTAGCAGCTGAACTTTGTACCAATACTTTGTAATACTTTGATAGAATTGGTTTGTTGTCTAGTCTAAGACAATTGGCTGATTTTTAAACATTTATTGATACCCCAGAATTAAATTAAAATCAACTCATCTCAGTAGAGAAGATCATTAAGGAAAGAGTCTAAAGTGTTTCTAAATAAATGTTATTGGTTTGCAAAGAAAACGATGTGTTGAACCTTCTGGATTATTTGATGGAGATGTGTCTTAACAGAAGCAAAATTATGAATGGAAATAACAATGTGGACTTTTCTTTTATTCAAGAGATAAAAATACAACCAGATTACAATTCATACTTAAATTATAAATTGAGTGAGATGTACGGTTATTGATTTTCATTATTGTATAATTGATTGATTTTGAATCTAAAAAACAGAGGTTTCATCTATTTTACCTGTTTACGGTCCATTATCCTACTTGTATCCTTTATCCATCTTCATATTTTCGATTACTTAATTAATCTTATTTATTAACTTATTCCTACTATCCAACCAACTGCAAGTCTTCACTAATATAATTAACAACAACACACTCAACGCGAATAAAGAAAACTTTACTATCTCCATATCGTTTTCATACAGATATGTCTCTATGATATTTACTGTGACACTTTATGTATATCTCACCACGAATCCTGTGAAGTTTTTGTGTGTCATATTGTACTACAGTTAATATTGATATGATTCCCCAACAACAGCTAAGTATCATATCATTTACTGAATACAGTTTTGAGGGTGGTATAAACAACGAATCTATATTGGCTGCACTCGAAATCTGGTCAAAAAGGCTGTTTAAGACGTTATCCCAAAAAAGAAAGCATCATTCTCATACTCCTTTGTTATATCTGTCAACCCTTCTAACTTGTAAGCTTGATTGAAAAATTCAAAATCCCTGAGACCTACATGCTTGAAAATCTAATCTTTAATATCCGTAGACAAGTAATCATAATTATTAGAAAAAACTATCGTATGCTAACTTACTCCTTACACTATCACAAACTCATCAGTTGCATCCACATCAATGATCCTTGATTCAATTTACTTTGTTCTGATAACAAAATGATATCCATTTTATAAGTTAATGTAATATTCTCTCAAATAATACAAACCTTTTTATTAATAACCAAAAAATACATTCTTACCATTTCGAGTATCTACTGATATTCCTCCAATTAAATGATCCATCCATAAATTGAATTCGTATTTTACTTCTAGCTTATCCTATTCTATGGCACACAGAAATAATCCATTTTCCTTATCCAAAATGAAAAAAAAATATTTTCCATCAATTTTATCCGACTTTACTATTGAAAAATCTATTATATTAATTTATTAGTATTCATGAAAAATCTTGATATTTTATATAAATTGCAATCCTTTCTCTACTATTTTATACACATCAAGTCCATCTGTACCAACTGCACTGAACATCAATCCATCAACCTCCTTTGTAAATCCTCTAAAAGCTCTTTTCTTCCAACTCGGTACCTCATACACACTTAAAGAGCTGCCCTGAGACTCTATTTGGGCCAAACTAAATAATTGTGCTCTATCATTCTACAATAAGAATGCCACATTTGATGATGGAGCATACAATAGTTTAGGAAACTCTTATTCAAAATGAATAGCACTAGTTAATTGAGTGAGATTGAATTTCCATACTATCTTAGCAAATTATTATCCTGTTTCACGAAAATCATGTTAGGATATAAAAATGTAATTGAATTTCAATAAATAGACTATGAAATCTGAGGTTATTGCTATCATGCCATCATTTATGTGAGTCATTGATATAAACTGCCTAAACTAAAGTTCATCATTTAAATCAGATTCAAGAAAATTAAAATCCTGAATAATACGAAGTTCCTGAGTTTCCATTTTAAGATGCAAAGGAATAATTTCACATCCAAAACTATTATTTTTAGATTCTAAAATAGCACTTCTTGCTTATTGTAAAACCAGACCTTTTGCTTCATTTTAGTGTAAGTTGATAACCAAATCATCTAAATTCACTTCAAAGAGTGTTACATCACCATAAGATATACATTAGAGAACTAGAAGTGAAACGAGTAAATATTTCATAAATTATCACTATTTTTTTTCTTATTTCAATTAATTAATATGATTTGTGTTAAATGAATATTATAATAAAATTATTTACATCATCAATCCTTGGGCAAATTCTTCGATTAAATTTTTGAGAACAATTAATTCAATTGCAATAATTCTTATTCTAATGCCTCTACTTCTTTCTCATTGCTCTCATTGATTAGTTTTTGTCTCAGTTCTTTCTTCTATGCTATTGCATACTTCACTTATTCCTCTAAAACATGCTGTGTTTTCATTCTCTCTAAAAGCTTCTGTCCATCTGTATAATTTAATTAAATACAATGATTTTCTTAATATAATTTCGCTTATTAGAGCTCTTCTGGAATCTCAACTTTCTCTCCATTCAAAACCTTATTTCTAATTAAATAATTCCCCAATATTACTTGACATAAGCATCTAACTTTTTGGTTTGTTGATCCAATCGATATATCCTAATTAATATAGTAGTGAAACTTACTAGAAATATTAGTATGTAAGATATCCCATCCAAGAGAAGACAACACCTTTTACTAAAAAGTTAGGAATATGCAAGACCATATAATTTATATATATAATATTAATATAAATATTATCACATTAAAAAGAATTATTAATTTAGAAAGAGCATTAAAACAATTATAATTGTGGTATGTCTAAGTGATACTAAAATTAGAAATTTGAGTGGTACTTTTTTGATAATTATATATTAATAATTAAGTATTATATTTTATTTAATAAAATCAACCATCTATTTCAATATTTAAATTATCTGTTCGGCTTTCCTGATTGTATAAAGTGAGTTCTAATTTAATAACCATTCGCCTAGTTGGTAAAATGGAATTTCAATTAATTTAGTGCCATGATTTGAATATTTTCAATTCAGTTTTGGCTTCATAGATTTATTATGGATTTTGGGCCTTAACTGAATGAAATAATCAATTAATATAAATATAGATGGGAATGTTGCTATATTATAAGTGAATAAGCTAGTGTCAAATAATCTTAATTTGCATTGTTGTTCTCTAATTAATCAGATTTATTAAACAGTTTCAACTCTATAAAGTTGATGAAAAATACAAACAAGAATTAATTAAATAAAATTGAAACTTTACATGGCTTAACTTTCATCCAACAGATTCTCACTACCAAGCATTGGGTAAAAAGATGCTTAACCTAAAAAAATCCCAGTGTTAAGAGCAATGAGACCTTCTCTTTTTCTGAATTAAATTGATATAATTCCTAATTCTTTAAAAACCGAGGCAGAAGTAACTGATAGAAGCATTTCCAAACCGATTCGCACTGAAATTGAAAGCGATCCCCTCATAGAACTTTCTTATCACTTTAAACTTCCTAAATTGGGCACGTAAAGAAACTAAAGGTTATAGCAGTCACTACCTGATTTACCTCTCATGAACAAAGACTCAAGTGATGCCTCTCCAATTGATTATTAGAGGCCATCAAAGAGAACAAGATTGTTTTTGAGAAGATAAGAATCCAAATTAGATGCTCCAGTACTTAAATTTCAAAGGAGGAGAGTCGAATTCAAAAAGTCTTTGGTGGTCATTGATTTAGAGACTGGCATCTAAGACAGATAAGAATTAAATGAAGTAAAGAAGCCACTAAGAAGGATCGCACATTAAAAGACTAGATCTTATCAGAAGAAATTAGAGTGAATACATTACTTGGATCTTTTGTCCTGACCTAAATTATTTATACATTGATTAAGGTGAACTTTGATCATTTTTATATTTTTTCCATTTTTTTCCATTAAGAGAAAGATTTAAAAATTTAGAAATATTAAATATTATTTTAATCAGCGAAAAATATCAAACATGAATACTTCTTTCATCTTAATGAAATGAATGCTCTGATTTTCTAGGAGTCGATTGAATGAGATAGTGACACATCAACATTATGATAGAGAGTATTTTAAACATTAGAGGACATAGTCTATAAATAGGGAACTGGAGGGATTCTTTTAATAAGACTATCATCAATCGATTTTGCGATTTTTCTATCCTTGTCTTAGTTGATTTTATTGATGATCTCATATCTTTGCATCACTTTATAGGGAGGAGACTTGATTTTCTTGTTGTTTAGGTATCTGCAAGTGAATCTAAGATGGTCTGGCTCATTGGTTTTAAACCTTAGAGTTTTATCGAGGACTGTGGTTCCTTTTCTGTATTTCATGGATTCGATGGATCCAGATTTATAAACCTATGATGCATCTTTAATACTTCCACTTAAATGGGGAATGTGATTGTCATCAAAATTATTTTCTGTTATTCTATATTTTGCAGGATTAATGTTTTGTGTTAATGAAATTTTAGGAGTTTTTGGTTTATTAAAACAGTTAACCAAATTTACAGGTTAAGTTGGTTTTACATCTTAGATGCGATCAGAGACATTATTAGAAATAGGGACTCTGGCCAAAGATGTGTGTTTGATTTTTTGGTTGGGACATTAGCAATAGCCAAAATATTTATTCTGATGTGGAGTGTATGAGACAGACTTGTGATATTTCAACTTTAATTGTCGTTGTTAAGAATTGCTAAATCCACTTTGATAAGGGACGAAATTTTCTGGAAATTTTCCTCTCGAATTTGTTTTCTATACCTTCTGGTTAATAAAATCTAACACATAATAGTTGCCATTATCAAGATTATATCTATTATCATATTTATTTTAATTACACAAACTCTTTATCCATTTAAAATATAAAAAATAATCATAATCGGAAACATTAATTTGATAATACTTGAATAGAGGGAGCAAAAATATATATATATATAATTGTGTGGTGAAATTATCAAAAATATATTGATCACATCATTTTGTTTTTCACTTCATTTTTTAAGTTTATAATTTTAGTATCAAATTCTTATTCATTGGAGATATGAGTAGCTGCTATTAGCTTTACATTAAAAACATATTGGATTTGTATTGTTCTAAAAATATAACTTCATTAACTCCTTTAATTATGATATTTATTGTGCCGTCCTCATTTGATAAATTGACAAGTATCTTGGTGTTTTTGGATTTAAATTAATTGGTCAAAATGTTGAAAATGCATATCATAAATATGAATAGTTGCTGTTTATAAGTTGATAGTAAGTAGACGTTGGAAGACTTCAGTGGAAATAATTCAATGTTGAGAAAGCTGAAATAACTGGCTACTTTCTTTATGAGATCATAGGTATTGAGTATGCCAACTTATTTGTTGTTGAAATTTAAGATGGTCAGGATTCCTAATTTAAAGAATTTGTGATTCAATAACTTCGAATTAGAGGTTAGAGAATTCAGCATCGATTTTCTGATATTCGAAATTGAGACAACCTACTTCTTCTATTAGGTGCATTGTTCCAGTATTATTAAACATTTAAATCTTTCAACATTTATATTGCAAACACGAATGACAACAGATTTAGAGTTGACTTAATAAGATAATTCATAATTATGTTGTATAAGTGATAGCTTTTCTGCTTGATAGTCATTTATTAATTTCTGCTCAAGGGATATGCTTTTATTTTAACACAATCTCAAAAAGGTTCTTAAATTGCAGCTATCACAGAAAATAGACTGGAAACCTGGAAAAAGGTTAATTTTGTTGGTTAGAAGAGTAACAAAATTGTTGGTAAGAGGATCAAGTGAGAACTTAAAAAAAGGTTTTTAAATAATATTTGAAAGTTACTATTGCCATATTAGGTCTTTCATATAAAGGGTAAACTATTATCTGCTCCAATGTTTATAAAAGTAAATAGTAACTACCTAAATAGTGGAACTCAAGATAGAAGTAAGTACTAAAAATAAGTTAATTTCGGGCTAGTTTACACATTACAGATAAATTTTCAATCCTAAAGTTAGAGTTATCTAAATGCAGCTAATATCGAATATTTACAAGAAATGCAAATTCGATACTATATCAACAAGAGGCAGTACACTATTTAAGGACTCACTTGACATATTGTGAGAATAAGTTATTTAAAGTACTGACGAAATAGCAACAAGGCATTCAAGGAATATCATCTGTTTTCCTAATTAGGGATACTTTCTTATGATTGCAAATATTAACACAATCAAGAGTATATTTACTGTTGGCCATAAATGTTAAGGATTCTCGGGAACATTCGTGAATTATGAAGAGAAGTTTAAAGTGCTCATTAGGAAAAAGATCAAGAGGAAATAAGAATTAGTTTTACTTCTAAATGCATCAAATTCAGTTTTTTAGTATTGTGACTCAAGTGTGGGATTATCAAATCTTAAAGTGTATTTATTCATTATTAATGTATTATTTTTATTAGCTATATGAAACTTAAAATTCAATTATTATCACCCTCATTTTCATCATTTTACACCCTAACTTCCTAATTTACAATATCCAAACTCTTATAACATAACAAGGACATAACTCCAAAACCAGTTCTACCCTTCACATAGATTCCTTCATTTTTTCAATTACTGGCACATTAGCAAGATCAAGAAGCATCCCTCTCGCCTTCCTTTCAACAAAGCATTCTAAAAATGCAACAGCTGCCGATGCCCCCACATTATCCAACTTTGAGTTATTGGTGCAGTTAGACTCAATAGCAATACTCCAATAAGAAATAACTCTGTATCAGCAATATTTCCTTTAATTAATTCTATATTCTAATTCTCTAACGGCAAAATCCAGAAAGGTTATCTGGGGATTCTCTCCACTTTCTATAATAATGAATTACATACCTTCCTGTTCATAAATACTCTAAAAGGTCGTCTACCCTAAGCATTTTTAACAGTACCAGTAAGTGTTAATAATAATTCAGTCAATTCTTAAATCCTAAACTTATCTAAAGCATATGATATAGCATCAACCAGTATCAAATTCCTTTATCATCAGCATTTAATCCTTCTACAGTTTTTCACTTGTACGATTACAATTAAATAACATCAGAAACTATAAAAAGAATCCGATCCAACAGAATTCTCATTCCATACCGTCGAACACACCACATAATTTGGAAGTCCCAATTCAACCACAACTCTGAATGTCTCAAATACTGTAAGCTCACACTTCCAATACCATAAACAACTAAATTTATTTCAATAGCCTACTTCCTTTCCATATTAAGTTTAATACTTATCGCTGTCTGCTTTCCAATTATATGACATACATGAATAAAATGGTTTATGTATAGCAATCAGAAGTTCATCTTCTTCAATCAGTTTAGTATTTACTTTTTTTCCAAGCTCTTTTATCTAAAATGTAATTCTTCATATATTCAGTTGTAAAAATGTTAGGTCTTGTTGGTACTAATTCTCTCACCTTCAAGATGGGCTTTCTAAATGATGCAAATTATAATATTAATTATCTAATTATACTATCTCAGATTCAACTTCTATTCAATTTAAGTTAGATAGTCTTATTTTGTGAATTCAGTAATCAAATTTAAATAATGGGTGGAAATGATGATGAGATTTCCCTCCTTATTAATATGTCCATCTATTATTTGCGAATTAAATCCAAAGCAGAGTTCTGCAATATCATGAATTGTATAATTATAAGGTAATAGCACACTTATTGAATTAATTTTAACTTTATTTGTAATTATCTCGTTAGATACTTTTTGAACCAAATTTGTACCGCCTTAGCTTGGACTTCTTGCATTCAACATATTAATTTGTATCGTCTTCATTTAAGGCATAAATATTTGCTTATGTTCTAAGATTAAATATCCTTCTGTAACTCCTTGGGTTTAATATAGAACTGTAGTGCTTTGAAAATTGGATCCGCAGATTCATTCATAGATGGGTAATACAAGACATAAACTCCTTTTGGTAAAGATTTAGTAATATGCTTAATCTCAATGTGTGGAGTAATCTCCACCTAAGTGAAGTTTATACATAATTATAATATTTTATATAAGTCATATTAGACCTTTACTTCTACCACTCGCATTGGAAGAGGTATTCGAATAACTTCCTGACTTATTTATAAGAGATCTAATCCTAATATTCTTAATTGGAAATTAAGGTCCTACCAATCCTAAAAAGATTGGAAGAAGTACTAGGCCCTAATAATGAAGATCACAGATAGTTTACATTAAATGCTCCCAAAATAACCATCAGAATGTACATTCTAAAGTAATACAATTTAAATAGTGTGGAAGGTGCAAAGCCAAGCACTGCCACACCAATGAATTTAGTACAAGCAATACCAACAAAGACAGAAGTCCCCATAGTTGACATTGCCTCTCTCACTCTTTCCCATCTTGAACCTTAACATAATCGAAATTTGATAATTATATGTGCAACGAACTCAACTGCCAATCCAATACAAGTGACTAAATTGACAACACTGACTGCATTTATTTCAATCTAAATGATAATTATTCTTTATGTACCACAAAACCACCAAATATAATGTTTGTTAACCATATTGTTCCTATTAAGTTGAAGGCTATCAAAAATACGAACAACACAACTATCATTGCACAAATGACATCTTAAACTATAGTCATTGTGAAGAAGATAGTAGCCAAAGCCAATAATACATTTGTTATGGCTACTGCTCTTATATACGAGTATTAATCATAAAAGACGTATGGCATTGAATATGGGTAAACCTTCTGGCCTTCCTTCAATTTGGCCTGTTAAACAACTTTGTCTATCACCTATCTTGTCTACTCCAAAGATAAGATGTATCCAGCAGAATTGTGGATGGGACGATGCTAAAATCTCAGTCTACTTGTCTTAACATATCCTTTCTCATTTAAAACAATGTCAGCCTCAAATGTTTCTCCACAAATACCATATCTTTGACAACAGGGAGAATTTATTCGCACTCCCAAAAATCGTTTTAATTGAGTTGGTAGGTCATATAATGCAATATCCTATGTTTCACAAGCTTGAATCCATTCAGCTGATTTTCGAGTAAATAAATTAAAAGAAGCTACCCAACTATAAATGGGAGGTTGCACTGTTTCATTTAATCTGGACAAAGAATTGGATAGATTGGCTACTAATTCTAAGTCATGCGGATCCTAATAATCCAAATTCTCTAATATCAGATAAGCCAAAGGTCCTATCTCTATATACTTCTTCTCCAAAGTCATGTAATTAAATAAATTAGAACCTTCCACCATTGAAACCTACTCATCCAACCCCACTTGTATTTTTGTGATTCCCACACAACTTATAACAAACAATGCCACAAATATTATGATGGTTGTTATGATACATATTGGGTTCTACAATACTCTAGAATACGTCTTCTTAAAAAAGGTTTAAATTATTTTTCTATTTTCTCTAAATGGGTAATTTATATCCTGCTTACAAATTATTAGATCATATCTTTTGTGTTTCTTTCTCTCTTCATCCCATGTTAAAAATGCAACAAACATTGTAATTTACAAAAAGTAATCAATGAATACACCCACAGCCGCTTAAATACAAAATGATTATAATGCTGGCATCTTTGTCATAGATCCAACCAAAAATGCCAATGTTTCACATATTGCCGCTATTGTTATACTTGGACCCACTTATTCCAATGTATTGCCCATTCTTTCTTAAATCGTTGGGTGTTTTTGTTTCTTAAACTGATGTGTTATAATAAACATATTATCAACACCAATTGCCAAAATTAAAAATGGAATGACCTTTATATTTGTAACAATTTTACCTCCAAACTAATCATCGTTAAACCTATATCAAAATAAGATACTAATCCTATGCTGCTTATCATAGAGAGAGCAACAATAAATATTCCTCCCAATCCCAAAGTAAACCCATTGTATATTTTACTGGGGAATTACCCTATTGCAAATCCAATGTAAGCAAACATCATCAAGTATGACACAACCACAATCCAAGCATTTTAATTAGTCTCATCATTAATTTCATCTGAAACTGATCGTTCTGCCATAAAAGCCACCTTGTATTGATCCAAAAGTCCCTCTTTTGGTGCAGTCATCACAGTTTTATTGTAATAGCTATACAACTTTTTATAATCCCTTTTGTTCAGAGCTTCCAACGTGTCCATCCATACATCCTTCTCCCACAATTCAGCATTTTACTTTGTGAACTCATCATTCTTCAGAAGGTAAGTAACTGCCATGGTTCTAGCCTAGATGTAGCAATGATCACAAGGTTAAGTATCATTCTATCGACTCTCGCAGGATCTATTGAGTGTCTAATTTATAGTAGATACATTCCTCCGAATACAGATTCCAAAATTATTGGGATTCCATTCTGATCACTGCAAGGGATGTTGGTTTAGTTGACATCAATTGATTCTGTACAAAGAGTTGTAAATTGAATATCTTTGTCTTTCTAAAATAATTATATTAAACAACTTCTAATAACTTCGGATCCTATAGCCATATATCCATTGGACTTGGAACATAACAACCTTTGGCTGAAATTGGTCTATAACACAGATCATCAAGTGTTGTATTTCTACCCTCAATCAATACTTTCCTGTTTCTGATTATGTTCTACAAAAAATAGATCACTTGCAGTCCTTCCTTTTAAAACACATTCACCCAATTTTCATTCCTATACGTTAATATGAATTGATTTGTTCTATAGAAAGGACCATAATTTTTAGAAGAACTCTCCTATTCCTAATAGGTCCTACTACTCGAAGAAACCCACAACGCTATGTAAAATTAATTAAATACATTGCGGATCAGTTAGGACTGTTAAATTATATAATCCCAACGACATCAGTCCGTTTAAAGTTAGGCAAATCATAAATACAAAGCAAGGATATTTTGATCCAAAATATCCTATATGATAAAAGATGCTTAGCATCAATAAATATTACTATTTCTAATAATTTTATTAATGAAAATATATATAACTTATAAAGAAAACTAAAAGATACTTAATAGTTTCAATAAACTAAATTTATTCTCAATAAACTTCTTTAAATTCCCATGCAGATGCATTCAATTCTATTCTTTCAACCTAATTTTGGCTAGACTTTTGTTTACTCTCTTTTCATGCCTTTTCGGATCAGAGGCTTTGCACTTCCATCTATTTTATCTTTCTTCATCACTTGGTTAATGAAATCTATCACCAGAATCGATGCTCTAAATTCTACTCTTTTTTTAACCAGATTTCCCTCTGTAAAATTTTTTTTATGCTTTGTTTCATTTTTAGGAGATGCTAATTAAATTGGAGGAAGCTTGATATGTTCCCCTGATTGAAATGCAATCTTCATGGAAGAGGGTTAACTACTAGAATCGTTATAAAGAGTGTTTTCAAGGGATTCCTTATTACTGATCGATATCGTAGGTTTTTCTTTAATCAAAGGGAGCTTGTTTGTATATTTTAATTGAGAGATGAGAGGAGACTTTTCAAAATCAGAAGAGATCAATTTTGGAGACAGCAAGACAGAGTTCAAATCTAAATTATTCAAAAATATTGATGGTCTAATCTGATTTGTTTATCTAAGAGGTAATTATTGTTGCATATATTATTATTTATATTATTCTAATTGAAGTTAACACGAATTTGGTATTAATATATAAGTTGTTTGAGATTTATTTATCAGAAGCGAGATTTTAAGAAAATTATTCAAATTATTATTTAATGCTTATAGTTAATTTAAAAATGTCCAAGAGAGAAGAGAATGGGCTGTTTCATATTACGCATCAGCAGTTAATTGCTGTATCAGATATTTAATTTCACAAGAAAATCAATTATTTCATTTGATTAAAAATTTAGAAAATGTTCAAAAAATATATAATTTGAAATTTGTCTGCGATTAACAGGTTGATTAAAATAATTAATACTATAAAAAAAAAATTTTTTGATAGTTTTCTCTATATAAATTGATCTCATAAACTAAAATAGCCAATCACGATTATTATTATCTACATTAACTAAAATTAAAAGTTGGTTGGGTTAAAATAAATATTCTATTTTTGATCTAATAATCATCCTCATAGTTCTTTTTTATTTAATCTGAAATTAGTATAATTAATTCATTTCCTCTTGTATCATTTTTTTATTTTTTGTTCTTTAAATAGCACTTTAATAATCATTATTTAGTATATTGTAATTTTAAGGATTATATTTATAAACTTCTTCTGGAATTCTATGACTAAATATAGCTGTTTGAATATTCATATTTACGAATTCTGTGTAAATGGAATAATTTTGTAATTTGATAATATATGAATTGATTCTAAATAAAGATATAATAAATTTTAATTTTGTTTGATAACATTATGCTACATTTCTAATGAAATTAAAAAAAATTTATAAAATCTATAGAAATTATGTTTAGAGGATAATAGATTTATTTTCTAAATTAGTTATTATGAGGTTTTATAACTAAAAACACTTCTTATCAAAATTGATTTGCTTTATGCCTCTGTTTTTCATAATTTAGAACACAATCTACTATGCCATTTGTTTTCTAGTTTCAAAATTTTAGACGTAATCTTCCTATAATAAATATTATAATTTTCATATTATGCTAAAATTATCATTAGAATTTATTGAAAATAGGTGTTAAATTATTCATAAATTTTTGGAGTTTTTTCGAATATATTTTAGAAAAAGTACCTATATGAGAGGGAATACTTAAAAAGTATGTGATTTAATGATTATTCATTTATTTTAATAAAGTTATTAATTAATCAACTCATTTATTTAAAATAATCAATTTTTTATATATTAATTTAAATAATTATCTAAAAAGGAGAAATACCATTCAATGTGTAAATAAGAAAATGGCAATATGTAATTAATTAATTACAGATTTCAAAGCAACTCATATTTTATAATTTAAAGTTGAGTATTTGAAATATATAATTATTTTGAATTAATTAATCTTCTGAGTGAATCCTATGTAACTTTTATGATTTAGTATAATAATATTATTATGAATGGGATGTAAATCAAAGAAATGAGAATTATTTGATATAATATTTATAATATTAAATGGGTTCTTGTGCTGGATCAAGTTAAAATAAATAAAAGCAACTAAGAGATGAAAGGATTAGAACAGAACCAGATAAAGAAAGAGGAAGTGATGCTTTCACCGGGGGTATCAATCTCTCAAATGTTTCGAGAAAAAGTGCAGAATCTAAAGGTTTAGATTTGGCTAATCAGAAAAAGAAGACAATGAAAAAGTAAGAGAGTCTTAAAGTCACACTTTCTATCACAAATGACCCTATATCCAAATACTATGTCAAAAAGAACCTGCGTTATTTGGAAGGTGTTAATTTTAAAGATAATATGTTTGTTGTACAACATATTGTTACTGGAAAAATTAGAGTTGCCGAAAGATTTTTAATAACTACAACCACAAGTGCTTTCATAAATAAAATAGTCTCCTTGCAATTAGTAAATATTTGATCTATTTTAGAATCATCCAAATTTGCTTGATATATACGGAATATTTTAGGAAGATAACTATTTTACAATTATATCTGACTATTGCAATGGTGGATCATTGTTAACATTGCTTTCAGAGAGGAATTCTCATTTTGAAGAGGATGTTGCTGCCTAATGTTGTAGGTAAATTTACGAAGTGATGGGGTATTTACACAAATTTGGGCTTTATCATGGTTCATTAAGTTTGAAGAGTTTTGAAAAATACAATTAAGGAAAGAACAAATTTACAATCAAACTTGTTGAGTTTAGTTGTTTATTTTGTAAATCAGATGTCGATGAAAACAATGTGTAATTTTTATCGCCTGAATGTTGCAATGAAAAATAAAGCTATACGGCTGCCAGAGATTAATGGGCAGTTGGAATCATAACTATGGCTATAACCTTAGGTAAACTACCCTTCAATGCAAAATCATTATAAGAATGTTTGGATAATATTCAATAATCTTGTAAAAAGGAGGGTTTTATACAAAAGGAATTGGAGAAATAAGTTGGCAATCCTTTGATGAAAGATTTGATACTTTAATTTTTGCAGGTTTCTCCTTCAAAAAGAATAGACTTTTTTTAAGGCTTGGAGAGTAAATGGATGAAGAATTATGAATAAATCTTCAAATCGTAATTCAAGTAATGTTTAGATGAAATAACTAAGAGAAAAGAAGCAAACTTTCTTCAATCTTGCTTCCTTTTAATGATGATTAAACAATTTGATGATCAATACACTTAAATACAAGAAATATTTAATGGATTAGATCTTGATAAAAATGGTAGACTCACTAAACCTGAATTAGTTAAAAATTACACCTAATACTTCCATCCCAAATATAATGCGTATGAGATCTAAGAATTTGTCGACGAGATTTTTGATGCTTCAGACCTTAATCATAGTGGTGATATTGAATTTTCTGAATTTTTGATTGCACTCTCAAATCAAAAGACCATCATAACTAATGAAAACTTGAAGTGCATTTTCAATCAAATTAATCATGGGCAACCATTCGGATTTAATGAATTGCAACCATTATTCAGAACTAAAGAAGCAGAACTACAAAATTCCCTTCTATCAATTCCAAATTAAATTGTATTAATTGTACCTTATATATTAGATTGACTTTGAAAAATTTTAACAAATTATGTTTGAGTTGATAGAAAACAAATGATATGTATAAAATCTATCTATAATTTCTAAAATATAAAAAATCATTGACACATTATTTATTTAAAAATAGGATAAGTAATCTAAAATTATTAATATGTTTGTTTACTATTTTATCTTAAAATTCATTAAATTCTACTTTTAATTAATTTTCACGATGAGGAAAAAGAGATATCATTTTCCCAAGAGTTATTCCTTAATTACTATATGTTAATTGAGAAAAAGCATCTTATAGTTAATCTTCAATTAAACATGTAGAAGTTTCAAACAGTGATGTAATGTATTCATTATAATCAAAACAAATTCCATTATTTTATTTCTCAATTTCTATAAATTAACATATTATTTCATCCTCTGTGAATTTATTCTTTTTCATAAACTCCATTAATTCATTTTTACTAACTTTCCCGTCGTTTGATGCATCCATTTCATAAAATAAACAATTTTCCCTATCTTCATTAAAATTAATATTGATATTTTTAATTATAAATAAAGCTAGACACTGATAGATACATGATTTCTTTTTTAATTAAAATACCTTCTTGAGAAGCTAAGTAATTCTCTTTTTACTGATGACCTATTGAGACTAAAAGCAAATATGTGTTGAGGCAACTTATAAGGATATTCTATTTTTTTATTAGGAATTCAATAGTAATCTCAACAACTCTGAATATTGAAGATCTTTCATTTAATTGATTACAGTTTTTATGATTATTTCATGATTAGAAAGTATATCCTTCTAAATTGATTCAATACTGTCTCCATGAAAGAGGTGTTGACCTGCAAATAATTCTAGTCCAATTATTCCTATTGCCCAGCAGTCTCTTTGTTTTGTATATACATTGCCTTAATTGCATGCTTCAGGCGAGAAATATTGAGTTTCTTCCTCTTAATGTTATGGTTTAGACAATATCTTTTCAATATCTATCAATTTGATTTTGTCTGTTTGCGCGCATATTTGAAATGATTTAATATTCAAATAACCATGANTCAGACCTTAATCATAGTGGTGATATTGAATTTTCTGAATTTTTGATTGCACTCTCAAATCAAAAGACCATCATAACTAATGAAAACTTGAAGTGCATTTTCAATCAAATTAATCATGGGCAACCATTCGGATTTAATGAATTGCAACCATTATTCAGAACTAAAGAAGCAGAACTACAAAATTCCCTTCTATCAATTCCAAATTAAATTGTATTAATTGTACCTTATATATTAGATTGACTTTGAAAAATTTTAACAAATTATGTTTGAGTTGATAGAAAACAAATGATATGTATAAAATCTATCTATAATTTCTAAAATATAAAAAATCATTGACACATTATTTATTTAAAAATAGGATAAGTAATCTAAAATTATTAATATGTTTGTTTACTATTTTATCTTAAAATTCATTAAATTCTACTTTTAATTAATTTTCACGATGAGGAAAAAGAGATATCATTTTCCCAAGAGTTATTCCTTAATTACTATATGTTAATTGAGAAAAAGCATCTTATAGTTAATCTTCAATTAAACATGTAGAAGTTTCAAACAGTGATGTAATGTATTCATTATAATCAAAACAAATTCCATTATTTTATTTCTCAATTTCTATAAATTAACATATTATTTCATCCTCTGTGAATTTATTCTTTTTCATAAACTCCATTAATTCATTTTTACTAACTTTCCCGTCGTTTGATGCATCCATTTCATAAAATAAACAATTTTCCCTATCTTCATTAAAATTAATATTGATATTTTTAATTATAAATAAAGCTAGACACTGATAGATACATGATTTCTTTTTTAATTAAAATACCTTCTTGAGAAGCTAAGTAATTCTCTTTTTACTGATGACCTATTGAGACTAAAAGCAAATATGTGTTGAGGCAACTTATAAGGATATTCTATTTTTTTATTAGGAATTCAATAGTAATCTCAACAACTCTGAATATTGAAGATCTTTCATTTAATTGATTACAGTTTTTATGATTATTTCATGATTAGAAAGTATATCCTTCTAAATTGATTCAATACTGTCTCCATGAAAGAGGTGTTGACCTGCAAATAATTCTAGTCCAATTATTCCTATTGCCCAGCAGTCTCTTTGTTTTGTATATACATTGCCTTAATTGCATGCTTCAGGCGAGAAATATTGAGTTTCTTCCTCTTAATGTTATGGTTTAGACAATATCTTTTCAATATCTATCAATTTGATTTTGTCTGTTTGCGCGCATATTTGAAATGATTTAATATTCAAATAACCATGAACAATGTTTTTTTAGTGTAAATATTCTATAATTTCTATGATTTACTTCAAAATTTCAGATTAATTTTCAATTTGAATTGAAATTAATTCTTTATTTTCAAAATGTTCCTTGACAATTAAAATTTAATTTTCAAATTCTAATATTTCGATGATATTCTATAATCTTGGATGAAACTACTTTATTTATTTAACTTACTAATTGTAATTGCAAAATTTATTGTACAAGTTCTTTTGATTACGCATTGCTTTCATATAGTGTTCCAATTCTTAACTTTTTGGTAATTAAATGTCTTATTAATACATTATTATGTTCATTAAATTTCATAATTTCATAGCATAATTAAAGTGGTACTTATTTTAAAGAAATGTTCACTTTGAAGGTCTTCTTGTTCGACTTGTTTTTATTCGAATATTCACTCTTTTCTTGGCTATATTAAGACTTCTTGTCGGTTTGTACACTCCCTCTCTTCCTTCTTCCAACTTCCAGGATAGCTCCCATGTCAATTTTTTATTTTTAGTTGCCTTATTGCGACAATTAACTAGAGGGAGATTTAGAGTTTTTATGAGCATTTTCAATATTTGCCCTGAGAGATTCATTATTAGAATTCTTGTTTTATTGGATTGTATTGTTTTTTTCTTCTTCTTTTATTTTCCTTTATTTTTAGGAGTGACTAGTGCAAACCCCCATAAATGTATTAATATTTTATTAATATTATTTTTCACTTAATCATGCTTAAAAATTTATGGTAGTTAGATTGTTATTAATAATATTTCCTTTTGTTTATTTGTTAGATGAAATGACACAAAATATGTGAAACTATTTTATAATTCATTCACTTGGTCTGAAATTTTTAGTGACTGCAAAATGCAAATTAAGATCAATTTAATAATTGATTATTAAAGTCAAATTAATTTACAATTTCCAGAGGTCCTTACAGATAAATTGAAGTGAGTTTCATGCAGCCATTAAATTGTCAGAATGATAAAAGTATTTTTATTAATTGCCACTTAATTAAAGCCATCTGATTAAAACTATTTAATTTTTTAATTGAAAACTTCAAAACACCTCATACTCACAATTCGTGAGAAGTGTTGAGAATCCTGAAATTTAAAAGATATTTACAATAGCCATTTATATTATTAAGGCTTAGTTTAAGAGCTATTAATAATTAAATGAATTCGAATTTTCATTCCAACACTGACAAATAATTTAAGCAATAAAGGCAGTGTATATCTAAATTAGATTGCTTAGTTAATGAGATTAGTATTATGACTCCTAATGACGGAGAAATCGTATGTCTTAATTCTCTCAAAGCCCCAACAAAACGCACTATTCAAATCGAATCTACCAATTAGGTATTGAAATGAATTATTTTAGCAACCTCAAAGGAAGGACTCTTTGACAACAAAGATATTTCAGAATGTAATTCGTTTAAAAAAGGAAAAACAAAAAAATCAAGATTTTAGAATAAATTCTTAGTGTGATATTAAACCTGAAAGTGAAGTTTAATTCAACAAAAGAAGGGTAGTAAGTTTAGAGAGTGAAAGTAATAAATAATCAGAAACATGTTAAATTTCAATTCCGAAATCAGTAAAGTTGTTGAAAACCGATCTACTTAAAAATAAAAAACAAGTCAATACGAGATAGGTAGTGAAATCGAAAGAGGGGTGCAAGTTTATAAAAGAATTATTATTTATCAGCACAATTAAGACAATAATAACTATTTATTAAAACATAATAAAATATCACAAAACAGTCGATATCAAGGATTTGCCACAATTATCTCCGTAGGATTAAATTGAATTATATAGTGCAGAATATGTAAATTAGATGAGATAAGACTTGAAGGTCAAAGTAGATTTTAGCTTTTACAACCTATTTTTTTGGAAATTTAATTCATGTTTCACTCTGACGATGTTAATATTGGGAATGATTGAATCTAATTCTAACTTTATCATTTCACTATTATTGTTCAATATTATTGAAAATGTACAAAATGGCAACAAAGAAGCAGCTCAATTGAATGCATTATATTTAACTTTTTTATCTCTAATTACAATAATTGGAAGACATTATTAATAGTAAATATTTATAAATAATTTTAGTATATAATTGAGCAAATTTGGAGGGAAACTTAGATAAATCTTGATGTATATTTTGATTGAGAAGATTTCTACGTTGTCGATTTGTTCAATTTAGAAATCAAACTCTGGTTCTATCTTAAATATCATATGCAGTGACCTATCCACCTTGGAATGGTAATATGGATACATATATTGTATACCAATTGTTCCGATCTCTTTATTGTGTTCTGGTTGGATTTTGTGGGTAATAACATTATTTGAATTCTAGCTTTAATTTCAAGGACCGTATGGTTTGATGGCAGTGCTAATTTGTGTGATTACTTATCCAACTCAAACAATAATCTAAAAATGCATTCAGTCCATGATAAAATAGTTGAAAGAATACTAGGATTTAAGATTGAAGTAGCAAACAAACTTTTTAGACAACATTCAAACTATCAAAATGTATTGTTGGTAAGAGTCTGTTAGATAAATGATATTAAGGACGAGACTTCTGGAATGGAAGAAACATATTTAAATTCAAATTTTAACTTTAATAGACAGATCTATTAATTAATCCATTAATATTTGGGGTTCCTTTTTATTTCTAGTCATCATCTATAATTTAGGAATTCCTTTAAATCTATAAAAGGTTATCTTGACTATATAATTAATGGCCTCCATTAGATATTATTGTGTACATCAAGTTTCGTATGGATTAAAAGCAATTATCAATTTGAATGTTATATTTAAGCGAATTAAAGACTTTGCATAGATTGAACCTCTTTTTGCTCAGATTCTGGAATTTCACAATGATCATCCAAATATCAATGGCTAAAGCTATCTTGAACTATCAAGTAATAAGGAGATGAGTTAATTCTCTTTGATAAAATTATCTGAAAAAGCGAATCAACAAACAAAAGCAAGTTTTCAGATACTGCAAGATGAAGCAATTACAATCCGTTCTGTGTATTGTTATTGGGAACTGTAAAAATAGCCTCTGTTGAAAAACATAAATTTTACTGCCAATAGAGGATAATTGATAAGTGTTATAGGCAAAACTGGATCAGGGAAAACCACCTTCCTATAGTTGATACTAAAAGAGATTCCGTATATTTAGGGTCAATTAGAATTATCAGACAATTTGACCTTTGGGTATGTTGAATAAGAACCCTTCATAAATCCCACTACAATAAAAGAGAATATTTTGTTTGGAAGAGAATACAATAAAGAGTTATTTGATGAGGTACAGATATCAACAAATATTGTTAGGTTTTGAAGGCTTCTAATTTTTTAACAGATCTAGTTGAGCTTCCAGACTTGGAGAATACAGTAATTGGAGATAACGGAGCAACTCTTTCAGGGGGTTAAAGAGCAAGGTTAAGTTTAGCAAGAGCTCTATATGCTATGCCAAGTGTGTATTTATTTGATGATCCGCTCTCAGCTGTGGACTCTAAAGTTGCCAAACACATTTTTTCTAAAGCAATCTAATAGTTTATCTTTTAATATTAGCCAACCAAAAGAAATAACCATCCTAGTCCAATAGTAATTTTGACGACTCATCAATTATCTTATGCATTAAAATGTGATTATATAGTTGTTTTGGAGGATGGTCAAATCATTTGTCAAGGGAAGGCTATCGATATTGGGTTGTAGATAGAAAAGATTTTGAATGTTCAACCTGTTGAAATAAACGAAAATGCTTAAAATAGCAGATAATAATTATCATTTACAAAAAAGAAATCAAATAATTTCAATCTATGTTAAAATCAAATAATTCTTTTGACTCCTAATGAACAAGTTATAAAGACTATTAAAAAGTTGATACAATATGTTACTACATCTAAATTGTTGTTAATATTAGCATTGAATATATTGACTGAAATAATCAGAAATTTATTTTATAGATTACTTACATTGAATGCAGATGATGAAGGTATCAGGAAATATGCCTTTTTGATATCGGTATTGGTAATAACTCATCTGATTAATAATGTATTGAAATATTCAATTTGTAGTTACGTAATCTTAGATATGAACAATAAAATATTTTCAAAGTCAATGTAGGCTCTGGCTCATGGAAAAAAGTCATTTTTTGATAAATAGCCAAGTGGTATAATCATCAATAAGTACTCAACTGATTTGTCCATCTTGGATAATCAGATGCCAATAGTGTTGATTGATATTTTTGAAGATGGTTGTTAATTTGTAGTGTCACTTTTGATGATTGGATTTCTTTAGCCTTTCTTCTTTTTACCGATACTACTCACATTGTTCTTAAGTTACGTTTTGTTTAAAACTGTGGTCCAGATACTATCACAATTAAAGATCAATGATTTAACTTAAAGAGCACCTTAATTGTCACAATTTAAGATATACATCTAAGGCTTGACTCATTATCGACTCTCTAATTAATTTAATCAATTGAAATAGAAGTTTTTTGCACTTGCAAATAATAGTTTTTAATCTAATTACATTTATCATCTGACTCAGAAATGTTTTTCATAGTATGTAGATTTGATAGCATTAATTACAAAAACATCTGGAACTTATCTCATAATAGCATTTATTGAAGACAACTCATTGTTTTCCCAAGCATTATTATTGTTATAATCATTTCACTCCCAGAACACATTGCTTAGACAATTGATGGAACTCAGTGGACTTTTCAATTCATATGAGAGATTATTAGATATTTTTGAGATTGAGAAGGAAAAGGATGATGAAAAAGGTAGTACAATATTGCCACGTGCTTGGCCAAAGTAAGGAAGTATTGTACTCAAAAACTTATCCTTGTAATATTGTGCCAATTAATAGCCAGTCTTAAAAAATATTGATCTGGAAATCAAACCAGAAGAGAAGATTGCATTTGTTGGAAGGACAGGTGCTGGTAAATCATCACTCATATCTGCATTATTCCGACTAGTCGACATTGGCTCTGAGAGTTCTATACTTATAGATGGTTGCAATGTTAAGGATTTATCATTAAATTAATTGAGAAGAGCCTTGGCTATTATACCATAACAACCCCTTTTGTTTTATGGATCTATCAAATAGAACCTGGATCCCCAAAATTTATATACTGATTCTGACATTTGGAAGGCTTTGTCAGAGGTAAATCTTGATGGCATGATCGAATAATAGAAACAGCTGTTGAATTGTGATATAATGGATCTGAATTTGTCAGCTGGTTAGAAATAGTAATTGTGTTTGGCTAGAGTAATTTTGATGAGAAGGAAAATCCTGATTCTTGATGAAGCATCTGCCAATATCGATATCTTGACAGATTAGGCCATTTAGGAAATCATACGCTCTAAATTCATGGATTGCACCATACTCACAATAGCGCATCGACTGAATACTATTGCACATTATGATAAGGTAATAGTGTTAGAAAATGGAGAAATTGCAGAATAGGGTAATCCCTTTGAATTGCTGAGTGATGATTATCAAGCAGAGTTTATCAATAAGAAAACTAAGTTTGCAGAGATGGTACTTGAAACTGGAAATATGAATGCTCAATAGATTTTTGGAATGGCGAAGGAATCTTATTATATACAATAGTTAAAAAAGAAATAAAAAGCAAAAATTTGACTTATTTTATTTATTCTATAATTAAAAATGTTATAAAGGCCAAATGAAAAACTGCAATAAAAAGTTTCATTATATAAGGACAAGATAAGAAGTTAATTGAAAAAAAAGATAGTTATAATCAAAGATCAAATGAAGCTGAGACATTCCAATAGTGATTGTAACTTATATGATTAATATGTCAAATAGTACAATTGGACACACCATTCTAAAAGTAATCGAATATCGCTGCTGACTTTTCTGACAATTATGAATTGGGAGAGAAATTAGGTGAAGGAGCACATGCAATTGTTCATAAAGCAATACGAAAATGCGATAATTAAGAGTTTGCTGTAAAAATATTTCGATCCAGCGACCCTGAAATAGTTGCCTCCATAAGAAAAACATACTAGATTGGATCTATGCTTCAACACCCTAATTTAATTAAAGTGAAAGAACTATATATAAATTAATAAAATGGATATTCGTATTAAGTTATGGAATTATGCCAATACCCAAATTTAGAAAGTTAGATAAACAGCTTGAATCTTAATGAAATAAAGACAGTTATGCGGTAAATTATTAATTTAAGTAACAATAGTGAATTACTGAATGGGATACTCTACATGCACAAATAGAAGATTTGTCATAGAGACATTAAACCTGATAACATCCTTTTTGACGGATAGAATGTAAAACTCCTAGACTTTGGAGTCAGCAAGAAATTCTACGTGAAATAACATCACATTGACATGTGGACACCCACAGGCACTTAGTTTTATTGTGCACCTGAAATATATACAAAGGTTAGTTACACTTACAAAGTAGATATGTGGTCGGTTGGAGTATTTATTTATATTTAGCATTATAGGTAATTCTCTATTAACTTTTAACAAAAGAGTTGCCATTTTAAGATGAGACTGCTCACGGAACCATTGAATTAATATGTAAAGCATAGTTCAAAGATCATCCTGCCTTAGATAAAATTAGCAAAGATCTCCTAAGTAGATTGCTACAGATTGACCCCAAAAAAAGATTCAATGCAGATGATGCATTAAAACATCTCTGGTTTCAAAATAAAGAAATAAAACAATAATGTATGGATGACATGATTGTACATGATGGCCTAGTTAATAATTCCTCATTAATTATCTAACTTAGCTAATCATAAAATAGGAATACTTATGTAAATAATTTTGAAACTAAAGTTGAAGCATTTATGCCTACAATACATGTCAAATAATCTTCATTTAGAGATTAATCATGATATACTGGGTTATTTCATTTTAATATTTACAACAACTAAAAAAATCACAATAATTATAGTATCTTTCCATGCAACTCTTGAATCATTTTGTCATTGAATTCTTATAATATCTTGTCTAATTTTAATTTAAAATTTTATTATCTAAGTTATTCCTTGATATTTTAAGAAATCAACAATCTTAATATTGAATCTAAAAACTATTTTATTAATCCAATTTCACTAACATCTAACAAACTACAAATTATTTGGAGAAATCCTAAATCTAACAACTTCTTTGAAACTATCTCATCTCCAGTTGCTTGTAAATTCAAGATTATGCTCATGCAATAACTCTTTTCATTTGGTGATGCTATGATATTCTCTATAATCTTGAACAGTACAGGATGAGTAATGATCTTTATTGCAGCATTACTATCATTGTAACTTAAATTTGCCAAAATTAAATAACTTTCTTTCCTAATGCTTTGTGATTTGTTACTTAAATTTTGTAATAACTTATCTAAAATTTTTAAATCCAATAATTTCTAAAGTTAATTAAATTTATACATGTGCAACTAATAATGAGTCTGATAAAGTGAATTACTTTATTATAACTAAGCATTTATCCATCATTGTGCATTGATGATTGATTATTGTTTCAAAAACATTAGATTCTAATAATAACTCATCAAATTAAGAATCATATAGTCTACCAAATGGCATCAGATAATCTTCGCATTACTCTTTTTTTAAAGCCTATAGAGCAATCTTAAGTCCTATGAACTTTTAATTGGAATCAATTTATTAATGCTCTATTAGGGAATTCAACAAAAATATTATGCTCGTTAAGAACTACCCTTCTGCAACTGAAACAAATTGCAATAAATTAGGAAGCAGATTCAAATATTACAATTTAAATTGCGATATGATGTTTCCAAGAAAAAAGAATATAAACTTGTATGAATTTTCTAAATTTTCAATAAACTAACTTTTCTATTCAATTTCTAAGACTTGATTCTATGAATAATCACTTTTTTATGGTATATTTGTTCCTGTTAATGGTTTCTATTATATCAATATATTTTACATTTTCGAACTATAAGTTTGCTTGAATGATTAAATTCATAGCTTATGTAATCAATGCCTAACTAATTGCACTGTTTGGAAATTATGAGTTTAAACATAAATTTGTTAATACTTGATAACACACCAACTAACCTAATTGGATAGATTATATGCAGAGCTCCAAGTATTAATTATTTAGAAAATAAACCTCATTTTGCTAATTGTCATTAATTTATTTAAAAATCACTTGATGTATTAATCCTAATTGAACCGCGTTCTTTTATTACAAACTTTCTTTTAATTGAGGAATTATTTAATCAAATTATATCTCAGGCAATTTCTAAGATAGCTAAAATTGCAATCTTTTCCTCTAAAAAAAGGATTCTTAATCTTTTTTCCTTATCTCCTATCTAAATTATTCCCTCATATTTATCATCATATTATAAGAAGTATTAGAATCCATCAATTAATTTATATGTAAAATTTTATATAAATTTAATTCATTCTATTGATATAATCAAACATGCTAAGATGAAAAAAAGTCATTGTACGACAACAGAATCTTAATATAAACTAAAGGCTATTATTATCTTTTCTATTGTTTAATGATTAATATATTATTGTTTAGGTGTTCGAACTGCTACCTCTAATTCAGGTTTTCAGCAGTTTTAGCTATTCTTTAAATTATTCTCTTTAGAAATTTCATTTCCTTTAAATTTTTCCTCTAGTTGATCTTAGTTTTATATTTCTTAGGTCAATAATAGGCTAGTTTTCCTTATCATAAACAGTTAAAAGTTTTTTAACCTTCCATTCAAAATTTATTTCTCTGTTATATTTATTTATCGAATCAGGTAATTCTAATAATTAAAATAAATCCTAGATTATGTGAGATACATAGAGATTAGATAAAAAATATCTTTCTCTTTTGAATTGTTTTTTGTATTATTGTTATATTTTCTGATTTTGTTATTTTTGTTATCATAGTATTAAGAATATAATTATTATTTTTATTAATTTTTTAATTTTGATGTTAGAATTATAATCACCAGAAAGGTGCATTTAGGGCAATAAAGTCAATGGATTAGATATACATATTCTTCGTTGTTAAACTATATACTTTAAATATTTTGCCGTATCAAATATATATATAGCAATTTCTTATTTACTTAAAGGGTTTGTCTTTTTTATTACAAATTATTGTTAAAAATACAATTTATTATGAATCTTTTGCTATATTATGCAACATCTCATTTCCCTACAATTCCTGCCCACAATTATATAAAAATGATTTCATCTCGATCAAAGAAGAATTAGTTTTTCAGGCGGAGAATTATCAAATCTCATTTAAAGTCAACTTATACTTATTTTATTGTCGATTGACATGAATATTAGTACTTAAAAATCTCATTTGGAAACTTAAGTTTTTATATTCATTTAATAATGTATTAATGGGATTTAGTAAATGAATCCAGCGATTAGTTAAGAATGTTTAGCTATTGTTTTATACTTTGGAGTGCATTATTTATACTTTGCTATGATAGGATTAAATTGAATAATCTTAGTTCTAAACGACAAATAGATGTTTTTAACCGAATCGTCTCAATTTTGCATGGACAATTTACTTTTTGGGGATCGCTTATTGTAATACTTTCTCAAACTCCTTACTAATTGTAGGAGATGAATTCTTCTGAGATGCAATTCGTTATGATAGTCAGTGCAGGCTATTTTGCATACGACGTCATAATTTGCACTTATTTCGATTTATATGACTATTGGTTGATATTTCATCATGTAATCAGTTTAATGGCCTTTGGAGAAAGCATTCTCTATAAGAAATATGGACATATCATTATATGTAACAGCTATACTAAATTCCTATATAGTCGGTATGTTCATAACAGAGATATCAAATTTGCCAATGCATCTTAGACATATTTTGGGTTGTTTTGGATTGAGATAAACAAAGATTTATGAATCGATTGAAATTCTTTATTTCTCATTATTCATAATTTTTAGAGGCATCCTGAGTCCAGTACTATTAATACGAACTTACGAAGATCTCCATGCTCCATTGTTGATTAAAATCTCAGCCTCTGGATTGTTGGTGTACTCAGCCTATTACATCATTGAGTAATTCTAATTAATTCTAATTTTAGGATGATCAAAATCACCTAGAGAAAAATCAAATCGTACAGAGAAAGAAAGAGAAGGAACTTGAAAATGTATTGGTTTTCTTAGAATCCTTTACTGCCATCACAAAAGTACGTAGACTCAATATTATGAAAATATTAATTATTAGATCTATTACATTTTTACAATACGATTTAAAAATTTATCTCTAAATTTTATATACATAATTAAGTAATCATTTTTGGAACAAATAGATTTTAATCAAAATTAAAAAGTAATCCTCTCAAATAATAATTTTATTTTGTTTGATGAATAAATTTACTTTAAAATTCGATGATGACATCCTGGAAGAATAATATTAAAATGTTAAACTGGCAAAAATAAGAAAACCAATATATATAGGATTGTTAGCTCTATGCTTTTGCATGATCGGTGCAAATGCTATACTAAATTTGTTTACTTCATAATAGTCTCTTTTAAAAAAATATATCAATTATTCATACCTTATTTTTATGGTGTTCCAAGCTATTCTAGTATACAAAAAGCCTACTCTAATAAAATACTTATTGATTGTATCAAATATTACCACAGGTTTGTTATAATTTAATTTTAATGATTAGACATCAGCCTAAATATACTATGCATAAAGCTCATCATTTACTTAACTATAGGCAGTCGCGTACTTCATTTCTGATTTTCGAGACGGAGTAATACAGGTTATAGCCTTGTTGGTTATGCGATTGATGATTACCTCAATAAAGATCGATGATGTTGATTTGCAGACGGTTTTAATAGGGATAGCTTCGACGTCATTCATTTTAATCGCCTTGTATGTTAATGACCAGAACTCAAGAAAAGAATTTCTGTCAAGTATTTCAGAAGATTTATGGGATCATTCATTGTCCTTCCTTATTAAAAAACCACATTTTAGGGTACAATACAATAAGGAATATATGAAAATTGATTTAATTTCCTAACATCAATTATGTGATTTCCCAGGGTATGACGAAAATTTGTGCGAAGGGTGTAATTGTCGATAAATATTACACTCGTATCAATACTAATAATCGACTTTAAGCGAATTCGTTTTGGAGTAAGCATAAACAATTCAAAATTCAATTTAAGTCCATTATAAAAATCATTTATTTCATTTAAGAATAGTGTGTGTTGGAATTAAGAATTTGAATTTTATTGTAATTTTCGAATAAAAAACTGCTGATGGTTATGGATAGATAGTCCCAACAAAAATGCGAAATGTAATTTTTCAATAAATTAAATCATAATAATAAAGATCAATTTATTAAATTTTTTTTAATTAAGGATTATTATCTATTTTATTAATTAATTAGATGTAATTGAAAGAAGTAGAAATAACTCAAATTTTTAAAAAGCTGAATAAATAATATAAATATTCGATGAAACCTATTAAAATACTTCCGAAAGGTATTAAATTAAAACTAAAAACCTATTCCTCCTAATTGAAAGTATTTTTAATTCAAATTTTCCAAATCTTTGACTAAGTATCCCATAAAAGGATCACTATATCATTTCAAGACATAGAAGATTGTATTCTGATGCAGATTTAATTTAAATAGAACCTAGAGAAAAATATCAACCTCTTATTTCTAAACCTATATAGTTAAAACATATTTATTCAAAAAATAAAGCCACTCTTGCTATTTAATGAATTAAATATTGATCTGCAAATACAGTTCAAAAAACACATAAAGTACTAACTAATTTGATGATTTTATTAATATGTATATATATATATCAAGAGATTTTCATATCCCTATCCAACATGGTGTTCTCATCTTGGTAATTATTAGTATTAATTCTCGTTTCTACATTTGTATTAGTGGCTCTAAAGGTATGAGGCATTAGTAATTTAGAAGCCCTATTTTAGGGTAGAGACTTAATCTTCTATTCTAATTATTAGCTTTCTTTTAATTTTTCTCTTTAATTTTAGCATTAATGATAAGCTACACATAACAGAATTAATATGACAATCATCAGTAAAATGAAAAATAACAATTGAATTGAAATGAATTAAGAACTTTAGTTAAAACGAACCTTAAATTCTCTTTGCTTCCAACCTTAATTAGTTCTATACAGTAATTTATACTTTCGTTCAAATTATTTTGAATCCGCTAAAATTTGTATAAATTATAATACTATCAATGAAGCACTTAATTTAAAATGGCTAAATTTTTGGTTAGAATAGAAATAAATATTTAGATGTTGTTCCATAGATGTTCGAATCAGCCAAAACAAATTGCTTAACTGAAGTTAATTGAAAAGGGATGGCATTTTATTTGTCCAAGTAATAAATGAGAAAATGAGTGTGAAATCCTTAAACAACAATAAACACCTCATTAACATCAATGTCTAGTATCTTATTTGAGATGTTGAATCTATTGACAGAACCCCACTTTCTACTATTGATTTCAATAGTGAATTAGATGACATAATATTGATTTTTAGTTTTATAAGCAACAAAGACAGAACCACCATTATTGATGGTTAATGCGATTCCATCATTTTTTGGACCAACATTCTTCAAAAGTAATTTGCTCGAGATTTCTATATTGGATATTGTCAAATCAATTACGATAACACCATTGATCTTACATAGTATATAGAGTATATAATATGAGTCGTTTACTTTTGAAATTGAAAAATCTCTAAAATCAACTGCCAATAATCCAATAGTTTAATTGTTTAAATTATAAGACTAATATTCTTAATTTACAAAGTAAATGTCTAAACCATCTGATCCAATAGCTGAAAATAAATAACTATCCACTATTTCAGAGTAATATCGAGTCTGTCTACTTTACCAATTCTAAATATCGCTCTATTGTTATTGTTTATGGTGATCAAAATTCAAGTTGTAAGCATAGTTAGAATAGGCAAATATAAGATTGTTTGAGTAGCCAATGAGTTGAGGTAGTGAGTCCTAGTAATTTGTGAAATTAAGATTATATGTTTCAGTCGATTTCGAATTTAGGCTGACATGAAAAAGGCGATTATTTATTGTTAATCCATATATATCATTTTCCCCAAGTATCACCATATCTATTAGGAGATCAGAATCCTCAGATACAACTTCGCTTCCTTATTCATTAGTGGATAATGCAAATGTCTACCCTTCTGTGTATAATGTTCTATTTGAAAGATAGCAATACTGTGCATTAGTAACTATTTTGTGTTCATCACTAGGTTAATTGTAATCAATACTCAATCTGAATTAGTTGGGCATCTAATGCATCCATTGCTTCAAATAAGGTCTTAACTTCACCAAACTTAACAAAATAGGATTAAATTGCTATGCTCAGAGTGGGAAAAAGGATATAAATGAACGATAGCATGAACTTAGTATAAATTGCAAATGTATTATTATATTATTTAATATATTCATATGGCGAATTCCTATTTAAATATTAAAGCATATTTCGCAACGTCATCCTATTTATAGGATGATAGTTTTTGAATTATACTGATTCCATCCAATCTCTCAAATAGGGTAAAGTATTAATTGAACTTTTTATCCTTAACCTTGATTTCCCCTTTTCTGATTATTTTGATGAGTATTTCGAGTCCTTTCTTGAGATGATTGGGAGCAATCTCTTTTTCATTTGCAATTTCCAACATTCTGAGTAGATATTGAATAAGTCCACTTTTAACGAGTTGATTGACATCCTCATTAGTCCCATGTTGAATTGCATTTCCAATCACTTCTAATGAATCTCCTCTTAGATTTGAATTATCATCACTTAATGATCTAAAAAGAGAGACCAGAAAGTTTTGATTGGATAAAACCTTAAACAACGTTTCCGTGGCTGCAAAAGTCTATATCATGTCTCCACTGTTCTCTCTGCTTTTTGGATCGACAATCATTCTGATGTGAGCAATAAACCCACATTCTAATAAGTATTTTATTTAGTCTTCAGTCCCATAAAATATGCACTCAAAAATTCGAAGAATTGATACAAAATTGCCCATCGGTAATAGATTAATCAATTAAGGCACAACTCCGCTGTTTATTAAAGCAGCAATCCTGTTGGGTTCTCCATCAATCATGTATCCCAAGGCCCATATGGCGTCGTTGATCATTTTTAAATTTTATTGATTGAACTCCTCCATAATTACTTTTGCAAATATTTCAAATGCAGCCTATACCTTATCAAATCTGGGACTTGGTCTACCTATACACAAATTAGCCAAACACCAAATGTATATCGATTTGTATCGCGAATCCATTTTGCTTATTATTTTCTCCATGCTGCACACTTGCAATATAGAATCTCGATATCTCACAGATTCACCAGCCAATTTACCCAATATTGTTATTATTAGCATAATCAACTCACTCTAATTACCATCCAGTACACTCAAAGATAATTATAGAATTCCATTTTCCATGATAATTCTTGTTATTTCACTTCTACCACCGGCTAAAATTGAAATGATCTCTAAAATTAGAATATATAATATAAACAACATGCAGCTTCAAGTTTTATTAAGTATGTACTCCCGTATTAAATCACATGAAATAAAATAGGAATCAGCTCATTTTCTTTAGCTATCAATTCTGTCTATTCAAAATTCTTCTTAAATTATTGAAATGCATATATACTGATAATGTTCTTCTCAACCCAATTGTTGCTCTGTGACTTTCAATAAAATTCTCTGATTTCAGTGCTATTATAGCATCCTTGGCAGATACATGATCTTCGTCCATTCTTAACATTTAAATAATTTCATCCTTCAGCTCTTGACAGATTTACTCCTGTTGCACTAAGTCTTCATCCTTATAATTTTGTTATAATTTTTTAATGCCACCTAATTTCTGACTATTTTTCATGTTTTCCTTGTTTTTGTAAGAATAAAAGAAGATTTTAATTATTTTTTCTCACCCCCTCCTAATGGGTCATTCATAAGAAATAATAATAATCATAAACATTAGTGTGAAGGATATCATCAATATTATAATATTTCAATCCAAATCAGTTCTATAATTATAATCATATTTATTACTATTTTATTATTCCTTGAATAAGACATTAAGCAATAATTTTAAGCATTATAATTTATTAGACGAGTAGTATATAATACGTTTTAAATGTTTGATATTTAATTGTTTTCATATTACAAATGTTTGAAAGGGAAAAAATTAAAAGATCTATGTATAATATCATATTATAGCAATCAAGTCGATTAAAGAACTTCATTTGGACTAATGTATTTTTTACTATGATTAATTTTTGAGCTTTTTTGGTTAGGTAATTCAGTTTATTGAATATAATTTTTAGAGAGAATATTACATTGCTCTCCTTAACTTCCTTATCTAAAATTAGTATAGTTCTTTGATTTAATTCTTGAATTCATCACTTTGATATTAGGGTTTAGTTGTTTAATCAATATAATTAAAATTGAAATTATATAATTATCATGGCAACGACAGTTTTTTGATTGCTACTAACAATTTCTGACAATTTTATCAAAATTCTTCTTTTATTTGCATTCTGAGATCTTGTACTTCTCTTTAATAGAGTACATAAGCTCAATTTATTTTATGATTTCCTGTTTATAGAGAAACCATATGCATTTGAATTTCAGTAATAAAAAATAGTAGTAATCAATTCCTAATCAACATGCACTCATTCTACTATAACTTAAAATAGTCTATTAGGTAATTAATAGGAATAATCTTTATTAATAATACTGTTAATGTTACTAATTTTAGGTATAAATCTTATATAGAGTGCAAGGTTAGATTGCACACTTCTAGTAAGAAATTATTTTAATGTAGGAAGATTATAATCAAAGCTAAAAGGAATACTTTTAATTTGAAATCTCAAATAAAAAAAAAGAATCCAAAATTGCCAATTTTTAATGAAACCTTGTTTCTTAGCTATATCAGTAGCTCAGGCATGTTATATCATATCAGATATTGTAGAGAGTATGAAGAAAGCACTTTTGGTTAAATGAAAAATAAAGTATCTTTTATTTTTTTTATTCCAAGAAGATCAGTGCTGTCTTTCAAATTCTATTTTATTAATCAAAGAGTGATTTATCAGCACAAATGTAGTAAAGAAGATAATCGTTTTTTAAATAGTTCACTAATATTTATTTACCATAACTAGATATTATTAAGAGAAATACAATTGAAATTTTCATCTGAGCTGAAAATCTTAATCAAAACCCTCCAGTTCAATTTAATCTTCAATTGATGGTTACTCTGCAAATTCAAATGATCTAAGTATTGTATATAATTCTATAGGTCAAGTTCATACAAATCAAGATCCTATTTGGCAAGACTTCTAATACTCTTAAAAGTAAAATGAGGCTTTTTTCCAATATATTTCTCATAATTTATTATTGTATTTTTAGGTTTATAATTACAAAAAAATGAAATCTAGGTATTTGGAATTATAAAAATTCTTAAATTGTAAGATCTATCATACGTAAAAACTTTCCTTATTAATACGTATGAAAACAAAAAGATGAATTTGTCTAATTACACTATAATTGATAATGCTCATTTAAATTCATATTTTAAGTTCATCACCTTCTAGAATTCTTTCAAATTTCTATAAATTAAATATCCCCATAACTTTAATTTACAGGAACTTATAGCCTACTAATTTATTTTTTCTTCAATTTGAAATATATAGTATAAAGACCCTTGTCTTTTCAATTCATTAGGTTCTTTATTAATGAGCTTTGACCAGATTCCTAAGTATTAGAGGACAGATTCATAATTATTAATAGTTTTGATCAACGATCATTTTGAGAATAGCAATTCAATTTAAATTATAAAATATTTTTAAGGTGCTCTATTGGCAAAGAGATATCAGAAGGAATGGATCTTGAGGTCTAAGTTATTTTCAATGGTTCCTTCCTATTGTAGGGAGATAAAGTAAGGTCGGAGGCCTAAGGTGCCTAGCTCGATAAGTAGAGTGTTTTGAGGGTTTTTCATTTTCTACAAGTATTCAGGAGGATTGGAAATGTAATTTGCTTATTACATTATTAAATTAATAATTTATGGAGTAATTTTTAAATGTATATAAAGAATTGAAAAAGATGGTCAAGATGAGTAGTTTCTATCAGGCTTAGAAGAAGGAGTAGAAGAGTAATGGGAAACAGTAAAAGATCAGTCAGAAGTCGAAGAAAATAAAGGAGGCGCCGCTGGCTTCTAGGGAGGAGTTGATGCAGAAGTTGAAGAATAAGATAGATAGTTTGAAGGCGGACAGAACTACGAAGAAGGATTATGTGCCGGAGAGGAAGTAGAGATAATAAAAAAAGAAATGAATATATTATAATATCGAAATGGAAAAATAATATATTTGTTAAATAATTAATGTAAAAAGTAGCATTGGCTTTGTATGAGTACATTCATAAGAAGTACGTAGCCAAGATGATCCGTAGATCAGATGATTTGTATTCACGCCAGGTACGTGAGCCATTTGATTGCTTAGATAGAATTCGACATGGGAGAAGCAGTTAATTTGAAGGGGATCCCTTCAGCTGAGCTAAGCAATGGTATTCGCTCATATTTATCCTACCCACAAATGTTCCGTGAGTACGCTAATAGACCTGGGAATTGGATTTTCATAATAATTAATATCATTTGTCTATCAATAATCGATTTACATGGTGAAGACTTTTCTCTTTTTTATTAGTTTGTAATTCCTTTATTAACAGGCATTGCTGCATTTCTCGTAAAGATGATTTATTATCAATATATCAAATACTAATAGGATGAACTTGTTAATAAGAGGAAAGTGACTATTTTTAAGAGATTAAAAAAAGGGTGTGCTGTCAAAAAACCTAAATAAGAAAAAGCGTTGCAGGAGGGGGAGAACAAAAATAATAATCCTCCTAAAAATGAGATCGTTCTGCTTTCAGCCCCTCGCAAACAAGACATGTACAAACCCATGATAATATCCTCATTCCGAGAGGACAAGAAGATGGTACTATCCCCTCCGCTTCAAACGGAACAGAAAGTTCCAATATTCGAGACTGTGTACTGGGATCAAGTTGAAGTCGGAGATATAATATTTTTGTAAAGGAACGAAATTTGTCCAGCTGACATTCTGATTTTGGAGTCCAATTTAGATCATTGTTTTGCAGACGTCACAAGTTTCAGTGGGAACACAAATTAGATTCAAAAGCAACCAAACATTCTAACAGCGATGTCAAGAGTCCATCAATTCAAGAACAATTGCTTCGAATATCGTTTGTTGTTGAGTGGGAAGGTGAATTACGATCGACAATCAAGTGACAAATCTCTTTACTCAGGTTTTGTGAGATTGAAGAATGACCCTCAAGCTATAGACATAAAAAAGGAGAACATCCTATTCCGAGAGCAATTGCTCTTGAATTGTGATTACATCTACGGTTTAGTGCTGTATGCTGGCATGTCTTCTCGTTATTATTACAACCAACCAAAGAACAGAATAAACAATTCCTTCTTCTACACAAAGATAGATCGTTTCTTTTAATTTACTCTGATCCTCTTGATAGTGTTGTCATTTGCCTCTTGGATGGCAGAATCTCTGCGTTACATCTCCTATGGGAGAGGATGGAGTCTGCAAACTTTGGCTAAATACTTGCTGGGATACTTGAACATGATTCCCTATTATCTGCACTCCATCATTGACTGTTAGACTCTCATTTCGATGATCATAAAGAGTCATCAATTCAAATCCAGCACTAAAGAAGAAACCATTAAAGACAAAGACACTCCCTTCCAATTGCAGTCCTTCTATTCCAGAATCAATGACACTCCCTTGGCTGATTTGAGTCTTGTTGACAGTGTGATTTTTGATAAGACTGGCACAATGACCATACCCTAATTTAAATTGAAAATGATCTCAATCAACGACCAAATCTACAACATCAACAGCAAAACCTTTGTGAATAAGACCAATTGGAAATCCATTCAAAAATAGCAACAAGATCATTACGAAATCCAACAGTACTTCTTAAAAGACACCCAATCTCCTGTCAAAGTGGCATCCTAAGTCAAGATATCTCCTTCTCCAAAATAAATGAATGGCAGTACCAAGCGTTCTTCAATCAAACCAATCAAACCAGAAGAGTACATTCCACCTTCCAATAGTGAAACCAATAATAACGATTAAGCCAATTTTGATCCTGAGGAGATGGTGGATGACCATACCAAATTAAAAGAAATCCATAAAAGCAAGCAACCCAAACTCTTCCAAGACTCCTGGGGTTCCAACACAGATATCGTCAATGCCAACAACAACAATCCCCCCAGTCAGAACAATCAGTAGAATTCTTCTTAATAGAATGAGATCAAAAGACAGACCTTTGTTGGAGGAGTGACCATTCGACGAAAACAAAGTATTAAGTTGGATAGATCGGATAAGTAGCAACGCAGGATGCAACTCGAGAAGTCAATGGTGTTCACCAAGTTTCTTTCGGATGAAGGTGTTAAGGCATCATTTGAGAGATTGAGTGATGACCAAAAGAATCTGGATGAGAAGGATCTCTTTAATCGCCTGATTGCTTCAGAGACCAAGAAGTAAACTGAAGAAGGCATCTTTATCTTGATGATCTGTCACAACACTTCCTCCTCTTTTAATAAGACTGAGGATCTGTTTAAACATGAATTCTCATCGAATGTGGACAATCTGCAATTGGACTTCATATCGAACTTCGATTACAAGTTTATTTGTGCAGCCAAAAATAAATCGAAGTACATCTTGGAGATCAATGGAAATCTAGTTGAAGTCCCAGTGACTGTCACACAATTGGAACATTATAAAATCAGTGTTATAATTTCGAGGTAAGATTATACACGATTCTTTGAAGATGTAGACTTGGCTTATGAATATGTTTAATTTATTAGAGATGACAGTCAAGAAATGAGTGAGCAAATCCTCATGGACAAAGAGGAGAGAGACAAATGGGATGCTATGATCTACAGGATGCATCAGAATGGTTGCAGACCAGTGATATTCTTCAAATCCTTCTTGGATGCAAATCAACACACCTTGTTTCTCAAAAACCCGATTCAAGAGTTGAAAACCCAACCCAGAGCCTACGAATTGTGTTTGGTTATTGGCATAAGGGAGAAACTCAGAAAATCCATCACTACAGTAATCAAGAACTTTTTAGCAGCAGACATGATTATTTGGATAGCCAGTGGTGACACCTTGGACAAAGTATTACCCATCGCCTATAAGACTGAAATCCTTAAGGATCTCATTCCTATTATACACTTTGATCAACAGGAAGTCAATCTACAAATCAAATAATAAATCTAATGGTTATATAATAATCAAATTAAGCATTTAAAAGAGGACTCCATCAGTGTGGAAAAAAGACAATCAGAACGAATGGTGTTGAGTCCCAATCAAAAGAGAAGGTCCATTCATTCCAATGCCAGAAGACAGAGCACTAAAGGGTTGTTGCCTGGATTGCCAACTACCCAATAGAAGATTAAGCCATTTTCAATCCTTATTCATGGGGAAACCTTGGAGAAGATATCGTAGGACAATTCTTTATTTAACCATCTTGCTTTCATCATTGCCTTCTCCACTTCTGTAGTAGGATACAGAATGACTAAATCCTAGAAGGCTATTCTGGGGAGAATCTTACAGGAGAAGTAAGTGTGGAGAAGAAAGATTCTAGTGATCGGAGATGAAATCAATGATAGTCAGTTGATGGCCTATTCGGATTTCGCAATTCAGTTACAAAGTGAAAGACAACTACAAAAGGCAACCATAGAGAAGATGGAACAATTACAGAGAGGCAAAAAGGATCAAAAGAGCTCCAGAATGTAATTGACTAGTGGCAAGAACCTCAGCACCATCATAAGTATTGATTACATTTAAATTAGAACATTCGTACAAGATAATCCCTTTTATTGGAATGGCAGACATCGTAGTGAAAGACTGTAAAAATCTCATCAGTTTGGTTTTAAATGAAAGTAGGTAATCTGCTGAATTACTAGAGAATATTATCACATTCTCCTTTTATAGAAGTTACCTCCTATGTTTCACTCTATTTTTCTAGATCTTATTCACTGGAATAACATTCTACCCTCCTCTAGATTTCTTTTAGAGTTTACTTTATATAATTCCTTGCTTTTCAATGTTCCTTTAGCGTATAACTTAGAAATAGGAGAAAGTGAGCAGCATGAAGAATTAGTTGGTCTTTTTCTATAATCAGAACCAGTTGGATTTCAGACAAATGAGATATTGGTTGTTCTTCTACAAGGTGATTTTGTATTCGGCATTTGAAGCCCTCATCATTTCGGTGACTCTCCAGAACATGGATTTGAAGAGCAACTAAGGATTCAGCTTTGACGAATAGATGAAATCGATTCAATAGTTTGTGATCATACTGCTATTGGATTTGACTAAACTGCTTACTAATGCCAACATCTATTAATTTATCATTTTGCCTATTGCCTACTTCGGATTATGCACTGTCGGTTATTTAGACTACTTCGACTATTAATATGGGGAATTATTCTAGTTCGTACTATCTTTGCAATCTATTCTCTTTATCATAGCAATCTAGTTGATGTTCTTTTGTTTCTAGAAGATCCTGACTCAGTTCCACTCCATTTACATGCACAATCACATATATTCACCCGAGGATCAAATAGAAATTAACAATAAAATCAAGCCAATCCAGATTTACAACTAAAAGAGGAAGAACGAAAACATAGTGATAAACATCTAGAAGTACGTGTTGAAGTTATTCAAAAACGAAGAAGAAATCGACCCTATAATAAAGCAAGTGCTCTCTGGGATCGTCTTGAGTGTGAAGACTACCAAGATTAACAAAATCACACAGACCTTCAAGAACATGCAATTGGAAATTAAGTATCAACTGAACGAATTGCCCTCCATCATTGAATATTATCGACTCTACTATCCACTGAGTTGGATGTTGGTGGAAGGAGCCATCTTGGTCTAAATTTGGTTGATAAACACTGACGTAGATTATACATGGTTCCTGTACTTCACCTTCGGATACAATGCAGCTCAGGTATTGATGGCCTTGTTCATCTACACTGTTGCCTTTAAGAAGTATCATTTCAGAATCAGCAAAATATTGATTACTTGCAGATTGATCTATAAGATCATCTATGATGCCTACTTCTATCAGGATAACAACAATGAACTGACAGACATGTTGATTATGCAGTTGTTCATGTTGCAACCCCTTATTGATGACAGGCCCTTGACAATCATCTTTTATTGTTTTGTAGTGAATATCAGTTTCATCATCAGATTCAGTGCCAACAACACCACAACTGATGAGAATTTCAATAATTACATCATGTTGAATTACTATCTCATTGCCTTGATGCAGACAGCCTTGTCCAGTGGAATGCATCTTAGAATCCAGAGGAACTCCAGGGAGGAATTCATTCAGATGTTGACTCTGGATCAACAAACCAATTCCATTAGTGACACCCTGAGCATTTTGATGCCCAGATTCATTAGAAACATGATCAATCAAAAGGGAGAATTCGACATTTAAGAGAATCAAGGAGAAGTGGCAATTCTATTTTGTGACATCTGCCAATTTGATAAAATTATTAAGACGGAGAAGGAAAATGTGATCCATCTGTTGGATATCCTCTTTAGACAATATGATTCCCTATGCAGTTAATATGGATTATAGAAGATTGAAACAGTCGGTAAAACATACATGGCAGCAGCAGGACTCAAAAACATAGCCACTCAAAGCAATGTCAACCCAGTTCTCAGGACAATTCAAGTGGCATTCGAAATGAGGAGATTTGCTCAGCAACAAAACTTTGGTACATCTGAGGAGATCATCGTAAAGATTGGTGTTCATTACGGGAATGTTATTGCTGGAGTCATTGGATATCACAAACCTTAATTCTCATTGATTGGAGATACTGTTAATACAACTTCTAGGGTTTGTTCAACTGGTCAAGATGGTTAGATTAAAATATCGGAGGAGGCCTATGGATTAGTGAGTGGATCACAGGATTTCCTTTTTACACAGGATATTGTCGATGCTAAGGGGAAGGGATCAATTGTCACTTACATCCTATCTGAATAATAGATGACAAAGAATTTGAGAAATAAGAATAAGTCTTCAAAACAGAATACTAACAATTACCCTTCGAATTCTGTAACTGCCATTGACAACCCTGCCAAATTTAACAGAGACAAAAAAGTTAAGAGAAAACCAACTCTAGTTTTGCCTCATTTGAAAAACAATACAAAATTGCAACACAAATCTAGTTTGAATGTGGATGCTCATCAGCAGTAGCAATCACACGGTGATAGTGATCATGCAAATCATGTTGGATAGAAGTTCTCTGTTGAAGGTGCCAATTTGATTGAAGCAATAGAGATTAAATTGGGGAAGGAGAATTTATTGGTTGATGAAAACTTTGACTTTCTAAGTGGAGAGATCGAGAAGGAGAAACTAAAATAATTAAATCAAAACGAAGACGAATTCAAGGAATAGGATGTTCTTATTCTAGATAAGAAGAAATTATTCCTAGATTTCCATCCAGATGTAGATCGTTAACACATCGAAGACTTTTATAAAGAGTTGACTAAGAAGAATGCATTGTTGGTGATATTATTGAAAGCTGGAGTGGCAACATTACTATTAGTCTAAAATACCTCTACGATTCTAATTTCTTAGATCTTTGAAAACTAGTACACGTGGTTTATTAATCTGAGTTTCGGGTATCTTATTGTTACAATCAAGTTGGGGTTTCTAATTCTTTTGTTAAGGAAGCAATACAGAGACAGAGTATTCAAAGAAACTTACTTTATTTACAGCTACATCATAACCATGGTTTGGTGGATCATACACATATTCTCATACTAGAGTTTTATTGTTGGAGAAATATGCATTGCTGTCGGAGTATTCTTGTCCTTCATGACATAACTCAATCCAATCATCAAAATGAAGTACAAGGTCATTGAAAGCATTTCAATGATCTCAGTCAATTTGATTGTTGTGCTAGTAAAGAATTGGGAGAAGAGTCTAATTTATTATGCTATCATTCTATAATTGATTTTCATTTCTAATCAAATTTACAAATTCAATAAGAATGTTCAAATGTATAACAACAAATGCAAACTCAAAGCAAAACATTAACAACTGGATTAATTGGTAAAGCATCAACTGCCAAGACACATGTTAGAACAATTTCTGAAGTTCCAATAACAAAGGGCTGTTTTGAAGGACAGTTATGATAATGTTACATTACTTTTTGCAGATATCGCAGGGTTCACTGAGTATTCAAGTAGAGTACCGCCAGAATAGGTGGTATTTATGTTGAGAAATCTATTCACTGAATTTGATAAGTGTTGTTAGGAGAAATCAGTCTACAAATTGTATACTATCGGGGATTGCTATGTTGTGATGGGAATGTTAGATGCGAAAGACAGGAATATTGCATAGGAAGCAAAAAACACTGTAGAATTAGGGTTTGAGATGATCAACATTATCAAGCGAGTCAGAGATCATATCAACTTCTAAGGGTTGGATATGAGGATAGGAATTCACACAGGATCCATTATCGGAGGAGTTTTGGGCACTGAGATTGTCAGGTATGACATATATGGGCCCGATGTCCTTGTGGCAAATAAGATGGAATCAAAGGGAGAGAAAGGGAAGTTGTAGGTTTCATCCAGTACGAAGGAGATCTTGGAGTAACATTATTCTGAAGAATTTAAATTTACTTTCCACACCACAGTGGACATACCCTCAATCGATAGATCTACAGATGGCTTCTTTGTCAATTTCAAGTCTTATGATGAACCCTCGATGGATGTACAGGATGAAGTTTCCGATTGTTGACTCTGATTAGTAGTTTGATAACCACATATTCCATATTTTGTAATTTCACTTTTTATTTAAATTTTATATGTACTTGTGTCTAATCGTTTTCGTTCGTTCAATTTATGGAAGACAATCTATTACGGCTGTGTTTAACATCTAAAAATAGATATTAAAAGTTAAATTAATATTAAAATTTGATGCTCTTCTTATATTATCACATAGGATTTGCTGGTTTCATTTTCTTAATTCAGTTGTACCTGCTATGTAGGATGTATAGAAAGAAGAATATTACAAATGCATCAGCAATAACCCCATCGAATATAATGAAGACAGTTCCTTCAAGTAGAACACATCATTCGACTCACAGATCTTCAAAACATTCTGCCTAATCTGACGATCATCACATCATCACCTTATAAAATACTCAACGTTTACATAGAACTCTTTAAAAAAAAGGAACATTTACAATTGAGTCAGTACCAGAAACCAATTAATAAGTCAGAAACAGTATTAAATCAAATGCTGCAGTGTCTCCAGCTCGAAATATACTCAAAACACCTACTCTAATAAGAAAAAACTCTGGCTACCAAGTAATTAAAACAAACACTAGAATTGAAACGCAATAGTTTAATCACCATCAGCCTAACAATCTAGCTACCATACCATCTTTATAAGAATTACCGGATTCGGTTAGATAGAGTGAAATCTAATTGATAGGAGAAATCAAATAAAATTAAGATAATAGATAAAATTATTTTTATACTAATACTGTTTATAGAGTATTAACGAGATGTGTCATATCTCAGGGGTTGATTGGTTGCTTTTTGATTTTGGGATTGCACCCTGCCTTGTGTGTATTAATAGATTTGGTCGCAGTTTGGATATTCAGATTTTTGCAATCGGACAGGAGGTGGGTTCAAGTCCTGCAATTATTCATTAGCTTTGGATTTGACATTTCTATTCTTCTCTTATTCTAAATCGATCTAACTTGGACCATCTCCTTAGTCGTTCTTGTCTTCGTTGATTCAGTCTTGGAGGTGATAATCCTTAAAGCTTAAAGATCTACTTCTTAAGAAACCATTCAAACTCAAAACTGAAAAAAATTAATATATATAATTATATTATCCATATACATTTTTCAATTAAATTAAGAAATGAAGAATTTTTTTCATGTCTTAAAAAATAATTATATATATAATTAATGACGGAATAATTTGTTGCATAATGAATCACGAAATTTTGAAAATAATATATTTTAATGATGAAATATTATAATTCAAAGCTCAGCAATATCTTATTTATTCAAATCAATATTAAATACACTAAAAAAATGTAAAGGAAATAGTAATTCGAAAGTGATTTCAATAATTTCTAAGAAGCCAGCAAAACCTCACTCGATTAAATGTTCAAACAACAAGACCTCAATGAAAAGCATAAGGAAACCTGTCTCAGAAACGCTAAGACTTTTGAATTATTTGCCACTTGTATGACTTCTAGATTTATGTAGGTATGGAAAGACATGAGGGCAAAATAGACAATATAGCTAAGTATCTCTCTATGAAGATGCTCTTCATCGAAAAATAAGCATTAGAATGCTACAAGGGAAACACTAATGATCGAGAATTCGAAAGATGCCATCAAAGAGTCGAATAGCAGCTTCACGATGTTTACAGTGCTTACTACTAAGGCTTACTAAACCTTTGACTTCATTTATATTATTTAATAATCAATTGCCAAATCTTATTTTTCCATCATTAACTTTATATAAATTTTTACATTTTATATAATTATAATCAATTTCTCAATAAACTCAAAATGTTCTCAAATATTTTATACATGTTGATCAGATCACTCATATACTCATTATGATAAGTGGCCTACACTTTATTCTATTACATAACCGATTGTCATACATCATCATTGCATGCAAAACAGCGACCAACATAACCAGAAACACACCTCTAACAATAATTATGAGCACAAGGAATCACAGTAATTGTATTGTGCAATTCCTTTCTGCAGAACTTACATGTTAACTATTACTTAAACATAAACTATCATAATAAGTATTTGGTACAGTGAATTACTCCAATTGTTAAGATTTGATTTATAAATTCTTCATCTTAATTTAACTCTCGTAATTCTCGTCAATGGCCTTCCTCAAGGTCTCATCCATCCTTCTGTAGGTGTCCTTATACTCTTATTCTATCTTTTTTATTTAGATGTCTGTAGATGAGATTTCTATCTACTATCGCAAATCACTATTTATTATTTTTAGATAAATAATTTATTATTCTTATTCTTCTAACTGCATTTTTAATTTTATGTTTTCCAATTTCAAATCTTCTATAGCTCTATTCTAAATAACCCCTAACATATATTACTTGTTCCTAATATTTGCTTTCAAATTCCAACTATAATTTGTCTACTGTCTAGAATTCTTGTTGTTGTTTAGATTATTGAATTCTCTTTGAGACTGAATCATCAGTTATGCTCTGAATTTATTTTTTTATCTCGTTTTGAGATTTCATTATGCTTAATTGTCTCTTCTGTTTCTGCACAAGGGGCTGCTTATAAAACTTCTCTCCTTATAGATAACTCGTATTCTCAAAGTGTAACTTGGTTTTATGCGATGGTTTCGGAGACTAGGTTTATTCTAACAAAGGAAGCTTGTTAATTAACATAATTTAATAAAGTAAGGAATATATAGGCTTTTAAAAATAGAAAATTATCAAAATAATTCGTCTGATTTTTCGCTTTAATCCCATTTGGCTAGAGTGATCGAATGCTTGTATTCGAACTTATTATACGGGCAACGTGATGATTCAACATTTGATTTCTATCTACGTTGTGGTAATGGCGTATAGTCTAGTTTTATTTTCTCCTTTGGATAACGATCGTACAAAAGGCATTTTTCTATTTGCAATCCTATAGTATCTTTAACTTCAATAGGTTTTTGGTGTTTTTTGGATCTTCTCATCATGGGAGTTGCCGATTGTGTTCTTGATGTTTGGCTGCGAGATTCGCTTCTTTTATAATTCAACATGGACAGACTCTTTATCTGAGGAGCTTCTTTAATTTAAACTTGAGTGGTGACAGTTCGAACCTTCTTAGGCAGGTATGCTTCCTCTAAGATTTTTTGTTTGTTCTCTATGCTCTGTTAAATCTGAGACTTCTATCTTGAGAGTGAACTGCTCTTTCGAGTAGATTGCACCTAAGTGAATTATTATTCAAATGGTTAGAAATTAAATTGTCTTCCACTTGGAGTCCATATATCATGAAAACTATTCCAGAGTGACATACGGTTTTGATTGAAATGTTTCCTCGTCTAATTAGGTTTGTCTTGAACTTGTAAAGTGACTAATTTAGTAATCTTTAAATCAAATAATTATTACATTTAATGGCATTCTCACATTTGATAAATTGTCTTTTGTTAGCATTTGGACCCTTCTTTGTTGTATACAAGGCAAGATCACTGTAAGATTCACGTATTTAAACTAGTGCTGAACAAGGAGCCTATAAGTCTGTATTGATTAGCATTTTAGGATGTCTGCTGACATAATTTTGCAAATTGTTTCTGTTGGCCTCTTTGTCGGTGATTACTGAATAATTGATTCATGTAAGGGATGGCACTTAAATTGTAGATTAAATTGCTATTCGATTTGATCGATTGCTATGGAATCATTTTAGTATCAAAATAGAAGACTAACATTGATGATAAAATAAGCAGAATATTTGCAATTGCAATTGGGTGGGCATTGATGGACTGTGTGATGAAACACCTCTTCACTTTCATTCCAAATGCTACCACTGATGAGTTTACATGGACATTCATTTTAAGAGGAATTACAGCCAATTTAGAGTTTGTACATACAATATTTTAAATTAGTTTGAAACCTTGTTCTTGGTGGGACTACTGCAATCAAAAAACAAAATTAGTTATGCCTTGATTTTATTAAAGGTTCTTGTACTCCCCAATTTCCAAGATATCATCACCAGAGGCGGATTGTCTTCAGCATACATGCTTGTGTCTAGATTTGTTATATGAGTATTTTTACAATTTACAAATATTTTATAAATGCTTCAAGAATGCAAATCAGAATTGGCATCATGCAAAGCCAAACTCATTTCCTTGAGTATAAAAGACATGTCTAAATTATTACCCATGTGTAAGACTAGTACAAGTAAGAATGAAGTTTTCATTTTGAATGACATGATTGAAAAATCTGATTTTGATGAAGAGAAGGAGAGGGTAGTGTGTTAACGTGATTCTTTAAGGACAATACTAAGACCAGTCTCAGATTGTTAAGAAATGATGTACAGAGATACATCAAGGAGTTGAAAGGGTTCACTAACAGTCACGAGTATTATTAAAAAATTGAAAGCATGGCAAAAAATATTACCAACGAGTATTAATCTATATCCAAGTATTCATAGAATAACAGAGTACAAAACAAAAATGTCATATTAATTTGATGACTTAGCATAACAGGAAGAAGCATTGACTGATGAATTGAAAATGATTGAACAGAAAATGGACAATTATGATGTTGTTCAGAAGTAACCAGTCATAAAAAGAAAGCCTATGCAAAATAATGAAGAGACTATTAGCGAATTGGGAATGATCAAATAAAAAGTGGATTTAATAGATGAAAAAATAGATTAAATTAAACTCTTGGAACCAGAAGATCACAGAGAATTCTTGAGAGTAAGAACCAAACATAAAGGTAAAATCTCGCAGAATTTTGTCAATGATTGTCTCAAGGCTATACCATTTATCACTGAGGATCAATTGATGGAACAAATTGAAAATTACAATCTATTGCAATAAGTGGAGGATGAAAAGAAGGAACTACTTTCGGAGTACAAAAGAAAGAAGGAGGAGAACAAGTAAATTCAGTTGCAATAAGAATAATAATAATAAGAAGTTGAAAGATAGAAATAAGTCAAAAAACCACTGGTTCCGAAGGAGGAGAGAGATAAATTGAAAGAAGATATAAAACAATGGAAGATTAAGAAAGTTACTTAAAAAGCTATAGATGAGATTGAGTATGATACAAAAAAAGATATTGAAAAATAAAAATCTGAAATGTTGAAGAAGGAAAGAGAAGAAAAGAAATTACAAGTCTAATATTATAGGGAATAGAAATTAATTGAAAAATAAAGAGAATAAGAGTTAAAATAAGTAGAAACAATGTCTAGAAGATATGTTAGTTAAGAAGCAATAGAGAGAATAAAAATGAAGGAAAATTAATTACTTGAAAAAAAGAAGAGTATTCTAGAATAGAAATAAAAAAAACAATTTGATTAAGAGATCAAATAATAAGCAAGAGATGAAGACAAGTATATTAAATTTGCTTATGTGGAATCAAAATTAAATGAGACAACAAAAGCCGCAGAATAATAAAAGAGATAGAAATTTGATCCAAAAATTGATCAAGGAAAATATGCAGACACTTTTGGTGGTAATTTATTAGGAGCTGGCAGAAGAGCCATTCCTGGTTGGAGATAAAATTTAGGTTGAATAATCCTATTTATGATATGCTTTATCAATTTAGTTATATTTCTGCAATTGATTTTCTTAATTCTTAACTTAAACCTGAGTTGAATATTATGAGTATTTGATTGACTGTTTCCACTTATCCAACTCTACCAGATTAATTATACTGAATTACCTGCTATCAAAGATGGCTCTAAGATTCTTCTCCTCATCTTAGCAAGTTTTGACCCAATCATTAAGTTCCTTTGTTTTGATGGATGCAATTTATTTGTTAGTATTGACATCGTTTGTTACTTCGACAATATCCTATTGTAAATGTAAGACTTAAGCCTTCAATTCTGCTACTGATGCAGCCAAAGTTTGATTAGCTAAAAGTATGATCTCTCTATTTATTAGTAAAATCGAAGGTACCTTTGTCTGATGAATTCAACTTCTCTTGCATCGTCAACCAACAATTCTTACTTTTAGAGTTCGTAGATTGAATCAATTAATCCCTAAATGGTAGCAACGAGTCTTTCAACTTATTCTGGGGTTTTAGCTTATGTTGATGCCTTCAATAACAATTCGACCATGATTCCATAACCTCTGGGCTTTGGATATGCTTCCTCTAGAAATAATAGAGATTCAGATATACTGAATTTGGAATAATGTTCACTTGAACTGACTTGCAAGAAACTAACAGAACCTAATCCAGAAACAATTGATTTTGCTTCTCCTAATGCTGCAACATAGTTTGTTAATTCATTTCTTCTTTCTTGATATTCTTATTTTTGTTCCTCTCTTGTAGCTGTAATGAGTGCGAGTTTGTCATTATTTCTTTGTTCTTCAGAGTCCTTCACTAATGCTTGTTCTTATTTGCTAATCAATTCTTCATTGATCAATGGCACTAGCATATGAATTGAAGTCTATACATTTTCTTTCATCATCAGCTCTCTTGGCATTTGCTCTATCAATTACACTCTAAGCATCATCTTGTCTTGTTTGACATTAAGCTTGTCTATTTCTCAAATTAGCTTGAATAGCTCCTTTTTCTTATTCGGCTGATCTCAATATTTCATTTAATGAATCCACAACAGAATCTACTGCTGATCCATTTGACAATTCCAATTAGACAGTTTGTAATATTGTTCTTCCAAAATCTGTTTTTGGTAACTAACTATTAAGCAGTTTGTACTGTATTAAAGATGTCGATGGCTTCAGTGGCTGATGACAATGCAATCACAACACAGAGAAATGCAATAATCTTCATTTAATTTAATAATCTGCATAGAAAACGAATTTTTGTATTTTCATCAAAATTTTTATATTAATTATAATATCAAGGAGTGCCTTCTTTGACTGTTTATTATTGGATCTGCCTTATCGACTTATATTCGTCCATAAACGTAGTATTGATTGAACTGGAGTATGATTTAGATTTTATTTAGTTGAGCTGTTCGAACACTTGCTAAAATACCCATTTAAACGTACACACCTATTCTATTTGCTAAAATTAATAAATGTATAAAGATCAAATTCTTACATTTAATGTAATAAAAATTTTATTGACTGAATCCGATTTCTGTTCAGTGATAAATAATTTGATAGCCATAATCATTATTGTTGCTGATGTTGTGTTGTCCTTTTATTAGAATACTGGAAATGCTATGGATTTCATTTGTCTGGCATTTGCCTAATTTAGTTGAATGGATACCATTTTCAAACAATTTTAAATTGTTTCATAAATTAATTGTCTCTCTTCATCCTGCTAATCTTAGATACTTATTTCATTAGTTTCTTGGACAACAGCCAAAATATAATTTTTTTTGTTCTCTAATCTTATTAATCTTTGTATTTACTCTTGGTCGATCCTACAAAAATGCAGTTCCCATTCGTTGGTATAAATGTGGGTTTATCAGTTTAGGGAACATTTGAAAATTGTTCATCAGTTGGCTAAACTATGCAATCTACTAACTCCTTCTCTATATTTCCTGCAGTTAAAATGACATCACATCCATTAAGTCTCTATTAACACAACAATTAAGACATTGTAGATTGCATACCACTTTTAGAATAGCAAAAATTATTTCCCATTATAATTTTATATATTATTAAACTATGATGAATTATTGATTTATTCACGTTATCTTACTTATTACCTAAGAACTTTCACTTCCTGTTAGAACTACTATATTCACTTTTAATTTTTCGATCTACTCTTATTTTTATATTAAAAATATTCAGAAATAATATAATTTTTAGATAAACTTACTAGTTACAGTGCATAACTCAAATTGATAAACTTATAGTATTTTTCCATTTAATATACCATCTCATCATTATAATTATAATATTTTGTTATTAATCTAAGTTTGATTAATAGTAATTTCCATAAAAAATGATCAAATTTCAATTGCGATTCTGAGGAAATGGTTTTTAAGTGAATACAAGTGAATTTAAAAAGGTATATAATAGAATTAAGATATTATTTTAAATTGAATATAATTAATATGAAAGGTTAAATTTCTTATTAAAGTACATAAATAAATGGTCAATTTTATCTTTGAATTTAACTATTATTAATTATAAGTAAATTTTGAACTTTGTATTTACAATTCTAACTTACAAAATAGCCAGTGCTTCGAAATAATTTTCAAAACTCAATACATATTGTATTCCTTTATTGATTTTATATTAATAATAAAATATATAATAGTGAATAAAATCTCATCACTATCCCAGCCTATCTTGAAGTTAACTTATTAAACTGCATGTATAAATGATTCATTAATAATTAACAATCATATAATTATTTCAAATACTTGTATAATATGCGGAATCCAAATATCTCTATTGAGATGTTATAGTTTAGATATCTGATGTTTTTTTAAGAGTTCAAACAAGATAGATGAGAACAAGATTTATTCATGCAATTATATATGATAAGTTAGTTAGAGATGGTCAGATATTATTGAGATTCTTTTGATTTGATCATTTAGAGACAAATTTAAAATAAAGTATTATTATTCTCTTTCTATTAAGGTAATTTAAGACTTTAATTACCTTATGCTTTCCTTAATTTCTGAACCTTCTTATTATAATATTTTTATTAAATTACTTCAAGATATTTTTGATCTTGATGGCCAGACTATTATATTAATGTATTTTATAACTGTTTATTATATGATATCTACAATAAAAGGTGTTCTATTTGATTTTTGATATTGAATTTCTTGGCATATTTAGTTCTCTATTGGATTTTTAAAAAGATAAATTATTTTCTTTTAGAGAACAAAACATTTCAGCAAATTAGATTCAAAAAGGTAAAATATTTGATATAAATAATTTAATATACTTTTCTAGATGAAATTCATTATGTTTTCCAACCTAATTGGAACACATTTTGAGTCTCTAGAGTATATGAGGTAACAGGATTATGATCTGGAGGGAACAACTGGAATCGACCTTGAATCTCCATATTGATTAACTCCCTCTTGCATATTCCTGATTGCCAACACTCATTCCATTATAAGCTCACTTTTTACATTCTATTATTTTTAGGAATGTACAACAACAGAAGACCTGAAAGCAGAAATTCACAAATTACAATTTTACTCCATAAAGTGGCAACTGGGTATGAAGTACTGGAGGTGCAAACAGAATAGCGGAAGTTGATTCAAAAGCCTCCAACATAGCCGAATCCTCCTCCTGTCAAAAGAGAAAACACCACAACTAACATTACTTAAGAAGCAACACAAAGCAAGGTAATAATTGGACTTCAAGCTTTTAGAAGGATTGGTTTTTGCAGAATTGGGAAGCGATCATCCCAGCTCCAGCTCGTTGGTTTCAGATTGATTCCATCCATCAAATTGAAAAGGATTCCCTCCCAGAATTTTTCCATCAACATTTTCACAATGACATTTCATACTATAAGGGCAACTACAAGACTCCCCTCACATACCTCAAAATAAGGAATGGGATCCTATAGAAATGGATAAGCACTCAAACTAAATATCTAAAATTTACTGACTGTCTCAATTTTATTAGCGGAGATGCTTCTTCTTTGTTGAGAGTCTACACCTTTTTAGAACATTGGGGATTAATCAATTTCCAATACAATCCTAACAATCTTCCGAATTAGGGATAAGTTTACCAACAAAATGGCACCTTTTTGGAAAGAGTGAAGCTTAACTTCCAAAGTAATCAAATCAATTTCCATAGTGATCCTCATTCTGAGTAAGAATCATTTGCATATAATTTTAATTAGATGTCATATTTGTGATATGAAGGCTTATCCATTCCACCAACAAAAGAAGGAGAATTTGGCATCGTTTCAATTACAACCATTATTGCTATGTAATAATTGTTTCCTTGAAAAAAAATATCCTAAATTTTTGAAAAATGAAGATTTTTGTAAGTGTATTTTCTCACTATCCTTAGCTTAATTACAATAGACTTAGAAATATGCTCCATGGACCCAAGATGAAATATATCGGTTGTTAGAATTGGTATACAAACACAGAGAGAAATGGAATGAAATTGCAAAATATTTTACAAAACGATCTTTAACTGAAATTGTTAAAATGTATTTGTAGCTTCCTTATTCCAATATATTTCCATCCTTGGACAAGGAACCTTCCATACCAAAAAAACCAGCAAAAGTATCTTATCATCAATAAAACTAAGGAACACATTACTTTTCATAATGATGTAAGTAATCCAATTCAAATGGGAGTGGCATGTTTCAAGTCACAATTGGATAAACTCAAATTACCCAATATTGAAGTAATTCAAAGTTAGGAACCTGAAAAAATGGATGAAAATTTAAAATAAATGATCTCGGTTTAGATGGATAAGATAGAAGAACAATTATTGTATCTTGAAACATACGAGTAATTAATCAATCAAGAAAAATAATGTGTTTAAACTATACAAAAAAAGAATTTATAGATGTAAGTGTAGGTGTAGACAAATAATATTGTAAGTGATGACAATATGATGTTTTTATGAAACCAACCCATTATAATAAGTGTAACACAAATAAATAATATCTCACTCTCTTTATTTATCATTAATGATATTTCATAGTCTCTAAAAATTTGCATTTATCAAACTAAACAAAATTACAAAATGGTATTATTAATTATCATTTTAATAATTATTAGTTGATATTCTCCCAAAAAGTAAGTTAATTAATTCTCTTGATACATATTTTTGTTTTTTCCTTATGGACATTTTCACATCATATGTTAATTTCAGATTTCAATAAAATTGAAATTTAATCTGATTTCTTTATCTAACCTACAATCATCAAACGCATTCATGATGTTTGAATTTTGTAGACCTAAATATTGTGTATTGTTACAATATCTTAACTCTTCAGGTTGGTTGTGAATGAAACATTATAAATATTAGTATTTAAATCAAATTCATAATATAAATTTGTATTGTCTACATGTGTATTCAATAGGGTATTTTTTTTGCTTTTATGCACATCTCTTACTGCTGTTGAGTTTTCTTTTGTAATTTCTGACTGCTTACGACTCTTGGGTTTGCAGTGCTTATTGATAAAAGTTACAATTACTAGAAAATATGTAAGGTGATCTTTGAGTGGCTGATGTCGGTCGTGAAAAGTAAGACTTTCGGGTTGGAGATTGCCGTAGTTTATCAATTACAAGATAAGAGAGGTCGTTAAATTTTTGCAAAGTCGTTTAATGTATTGATTAATCAAATGATTGATTCATCCTTTTCTTATAGTTTGCATAATGATATGTGTCAGATGTTTAGTAAAGAATGCGATTTCTAATGAATCGTTACATTTTGGGATCATTGTCGAGATGTTGTTTAATGTATATATAATCCATAATATTTATAATAATTTCTAGTTTGCAAGTTGAATTTTATTTGATAAGTCAATAAGCATATACAACATTTTTATAATACGAATGAAGATAAATATTATCTAATTTATATGCAAGATTAATCTCTAACACTTATCATAATTTGTACTATTAATTACTTTTGAACTTAGATTCAATTTCCATAAAGAATATTATTTAAACACAGAACATTATGATTCTCGTCTCTCTCTTGATCATATCCACTCGTGCTTGTACCAATACTGCAAACACCGGTTGGAGCAATGATTACCAAAAGACCCTCATAACAACAACCAATTCCATTTCAAAAGTGGATCTCACAACAGTGTGTCCAAAGATTGACCCAGCAAAGGTTCCAGGTTTAACTCCCTATTAATACCTGAGTTCCAACAGCTGTCTTGGATACAAGGGTCCATTGGGTCCTTACGGGCCTCTATCATCAATAGGTCCTTTGTCTAATCCATTTTGGTATCTAACCACCTATTTGGACAAAATCTTTTTCCCTACTAATTTAGTGGAATTATATTAATGGGCTCAATATTAACCAGGAGCCCCTATGTCGAAGGACGGACCATTAGGTTATAAAGGTCCATTGGCAACAACACAATATTATGGTTAATAAGATCCAGGGAAAACCTTATTTGAAACTAATGATTTTGCTGTCTAATTAAGAGCCTTTGGTTTATGGTCAGCACTTGGTCCGATAGGGCCATTAGGACCTCTGGGACCACTGGGACCATTAGGACCCATAGGAGCTCATGGATACAACGTTGATCTTAATGGGAATTATATTAATGGAACAAATATAGTAAACTCAGTTACCATAGATTATGATGGCAGTAGTACTAGAACATATCCTTTGTATGAATTTTATCAGAGCAGTTACGCTAAGACCATTTAGTTGGATACTTCATTTCTAGTTGAGAATGATGTTTGTTAAAGTGATGATGCTTATCATATTGGTTCTCAACCCTTCAATTAGATAGTTACATTTGTTTTGACTCCTCTGGCAGTATTAGACTCTTACTCCTTGATTTTACGAGAGAAAGATGGTAGAGTGATAGCTTAATCAAATGCAGAGAACTACATTCAAACCATATAGTTGAATGTGAAGATGAATACTTAACTTACTATTGAAGTCCATCCTATGATATTGCATAAAAGTGTTGGATCATACAGATTGTTCGTGACTGGATCAACATAATATATTACTCAGTACAATATATCTGGGAATCAGATTTTATTCAATTGAATTATATTAAATATATATTTCATTAGTCCTCAAACTATTTTTTGTGCATGGCATCTCTAATCAGATTCTTTTCGTTATAGTGTTATTTTCTTTTTTTAACAAATTCTTCGTGTCTTTTTCTTTTTTCCTCTTCTTCTGCAGAATCATCATCCATATTTTTTCTTTCTCTCTCCAAATCCTCTTTTAATCTTTTATTCAGTTCTTCTAAGTCCAGTTTCTTTTAATGTTACTACATTTAATGGACTTGATTTTACTTGCTGCAATTTTTGTTTGTTCAATTGCGCTTATATTAAATCCTGCTCTATTTCATCCTCCACTTCAATTTTATCCTCCTAGTGATTTTATTGTATAATTTCATCTTCATAGGGTGTTTTTGGTTCATCGATTTTAGTTTTATTTCCTCTCTCTAAATCTTGCTATCTAATAAAATTAGAATATTCTTTACTATATTGTATGTTCATCCCAATGCAATTCTTTCTTCCTACAATAAAATTCATTTCAATACATATCTATATCATGTTATGAATTCTTCTTTAAAATTCCCTTTTACGATTATTTCATTTTTCAAGATATTAATATAAATTACAAATAATTATTTAATATTACACCCTTTAAAGAATGATTCAAATGGAAACCCATTTTAGAATTTTCAGAATCGAAAATGTTATAAAATAGCAGAAAATTATTAATCAATATAACACATAATTTTATTTTATTTTTATGCCAATAAAATTTTATGATTATTATTTTATCTGATTTAAACAAAATGAAAACCTAGAGTAAAATTCATAGACATCACCTTGTTACTTATTTGATAATAGAATCGTTTTTACCAATTTATTTATTTTTTTGGTAGATTTTTATTTATTATAAAATGGGCCCAATGTAGTTGCGCTTAAGTTATTTCTTGGGAGCGAATTAAGCCTTCTTTATGAAGTTCCCCTGCAAGTAATGCTATCTCTGAGACACCGTGTAGGCATTGTCAATAAGGACGGAGTTCCTGACGTAGCACTAAAAAATTCGATTCTTTTTTGGAGAGACCGATTAGTGCAACTTACAGTCGATGTGCGTGGGGACTGTATTGGCATAGTTGAGTGACTCACTCAGCAATTTGAGCTGGTTGGTGTACGTATTTTAATAGGAGTATTCTTCCCATCCCTATAAATGTGAGTGTTTTTTGTTCATATATTCCTTAAATTAAATAATGCAACCGGTCCAACCAATTGCTGAAGGATAGCGAACAAAAATAATATACACACTTATTAAGGATCAAAAGTACAAGGAGGCTATAAATTATTTGAATTACGAGTTGCAATTTTGTCCAAAGAGCAGAGCCTTATCTTTACTCGCATATTGCCACTACATGAATTAGGATTTCACATCTGCAGTTGGCATGTACGAAATGGTTTAGATAAATTAGCTACGAGCAATTGGTGAAGTACTATCCTGAGATCGATGATTATAAGATTTATTTGGCATAGTCATATTACAAGGATAGTAAGAAAGTTTTTGAAAAATAGGTCTATATGATGAGGCATTGAAAGTGTGTGCTTCAATTGAGAATCCGCAATATCAAGGCAAGATGGTGTAATTGCAAGCGCTGATTCGATACGAGAAGAGTGAATTTCAACATGCGAAGACATTGCTAAAATAGAATAACATGGACGATCCAGACTCGGTCATCAATGAAGGGTGCATTTTATTCAAGGAGAATAAGTTCGACGAGGCAAGACAACGATTTCAGGATGGAATGAATCTGACTGGGTACTCTTGCGAATTGGCCTACAACATAGCTCTGTGTTATTACAAATAAAAACAATTGGCTCAATCCCTCAAATACATAGCCGAGATCATAGAGAGGGGAGTGAGGGAAAGACCAGATCTGGGAGTAGGCTCAAATGCAGAAGGAATCGAAGTCAAGAGTGTTGGTAACTCTTAAGCTTTGAAGGAGTCTGCTTTGATTGAAGCATTCAATTTAAAGGCAGCCATCGAATACTCTATCAAAAATTTTGATGCAGCAAAAGAAGCCTTGGTTGACATGCCTCCAAGAGAGGAGGATGAATTGGATCCTGTAACTTTGATGAATCAAGCCTTGATGAACATTGAGGATAAGACAGCCGAAGGGTTTAAAAAGTTGAATCACTTATTGCAAAATCCACCATTCCCTCCTGAGACATTTCCAAATCTATTATTGTTGTATTGCAAATATGGATATTATGACATGGCAGCAGATATTCTAGCTGAAAATGCAGATCTCACTTTCAAGACCATTAGTTCAGATGACTTTGAATTCGTAGACGCATTGATTTTGAGTGCAGCGAGTCCAGAGGAATCCTTTAAAAAGTTCTAGATCTTAGCAAATAAGCATATAGACACACTTCGAAGGATCACTAAATCAATTCAGGATGCAAGGTTGAACAGAGACAACGAGGGGATCAAGAAATCGCTTAAGGAGTTCGATGATTGTTTGGAGAAGTTCATCCCTGTATTGATGGCACAAGCTAAAATATATTGGGATAAGGATAATTATTCATAGGTGGAGAAACTATTTAGACAGTCAGCTGAATTTTGTGCTGATCATGATGTGTGGAAATTGAATGTGGCACACGTATTTTATGTGCAAGACAACAAATATAGAGAGGCTATTCGTTATTATGAACCTATTGTTAAGAAGAATAGTGATAATCTATTGTCATTGACTGCGATAGTGATTGCAAACTTGTGTGTTAGTTACATCATGGTCAATCAAAATGAAGATGCTGAAGAGTTGATGCGTAAATTGGAGAAGGAAGAAGAGAAATCACAGTATCAAGATCCTGAGAAATCAGTTTATCATCTGTGCATAGTCAATTTAGTTATAGGAACGCTTTATTGTTCAAAAAATAATTACGAATTTGGAATCTCTAGAATTATCAAATCACTTGAGCCATATAACAAGAAAGTAAATAAACATCATCTATTATATACAGATCAACACAGACACATGGTATTATGCCAAGAGATGTTTCCTTGCTTTGATCGAAGTCTTGGCCAAACATATGATTATTCTAAAAGACACTTCGTATAGTGAGATGCTGGATTTCTTGGATGCTGCTGATCAATATGGCAAATCTATTCCCTCTGTATTTATTTACCTTATATTCTTTAGATAATTAACCCATTGGAATAACTTGATGAGAAAAACACCGTATCATATGAAGCCAGAATGATTAAGAGGATGTTTTTGAAATTAAGAACATGAAATTATATATATATAAATATGTTACAAAAGTAATTTGAGGAGGAGGAGGAGAGGAGCAAAGAATTCTTGGCCAAGTTGAACTAAATTAAAAAGGTAACGTTATCATTTCAAGGTTAAAGGTGTCTAAGGACATGAAAAACAAGAATGTTCAATCAGTTTAAAGGTAGGAATGGTCGAAGGAGTATTTGCAATTGATGAAAGTGGAGAGAATGCTCAATATTGATTTGGAGTCGAAGTTACTTCTCTTGGAGATCCAATCAGACTTGCCCAAGTTTTGTTTAGCTGCTCTTCTGGAGTAGGGAGTTCAAAATTACAAATAAGTCAAAGATGAGTTGATTTATCAATTACAAAATTTAAAGAAGATTCAACTTTAACTGAGGAAAGAATAATTGCCTCGATTGGATAAGAAGACTAATAGCGAGAGCTCTTAATTTAAGGAATTGGCATTATCATTTAAAGATTACTTACAATAGATGATTTCTAAATTGGAAGTAGAATATTAAAAAGAATCTACAATAGTCGATGAGGAGAACGAAGAAACCTTGGATATGCAACAATGCAATGTGGCTATATGCAATTCATTTCGGTCCAGAATTGAGCAAGAATATTTGAATGACAGTATTGTAATGTTAATCAAAACCATTTAGAATTGATCTTATATGCCTAAAATTGTGATGATGAAGAGTTGGAGATTCTTGAAAATTACGCCAAGGCTTTAGAATACCTGTACGAGAGGTATCAATTGGAAATACAGAAACTGACTCCGAAAGAGAGGATCGAAGTAAGCGAGGAGATGCTATATCTGGGATCATCAAACAGCTTACACAGTATGTAAAGGTTGATGCTCCATTTCCCGAAGAAGAGTCGTCCTGAGTTGCAGGAGGTGGTCGATTACATCAGAAAACAAAAGGATATCAACAAGAGATTGACAATTTTATAGCGCAATTGGAAGATTGAATATTCAGTACTCTATTTGTCTGAAGTTATAGCAATTATAAAATAAATCGGAACAGTTGCTGAATGATATGCAATAGAATAAAATTCAAAAAAACCAGAGATGGATGGAGTACTTATAATTGAAGCAACAGAGAATCAGAATAGCAGAAGAACTAGAGGAGAAGTAACCATATATATCATAATGAAACTAGACGTGTTGAATACGAGAAAAAATAATTAATTTTATAATAACAGAAAGAGGAGGAGAGAGAATAATAGGAATAATTGGATTAGGCTAAGCATGATGAATGGTTGAAACACAAAGCTGAAATTGCAGAAATTGCTCTGACATACCAGGCAGAGAAGGAGTAGAAGAGACAATAGTTCTTGATCTAGTAGCAATAGCAAGCAGAGGTGGTGAAGAAATAGCAATTACAACAAATCGAATAGGCAAAACCACGAGTGCAATAAAGACAGGAGAAGGAGGTAGTCAAACGGGAGGATAAAAAATTGAAGTAGGAGATTAAGAAGCAGGAACCTGAAATGAAGGCTCAGAGAATCGAGGATGCCATAAACAGATACAGTATCAGACCAAATGTTGATAAGGATTTTCAGAGGCTAATCAGCGAGACTGAGACGAGGCAATTGCGAAAACAAACGAAATACGATAAGGCGGATAAAATTCCTTTAGTAATCATATCAATTATTGTGCAAAGTCCAATGTTACCGGATTTAACATCAATTAACTAATGTCGGACATGAGGTATCGATTGCAAGTGGCTTTGAATGATGCAGGTCTGGGGTAGACAGCTTATGCTCGTGAAGTTATTTTGGGTATGAGCAAGCCACAATGAAAAATATATAATAAATAAGTGTGGTTTGGTGCTATTTTAATATCTTATCGTCCATATTAAAATATTAATTTTTAAGTTAAGCAATCATGTAAACTCTGAGTCATTACGCTTTACCTTAGTTTTACACAACAACCATCATTATTTCTCAAGTCTACCCTATCACAAGGATTTCAAGGTAATATTACTTCAAATGGTAGCATATCATAAGAATGGCCGACTTTGATTATGGAAATAGCACAATTCCTCATCAGTTTGGCTCTTATGGTGATGATTTTCATTAGACACAAATTTCAAATCAGGAAACCTCATCTTTTCGGTTTGGCTAGCTGTCTTACTATTTTATCAATTCTTTTGGCCATACAACAGTTTGATCATTACTATCTTATATTGATTATCCTTCAGTAGTTGGCAACTTGTTTGCTGTTGTCCCTGATAGTGTTGAATAAGAACAAAATTGGAGTTGGAATAGTGCTTTAGATATATTTGATTGGATTTTTAGTAGATTTCCTTTCTCTTTACATTTGGTATGGATTGGCCATTTTATGGTTAGGATATTCCAGAGCCAATTCAATCTGGGTCGAGCAGTTGCCATTCTAGGGTCTGGGGGAGTTGGACTGATCACATTGATTTTATGTCTGTTATGTCAAGCTAAGCCACAAGGAAAACTTTAAAATGAATTGCACATTATCGTAGGATTCTATATATTTTGCGAACTGTTCATATGTTGCAATATAATCACCGAAATCGTAAATGTAATAATTTGAAATTTCAGTTTTTTAGAGTAATTCGAGCATATACTTGATCGATTTGATTCTGCTGAAGGTTTCGAATGTATTGTTGGACGTGCTTATTTACCCGTTTGCCAAATTTCACGAACCAGCAAAAATGTAGATTTCTAAGAATAAAATTTCATCTGAGATTATTGAGAATTGTAACACTCGACAATTCGAATGCACCACGATGCCAACCAAGGAAAGCGAATACGAATTGGATAGTGCTCTCAAGATCAAATCAGATAGACATATAGTTACGAATAAAATAGATTAATGTGTTTCCAAAATGTGGATTAAACCTCTATTAGAAATTTATTGATTAATTAAATTCTCATCAATATTAAGACATTTACTTTTAAAAATCATAACTATCAATTCTCATTTCTTTGATGCAATAATTTTTTGAAATATCAGAGAAAAACACAAGCACAAAAAATTAAAAGAATTTTTAAATCTTGATTATTAAATCCACAATAAAAGTACCACCATTTCTTTATTGATTTAGTGTTCAAGTTCCCCGGTTATTAGGATCAAAACAGACCATCCCAGAATGGACTTCACATCTCAGATTTGGAAGATGGAATCACAGAAGAGCAACTCTTTGTGGAGTTTAGAAAATACGGATAGATTAGCTATGTCAAATTGCACAGGTAAAAAGAGATCTCACTGTAATTAGATATCAATTCATTGGGAAGTCAAAGCATTATGCCTTCATCTATTTTTCATCCTAAGAAGAGGCAAGGAAAGCAAAAGAGGCAATGAATTACAAATAGCTGCTTAGAGATCCTATGCGTATCACCTACATTCAGGATTATGAAAAAGATGCAAACTTATTTTTCGCAGGATTCGAGTTGAATATAACACTCAAGCAATTGGAGGAATTCTTCATCAAATGGGGACAAGTCGTCAGTGTCAAATTATCAGTCGATGAAAACAAGAAGAGCAGAGGTAATTGAAAATTCTAAAGCATTCAGGTTATGGTTGGGTTCAATATGAAAAGAAAGACTAAGCAGATGCATTGTTGACTGAAAGTTAATAAAATGAAGGAAAAGTGTAATATAATGAAAAGACCTAAATTGTTGTGAAACGATTTGTTAGAAAAGGTCAAACAGAACGTGAAGACAAGAGATGTAACTTATACATCAAGAATTTCTGGACTTCATTGGATGCTGTTGATTTAACGAACAATTAAGTTCGAGAATAATTGGTATCAATAATCAATTATTTCATGAAAGGAAACAGAAATGCGTGCCAAATTGAATGAATGGTTCATCACTTACGGTCCAATAATAAGCATCTTAGTCAAAATTGATCCTGAACGCAAAGCTCCATTTGCATTTGTCAGTTTCAGCAGACATCAAGATGCCAAAGAAGCATAAAGAACATTAGGCACTACCATAGGAGCTAATCCATCGAAGGATCCATTGAATACTGGGAGAAAGATGTACGTCGGATGGGCATAAACAAAAACAGATAGAAAACAGCAAAGAGATAATAATATCTATTAAAAATATGTTTACGCTGATCATCTGAATAGAAATGTTACGGAAGACATGATTAGATAAACATTGAAAGATGCTGGTTATGGGGATATTTGCATGGTATTATTGATATGCTATTCTATAATAGATTAGATTGGAAAAGATGCAATAAGGATTTCAATAAATCATCAGAATCGGATATATTGTATTTGAATAAGCTTAAGATGCAAATAAGTTGATCAAATCATTCAAGGAGAATGAAAAGTTCGATGAAATCAAAAATCTTTTTGATCCAAACGTTGAGTAGGCTGGTGGAAAATACTTCCAACATCTGTTCCCTCAACATTCCCAATCAAAAGGATAGAGAAGACCTAATTAGAGGCAGTCTCCAACCAGAAGAATGTACTAAATGCCTCCAGGACCAGCCTAATTTGGTCCTAGAATGCCCTTCCCATTCCCCATGTAACAATAGAGAGTTCCAGGTGGTGGAATGAGAAGACCATATCAATAGTAATTCCCCAATCCCATAAGACAAACTCCATTGCCTCCTCCAGTTCAATAGGTCACTGACTTGAGTTCACTTCAAGCTGTTGCCTTCGATAAACGATAAGATTTAGTCGATTTATTGGGCAACTTGGAAAATTTCAAGGCCAAACCTGAAGAAGAGCAAGTCAAATAATTATAGTAATCTTTGGCATTAATTATTTCTAGAATGATGTTGTATTATAGAATCAAAACAAAATTAAACAAAGACACAGAATCTCATTGGAAGAAAGTAAGTGAAGTGCTTTCAGATCCTTCCAATTACACAGTTGATGAAATCCTCGATATGATCAAGAATGAAGATCAATTTAATGAGTTAGTCGACGATGCTGTTGCCTAATTGAAGGAGGAAGCACATTGGTGATAAATTTATTGTTTGTTCAAATATAAATATATTTCAACGAAATCTATTTGTATGATATTCTGAAATCCCAGGATTCGATAACCATAGATCATACTCCAAATAGTACCAACCTTGAATGCCCAAATGCAAACTCAACAATACTCCATACAGGATCAATCCCGTTTTCAGCATATACTTTTATTGAATCTGCTTCAACTTCTGCTGATATTGGAATTATTCAATCCTGATATTTTTAACGATCTCCTAATTATCAAATTGACTCTGATTTGCAATCTTGATTGCCTATTGAATCACATCATCATTTCTATCTCTACATTTAAAGATCTCTAAAAAGGCTCCTGAATTTTACTCGATCTCATAACTTAATCGAATTGCTTTCAACTGGATTGGGATGTCTTTGAAAGTCTCTTTGCTTAGTAACTATTAAATATTTGCTTATTTTAATTGATTGATAAATGATTGCATTGCAAATTATATGTATATTTATGATAAAATGTAAATGTAACACAAAAATCAATTGGCACTTAATATAATATTGTTTATTGGAATGAAAACCAACTTAATAAAGTATCCGACAGCTCCCATAACTGCAAAGCCAATAGCACATGATGTTGCAATTTTAATGTACTCTATTTGAAATTGTACATTCATTTACCTCTTTTATCTGGTTTAGTGCATTTTCTAATAAATCTGTAACTCTCCTAACCGAAACTTTGTACATCCTACAATATTCCATTGATTCCATTCAAGGTTTCTTGACTCATTTTAAATTTAATATTGAATTTCTCACTTAATCATTTCTCAATTTATATTCACACTATACGTGTTAAATTAATTTATATAATTATAATGCAATTATATAATCATTTTGGAAATATCTGATTGTCAATCATGTTCCTATTAACAAACTTTTACTCCCTGTATTGAGTGGGGACTGCCTCAATAGGATTCTTGTAGAACTGGCCTAAAAAATAAGATCACTTCATATCTCATACCATATCCCTTATACTGAGCATCGTCCATTTCTTTCCTCTTATTTAAGACTCTGCTATTTTGTCTATTATGATTAATGTTCTCAGTCTCCTGAATATCCGTGTTGAAGATATTCGAACTTTTGTTCTTCATCGAGGTTACTTTGTGTTGTTGCACTAATGAAGGTAAACATTCTCAATACATTAACTAAATTAACTAAGTGCATCATCCTACTGCTATTATTGTTAGGGCTCTTGAACTCTTTAATTAGTGTAGGCATTCTCATAAGCCTATCCTGTAATTGGATGATATTAGGCTACTGGTGGTTTACCAGTATTCTACTGCTTACTTCCACTGTTTCCTTATTTGTACTAAACACATTATTATATAAGATACCTTATAATAGAGCTGTTCCTCTTCGACATTTGGTTATTGGTAGTGATCGTATTTGTTGGATTATTGTAACAATTATGGTTGTTCATAAGTGTTGGAAGGGTTATTATTATTTGAATATTGTTTTCCATTATTATAACCATCCAAAGCATCCTAGTAGTATTACTCGGGTTGCTTATACAAGGCAGCGAGCTCTTGTTTTTTGTTCATTTCTTGAAGATACAACTACTTCATGTAATCGTCATCTTGATTTTACTAATTATGTTATTGAATACTTCCACAACTGGCACATAGGTTTGTGTTTGATATTGGGGGATGTATGAATTTCTTTGATCTTGCCCCACTTTTCCTGCTATTTTGGTGTCTCCCTTTCTAGATTGATCAATGTCCCATCCGATTTTGAATCCTTGTCTGTTGTTTGAGTTATCTGGCAAATATTAAATTAATAATAGCTACCATTGTATGTTCTGATGGAGTTCCTTTTATCTCCGTCATAAAGCACTTAATTTTTGGGTCCTCCTCTAGACTAATAAAGACTTATAAAATTTTTAAAACCATTGCTAATTCTTCTGTATTTTTGAAATTTAATTAATTAATTTTCCAATATACACATTAAAATTCAAATATATGTCGTTAATTATAAATTAATAGATTCAAATATCCCTAAGATCATTAATCACTTTATTTATTAATTTATAGTTTTTAATTCAATATTAATTTTCGCATTCGACTATATCTCCAACAGTCGGTTCCTCAAATTGATGTCGTCAGCCAAGTCAGTATCATTTCTAACGTAATTCGCATATGTACTTCATGAAATTGACATGCAATTCTCTCAATTCAGACCAAGACTTAATTGAAGACAACATCACAGTCACCGAATTCCCAGAACTCTGAACACTCTCAAGACTCAGAAACAACCTCTGCAACTCCTTCAACTTACACAACCCCTTAAACAAAGTGTTCACACCTTCATCCCCTAATGGATTGCTAATTTCCAATTAATTGATTACTGATCAAGAATCAAGTTTACTGTTTCTAACTAAGTAGCTTAACCGAAGCCATTGTACAGCAACTCCATTCCATCCAATCCAATTTAGTTCGACCTGAAATTCAGACTGATGCTCCTCAACTTCTATTGCGTCACCAAAAACCTATTGACATACCTCAATCCAAAGGAAGAACACGACACACTAAGTTTTAATGTATTGCACTCACTTCTCAATCCAAAATTTTAATTCTCTCAATTTTTGCTACATCTCATAAATGGCCTTTGCCAAAAATCTGACTCCCTCATCCTCTATACGATTTTTGGACAAATCAATTACTAAAGTACTCAACTTCTGCAATCTTGGTAACACCAAACCCAAAGATTCGCATCCCTTCTTTGTAATTTGATTGCTCCACAAAGTCAAATTTAAATGCTTAACCTTCTCGCATTTGGACAGTCCCTTGGCAAACTCCTCAACTCCCAAATCTTTGATTTGAGATCCCCAAAGTACCAATTCGCAATTCTCCAACTCGGATATGCTCTCTCCAAGATCAGAAAAACCCTCATTGTGCATAGGATTGCTGCTTTTAAACGATAAGAAGTACTTAGAAAAATTAATGGTCAATTGAGTAAGGAGTGGCAATCGCTTCATTGATTACCTCAGCAATTTAGAGAGCACTTAATTCATCTAATTACTTTCGAGACCTAAATCGAGCTTTTTCAGATTTGGCATGGCACTTATAAGTGAAAAAAATGCTTCACAACAATCCATAGGTAGATGATTTCTTAATTAATTTAGAAGAACTAATACAATCCGAAATCCAATTTCAACTCTTCCATTTGAACAAGTCCCTCTAAAAGGGGCAATGAATTATTAATGCCCTCATCAGAGATTTAATTATTAGGTAGTTCCAAGGTTAATCGCTTCAATTCACTCATCTTCATAATGGCCTTAGTTAAGAACAGCAATCCCAAATTGCCCAATTTATTACTATAAATAGAAAGAAGACTCATACTTCCATAGATGCAATTGCAATTCTTTCAACTTTTGAGCTCTACTCAAAATCTTTTCGATGGGTGCGATGGTTCTCACATTCAAACAACTCATCTCCAATTTTATTTGTAAAGTGATCATTTAAAAATTTTTAACTTGCTATGCTATGGTTTCTAAGAATTTAAGTAAATCGTCTTGTGACTTGTTCTGCATTCCATTAAGATCCAATTGCACATCCTCCTTATTTTTAATATCCAATTATAGATTGTCCAAATTGGAGATGGATTATAGATGTTTGTGGTTGATTTTGGCAGGCTATTTTAAATGAGGAATGACATACAGATTTAACTTCCAAATAGGATCTTTCTTCAATAATTTGACTCAGTTGTGAGAAGTCGTATCTCTGATCAGGAGAGATGTCCAACATGAGCTTCAGAATTTTGGAAACCCCTTTGATCCTGGGGTACAATTCTTTGACTTGCTTTCGTTTTTCTCTTAAATAATTGTAGAGCTTCACTTCGTCATCAAACAATTCTTCTCTTTACTAATATGAAAATTGGGTATGATACCTGTTTTGTCATATTTTGAGAGGTAGCAAACAACAGGAAGACCAATCCAAGTGAGAAAACGTCACTCTTGTAAGGATTGTACTTGGCTTGATGCTTTCTTCTTTTGTAAGCTCGATAGACTTCTGGAGCTTAGTATAAAACGGTGCCTCCGATGGTTCTTGATCTTGATTCCTCGTCAATAATTTCAGTACCAAAACCAACCTGCGTTAAATGAGGAGACTTACATCGCAAACTTTAAACAATAGATTTTCGTCATTGAAAAGTATAATATTCTCTGGTTTGATATCTCTGTGTGCTATTTTAATTTCTTGGAGATGCGAATGCGCTTTGATCATAGTGGCAAAGAAATCAGCCACTTCATACTCCTGAAATCTGAATTCGGGATCTGATTACTTTTTGGAGGAGATGTATTGCTATAAGTTGGTGATGCCCAATTCCATGACAATACAGCCGAAGGTGATTGCCTGCATTTAAGAGATGAATGAGTACTTTATCATGTGTGGTCACCTTCTCATAATAGAAACTATCCTCAAAGGATATAATGTTTGGATGTGGATAAACTTTTATTTTTTGTAGGATCTAAATCTCCTACTAAAACCTCTCTCTCAATTACTCATCAATCAGCACTTGCTTTATACAACACTTTTGCTTTGTCTACAGATTTTCAGCCAAATAAACTTCATTCCAAGTTTTCGCAAGTATACTGAGATACCGATATTCTGGGTTTACATTACCAGTCATCATATTTTTTTTATATTATTAAAATATTATAACTTGTAACATTCTTCATAAATGACTCCTGGCCAAATCTGATATTGGTCCTTCCAATTCCAGCAATTTTGCCCATCCCTCATCCGAATACAAAAGACACTGCTATGGCCACTCATCGAATAATTTTCCATTGAATTCTACCGTCTCCCCTCCTTGTGTATGATTCTGTAACACATACAATTTCCCATTAAACTTGGTGCACATTAAATAACATTCAGTATCAAATTTGAAATTAAATTTTAGTTTCACATCTATTTCTGCAGGAATGAGTTCCATTATTCCTAAATCATATTCATATGAACCATAGAGATAAATGATCTGTGAATTGTTTTTGAAAGACTCCGCAGACACCACCACCTTGGCCTAATAAACAAGCAATTTCATTATATCAATTTGAATTGTGAATTTTCCTTTAATTTGATATTCACTTTATTTCAAATTCAGTGGTTAATTTACATTTAAACTGAGGTTGGCTGGTTGACTTACCAATCCACCTATTTACAGGACTGCAGTTTGGTTATTATCAATGATGAATGTCCTTTACAGAGGATCAGGATAAAATGTCTATTTGAACAAACCGAGCACATCAACTTCAAACTTCTCCTACTTTAGGAGGAAATATCCTTGCTCATTGCAAACCACCTATTATCCATCATACGAGATTGTCAAAATGGCTCCAACTGGCAATTTATCTCTCGTTAATAATTAACCCAATTCATTTACTCTTCTCGCAAATAGTAAGTTAATTACTAAAAATATATATAACATAAGTTTAATTTATAAATAAAATACACACAAGATCTCATTTAAAATTCCACTTCATCTTGATTAAATACTTCAATCTGATCTAAGCAACGTCATAGACAATGAATTCGTTGTACAATAAGGACGTCTAAATTAATACGATTTATTACATTAGGAACACCAGAAGGAACTCCTTTTCCAATCGGCACCTTGACTTCTGGCATGCCTGGGAATGGAATGTTTTCAGATTGAGGAGGCATTGTCTTACCTCTTCCCCATGTGCTGTGTTTCCCTTAAGGTAATTGATTAGCATGATAATCTGAATAGAACTTCTCATTTGGATTTCCCAAGGCCACATCACACAATAATATCAGTCCTGTATTGTTTTCTTTTGTGACTGCACAATAATTTGCTGATTTTGAAACCATATCTGCAAAATAGACACCCTATTTTGATGAATTTAACTATTACCTTTCCAAACATATATCCTGTAACTGGAGCCTCAGGAGGGGCAATTCTTAAGCCTTAACTTAGAATACCCACAAAGTTTGTAAGTCTAGATCCATGCCATAACAACATTCTATTGCCTAATTCCTTTTTGAAACGATTATCATCTTGTTCTTTCTGCAATTCAAAAACATCCAACACTTCTAATCCATATCCTCTATGGGTTTCACAATGTGTGTTTTATACGAATTACTTTATAGTTGATACTTTTTCATCAGTAGGTTCTAAGAATTGCATATTTATTCCTAATTTTTTGAAATTTTCGTCAATAACATTTGAATCATCTGAATTTTCTTCTAAAATCTTTGTAGCAATTTAAATGTGTTGAATTGATTCCAACATATCTAATTTAATTTTAACCATCTAAGGAGTTTCAATAACAGGAGCTCGTAAAAATCCAAAATCATGGGGGATCTGACTGTAAAACTCACTTGAGAGTCTTTCTAAGACTGTGTAATCGGGAATCTTATTTTGCAATTCTTCTGATATCTATTTAAGAACCTCAAATCCTTTTTTAATAGTGGAAACAGCCAATTTCCCTAAAGGCGTTTTCTTGGCATCATACCCAATACTAGTGATATATTGATTAACAATACTCTTTCATCTAATTATTAATCATCTTCATATCAAAAATCAATCTAACCAGATCCTTTATCTTAGTATGTAATTCACTCTTATAGTATGATTACTTTTCCCTTTATTCTCTGAGTGTCTCCAACCTCATCAACTCCTATTGATCTTGTTCTCCACTATAATCCCTTTCCAACACTCTATATTCTCCTTTAACACTTTTCTATCTCACTTTACTCTCATAGGCTTTTTTTGCAGATTCAGTTTTTAGGAATGATTGCTTGGCTGATGAACCTTCAACACCAACTCTACCCCATCTGGTGTACAAATAAAAAAAGTCTAAAAATTAAAATGATTTCTTACCTTTATCTTTCTTTTTCAATAATTGAACAATATAAAACTTGTTATTATTATTAGCACCCATAATATTGGTTTGATTCATCATGCAATCGTAAATTTTACCATTTTCTTCATACACTACATAATTCTCTTAATCATCAAAATATTCATCGACAGGTGCACTTATAGTACCCTTATTGATATTTGAAGTATCATCCTTCTATTTGCCATCCTAACCATTTTTTATTGGAGATGGTGATTTCGATTTTTTCGAATTCTTTCTAGAAGGAATGTTCTTGGGTGAAAGATTAGCTTTTCCATCTTTATCTTTTGATTGTGATACATCTTTAACAGCTTTATCGATAATTTCTCTATAATTGTTATAATTGAGAATACTATTTTTTATCCTCTGCTTTATCAGTTTTTTTAGATCTAGTTGCTCTACCGGTTGGTGGAGGTGAACTGGTGACTTTTGAAGTTGGTTTTTTGGGAGGCATTGAAAATAGGATATCAAAATTAATAATCCTGATTGAATGTTTGATATTTATAGAATGAAATCAGAATTAGTTCAGAATTAAATATGTAAATATATTCAATCAGTAAATTTGCTTCTAAAAATAAAAATATTAAATTAACGAGATTTTATATTCCTTATTCCTAGATTCATATCAATCATATTCATAAAAAGTATTCTAGAATCTGATTCCAAATCTTTGTTTGAGCATACTTATTTGATTTTCACCTTTTTAAAATCTATGAGCTCTCATTTCTGATTTATCACTAAATTCATAAACAGACCCTGAACTACCTAATTTATAGCATTAATTAGGAATAGGAGAAGAGACAATTATCATTAATTATTTTGTGTATAAAATGTGATACTCGTACTTAATGAAATCTTAGAAATATTACTAAATTTTGTATTTCAAAACTTTAAGTAAACACATTCTAGCCTAATTCTTTACACACTCAACTTTTTGTTTCTCCAAACCCTTTTAAATCCTCATCACTTGGGTTCATTCCAAAGTAATTTACAAATCTATTTATTAATAGAGATTTTTGACAATCTATTTTTAGTGCTCTTCCCGAAAATATTTTATAACAACACTGTCATACATCATCTAATGCCTTAGCCACTTAGATTATTCCACAATATACTCATCACACTTTCTCATCAATAAATCCTGACAAATAATGGCATGTCATCAAAGGATTAAGTTAAATATCTCCAAATATCTAAGGAGCTCTATATCCTCATGGTTTCATAGGATAATCAAATTTTGAGTAAGAATTCGAGATGCTTGATTGCTTCTTAACAATGTTATTTTGTCATGATTCTTGATTTTTAATGCATAAAGCAAACAAATTGATTCTTTACTGTGAAATCCTCTTTTATCATAATCCCCCTAGATCAGATAATTTTGGTCTCAAAATTCTCCAATTGTTTGAAAATCTCAAAGAGATCATATAATTAACTGGAGGGTGGATTCATGGGACATTTCCTTCCTCAGTGAAGATTTCTCTTATTTTTGCACAGCGTTGATATTCTTCTTTCTGCTTCAATAGTTCTCAATTTTTAAATGAGATGTCTAAATCAGTTTGCATAATTGTATATATATTTATTTATATATGAAATTCTCTAAATAGACAATCAATTAGTTGGTTTGTCTTCTATGGCTTTCTATTAGGTTGATTCCCACGTCAATCTTCTTATTAATAATCTTCCCTACAATGTTGCATTAAAGAGATGCATGCAAAATAGAATGTAGCTTTGGGGAGATATCCTGAGTGCCCATCTCATAAATAATGATGAATAGCCTAATTTTTTGAGAGATTCTTACAAACCAACACACATTGCATCTCCTTGCTGATTTTGGCAGGATCTCTATTCCAATCATACAAGGCTTGAATTGGGAAAAACCAATTGCACACTGGAGCCCAAAAATGAGTAGTTTTGGGGCCAGTTGAAGAATGCACCCAAGTCCAAAACATTCCTGAAACTTTGCTAGCCATTCGATTATATTATTATTAATATTAATTTCAAATCCGAGCTACGCTATTAATCATCGTAATATTCCAAAAATATATATATTTGCACTTACACTAATTATTAAATTGAATTGGTAGTTATTCAAAGATTGCTAGAATTAAATTGAAGATGCGTGTATCTTGGATTATGGTTGAATATTAATAAATTAATAAACCAAAGTTATGACATATTTAATAATTATTATTTATTCTAAACATTTCTATAGCATTTTAGTAAGAAAATCAAACATACACATGAAATATGTTGGCTTTTTTATAAAAATAATAAATATAACATAAAAGTCATGTGCTTTTATTGGCTCATCCATTGAGAGGGGCTAGCATTGGATCCACTATATTCTTTTTGTACTTAGGGGCGTCTTTGATATCTCTGAAATCAATCAACTATAATTCTGAGGAGATGTTTGTACTTTCTTCTTGAACTTGCGTCTTTCAATACAATGACAGCCACAGAGGATGAATGCCAAGACTACAATTACTACTTGGGAGATTATCCAGGAGTAGAGTTCGAATTTATTATTATCTTCGTTCTCAGACATTTATGTTAATTTAAATTATAATCATATGAATTAGGGAGAGCATCTTAACAAATATGAGGATGATCAAAAATTCACAGAAGGAGATCAAACATTCATCAACGAGCAGACGGACGACGACAAACGATTCTCCAACACTGTGGTGGACAGACAGGAGTAGGGGGGATTGGAAGCCTTGTTGGTAAGTGTGAATATCGATTGCATTAGGAATTGGACAATCGAAATAAATCAGAGTTTTTGGGATCGGAGGAGAGAAACATCTTCACGGAATTTATTGTTATCTGCCAGATCAGGAAGGATAAATATCTGAGTGAACAGGATCCACATCTTTAGTTTTTGATGGAGAAGGCAGTCTACAAGGGGGTACAAAAGATTCTCATTAAAGCCTAGAAGATCCAGGACAAGGAACAATGGCAAGTATCATTGATTAAGATATTAGAAAGAGCAACAACAATTGATGAGACTCTTCTATTCGGACATGAACATTGGTTTCATCACATCAACAGGGTAACTGAAATCAACAGTATTCATCTATGTCCATCAATCTATAGCAAGTTGCTTAGACAACCGTCAGATTAATTTGAATTTTAATAAGGAAGATCTAAAAATCATAGCCAACTATTTTTCAATTGATGAAAGGAACAAACCCACCAAGTCCAGTTCGGAGTTCACATCACCTATTTTGACTAAATAGAAATCAGAAAAAGAGTAATTTAAACAAAATAGTGCAGGTTCAAAGACTATATCCCAGAATGAGGCTGAAGTGGAAAATTCATAGAAAAGAAGTCTGCCTCTCTGTCATCAAACCAATTGGCTCAAATAAGAATTCATCAAAAAGGATTACTTTAAAAAGCAATTCCTCATCCTGCAAAAAACAAATGAAAATGAACTCAAATCTGGAGTCCAAATCTTTTTTGTTTATCGAATCAAGGATGATCAAATCTATGCAGTCAAGAAAGTATAATCAATTCAAGTCTATGTAGTCTTAATTAGCTTCAAATGTCATCTCCTTTTTCGATGTCTTTTCAACAGTCAACCTATCAGAAATCACAAACGACCAAAGAAAAATCAGGGAAGCCAAAATTCTATCCAAACTCAACCACCCCAACGTTCTAACTCTCTATGATTGGTGGATCGAAGAAGAAGAATCAGGCTACTCCCTCTTCTTGATGTCTGAGTACTGCTCCTATCCTGGACTTAAACATCAAACCAACGATCTACTCAACTATGCCTACTATTACTTGAATCCTATGAACTGCAAAGAAAAGATCGAGCAAATCAAAACAATCATGCTCCAAATCATGGATGGATTAGAATACATACACAAACGAGGCATCGTACATAGAGATCTTAAACCCGAGAACATCTTTGTTACTTACGGCATCGATTGTCAACTCCAAGTCATGTTGGCTGATTTTGATTAAGGAAAAGATGTTAGGGAATCCAAACTCTCCATTATCACAGATGAGAAACTCAACGACCAGGATCTCAACTCCATCAAATCAAGGAATACTATCAATTCGGGCACCAGTGGTTATGCTACTGCCAATTCTTAGATCAACAAAGAGTATGACAAAATGGATGAGTTCTATGCCTTAGGAGTCACTCTACTTCATCTGATATTGGCCTTCCCTGGACAACCCAAAAATCGCAATCTATATACTAACACATTTGCCATCAGTGACATTTCTGATGTGCTTCTCTTATTTGACAGTTGGGCTGTAAAACTAGTTAAAAACAAACATCCTGAATTTAACTTCCAATAATATTTTCATCTTATGGAACTTGCTAAGGCACTGCTTGAAAAAAAAGTTAAGGAACACGATCACATCAGAAAAATCATACAAAGTTGGTGAATTGTTGGAATTCATCTTAAGATTGTTATTGGTTTATTTATATTAATTTATTGTCCTAATTAATTATTCGTATTATTTCACTATTATAATCTATAAAAATGCGGTAAAATTTACTCCGATATGTCACAATATTTTGACTTTTTAAATTCCCAATTCAACCTCATTTTCTTTGAATTTATGATATTAATTCTGCAAATTTCTTAAAATAATAATAATAATGGGAACTTGTCAAGGAACCAAAAAACCTCAATAAGCAAAACCCAATCTTGAAATCCAAATCCCCAACAACGATCATCTTGAAAACACCAAGAAATCCCAAATCTAACAATCCAAAAGTGCTGTTTTAGAGAAAAAGACACCCGTGACTTCATAAAGACAATCTTTAAAAAGTTAGCCATTTCAATTCAACAGTGCATCCAGCGATTAAGCTTTCAAAAGTAGATTTTCAACTCCCATGGTTGATCTAAAAAATCTTGAATAAGATCAGGTAAGATCATCAAAACATAAAACAACATTTAAAATGAATGCAACAGTAAAGAAAGCTGCTTTCTCAAAGTTTTATTCTGTTCAATAAAGCAAGAAAAGTAGTTTCTCTAAAATACCTGGAGGGAGCATAGTAGTTCAACATAATATGACAGGTAAATTGCACTATGCGGATATTTTGGAGAACACCTAAGCTACCAAATTCTACGTTGATGAATTATTGAGATGCCAATTGGTAATATTATATAATAATTTTGTGTTTAGCAACATCCGAATATCACAAATGTTATAGAAATTTTAGAAGACAAATCTTAATATATAGTCATCAAAGAATGCGCCTAGGGAGTCCCAGTATCCTATTTTGAACCTCCTGAGAAATAAGCTTCCATTTTAAAGTAAATCATAGAGATAGTTTGCTACTTGCATAGTAAAAATTTAATACATGGAGCACTATGGCTAGGAGCTTTCGAAAGAAATAATGATTTAGTTAAATTGGTTGATATTTAGAGCATTTTCATAAGACATGACCCAACTAATCATGATGCCGAATATATAGCTCCCGAATGTACTTTGGATTCCTCTATCTATACTAAAGAAAGAGACATTTGGGCTGTGGGAATGATAGCACATAATCTCATGTGTGGCAGATATTTTAAAGTGTCAAATGCTTCGGATATTTTGAAAGAAATTGAATAAATCAGAATCAAGAAGCATATACATCTTGAGAATTCCTCGATTAAAGAGTTGTTGGAAAAGTTTTTACACATTTCACCTGAGAAAAGAATCACTCTCTAGGAAGCTTTAAAAGATGAATTTCTACCTAAGACTAATGAGATGGAATAATTTGATCAAATATTGGAGAGAAATAAAAAATTAAAAAAAATAAGTGTTCTACAATAATGTTTATTGTTGTTATTTATTAATCAATTTGAAGAAGAATAGAAGGCCAAATTTTAGAAGGTCTTTTAGAACCTCGATGTAGATTATGATGGCAAAATTTCAAAGAGCGAATGTTTAGCCTTGTATCCTGATAAAGGAGAGTAAATTAATTCTCTTTTTAATTTGCTCTCTTTAAAGGATAAGATGGATTTTTAAGAGTTCTTAGTTATTTCAGTTGACAGGTCTCAGTTGTTGACTTCTCAAAACATTGAAATCATATTCAATCTGTACGCAACAGTCAAAAAATATCTTCTTTTACAAACCTTAGTCAATATCTACAAATCACGAGAAAATGAATTGCAAGAAGCCTTTAATGAATACGATCATGCTCATGTACATATATATACTCATTATTTTAGTTAAATTTTAAAAATTTTGAAACTCTATTGACAGATTTGTTGTGATCTTTATTAATAATAATATTTGTTTGCCTTTAAAAATGACATCAATTATCAAAATAATTATTTAATAATTAACCATCAATCAACTATCAGATACCATAAAAGAGTCTACCACTGCATAACCTGCTGCCACTCCTCCTTCATTATCCAAGTATCTTTTTGTCCTAACAAGATACCCACCGACTTCATTCACCAATATCTTCTCTCCCTCATTTATAAAATAACCAATAACACTGATTTCACTTATCACAGCTTAGATATCTAATTGTCCTCTTCTCATCAGGAATCCGATCCTAGGTATAGGTTTGATTCTTTCCATTACAATAAACTCAGTTCTTTACTCAGGAGTCAATTTTAATAGTTCAGGAATGATTTAATCATCATAATAATTGTTTCCTCCTCCTTCTCTTTATGGCTTTAACACATAATCATGAGGATTCTATTGGATCATTTCAATCAACTAATATAATATTAAATGAATCTGGATTACCTTTTCGTGCTAGTCTTCATGATCAAAACCCCAAATTTTACAATAATTCTCACTTATTAGTTTGGCTTCATCTTTGTTCAAAAACTTCTAGATTTAAGTTTCATCTAATAAAATTTGTTAAAGCTTCTTAAAATTCACCAACTAAGTATTCAAACTTGGACATTTGAGTGCTTTACTTAATTCAATCATCTCTCTTATACTCCAGCATTCCTGAAATGATATCAATATATACTTCATTATCATATTGATCAAAGGTATATCCAGTTCTAAAATACACCAAAGCTACTTCTTATCCAAATGCCCTTAGAATTCCATTCTCTGATGTAATGTTCCCGATAAGTCTTAGAAATGTAGTTCTTTTACTTAAAATTCCTAATTTCGCTAATCCTTTTTCTATGTATCTCTAATCATATATATTCCCTTCAAATTCTGCTGTTATTATTAGAACAATGGCATTTTTATTATTGTACAATCCATATGCTTTGTGTAATGCATCAACCATTATATCATGATTTAAATCTTGTTTCACTTTTACTTTGTAATTCTCTCTTATTTACTTATAATAAGAATCAAATAGGAGTGAATGGTACTTCTGAACTCTATCTGAGATAAACCCAAAACTTATGGCAATGCAATTATATTCTACTTGCATCCATTGATTCAAAGAAGCATGGTGCAAAAAATCATTCCTTACAATGCAAATTGTATAAGGGCATTTTGTTTCTGATTTTTCTACCTTGGCTTATATTGAAATCATTCTTCTTATGAATTCATCATGCTTTGCCAATCTTCCCAATATACTTGTGTACCATTCAAAATCCATACCCATCTTGGCAACCACCTTTTACTATAAGATCGTTTTCTTCTTTAGATCATTAATTATATCGTAGTTTATCTAATCAATAGATTAATATTATACATATAAGGGAAACAAGCTAACTGGGCAATTATCTGGGAATTATTTGCCATCCTCCTTGTACCTATACAATATTCCTTGACATTGGGCAAAATCATGGAAAGTTGGTAAATTAGTCTATATGATTCCTTTCAAAATATTTTGAGCATTCTTAATATTGGGCGAGAAATCCTTCATCATGAAATCCACATTGAAGTAGTAATTCTACAATACATTGTTGGATAAGACTTTTGCTAAAAATTAATACAAAATTTGATAGTGATTGTAGAGTATATTGGGATACATATTGTTAACAATCTCCAATAACTCCACTAATAGCAAGTCTGATACTGAAAGCAATTTCTCATGTTCTAAGTATTTGAATTGATTTTGGATAATATAATTTTAGATATTATGACAATGTTCACAGATTTCATTTTTCTTGTCGACTCCTTAATGAAAAGATGATTGAATAGTTTAATAAAAGGGTTTGAGCTATTCTAATTTATTGATTGAATTTGTGAAATATTTGCTATAATTTTCTAGTTTTTCTGAAATCTCAACTAATTTTATTAATTATTCAAAAATGCAGATTTCTTGAACGTATTCAAATTAAATGGGCAGATTTAGACTTTTGACTATGCTGTGTAGAGGTTCTGATCCAAAGCGGTATTGATATGGCTAACTTTAAATCATTAATTTATAAATAAAAAATTAATATTGCTTATCATGTTATTTTTAAATCAAGAATTGAGAAAAAAATTTATAATTCTTATATTTTTATAATTAAATCTAAATTCGAAAATAACATTTAGAATTAAGTTCCTATCCAAGAAAACGAGGTGTTTCAATATTTTAGTAACAAATTCTCCTTATATAAATTATAAAATTGTAAATTCAAACACAAGAGCCCTAAATTCTCAGTAATTAAAAATATTTAATATTATATGACGCAAAACTAATTAAAAATGCTGCTTTGCGTATTTTAAGTAGCTTTTGTATCAGCTGGACTCTATTTCTATATATTCTGGAAGAAATTAGATGATGTAAAGATTACATTGATAATATTCAGAAACCTTATTATGAATAGTTGGCTTTTGTGTACGGGCTAATTTTAGGATTCACAGAATTATTGGTTGCAATAATTTTATTCATTCTAATGAAAACCCATGTTCAAATCACGTCCCTGGGAATGATTGGTCGTTACATACGATAGAACTGCTACAAGGAATATTATGCTCTGATAATAATTAATTTAGTATAGAATTTGATAATTTAGGCATTTCTGATAACCTTCAATATTATTACAATAGTGGACTCAGAATCTGTAAGTTTCAAAAATATCTAATCCCTCCATTTCGTAGCTGCCTACTATATTCAAGCAGTTCTCTTTGCAATGTTTTCAAATGACTTGCTAAAGAGAAGAGCCTTGATTCCGAACGAATTTATGTTCGAAAGAGAGGGAATCTTCCGATGCGCATATGAAGTTCTCTATTACGTCGTGTGCCTATTCGTAGTCTTAAGTAGATATACACATATCAAAATGTTAGGTTACTTTTTGGTTACCCATTTCGAGAAATTACCTGAACCAAATCAAACCTTGTGTCAATTAATCATATTCACCTTGCTCTACCAATTCTATTCAATAACTAAGTTGGGTATCTTGATAAAAATATTTTTGATAATCACAACTACCAGACTGCTCTACTCGGCAGCAAACTCAATTAACAATTTCTAGGATGATTCTTAGAAAGGGTCTCAGATCACTTTGATAGTGATCACAATTATATTTTTAATAAGAATGGTGCAACAATGTTTAATAGGTGTAATAAGAGCAAGAGAGGAATACTTAAATTAGACTTAACATCAACCACCCGATATTCTGAGCGCGTTGAATTTATTACCGCCCAGAGATCCCTACATAAGACAGTCAGCTTAAATAATCAGTGAGGAGTAAATTGAGATGTTGCCCGTCTAAAAGTTTAAGATGGAATATGAATTTGTGTGTTCGATATGTGACATGAATCTTCTAAAGAATGAGATGGTGATGAAACTGAATTGCTCTCATATTTTCCATTCAGAATGTTTGAAGCCATGGATTAGAATCAAGAACTCTTGTCCGAATTGCAGACAGCAAATACTTAGTTAATTCACTCAATAAAATTAGCATGAGGAGATTCCTCAACATTTACAGCATTAAATTTTACGCATTCAAGCAGAAGTCCCACCTCCAATAAACGAAATCAATTAACAATAACAAATATCTGAGTTACCTCCCCAAAGACAGATGGAAATACAAGAATGAATGCTTTTTATATTAATTAATTTTATTATTAATCTAAAAGGTTGTGATAACTAAAATTACTTACTTATTTTGATTGCTATTAATATATAATTAAAATTGTTATTCTTGAATTGTGAATAATAGCACAAAATATTGATGTCATTTAATCATAAATTTCGCAGTCCGAGGAAATTAAAAGAAGACAATGGCTTTTTAAATAAAACTCAAAAAGATATTGGGAAGCTTTTAGCGATAATTAAAAATTTCATTAATTAAATTATATCCATCTCAATGATTTGTGTGAGACATCACACCTTTTTAAACTAAAAATATGGAATCTTCAACTAAGACAATCTCTTAATGATTGGAAAAGTATTTGAATATTTTTAATCGTAGTCTTAGAACAACCCGAAATACCGTATTCCTTATAGTATAGAGAGTATTATCACCTGGAGTTTCAATGACAGTCAATAATTGTAAGGGTTCGAGATGATTATCAATGGAAAGAAGAAATGGTTTGATATGAGTCATCATCAGACAATTTAGTTGATGCAGATTTTGAATGGAAGATTTCTTTACAAAAATATTCAAGCTTTCTATCAATTCTTGTATATTATAGGAGTGGGAAGCTTTAGTAAAGTAATTTTGTTAATGTATGTGTTAGGTAATCAAAGTATTTCACAATATCGAGAAGTAGTTCTACGCTTGCAAGATCCTTAAATTGACTTAATTTGATGTATCCTATAATTTAATATCAACCAAAGGATTTTAAAAACGAATTTTCTATACTTAAATCTTTGGATCACCCAAACATCATCAAAGTGAAGGAAGTCTATTTGGAAGACAAGCAGATCTGGCTAATAACAGATTTGGTCGAGGGAGGGACTTTGAAAGAATATTTAGAGAAATTAACTGAAATTACTCAATTTGAAGTGTATATAATAATGAAAGTACTCAATTTAATTAATTTAGCAAATATTAAATATTGTTTAATATTTACATTCGAAAGGATATGTCCATCGAGATATCAAGCCAGAGAATATTTTATTAAGTCAATATCGTGACCCTTCCAAACTCTACATGATAGATTTCGGATTGACAGCAAAGAAAGAAGATGTTGCCACTCGATACCCTAATTGCGGTACTCCCGGCTATATAGCACCTGAGGTGATCAATTTTGATCCACATCATCCATACGATGAATTAAGTGACATATTCAGCTGCGGAGTTCTATTACATAAAATGTATCGATTATTAGAGAGTTTAGAATTTATGGGACAGATTTATTTGATGGATCTTTTTATAGTGAGGTGTACTTTTAGAATCAATAGTTTCGTTTGGAATAAGAGTAATTCGACTATAATGAATTCGAACCACTTCTCAAAGGAATGTTGCGAGAGAATCCAAACACCAGATTAACTGCTACTCAAGCCTTGGAGATGTTGGAATAGATTGTTGCAAACAGGAAGGACGTTTTCGAAGTAGAGGTTTCGGATTCAGAAGTGCAACAGGTTAGGACAGTTTCAATTTAAACATTGAGAAAACTTGGGTGTTGATGCCAATTGTGATTTCAATAAATATATGTTCTCATTATGTGTAATTGATGAATTGTTACAATTCATTACTGAAATTTCTTAAAGTTTCATGCACTTAATTAATAAATTTGTATAAATGCAATTTATCTGCAAAAGAAAGCGTAAACTTTTCAATAGCATTTACAAGATTGGAATCAAAACTAATGAGATCATTATACTAGATGTAATATATTCTATTTATTAAAGGGAACTAACATCGTCAAATACACCATTCCCTTCTACTCGGAGATCGAAGTAAATTGGAACTTGGACGAGAACAAATTAATCGGTTTTGAGTTTCTCTACAACAAGAAACTCATTTAATTTGAAATGAAACCAGAAGATTGCCAGGTATTCTAAGACACAGTGAAATCACAAATCTTCTTTTCAAACTTATACAAGTTTTATAAACCCATTTATGAAATTGGTAAAGGAAGTTATAGTAATGTAAATTTTCTGTCGATTATTCAAGGTTTTGAAAGTAGTAAGTTATCAGAATAAAAATATGTATGCCTGCAAATGCATTGAGCCCAACGACAACTTTTCTGAACAAGTATTACTATATTTTGAATTTAGGATATTATGAATGAGATTTAAATACATTCTTTAATAAACCATTAAAATATAGTTAGACTGTTGGGGATATCCAAAACCCAAAGGCATTTCTATTTACTTTTGGAATTGCCGAATGGTGATACTTTAAAAAATTATATGTGTAAAAAGATCAAATTAAGTGAAGAAGAAATCATAGGAATTCTCAAAGTAAGTTTTAATAATATTCGAGTAATTATTATAAGCTATAGATCATCTCCACTCAAACAACATAATCCATCGAGACATTAAGCCAGAAAACATCATCCTACAACACACCAACGATCAAAGTACTAAATCTCAATAACAAAGCACTCATTAAATTGATTGACTTTGGGCTTGCTGCAAATCTCAATGATCCCCATCTTTAGTTTAAAGTATGTGGAACCAGTGGCTATGTTGCTCCAGAAGTGATAAACAACGATGGACTCACACCATATGGCACAAAATGTGACATATTTAGTTGCGGAGTGATCCTCTATTAATTGTAATTTCATTAAATTATAAAACCTATAGACTCACTCATAAATATTTATTTGAAGGTGACTCAAAATCAGAAGTATACGAGAATAACAAACTGTATCGCAAAGCTGATTACAACTTTGGAGATATCCATTACTACTTTTAGAATCTACTCTCCTAAATGCTTGAAGATAATCCAGAAAAGCGAATCAACGCTAAAGAAGCGCTCACTATTTTGGATCACATTTCAAGACAAATTGATGAGATTCCTCCAGATGAAAACATTTAGAGATTGCCTATCATGATGTTCATCAAACCGAAATCAGATCCTAATCTTATGAACATAGACTTCTGATTATTGAATTTGTTAATGTTTTATGTCTTATGACATTTAGTAGTCATTATGTACTCTCTAATTTATTGACGTTCAATCTAACTCTTTTCTCAATAACTTATTTAATGATGATATTTTAATTCAAGACAAATTATGCATTTACTCTATTATTATTAACCCGTACTATAAATTAAAACATAAAATTCTATATACAAACTGAAAAAACGCAATCGGATATCTAATAGCTAAATGATATTAAATTTCAATTTAATAATGATTTGCATCCGTAAACACGCTATAATAGATTAACATTATCTCCTATTTATCCAAGATGGCAATATCTGCATCGGAAAGGTACTTTGAAGTGTTATTCTAGAATTATGTAAATCCGAAATATGTATTGCCCATAAATTTACAGTCAAAACTTGAATGGAGTTTTGACAGAGAACAATGTCGATTTGATGGGTTCACAATTGAGTGGAAACATTAGAAAAAACTATTTAACATGTCAGATGAAGATTGCAAGAGGTTAAAATCTCTTATTGATGGAAAAATACTATACAAAGAAATAAATTCATAATATTTTCCTATTTAAATTGTGGGGGAAGGGACTTTTGGCAAAGTAAACCTAAAATGTTATTGTTTCTAGGTTATCAAAGTGGTTAGTCTAATAGACAGAAAGGAGTATGCATGCAAAGTTATGAAACTAAATCAAAAGTTTTCAAAAAACGTAATTATGAAATATATATAAATAGGATATAATCTATGAGTTGATGACGATGTAATCATTGAACCACGAGAATATCGTCAAGATTAAGGAAGTTTACAGTTCAAAATCTCACTTCTTCATTATTATGGATTATTGTAGAGGAGGAACTCTTAGAGAATATATGGCTCGCAGAACCTTGAATCAGGATCAAATAGTTATCATAATGAAGGTAAAATGAATTTTAATTGTCTCTAGTAAATTTTGAATGCTCTCATTTATATGAATTCAAAAGGATACATCCATAGAGATATTAAACCTGACAATATCCTATTGAGAGAAGAGAATAATGTCTCCAGCATACAAGTGTGTGATTTCGGCTTTGCTGCAAGGGTTGAAGACATCTTTATTAAACATCCAAATTGTGGAACTCCTGGATTTATGGCCCCAGAAGTTATCAAATATGACCAGACCAAAACATACAATGAATAATGTGATGTTTTCAGTTGTGGATCTTTGCTATATTCAATGTAAATTTATTTTTAAATTTATAGATTGACAGGATATAACCTTGAAGTCTAGAGTGAAGAAAGCGAAATTTATAATATAGAGGCTTAAGTTTATGAAGAGAGACAATTCACTTCATGCAACAACTAATTCAAGAATATTTTGCTTAAGATGTTAGAAACTTGTCCTAATCAAAGGATAACTGCAAAGGACGCTCACATATACTTTGAAAATTTTGATTTATACCTTCTAGAAGAATAGAATTCGCTTGATGTAATTCAACAAGTAAAGCATATTCCCATCAAAAAGAATGGCTTTAACTAGTTATGATTCTCCGTTATTTATGTTTATAGAGTTATTTAGTATTAGATTTTTATTTATGGATTATAATGGATTAGTTTTTAATAAAATCAATCACAATTTTTATACATCATTCTTTATTAGAATTTATCAACAAAATAATAATATTCCCTAATACTTATCATCATGCTTTGTTATCGTAAACACTCTATTTTCACAAAAAAGTACCATATTTTCATAAATGAAAATGAAATTCTCTTAGGAGAAGTAATTATTCATTTTATTTTATAGAACAAAACTAAAATAAAATATACTATCAATCTCACTCCTTAAACCATCATTGATTGGTCAATTAATCAAAAAACCAAATAACTCAATGGGTTTTGGTTAAATTGGAATAACAAATAGAAGTTATTCTTGATGGATGCAACAACTTGTAATTTGTTTAAATAGTCTCTAAATGGCATAGTCACCTATGGAAAATATTAAATTCTTTATGAGCCAACAAATTGTATATCGCACAATACTTTTGGCTAAGTAATCATCACTTTCTATAAAAGATTTAGCAACTTGTAAAAATGAGATATTTTAATTCTGGGGATTCTTACATGTGTAAAACTATTTAAAAATCTCTAAAATATACTGATGAAGTAAATGCATTAAATATTCTTAGGATTTCTTTTATTAATTCGAAATCCTTAAATAATTAGATCATTCGAAAATCTTAAAATTGAAAGAAGTTTATAATACTAACAATTAGTATCATTTTGTTTTCAGTTACCCAGAAGGAGGTTCCTTAGCTGATATGATCAAGTCAAAATAATTATCATTCTAAGAAGTAAAATTAATAATTGAAGTAAATTATTATAATTAATCTAGCAATTGATGTCAACTGTTTCCTATATTCATTCAAAAGGGTATGTTCATAGAAACTTAAAACCGGAACATATATACTTTTAGGAACCAAATAACCTTGAAACCCTGGTCATTTCAGAGTTTGAATTGGGATGCAGACTCATAGATTTTCAGAATAAGTACTTATTTTCATCCCATTATTGTAGACGTCCAACTTACAGAGTTTATGGTTATTCTGCACCGGAAATTAAGTAGGAAATAATTACAGAAAAATCTGATATCTTTAGTTGCGGTGTCATTTTATATAAAATGTATCAACTTTTAATATCAAATTTAGTATAACAAGAAAAGATTTATTTGATCATGAGTCTAACACATATGATGAAAAAATGATGTTGCATTTGATCAATCAATCAGACATCGATTCATAATACTAGAATTTACTTAGAATGATGCTTGAATTCAATCCTTAGTTAAGGGCGACTGCAGATTAATGTCTAACAATAATTAATAAATTATCATAAAGAACTCCTTATTTCTCTCGTTTTCTCGATAAGACCTGTATAGATACCAATAGCATTAACAATGAAATAATTTCAATTAATTTGATTGAGAATTAAGATGAACTTTCGGAAAATTAGGAATTTATTTAGGGGTTGCCCACTATTCAAATTAATAAGAGAACTGAAATGTTTTATTGATTGTTTAGTATTTTATATTTAATAATATTCAACTTGAATATTTTATTACTAAAAGTAGACTACAAACTGCAATAAGCCCTAATAGTATTTTAATACATTTATTTGCTAAAGGAGAATTTTAATTTTTTTCACTCTAAGATATACTAGAAAATATTACTTCACGAAGTTCTTGGTTTGCTTTTTTTATATTCTTATATGATTAATCTATATTTTCATCAATTCGATCAAGAAGATGACCTTGTTCTAAAACTAGTTAATTCAGAGATTGAAAAACTTATGCTAAGTCATTAATCATCCTAACCAATTTATTTATCTCTTAATCACTATTTCAATAACAACTTCATATACTTTTCTTATTGGATTTATTAATAGACTTCCTCTTCCTATTAGGTTAAAATATTGTTCTGCTTAAATTCAATTTACTTTTCATCCTTTGTATTTAAAAAATTTTCTATTATAATAATTAATGAATTTTACAATTTTAATCTAAGGAAACTGATTTAATCAAGTTTACCATTCTTTTCTATTAATTTCTCAATAGATATGCTGCTTCTGATATTTGCTAAGACAATGCTGTACTGATATTTTCTCTTACTTAAATGATAATATGCTGTACTTACTTCTTCTTTCACTGTGGGATTCTAGGTTGCTTTTATACATTTAAATGGTTTAAATGTTTTTTTCGCATTCAATGATTTTCTTAAAGTTAAAATAAAGTATATACTGTTGTAGCAATTTAGTTTTTTTCAAAAATTGATTTTTCTATCTGACTAGTATCACCAAATTAAATCTTAACTTTTTTAGTACCCAAGATTTACAATTCTTTGACTAATAAAATTTAATAATATCAAATACTTATTTCCTTAATTTGTCTTATATTTTCAAATGTATTATAATAGTGCTAGGCCCATCCAGTTGGAAGTCCAAAGGTGGAAGATTACATTTCTATTGAAATATTTGCATCTGTAGACACTGCAGAGTTGTTTTAAGAATTTAGTAATAAAGAGTTAGGTTCTTTAGTATAATCAATTTAAGAATATTACTTAATGGGTTAGATTACTTTGACCCTTTGATTTGATTAGGTTTAAACCTTAGATTTTCTTTAAAAGAGTTTAAAGTATGAGTTTTATTTTTTAAGAGTCCCAAAGTCTGGTTCATTCTGATATCAAATTAATTAAATTATTAATTAAAACTTAAAAATGGTATTTGTCATTAAAAACAAAAAAGATTAAATATACAATGTTAAATTCTATTGAATACCATTTAGAGTAAAATCCTAGTCTTCATGATAAAATCTAATTTTGATATTCTAAAATTGGAAATAGTAATAAATTTCTAATAGGAATACTAGGGAGTAAATCAATAGGCTGACAATAAGATCGGAAGAAAATCTCGTTGAAAGATATCAACTATAAATTATATAATTATTTTAAATGATTCTGATAATGATTATAGATTGTATAATTTTAATAAATTAAGTTTAAATCTAATCATATTTTTATTGTTAAATTAATGGGAAGTACTTGTTGCCATAAATAACTCCAGGTAACCTAGTCTTAGGGTAAAAGATTAATATTATATAAACAGAATTAGTATTTGATAGCAATAACATTTCTATCATTAAGAAGTCTAATCATAAAGAGGAAAATCCAGATGAACCTCCGTTAAAGTTACCATCATAAAGTGTTTCCATTCGTTAAGTGTACGAGGAAGTCGTGGTTTTAAGTTAGCTGAAAATTCCAATATAAAATGTGAAAGGAGCCTTGGTTGAGGAGAATATATTGAAAGATTCGAAGGAGTCTTAGGAGCCTTTAGAAAAATAAGATGAAATAGAGGAAAAAAAGGAGGATCTTGAAGAGTAAAAGGATAGAGTGGATTTAAATCAGTTGGAGAAAATAGTAAAAGCAGAAAAATTGGAGATTTAAAATGAAACTTAGTAAAAGCAATAGCAAGATACAGGAACAAGAAAGTCTCCAGCAGCCTCTACAAAAACAGTACCTCGGGACCCTATTGATCATAGTCCAAAGAGAAAAGAGAGTATGGCTTCGGTAGGGTCAGTCTCTGTAAAAATTGGCGTAGAATTATTCGTAAATTTAAAAAAACAATCAATAACTAAAGTTTACACTCTCGGTTAGGTTTTAGGTTAAGGTGCATTTGGTAAGGTTTGGAAAGTAACACATAAAACCACAGGTAGAGATTTTATTAAGTTAAATTTGAGGTTTAATTAGAGCGATGAAACAAATTCGAAAATCGGAATTAATTAAGGAAGATGAGTAAAAAATGTTTTCAGAGATGAACCTGCTAAAAAATCTGTATCATCCCAATATTGTTAAACTATATGAATTGTATCAAGATTCTAATAATTATTATTTGATAACGGAGTATTAATAATAACATATAATTTAGATATTTAAGTGGAGGGGAGTTGTTTGAAAGAATTAAGAAGATGAATTCATTTACTGAGAAAAGAGCTAGTGATTTGATGAGACAAATATTGATGGCCATAGTGTATTGTCATGAGAAGAAAATTGTTCATAGAGATTTGAAGCCTGAGAATGTTCTTTTCTCAGGCACTGAACCTGACGCATTACTAAAGATTATTGACTTTGGATGCTCTAGAAGATTTAATTCCCAAAAGAATATGACCAAAAGGTTAGGGACTGTATGCTATACAAATTAATATTAAGCCATATTACATTGCACCTGAAGTCTTAAATCATAATTATAATGAGAAATGTGATGTATGGTCGTGTGGTGTCATTTTATATATTTTATTGTGCGGATATCCTCCATTCACAGGAAAAAATGAGAATGAAATATTTGAGAAGGTTAAGATAGGTAAATTCAAATTCCCAAGTATCTTTTGAATGTTTATTTTATTAGTTGAGGAATGGGATTCAATAAGCAGAGAAGCAAAAAGCTTAATTCAAAGAATGCTTTAAGTAGATGTGACATCAAGATATTCAGCATCACAAGCATTGAGTGATCCTTGGATTTCAAAACACTCACCGGATACACAAATAAATAAAAAAGTTCTAGAGAATTTGGGATAATTCCAAGCCAAAAGTGAATTTAAGGCTGCAATTGTGCAGTATATAATTAGTCAAATGACAACCAATAAAGAATTGGAAGACCTTTAGAAATCATTTCAATCTTTGGATAAGAACAAAGATGGGGTTTTAAATAAAGCTGAATTAGTAGAAGGATACACCAAAGTACTTAAAAACAAAGAATAAGCTGAAGAATATGTTGAAAAGATAATTTCTAAGATTGATAAGAATTAATCAGGAGTAATAGAATTTAATGAATTTTTAATGGCTGCCATTAATGAAGAAAAGATCCTTTCAATTAAAAAGGTTGAGTAGGCATTCAAAATTTTCGATTCGGATGGAGATGGCTTTATCAGCAGGCAGGAAATAGAAGAAGTTATGGGAGAATTGAATGCTGATGTTTGGAATCTATTTTTGAATGAAACAGATGGAAACAACGATGGAAAAATATCTTACGAGGAATTCTCAAAATTGATACTTAACAAATGAGCAATCTGTTTTTATACTTCTTATCTATATATAACATAAAAGCTTATTAAACACAAATAATGAAAGCTTCAAGATAATTCAAAAAGCATGATTTAAGTTTCAATGAACTGATTATTCCAACACCAATTTATCCTCTTCAGCATATTCTATATCCATGAATTAAAATTGCTAAGATATGTTTGATACATAATCCAAAGATCGATATTCACTCTTACTAATGTTGCTAATGAGATCTTCAAGAGTTCTGATTGTAATAGGTTTAATGTATACTTCTTTCATTCCTGATTCTAATAGCCTATTTATTTCATCCTCTCCTGAGAACCCAGTGAGACCAAATATTGGAATAGGAGGAATGTTTTTATCTTTGCAAATTGATGTGATATATTTAGTAGCCTCTTCGCCATTCATTATTGGCATTTAATAATCCATTATTATACCTTTATACCCTTTACATTTATGTTCTTGAAATTGTTCAAGCATTTTTTCTAATAGTTGGATACAATGTTTACCATTTTCTGCCTTCACTACTTAGTGTTGCAATTTTTTTAGAAGAGATTCTAATACTATTAAATTGTAAGGCTCATCATCAACAATCATAAAAGTATTTTCACATTAACATAAGTTTTTTGTGTGAATTTAAGTGACTGTTGACCAAGGACTCGGTTTTTAATTGAAATTGTGATATTGATGTACAATTCCTTCGTTTTCAACACTAGATTCCTTTATTATCAAATCACTTGAGAAATTTTCCCCTGAAATTAATCGTATTTTTATATGCATCTAAACAATTGTACCCTTGTCTATTTCTGAATCGATGGATAAGTAATTTAGATTATCATCTTTACCTGATAAATTTTTTATTAATTAACTTGAAGCACGCAATCCGAGCATCATCCCAGAAGATGCGTCATTTGAGTTTCTGTCAACTTAAAAGTCTTCCCCATTAAGTAAAGATCGAATTTAATCTAATCTTTCCGTGCTCATTCCTAAACCGTTGTCTTTCACCTCAATCAGATAAACATCCGCTAGATTGGTTGACAAATTTCCAATTGAAGAAAATTAACTGGCCATCTTATATTTGCTATAGGATCTGCGCTACTTATTATTTGATGAATCATGGCAAAATTCACTGCCACTCATTCTCTGCTATTGAGGAGATTAAGAATGGGGAATCTACAATTTTGAATGTCGGTGAATTTATATTTTACTATCTGGAACTTAAATGTAACTATTAGTTTAATAATTGTTGTTATTGTTATTGTTGTTGCTATTGTTATTATTACTATTACTATTGCTGTTGTTAATATTACTAAGGTCTTTTAGTAGCCTTATTGAAATTAATCCATCAGACTTGCTAAATCTAATGCTATTAGAAATAATATGTATGAGGATGCTTTGAAATCTCTCTGAATTCAATAATTCATAGTTATTGGTCTGTATTTTATCCTCATATTTAATCTTTATATTTTTTAGTTCCGCTTCATCTTTGAATAGGTCTATCACTTCTTAAATTAATATATTAATTCTAATTTTTTCTGGTTTGACAGGCAATTATCTTTCTCTTAACAGGTTATAATCTATTATGGAACCAATTATAAAATTTTATATTCTGCAATTGTTAAATGCAGCCTTTAAATATTTCTACACCTCCCTATCAAATTTTTGGTTATAATTTTAAACCATCTAAATCATGCCTTAAATAGCATTCAATCTAGTTCTTAATTCGTGGGAGATTGATCTTATTACTTTACTTTTAAATTAATTTAAATTCTTATAATAAATAGACTTTAGATTCGTTGATATATCATAAAGGTTAATTAAAGTTGCATGTTTATTATCTTCATATTACAAAAGCGTTTTCATTTTCACTTCAATTACAACTTTCTAAGATTCATCATAAACTTATTCTGGGCGATCTATAAATTAGCATCTTAGGGTATATATTTTACCTTAAGTCTTTTTATCCGTCTTAATTATTTATTGAATTATTTAATTTAAGTTTAATTATTCATCATCATTATTATCAAGATTGAATTTACTTGCATCTAAGGGCAATTAATTCTTGACTTCTTCGATATTTGCAAACATTTAAGAAAAAAATAAATAAATCTCATCATAATTGTTCATAATCGATGGTTGAGTCTCAAATAGATAGTCCTATTTTACGGACTTGGTTAGAAAGGTTTTTGTCTTTGTGTTTGACTTGTCTATCAACTTCTTCATATACCTATTTGAAAATAGCACTTGTTAGCAATCAGAATTTAATATACAAACCGCTGTTGGTATGCTTCTTAGAGATTATTCAGCAAAATGTTTTATTTTACTTAATCTCATTATTTGCTAATCCCAATAATAAACTAGTAGCAAATTCAAAAACACAACATGGTACGTGAACAAACATTAGAATATAGAGAATTCAGTTTTATAACCTAAGTAAATGAAGAATTTTGCCAGAATCACAAACCTTAGTTTGAAATTATTCATTGTTGCCATCACGATTAGCATTATTGTAAATATTAACAGGATCCCAATTACTCTTTATAAACTTTAATATTCCATCAACAATTGAGATAAATATAGCTAAAAAAGTGTTTCCAATACAATAAAGATAATTTGTGTAAGTGTTACTTTCTATTTTTTTGACAATTTTTGGATTATCCATCTATCATATACTATCATTGCTAAAGGAAGCAACATAATTAAATAAGTATAAAGAGTGACTGTCTAACTATTATAAGATTCAAATCCTTCAATATTACTTATCATTATCAATACAATACTGTAAAATAAATAGATTTTCATTATTGTCACAAACAGAGGCCAGAATTAAGAGATGATTAACTCATTCTGACAATCAATATAATTAGAGTCATTATAATCTTCGTAAATTTCTAATGCTTATCTTTTTTATTTTCTTAACCATACTAACATTGCTATTTAATATAAAACAACTATAAAATTATATATTAAAATAAATATTCTTTTCATGCGTTCATCTGAGAAGTTACTATAAATTCTGCACAATCTAAAATCTATAAAAATCTGAATGCTTTACATTATTGAGAGGCAAAATTGTAATACCACTGCAATGAGTCACTTCCCATGCATGCAATCAATCAAACTAACGTTTTGTAAAACTTCAATTTATTCTTAAACCTAGATTAAAATGGCATTAGAAAATTTCAATAAAATCCAATTGTATTATAATTATATTACAATATATATATAATCTTGAATTGAATAAATAATTAAAAAGTTGTCATATTCGATTAAGATTAATTATAAAAAAAGTTATAAAAAGAATAGAAAATATATTGTTCACCGCGAATATGTAACCTTCCAATATACATCCTAATATAACTGCAGCTTAAAGTTTAATTTTTTATCAATCTAAAGTTACATCAATTAAAATATTAGTTAAAAAAAAATATACAATTCTTCTGATCAAGTATTTTATGCCTTTCAAAGCAACCGATGGAGGTGCTGTTTTGATAAGAGTAGTGGCATTCAAATGACATATTTAATGATTAGGCAGGAGATAGTAAGAACTTTCAACAATTTTAATTTCATGTAGAAACATTCTATTCGAATAGGAATTATTCTAAATATTCAATAGGGTAATTTTCATAAATAATTTTTAGTTGTTATTTATGATATGAAAAAATTCCTATTTCATTCACTTTCATCAAGCCTAAAATGTTATCAAAAGGAATATAATATAAAGATTGGATATGAAAAAATTCTTCTTATGTTACCAATTTGAACGCTCTTTTGAGTGAATAAATAGATTTTAGGGTATCACTTTGGATCTATTTAATATACAAAAGAAGTTCTTATGTTGTTAAATCTCTGAACATCTTTTTATGGTAGTTCTAATTGGAAATTGATTGAAATTACTGGTTGCATCCTATGGCTTATTTTATTGTCAAAAACTTCCAAATAATGGTCTGTTTAGATTTAATAATAGTTTTCTTAATCAAACATTAAGTTTGGCTTTAATTATTAGATTATTGTCATACAATTCACATAAATGGATAATTATGAAGGAATCATTAAATTAAAAGGAGATAATTTTTGAGAAACAGTAAATAAATTCATCTCAAATAACCTAATCTAAGACCTAAAATTGTAATCTACAATGAATATCTTCTATCATAATACTCCTAAAGCAATATAGCTAAACTCAATGAATTATCGTAAGTACAATATTAACAATATATCACATCAAATAAGTCTCTATTCAGTAATGTTGTTTTAGTACATGTCACAACTTGCTTCATTACAATTCCCTTCATTATTTCTCCATTTATATCTTTATTACATTTCTCATAAACTAGGAAGATTTTATTATCTAGAGAGTTTTATTGCTTATCCTTGTCCAAATCCTAATTAATCAATTAATTTGAAATATTTTAATCAATTTAGTAACATCTTATAATTAAAAAAAATTATTTTAGGTTAGTTAAAAGAACAAGAAAATATCAAACATTATGTAGATAATTTGAATGATTTGCAACAGTGATGTCCAAATCAATAAGCTTATAAATTTTATTAAAGTGTCTTTAAATTTAACTAAAGCCAAAAGCTAAGATTATGATTTGAAAAATACTAATCAACTCTTATTTTTAAATATTTTATAATTCAAATAAATGCAGTTAATAAAATGATTTACTCCTCAAATTCATTATAGAGTATCTGCTTTATTTAGAATTTAGAATTGTCTACAACGATAATTAACTCTTGAATAGCTACACTTTGAACAATTAAATCTATTTGGTATTCTATTAATTTGATCTTCTTCTAACAGTTATACTAAATTGATAAACCATTCTTGTAATTAGAATTTAATGGAAACTCGATTGATTTCTTTTAATCTTATTCGCAAATTATTTGAATCCCCACAGTTATTAGCTATGTTGAATTATCTATGAGTATTCTATAATTTCCTTTATCTTAATAAATTTGAGTCTTTTGATCAAACTTAAGTTGAATAGAAGATTAAATATCTTAGTCTAACCTACTTTTCTGAACTGTTTGAATTTTGTTATATCGAAAAGGTTTAAATAAAATAGAAAAACTTCTGGAAACCCAAATTCTCAAATGAGTATTTCTTGTATACAAACCATCGCCTGGTTTTTCAAATATTTAATAAACCACTTTTCCTGGTTCACTGGAAATATCTTGAGATGAAATTAGATTTATAACATCATTTGGAGTTAATATAAAACCCAAATAAGGGGTAATGAAAAATTTATCAGGGAAAATAGGATAAGCAATTTTAACATCCTAAGTAGCACTTAATTAGCCTAGACTAACGAAAGCTTCATCTATGCCCAATATGATTTGATAACCAATTTCTAACAAATTATTGGTATTTGATATCCCCACAAAAACTTCTAAGGGAGTTATTTTAATTATCTCGAATAGAGAGAACAAATACTTCAATGGTAAAGTTTATTTATTAGAAATAACTAAAACTTGTTAAAGTTAGAAATCCAAACTAAGCATTAGGATTATTATGTGATAATGTTTCATTTTTTGGTTCTTTTCTATTATAGACATTAATGACTTATATTCTTTGATCAACAAATGCTTCCCATTTAACGATTACTTATAGAATTTGTTTATTGCTACAATTATAATCAATTATAAAACCTAATTGGCAGTTAATAAATTACCTTCAGTTGTTATTGATGTAGTTTAATATTCGAATTATGCCTGATTAGATAAAAAATTAATTTAAGATAGCGTAAAAATAATTTGTGGAATTAGCGAAAATTATTTAGGAAAAGTTACAACTTCGGGTACATTGATACAGTTCAAAGTTTTGAAACCAGATTAATAGCTGCTCAAACAAAATGCCTACTAAATAAATAAATTAACAAATAACATTTTTTTTAATTAAATATTCATTTTAATTTTGATAACAACTTTGGATTTTTTACCATTAAATCAAATAAAAATTTGAAATGATGGAAAAAGAAATAGCAGTAAATTTTATCATTTTACTACATTCTTATAAACAAAATATGGAATTTTCTAGAACAATTTTTAATGGATTTGATGATTCACAAGCCTATATTAATTATTTAATAATAAAAATATCTAATCTAATCTAACAATTCAAAGACTCATTTCAGTTAATATCAAATACAGATGCAATTATATTTGAAAAGTTGAATAAAAAGATTGAGAGCTTATTTGATAGATAGAATAATTTTATTTGAATTAACTGAATCTTAAGATTAAAATAATTCTAAATTGAGTCAGCCTATTGCATCTCTAGGAATTTAACTAAAAAGAATAATAATTGGAGTAATTTACAACTGATTTTAAGTTGAGAAACTATTTAATAGTTTGACTAATACTATATTAAGGTTATAACTGTATATAAACTTTGCTAGTAAACATAAAATTAGAACTTAATTAACTTTTAAATGATGAGGTTATTTATATTTTATTACAGAAGGATTTTATATCAATAAAGTTAATATATAGTTATTAATTTTATAGATATTAATTTATTATGGCTTCAGATTCCAACATAAAATCTGACCATTCACACCAAATTATAAAATTTAAACTTCACTCAATTAATTTTAACTTTTTATCCATTATGCAGACTTTCTTTATGTTATTTTTATAATAATTTTGATTAAAAAATAAACTAATGTAAATGCGTAATTTCTGTAAATTGTGAACTTAACACAACTGCAATTACAAATTGGGAGTGCGTATTAAATCATAGCACTTTGTCTAATATTGCATGATCTACGTTATACATAGTAAATAACACTCACAATTATTTAGTTTAGCAGAAATTGCTAATGGAGAATGATGTTAGAGAATCAATAATTCTTAATTGTACTGCAATTTGTGGGGATGGCTACATAGCAGGTCAGGAATTGTGTGATGATAGAAATTCGATTGAATTTTATGGGTGCTTTAACTGTACCGTCCTTCTTCTTGTCATAAGAAGTGGCTTAATTACTTTTAAGGTCTACGCCTACTATGTGAAGATGGATCATAATGTTTAAATGTTTGCGAAGATGGTCTTCTAACCATAGAATTAGAATAATGTGACGATAGAAATACTTAGAATAATGATGGATGCACTAATACTTGTGAAGTTGAAGGTTATTGGAAATGCTCATAAGAAAATAATATTAGTTTGTGTTATTATAAGATTCACACTCTGATTATCCTTACAAAGCTCACAAAATCAAATTCAGATAATCAAGAATTCCAATTATCATTTTCTGTTCAAGTGTGTTTGAATGTAAATAATATTAATGAAGAATAATTTCATTATATGATCATTATTACTATTGAGAATGCTTAAAATTCTGAATATGATGTTGAAATCAAACCTATTATTTCTATCTCCCCTATTTTGACAAAGCAACCAGATGTGAAAATATTGTAAATTTTTAAGACAATCCTTTACTCTCTAATGAAGCCAAGTTACAATTAAAATTTCCTAATAAAATATCAAAGGATCACCAACCCCTTATTTCTTAAACAGTCTAAATGTACTAAAAAAATTGTTTTCTCTCCTGGGTTAGTCAACCATATTTTTTTAATATGTGTGAATTGCTATGAATTTAGTAATGAGTATTTTTGGAGTGAGCACAATATTTTAAAGTATCATAGATATGTCAAAGTCAGGCCGAGCTGGAAAACTATTTTCAGTTCTTTATGTTTGTGCGTTTTTTTCAAACCAGACCAAACTCTAAAAAGAACCTTGAAATTGCCTTATGAAGCGATTCAATTAATAAAATAAAATTGGATCTATAACACTGCAATAATATGCAATTTTATATCAACTAATATGGATAAGTAGCCTAGGTATATCTCATTAACATAATTCAAAGCCTTAATTGGCTCCATCACATACTCTCTTGTAGTTGAATATATTTTAATAAAAAATTAATCATTATTCACATAAATTTGGAAGTTCATCTATTTTGACTTGAAGATGAATTTCCAGCTCTCCAATCATTCTAAAATGGAAACATAAAACAAAGGAACTTAATTTTTAGAGAGTGACTGCTACTTTGATCTATAATTAATTTTAATTAATTGCTCTTGACATAATTTTAATTGCGATTCTTCATGAATTTTTATAATAATTTTAATTCTCTTAAACCAAGGTTAATTTTCATTTGGAGAATTAGATGTGTTAAAATAAATGGCATTAGATAGTTTAACTCTGAAAAACTCATTCAAAAGAATATTTGGTAGAGATTAAATTAGATTCTGACAATAACCAATTTTAATTGAGATAGTCTATCATAAATTTGATTAAATCACTTACCTTTAACAAAAGAATAATTCAATCCTTTTTACAAAAGATAATATAGACTTTGCCATGCTTCAATCTAAAATCATGAAGCCAAAATAAGGATTTATTTACTCAAAACATTACATTGATATCCAACCAATTTTATCTAGAAAAATATATTGAATCTCTTACAACCAAAACACATGTCTGATCATTTAATATTCAATTTTCTAGTCAGTCTATATTCCACTTTATCATTATAACTTTAGCTGGTCTCTATTGAGAATTTATTATAATATGATTTTCTATTCTTTTGAATTTATAAAAAATTTCAAAATCAAAAAAATGTAAAATGCACAAAAATTTAATTTTAATATAAATTGTCTTCCTTATATTAAAATAAAATGATTATAAATAATTCTTCTATTAAAAATAGATCTTTGGTTAGGATTATGTAACCTCATAATTTGTAATTTTAAGTTTCTTTTAGTGCAAAAATGCATTTTTAACTTATTCTAACATTAAATTGATAACTCATTTTGATAATCACCACATTTAATATTTGTCAAATATGTTGTTCTCCTTTGCTTAATTTAGGCGATAAATTATAGATAAGAATTAACTGCGAGAATAGTTTCATTTTTGATATTTTATATGCAGAGGTGGTTTTAACAGAATTATAGAAGATAATTTGTAATAATTAAATATATGATGAAACAATTCTGTCTTCTTTCAATTTTATTGAAAATAATTGATTCCCAGTGGCATCTTTAACATAGCTATGCCTCCAAAGATACTTTACAAATTTTGATGTTGTCAAATAATACTAACTGCCAAAACACAGAATATTTAACCAATCAATAATAACCTGCTAATTATATTATATGCACATCCGATTCTAAAAGCTATATAACATTAAATTAACAAAATGAAACAGTTTCAAATTGTGATTATAAAACTGAAAAAAATTATTGCGATTATAAATGTCTAATTTCATTTGATTTATATTATTAGGGTATTTGGGAGAATAATTAATTAGAATTTAAATTTTATAATCACAGCTATACTTACTCTCATACATCACCTCCTGAATACAAGTTACATTAGGGATTTTGTGACTCGACATAGTATGAAGTTAAATAAATAAACATAACTCATACGTAAAAGTCAATGTTAAACTTCACATTTTCAGCAGTAGTATAAAGTAATGGATAAGTATCTTTAAAAAATATTTTTATCCTCAATTATTAATATAAATGCTATCCTAGATGTAAATAATGCTCAGGTCCTGAATATAATTAATGTTAGAGCTGTTTTTATGGAATTCAATAAGGTAACATTTGTCCATCTTGTCCTTCTGATTAATACTATGTAGAATATAAAGGATGTCAATTTAAGAAAAGTTTCATTGAGCCTTTGTGCTTCAAAGGCTTTTGTAATGAAATTTCATGTAATTTTCTATAATAATTTAAGCTTCCTTATAATACTCTACTATATTATCAAATTAAGGAGAGCAAATTTTATGGTCCATAATTTATGATTATCAAACCTAGTATGTTTACCCTAAAGTATTATGGTGGGGTTAATATTTTTATGGAATATTTAAAATGGCTTTGGGAATATCTAGATACATTAATATCATTTAACCAAAAGTTTGGTATTCCCTTGCATTTGAGATAAAAATTATTCTTTTTAATGCTCTAAAACTTAATTGTGGAATTCATTTTTAGTTCAATAGAACGTATTATGCATCAATATATAATACAAGCGAAGGAATCAAATTGCATAATTTTACTTCTATCTAATGCCATTTTTTATCTGCTTCTTACTCTGAGTATACTAACAATTAGTTATGTGTAATTTATGGCTACTTTGATATTCCTTAGTATCCATTTTTATTCACAGCAATAGGAAATTTGACGTAAATTTTATTATAAATTAGGGATTCTTAATCTGGTTGGGGCATGATTGGTATCGAAATTACATCAACTTATTGCACTGAACACTGTTTAGTCTGCAATGTATCGTAATATTGTACAACTTGTGAAAGCCCATACTTTTTGTATCGAGATGGTACTTGTATCAAGACATGCGAAGATTTATATCAAGAACATAATGGAACTTATTGTAAGGATTTCGGTGACGAAACACCCTGTAATATTTAACATATTTATTCCATAGATTCTGAATTAATAATAAAAGAAAACATAAATTACACATTTGAGTACGACTCTTCATACAAACTTATCCAATAAACTGGACAAAATTTCTTGAAAGGAGAAGATATATATTATTCATTTTGGAATGGATTTCTTATTTTTGGAGGCTCTTTTATATGGGCTCAAGCATAATTTGAAAGAATTCATTCCATTGCAAGACCACATCATAGTATTTCAATAGCATTTCACATTTTGTATGGACCTGAATTTCCACCTGAAAGTGAGTTTATATATACAATTGATTCAAATTGTTTAATTATTAAGAAGAGGATGAATGCAAACAAAAATAGCGATGGAACCTATTTTGATTTAGTTTCATAAAAAATAGAACATTAATCTAATACTCTTAATATTACTTTTGAATGTAAGGGTGTAAATGAACCCATAAAACAATTTTGTGGTTTGTATAACTTCTACTTAGCAGTTCATCATTGTTAGCCTTATTGCAATAAATGTAGAAGTGAAAACGATTGTTAAGAATGGAATAGGACAGATCATCTATCTATGGTTTAATTTTCTTAATCAGATTGTTAAACTGATTAATATCTTGATGTTCATCAATCCTTATGTTTAAATTGCTCCTCTTCATGTAAAACTTGTAAGTCAGCTATTGTTTGCTTAGATTGTAAAGATACGTACTAATTAACATAATTTGGATGTTTTTGTGCTAAAAATTAATATGAACAAACAAATTAATGTAAACCTTGTCCACCCTTATGTAGTTAATGTTTAAGTGAAACCCTTTGTATCGAATGTATTGATAGAACTAAAATGAGAATTATCAATGGGTAATGTACATGCATTGTTGGCGATAATATGAATATAAACAATACTTTATGTGAGAATACTACCTCCCCTTTATGCACCTAAGAATGTTAGAATTGTATTTTAGGAAAGTGTTTTGAATGTAAAGAAAATTGGTATGTAGATCCTATTGATTATATTTGTAAAGAGAAATGCGGGGATTTTGTTTAATTAGGGTCTGAAAAGTGTGAAAGTAGTTTTACATTGCCTTATAAAGGATGTTTTAATTGTAAACCAAATTGTCAATAATCTTGTTCGAATTGTGGTACAAGTGGTTAAGGTTGTTTATAATGTATGAATGGCTATTCATTAATCGACAATTTATGTTATTCTATCTGTGGCGACTAGATTTTAACGGTTGATGAATAATGTGATGATGGAAACCTAATATATGGTGACGGGTGTCATTTTTGTCAATACAGTTGTTCAGATTCATGTTAAAATTGCATTGATGGAATATGTTAGAATTATAGATTAGATCATCCATTAACAAAAATCTAATGTGATCCAGTAATAGGAAAAGAAATGGATAATAGTTCATAATTATGCCATATGATAGACAACTTATACTTATTGAGTGAGATCTATAATTCCAATTTTGGGTGTGATTTAAACTGCCAAAATTGTTTTTTTTAAATCTGTTACAGTTGTAACCATGATTATATCCTTTCCATAGATTCTAGAAAATGTATTCAAAAAACTTCACACTTTGATGAAAATTAAGAACATAGTTTAGTAAAAATTGGAAATTTATGCTTAAAATGTGCTGATTATGCTTATTTTGATGTGCTTGAATAAATTTGTAAACTGAATCTTTCGAATATTAAAAAGTGTCAAATTTAGATGTTATAATCACCAGACCAATATTGCAATTAATGCTTTGAAAATTGTTTGAAATGTTCCTACCATAGTTGTATTTCATGCATGGAAGGATATTACTTTGATGATTAATCTTATTGTATCTCTAATTGTAGAAATGGGATTCAGACAATTAACGAATAATGCTAAATTAATGATTAAAACTGTTTGAGTTGTGAATTCTAACTATCAAAAAATTGCAAATATTAACATTTACAATTATGTCTATAGTGCAAACATGGATATTATTATAATCCTCTAACCAAAGACTGTGAGTCTATTTGCGGAGATGGAATCATAGCAGCAGATGAAGATTGCGAAATATAAGACCAATATATGAAAAACGGATGCCAATAATGTAAATATGACTTTAATAATGGTTGTAAAGAATACAAGGATGGGCTCTGTCAATTATGCATTGAAGGTTACATATTAATTAATAGTTCATGTTACACCTATGGGTTTGATATCTAAAATAATTTATTGAATTTTGACTTTTTTAGAGAGAGTAATTATGAATTAGAAAAGCTTTGCGCTTCTAATTATTTTGCTTTTACATTTAATTAATGTATACCGATTTGTGGAGATGGAATAATAACTCATGACGAAGAATGTGAAGATGAAGATTCACAATAATCATCTGGCTGCTTTAATTGTAGATTTTCATGCCCGATTAATTGTTAATAATGTGAATTTGGTAAATGTAATTAATGTATTGATGGATTCTAAATATTAGAAAATAAATGTTATCCTAAATGTAGAGATTAAATTATTAAATATGATAAGTAATGTGACGATGGAAATATGATACCATTTGATGGATGTTATAAATGTTAAAATAGTTGTTAATTAGAGTGTCTAATCTGCTTACAAGCCAAATGTATTTAATGTATTTCAGGATGGAATTTAATTGATGGAAAATGCATCTAGACTTGCGGTGATGGCAAATTAGCCATAATGTCTGAGGAATAATGTGACAATCCATTAGATTTAAATTGTCAAAATTGTAAAACAATTTAATGTGTGCCATATTGCAATTATTGTGATAACCTATAATAATGCCAGGTTTGTTAAGACTCCTTCTCACTTGTTAATAATATTTGCATAAATATTTGTGGTGATGGTATCATAACTTAAGGGTACGAGGAATGTGATGATGGAAACAATATTGAATTTGATGGATGCCATAATTGTGAATTTTCATGTTCGATAGGATGTATGATTTGCTAAAAAAATAATGTTTGTTTGAAATGTAATGAAGAAAAGCTTTTTACTTTGGATCACAAGACTCAAAAATGCATATTTTATTAAAATTCAGAACATGAAGATCCGAATAATGATAGTGAAGATATTAAATAAGAAGAAGATGTTAAAAATATATAAGATTAAGAAACTTTCTATGAGGAGGATAATTAAATTCCATAAAGTGATGATGATTAATTCCCAGTTTAGAATTGTGGGAATGGTAAACTTTAATACAGCTTAGAAGAAGAATGTGATGATGGGAACATACTTGGATTAGATGGATGTTCTCAATTTTGCACTATTGAGTCTTCATTTAAGTGTAAAAATTTTGAAAATGATACGAGTGAATGCTCTTTTATACAAGCTCCTGAATTTTACTTAAATCTCTTATCAAATACATAGAATTCAACTCAAATTGTAGATTTAATTTTTTCTTAAGAAATTCGATTATAGTAATAGAGTATGATTGAAGATTTAGCCGAGTTTTCAATAGAACCTTCCTCTAAATATTAAATAACAATTATTCCTCTAATAAATTTAACAACTGAATTACACATGTCGCATTATCAATTTACTATATAATTCTAATAAAGTATGAACCGCCCTCTTTTTAAATTAAAATTTAAATAAAATTCATTAGTCAACTTAGATAATATTCCTCTTATGAGCTTAGAAAAAAGCATTGTTATCGGGAATTCCTTTGTGTTATCAGAGTAAACGAAAAACAAACTAAATTAGATGATTTTACTGAATGATATAGTTATGTATACTTTGATAAGCATTTCAGTGCTAGCATTGTTAATAGGGAATCCAATAATGTTTTTGAATCTCTTAAATCTACTTTAATCTTTTTCTTACCTTAGATATGTATAATATCAATTTCCTCCTCATTTTTCATAATTTCTTGAAACATACTCTAAAATATCTTTACAAATAATTTTAGACTTCTTGTAAATTGATTAATTCTTAACTTAATTAAATGGAGGATAACTTCCTTATTTGAACAAATCAGCTTCATAAACAAATAAAACGGAATAACTAAACTAAGTATTTTTAATTAATGCAAAAAGCTGTTATATTTCATTTTTCACTTCATACCTTACCTACTTAATTTATAAAATAATAACATCAAAATAGATAGATAACTATCTCAATAAAGTTTTGACATTAAAATTTGAAAACATCAAATATTTAAAAATAATAAGTTTATTCTAAAAAAAAATTCAATAGCATTGTGTCAAATTGAAACATGAATTTTTTACAAAAAATATTTTTCAAGTTTATCTAACAATACTTCATTAATTACTATTTAGTGCTTTCATGCAATTTCCAAACTATAATTTTCAATCATTTTTTGAAGCATTTAATTCACTCAATTCTTTGTTGGCTTTGGGATTAATAATGGTGGTTAATTTTAAATCGCTTGATATAACATCATAAAAAATAAAAGATAAAAGAAAATGGAAGTATTTTTTTGAGGAATCGAAATCAGAATTTTGGGCTGTAAATTTCAAATCATTTTCAATCTATAGAATTAACGCATATATTTTTGTAATCGTCTTTTTGATCAATTGGCCTGAAGTTTAATCTATTTTGCTCTGTATTTAATCATTAGCATACTTGATTTATCTATGTACAGTAAAGCCATTAATATCAAATAATGAATATATTAAATTAATATTTAGAGAGTTTCTCTTCCTATCAACTGTTGGCTCATTTTTAACCTATAGTTTTTCTTAAACTGAAGAACAGCTTTTAATATGGGGTTGGATCCATATTTCAATGCTCACAACTATATTAGGGACAACTTTATTTGTAGATATGATTGAATCTATTGGTAAGCTTCATTCAAATTATCTGAAATAGAAAATAAAGAAGGAGAAATTATAATAGAAAAATACTATGAGTTCTCCATAGTTGCTTATTGATAATTAAAATATGTAGAATCTTCATAAAGCATTGTCGGATGTAGAATTTAATCTGGATTAGATTAATTAATAAATTTGAGAAAAATTTCTATTTTGATTAATTAACTGTTATATAAATATGTGAAAATGATATCAATTTTTCAAAAACTTCATTTCAATTCAATTATCATAAAAATTACATTAATTTTGGCTTAAAATTTATTGGATATTTTTTATATATATTATACAATTTATTTTGAAACGTTCAAAATATATATTTATGAAAAAAAAAACCTCCTAATTTTTTTTAATATTTATTAAGAAATTTGGATTAGGTCTATTAACACTGCAATTTTATTTCTAGCATTATTTAAAAAATACCATACTTTATACACAGTGTAGCTAATAATATTTGCTGCTCTAAATTAGCAAGATAATGTTGTATTTTGATTAAAATATCGAGCCATCTAATATGATCATGATTTTATATAGAACTATAGAAATATTCACTATTCTGATTAATTCAATCTATGATTTATTAAATCGCTTTTAAATTCATGAGCTATTAGTCTTAATTTCCACTCAAAGTCAACTTACAATTAAAATTATGCAGAAAAAAACAATAATTTTGGAATCAAATATTAAAGAAATCAATTCTTTACGGTTTTTAATAAAAAGATCTATTTTCTTTTATTAATCATTTATCAAGAAATGATTTACACTTGTATAGATCTCATTCAAAAATGCATTGGGTATTCTATCAACAATACTGCTTCAATCAGATTTCCCTTGGAGCTAAAAATAATCATAGCCATCATAGTAAATTTTGTTTCCATCATCACATTCCTCCTTGACCTTCAACAATAAATAAATCTTCTAAAATCAGGTCATACAGATTCTAGAATCATTAGTAAGTGCCATTAACTAATCACCATCCTTCAATTCAAGATAAACTATAACAACTGAGTTGGTATTAAAACAACTATTTAATTTTAACTCTAACAAATTTCAAATTCAAGTCCATTCCATAACCACATAAAGAAATACATGCTCTACCTTTCCTTTGAATATATATCCAATTCCTCATTCATAACTACCTTTAAGTGCTTTATTTTGATATTTTTCAATGTAATTACATTAAAATAGTTTGTTTTAAAATGTTAGTAAGACTTAAAATTGAATTAATTCTAGTAAAATTTCTATTTTATTAAATACTCTAGAGTTTTTTAAATAAAATATTTAAATCCGAACAAATCAAGAACAATAATTTTCTTCCCGAAATCATATAATTGGAAACTTACAACTCATTAGTAATAGAAAAACCTTAAGATATATTAAATTCAAATTTGAAATATTCGCTAAACAGTATACTAGGGAAGATATATATCTAATTTTGAAAAATTTGGAAATTTAGAATCAATCATTGATATTGATACTAATATTTGTAAGGATTTTAGTTAAATGAATATTTATAAATAATTTCAAGGTTGTTACTTAAATGGATTATGGAATTATTGCAGAAAAAATCTCTTCTTAATAAACGATTTTCAAATGAGTAGCAAAATAAACTACAAGGCGCACTAAAAAGGTGATCTCAGGATCTCAATGTCTTAAAAGGATGACAATTAAATATCATGATAATCTTGGTCCAACTACGAGGAAGCGTAGATTGGATTTTTCAGAAGATCAGAAGCAGAATCGGTATGCTTTGAATAAAATTTATGGAATATAAAAATGATATTTAAGAATTTTGTGAATAGGCTTAATACTCATGAAATATCTGAAAGCCAAATACCAAAGAGATTATACCTAGACTATGAATAAATTTGCTTGAGACATTAACCAGTCGTTTGATTGATGTAAGTACTTAATAACAATATGACATTTACAATGCTGTGAACTATGTAGTTACTTTACCAGTGAACAAATGGTAATACCATTATCTATACAGTTTATCATTTATAAAAAAAAAAAAAAAGAGGAAGCATGATGATGTATCATAAAATTTAATCTAAATCACAGTCAACTTCGAATTTGACCTTCGGTTTACAAAAATTAAAAGAAATTTGAATATAATTGGAAAATTCCAAACCAAAAAGAAAATTTTCTATAGCTGATTTTTTGGAATTTCAAAAATTTATAAAAAATTTGTATTTTAGGTACTTAATTATTCAGTTAAAAAGAGTGAAAATAATAAGAGCAAGCAATATTATTTTTGATTTAAGATTATTTAAATTAGATTTAATTGGAAATGAAATTGTAAAATACACTCATAATTTGTACTCAATGCTGATTGATATCTAGATCAAGATTAGAAATATAAGTTATTGAATTTTATAATAGTTTCTTTCATTCCTCATTAGAGATAACGAATATAATTTTTTTTATTAGTCTTTTATCAATTGTTATATTTTAAATTATAATAATTTAGATATTTATTTTCCATCAAGGTCTTTCTTTTTATATAATTATTCTCTAAAATAAAAGTTTTGAGAATAAAAATATACATGTTAATAAGACTTTTTGAGACAACTTTGTTGTTAATATATTTCAATATACTTAAATAAATGTAATTTTAAAAATTATATGAATAAGAGAAGACAAATATATTTGCGAGCTGATTGATCTTTATGAAGCTCTGATTCATTATTTATTGTCTAAACACCTTAATAATAACACATAACAAGTAGAGACTGTTATGAGGGTAAAGTAATTTTATGTTTCAAGTATTAATAATAATCCTTAGCAAAATGATAATATTGATAAAAGAAAACTCATGAATCCTAAAGAGACATGAATATAATTTCAATTTTATATTTTTAATGTATTAATATTTTATTATATTTTAATTTTAAGAATAGCTCCAAGAATCATTATGATCGAATAAAGCCAATTTATTTTTATATTCTGAATATATTGATACTCAGAATGTTTAATTTAATTTCTCAATTATTGTAAAATTGAAAATATTAAAAGTTGTATTTATATTATATATTAAATTTTATAAATCCATAAAAAATTAGTTACTTATATCAATATAATTGAAATCCTATTACTTTAAGAGATTTTAAAATGATTTCTTGTTTAGGTATGATATATATTCATAATAATTAATGTAGAATAGCTTTATTCAATCTTAAATCAGGAGTGATCTTTTAAATATAACTATTTATTTCTATTACCTTAAATACTATAATCTAAGCATATTCATTTAAATAATTTCTAATTTTATTCTCCTTTATATCAATGTTACAAATATAACCTGGTAAGAAATAATTTCATTTTTTATTCAAATTTTGCTCGCTTTTCATAAATTCTATCGTATATAATTAGAATAGTCAGGATAAAGTTTTAAACTTGATTTGACTATTATCGACTGCCAAAATATTGTAATCTATGCTTACGACAAAAAGAAGAATAATATTTTTTGATTTCCTGATGATTTTATGAATGTAAATATATTAAAACAAAACTGCAAATTTAACTGATGTATTACTAAAAGAGTACTTTTTAAAACGTATATGTGAATCAACCTTGTAATTGTAAATTTTTATCAAATTATTATTTAATTATAATATATGCCCTTTACTTTTAAATTCAAACTTATTGAACTAATTACAGAACTTTAATTTCAACTTCTTTATCAAAGGAGTGTTAAATTTATTACAAAAGATTTGTATATGTGTATGAGATGTTGTTAATTGATGAGTATCTAATATCTCTTGGGAAATATATTAAGATAATTTTAAAATCAACTTTACATTAATTTAAAAAGTAAATTTAATTCATTCAGAGTTTAGTTCTCCATCTTTCAATAAAGTTATTGAATCTAATTAAGGCAATAAGCCTCAAAAAAAGTCTATACTCGATTTTAATAGAAGCAATAAGTATATCTATTTATTTATTCATTGGTTAAACAAGAAAATAAACGTGAAACTGAATTACTCTAACAAGACCGAAGTGAAGTAAAAAAATATTGTATTTTGAAATAAGAAACATTGTAATTTTCAAGTAAATTCACAAACCTCTCTGTATAAAATCATGAATTTTTGTACTGTGGAAATTCCATTAGTAGACTAAACTTAGATACCCATATCAAAAGCTAAGAAATAATATTTATCAAACTGGCTACAAGATGAACCTATAGGATCTATGAATAATTGTTAAACAAAATAATTCAAAGTTGATGGAATGAAATTTATTGATTAATAAAGAATATTTCAAACAAAAATTAGACTCATCTAAATTTACAAAGGTACCTATTTTTAAATAATTAAAATTTTTGAGTATCTAAATTGCATATTCTAAATAAACATATAGCTTTATATCCTTCTTTTTATTATTGATAATTAAATTTTAGAGTAATTCTATGGCGAATTGTTCTTCGATTTATCAGATTTAATATTTTGATCATCTTTCAAATAAATTGGAAATTTTTGCATTAATTTAAATTATTAAAAATTGGGCATGAATAAAGTTCAATTAATTACATCTTTCAGAATGACAATTTAAGAGATAGAATATTAAACTTATTCAAAATGGGAATATTTGTAATTTTAATACCAATTTTTCGGTTTTAAAAATATAATAAATATCCTTGAGATTGTTATTTCACATTTCTCTGACTTTAATTTTTCATTGTTCTTATCTAATTTTTTTGAAAATCTCGAAGAATGAATTTACCCAGTTAATAATCTAAATAATTAATTATTAAGCTAAAAGTTCTATTTATCATATATCCAACCTAGGCCACTTCTTAATTTTATTGACTTATGATATTACAATCATCTTGCAAAGCCTAAGAGTTTTTCCAAAAAATCAGTCAATTTTTATTATTATTTTCTAAAGAAACCTTCGAAATATATTAGATTTTATTTGTATTTGAGACCTGAATACATAAAACTTATTTTACTATTTTTATTTTAAGCTTTGCTTTGCTTAATCCTCTTTGGAAATTAAAATTTTGGTAGAATGCCAATAATTAATTAACACTGAATTTAATCTGACTCTTATATTGTTCTGGGGCAGGTTAATCAAAATAAGCTTGAATAAATTATTATTTTTGGTTAATTTGAAAATTATAAATTGATCAAATTCTAA